AGCACCCGTGTTTACTAAGGCCTTAATATCGTGTCCTATGATTCGAACCTTTATCGTGAGGTGATCATGTATATTGGTTATGGCACTATATAAGGACTTTTCTTCTAACCGTTACTGTCCCGTTATAGACGGTTCTAATCTTTTCCCGATCCTGTCTTAATAGGTCGGCGTCGCTCTCGGCGGTTTGTGGCTTCTTGTATAGCCTGAGCGTACCCGCGTTGTTCGCTGGCTTCGTAATCTTCTTCTTGAGTACCCGGGGTATTGGCTCGTCGTCCTGTCGCGGTCATCGCGAGGATTGCGTAATTTCGTAATGTCTCGATCTAAGGTGGAATAACTCCGTCTTGTTCCAACTCGTGTTGTCGATCTCGTATCCATCTCTGGATTCTACTATTAGGTAGATTGTCAGGGGTTAGTACGCGTCCATAGATCGTGACTTGATCTATTGGTTCGATGCTGGTTCTCTGGCGATATAACTCTAGACTAAGTTGTTCCCATTGTCGGGAGACGTCCCGATATATTTCCCTGAATGACGGCTAGTCGTGGCTGTCGTCGTATTTATAATACATCCTTCGCTCGACTTCCTCGAGTAAGTATCTATGATCGTTATATCCTCCCTAGGGTGGCGATCCGCTTAGGAGGTCTCTTTTGACAACCTCGATTCCCGTTAGTCCTTCGTCGGGGTCTTCATCCATGGTATCGCTACCGCTACTGCTGTCGTCGACACTAGGGGTTTTCTTGTTTTGTCGTGCTCTAAGTCGTTAGCTTAGTGTATAGGCTTCCTCTCTTTCTTGCCTAATAATGCTAGGTCGTTAAATAAGGTGTTGGATTAATCGTTCCAGTCTAAGGCTCTTTCCGTTTATAATAACGCGGATTGCGTATTGTTAGTAATATTGTTATAAGCCTTTCCACGCGCGGCACTTCATGTCGGCGTGTTCTATATAAGTGTCCTCGTAGCATTGGTCCCAGTCAACCTGTCCCTTAAAGCAAGCGAAGTATTAGCGAGGGTCCGTGGTGAAGATAGCGTATCCCTACGGGTCTCGGTATCGTACCACTACTTCTCCAATCTCATCGGCCAAGTAAGGTTTGTTAATGGACTATAATGCGATCCTGTTTAGAAAGAATTCATGCCTTAATTTCTCTTCGAGGTGGAACGTACAGTTCCTGTCGATACATGAGGTCTAAGCGAGTGTTCCATGTCCTCTATTGTTTTTGTATAATATCTGGTCATCTCCGAAGATGGCTCCTGGTGTCCATTTCTCCCATCCTATGGTACCAAGGTCTTGTACGTCGTTTAGGGCTTAATATAGTTCTTGGGGGGTATGGAATAATTGTCCTATGAAGACCATAGCTCTTGTTTCTTCGAGAGTATTTTCAATAAGTACTCGTGGAAACTCTTAGGTTCGAATAGCTCGATCCATAAGGTATCGGAGTTTCGTAACCTAGTTGTCTCGATGAACATTTTCTTAGTGTCGATCATTGTTTGCTCTGATGTCGAAACCACTGTTATCGTCTTTGGAATCGTCCTCTAATTCGTATTCCGATTCGTTCTCTAGGCGGGTTGGTCCGTCGTATTCCTGGGCAGCTAGTACGTGTTCCTCTGAACTGCTATACGTATCTTCTGCCTATGTTACTAGTTGTTTGCGAACCATGTGGAAGTTGCGTGGTTTGGAAGGGTACCAGCCTTGGTCCCTTTTGCTAAAAGCGTGCGTGCTATAGCCATCGTTATAGCAAAATGTCCAGTACAAGTCCTTATATGGTGGTTCGATACGGGTGGTCACATTGACCTATCGTTCTTCCGTATTATTGGTTCTGGTGGCTACTTAAGCCTGTCGTCCCTTTAGGACGGGTTTGAAGCCTCCCTTCTTAGGCTGTCGGTATTCGTTGGCGAAGTAACCCTTTTTGTCGTAGTTATAGCATGTAACATCCTTTTTGTCCTTCTTGGGTCCTCCTCGTTTAGTGGCGTCGAGGTTTATAAGTCCACTATGTTGTCCGTATGACGTCTTATTACGCCAGTTGTTGTCCCGTGGTCGGTTGCTATTACGGTTCTTTCCCATGTTCATTCTGGGTTTCTAGTAATTGTCGCGGTTGCCATTTCCGGATCCTCGCTTCTCTAGCCTTCTCTTATACAGGCGATTGTCGATCTTGACAATCCTTTCGACGTAGTCGTCGAATTCTTCCGGTCGATCTTCCTTGGCGACCTCATCCTTAACATCTTCGCGTAGTCCTGCGTAAAAGAGTATTATGAGGGCGTCGTCATCGCTCCATGTGGTTCTGGAGGAGATTTGCTTAAACTCGGAAGCGTACTTAGATGTAGAGCCTTTTTGTTTAAGTTATATAAGGCGTCTTTTTGCGGTTCGTGTCTTATCTGGGTTACCGAATGTTGCCTTGAGTTTGTCTTCGAATTTGGCGTAGTTGGCAAACATTTCATTAGTGCTGTCTTCTCGACTAGCTTTAGTGTTGTTGTTAAGGTAGTCTCTTATGGTTGGTTCGAACCATTCGAGGGCGTCTCCTCGGAGGAATCCTGTAATGCAAAGAATTTTGTCGGATGGCGTGATGATTTTGTCGCGATAAAATCGTAGATAAGCCTTGCATTGGGTGAGGAATCCTTGGACGTTTCCATCCTTGCCGTTATATGCCTAGGGCGTTGGCATCTTGTATCCATTACTTCCATGCGCGATTGCTAGCGTTATAGTAAGTGGGATACTGGCGATTTGCTCCGTAAGCTGTTCGTTGTCGCCCTTGACTTCGGCATAGGCTGCTTGAAGCTGGGTGTTCTGGACTTAGAGAGCTCTTAGCTGCTCCTAGAGGGCTCGTATCATCGTTAATACGTCAGCTCCTCCCGTGGGGTTGTTAACAGTGCTTCCGTTACGAGACATCGTGTATTGTTCCTGTATGGAGTATTACTTAGTACTTTTCGCGGATAACGTACCTGAATAAGAGTGATTAAAATGTGACGATTATACTATCGGGTTATATAACCACAAATAATATAATGTAAGGGGTTTATGTTAACAGGGTATGCTAGCCGTAAAGAGAAGACTATAGAGATAAACCTTTATAATATACTAAGTAAAGAGATTTACAAGTGTAATCGTCAAAGCGTGAGCTTTACTTATAAGTAAGATAGATGCTTAGATTGATCACTAAAGTAATGACTGTCTATGTAGAGTAGGAAACCCAATCCTTATTATATCCATTCATTCCTTTACTGATGTTGTTGGCTCACTTCTGGCTCACTGTTGGCTCACTGCCGAGTTGGTGATCCAGGAGTGATCCTTTGTTCGTGCTCACCTTTGGCTCACTGATCCAAAGGTGATCCTGTCACGTGACCCTTCCTTGTCAGGCCAGCCGTCAGGCGCCCTACCGGCTGTACATATGTAGGGCCCCTGGCCTGCCTTCCGGCCAGGTTCGTAACAATTAATTAAAGGATTACGGGCTTAACCGTGATTAATATACCTTTATTAATCACTAATAAGTAGAACTATCTTAATAAAAAAATAAATAAATATAATAAGGATTAGATTTCCTACTTTATATAAACAGTCATTACTTTAGTGATTAATCTAAGCATTTATCTTACTTATAAGTAAAGCTTACGCTTTAACGATTACACTTATAAATCTCTTTACTTAATATATTCTAAAGGTCTATCTTTATAATCTTCTCTTTACGGCTAACATACCTTGTTAGTATAAACCCCCTTATATTATATTATTTATAGTTATATAACCCGATAGTATAATCGTTATAAATAGCTTTTAATACGTTATTAGATTAAATATTATATTATTAAAAGTAGGCTTTAATACGGCTTTAGATAACCGTATACTAATAACGCTTATATATAAATAACTTATAATTTAGTAATATAAAGAATAATTCCATTTTAAAGATAAAGAAACACTATATAATAATTTTTATAATTAATATAAAAGACTATTATAATAAAGGTCGAGTATAATACACTAAAAGGAAGAGTATAAGAATATAAAAGAGAATGTCGGTATATAAAAAGTAAGTATATACTTACTAGCCTAGTCACGTAATTATTACTTCTTAAGTTCGGTGATTTACGCGCTCGTCGCCTTAGTGTACGGAGTGCTCTCCGTATATTATGGACATTTATAGTTATTTATATTACCACATTTTTCAATTAATTAATAAATTATAAGTTATAATATTATTCCGGCCTAGTTAGTTTGCTAGCCTATACATTTCTAGCGAGGAACATTTACATTTTTACCTTAACTTTTCTTATTAAAATATCTCTATAGTTATAAGTCTAATCCGGAATTTGACAACTGATTTGAGATTATAATAGTTAGATTACCCATTTATCAAAATTATAGCTTGTTACGATAACAGGAACATTGGTTTCCTAGTAAATCCGTATACTTATCCTTTGAAAATCCGCATACCCCTGGTCAATCCTTAGCGCTGGTTTTCTGTCACTAAATTTAAATCCGCAAAGGGTATGCGGCGCAATGCATACTTGTAAGGTGCGATGAGACCTGCCTGGAGGAGGGTGATTAAAGCCAGCGCAAGGAAAAAGGCCGGCCTGTTGTTAACATCTGAAGAAATACCCGAGGAGGCTCCATCCGGAGGCGGGTGTGGCTCTAGGGGTGGTAGGAAAGGCGTTTATTCATCCTCGTCGGGTTCTCGGCCAGGTGTCATGGTTGCAAGTTTGTGCTGCACGGTACAAGCATGTGGTGGAAAGTCCTGGGGAGAGGGAGGTTAATGAAGTGCGTGACAGCGTTTACGCCGCAGGGAGCGCAAATTACCTCTCGGTACGTACTCAACTATGTACGCAGTTTTGTCTACCATGTCCCAACTAACCAATGGGTTATTTCCCATGTATCCGCGATTATGGGGACGCATCGCGTGCGGCTGCAAGGCACATTAATACGGACTAACTTGGTTAGCTCGTGAGTTGTAGCTAGCATGAGTTGGTCTCCACTCCTCGCAGCGGCGCAATCCTGGCCATGGATTAGGCAGGTGCTCTATAGGCGGGCTGACCGTCAGTCAGTCTGGCCTGGTCTCCCTACCGAAGATAACCAAAAGGAAAAGAGGGCCAACACTCGATGGGGGAGCGGGTGAGAACAAAATAAAATCAAAGACACACCCATCCATTCACGAAATCTAATCATTTACGCAATCCTGATACGTCACTCTTGGTATCCGCCATGTCATGCGACCGGGCTTTTGGCCCTCGTGTTGCTTCAAGCTGCCGTGCATTTGATTTTACACTCTATTTCGAAGACGCAGTCTTTGCCGTTCTCCCAACAGCAGCACTATTACTTTTCTTGCCTTTGTCGTTGGTCTTGTCATCAAGAAATCCAAAGGTGGTGAAGAGGTCCAAACTGCTCGCAGTGAAGCTAGTAGGTCCCGGGTTCGCCCCCCGAGTCTGTATACGGTCTGACCAGCTGTAGGTAACATATCTGTGTCTGTTGGCATGTCAAGCAGTCTTCCTCGCCTTGCGGCGGGTGGATCCTGGCCTGCGGACCCAAGCGTCTCTTGCGGCAGACGTGATTGGTACCGCTGGTGCAATCGGAGTTGCTCTGCTGTCATGGTTTGACCACCAGCGCTCCATCCGGCCCTCGAGCCTTCTTGCCATGTACCTCATGATTGCAACGATTCTTGGTGTCGCTAGGCTCAGAACGCTCTGGTCCATCCCGGGAGCCACGGGAGCAGCCATTGTATTTTCCTTGGTGCTCGGCCTGACATTGACGGCATTGGTTCTGGAGTCCACAAGCAAGGACCAGGCCCTGCGCTCGCCCCGGGAGTACTCGGGCGTCGGATCGGAACCGTTTAGTGGCCTGTGGGCACGCATCGCATACTTCTGGTTGCTAGGCACTGTTCGACAAGGATACCACAAAATACTCTCTGTTGATGACTTGCCAGGCATGGACCCTCAGCTCAGGAGTGGCGTGCTGCATAGTAAACTAGAGCGAGAATGGTCTGCATGTAAGATTGCCCTCCGCTCCAAAGTCGAGCCGCAGAACTGATACGGTGTAGGTGATCAAGCGAGAAAGTATAGCCTCATCGTGTCTTGCTTCCGTGCCTATTCGACCGCACTCTTCTCGGCTGTCCTCCCTAGATTGTGTCTCACCGGCTTCACTTTTGCCCAGCCGTTTATGATCAACACTCTGACGGACTGGATACAAAAAACAGATGCGCCAGAAAGCTCAGGGAAAGGGATGATTGGTGCCTATGCCCTTGTATACCTAGGCCTAGCGGTAAGCGCCAAACCTGCAAATTCAAGATAGCAATAGGGCCCGGTCGCATACTATCAGTCTCTCTCTCTTTTTTTTCTTCTTTTCTTCTTTTTCTCGTCCGTCGCTAACCTCAGACTTCGCAGTCAGCTACAGCTTTCTATTGGTATCAAACTTTTCGCTTCATTACACGTGTTCGCGCCGGCTTGATCTCATTAGTGTATCAACAGACAGTACAGGCCAGAGCTATTGACTTGGGCGACACCACCGGGCTGACGTTAATGGGAACTGACGTGGACCGCATTGTACTGGCATTCCGCTCCCTCCATGAAGTCTGGGCATCACTTCTGGAGATGTTCCTGGCCATATATCTGCTCGAACGCCAACTAGGGGTTCCGTGTGTCATGCCCGGCGTACTTACACTAGGTAGGTGGGCTGTGCATATATTTGGTCCGTGATCGTACGTAACTAACTTTACCTTGAGCCTTCACTTTGACCACGTTTAAGCTATCTTCCATAGGCAAGACCTCGCAGAAGCGGTGGATCGAGAGAGTGGAGAAGCGACTGAGCGTCATATCCAGCATGCTCGGCGATATCAAGGCGGTGAAAATGCTGGGGCTCACTGACAAGATGTTTGACATCATCGACCGGCTACAACGAATTGAGATTGAGACATCAATGCGGTTTCGCAAGATTTTCATCGCCCAGGTATTCTTCTGTAGGTGCTGACCTCTCTGACTGCGGAGATGACCTTCTCCCAGGGACTAAATCCACTTGCTAACACCAGATGCAAGCCAACGCACCGGCCGCCCTTGCGCCTATTGTCACCTTTGCCCTTTATGTTGGTATCTCCAATGCCAAAAACGATAATACACTTCTTGCTTCGCGGGCGTTCACGTCGCTTTCGCTCATCTCTCTTCTTACAGCATCTGCACTGACGTTTATTCAGTCAATCCCCTCCATGATTCAATGTTTTGCTTGTTTCGAAAGAATCCAAGAATACTGCCGCCAGCCGATTAGCCCGTTCGCTGCCCAGGAACATTTTCCCACTCACTCTAAGTTATCCTGCGAGAAGAAGCAAATTCAACTGCACCCACTCGAGATGGCCAATGACAGCAAAAGCTCCTCGCCATTGATTTCATTCTCCGATCAGAGCTTCTCTTGGAGCAATGCTGGCCCAGCCATCCTGAAGTGTCTCAACCTCGAAATCCAGCCCAGGAAAATCACCGTGATAGTAGGTCCGACGGGGAGCGGAAAGTCTACGTTACTGCAAAGCATTATTGGAGAAACAATCGCTTTAGGGGGCCAAACTAACCGGAACTTTTCGACAGCGGCCTACTGCTCGCAAACCCCGTGGTTGACAAATGGCACAATACGTGATAACATCATCGGCGCGTCTCCCCTAGACGAGGTCTGGTATGCTTCAGTGTTACATGCGTGTGCACTCGAAGATGACATTGCGCGCCTTACTCGGGGAGACCGCACCAAAGTTGGAAGCAATGGCGTCAACCTGAGTGGGGGCCAAAGACAGCGTGTGGTGAGTGGATCCATTGACCGTACACCTCTATGGGTCTTCATGTACCCTACTGACTAAGACAAAGTCTATGGCCCGAGCTGTATACTCCAGATGCAGACTAGTCTTGCTTGATGATACCTTTAGTGGTCTAGACTCACACACGGTGGAGCTGACTGCCGGTCGTCTCTTCGGCCCGGAGGGCTTATTTGTCCGCAACCAGACCACTGTCATCATCGCTACTCATTCATGTAAGCGGCATGGCAGATATTGGTGCGAAATAGGATGAATAGCTGCTAACAGACAAAGCTGCCGTACTGGCCTTTGCGGATATTGTCGTGGTGCTCGAAAATGGCAGCGTGGTAAAGGCTGGAAAGGCGCAGGCACCGGAACAAGCCGTAAAAGAGGACCTTGCAATTTCCAACATGGATTCTACCAATGAATCCGCCCAGAGTAACGAATCTGGAAGCCTACGCGGTTCTGGGTCGACTCAAGCTGCTCAGGCTGACTCTCCGCTAGGCCAAGACGCTGCTGATATGACTGACCTAAAACGACGACAGGGAGACTGGTCAGTATACAGCTATTACTTCAAAGCCGCAGGGAAGTATGAGTTGGCATTTTTCCTTGCCTTTATGTCATTATGGACTGTCTGCGAACAATTCTCTGGTATGTACTCTCGGCCTACTATGAGTTCGGATCCCGCAACACTAACATGGCCACGACAGCGGTATGGCTCAATTGGTGGTCTGATGCAAACGAGGTGGCCACAAACCGCCGCGATGGGATGTATCTTGGAGTGTATGCCGGCTTGGGCGTCGCTGCTAGTGTCTTTATGGGTGCTGCCTGCTGGTGAGTATCTTCAAATTTCCACGTCCGAGTCATCTAATAATCCTATAGGTTTTTGTTTATCAACATAATAACAAAATCGTCGAGAACCTTCCACCGTGCTCTTCTATTAGCCACGCTACGGCGAGTTCCCCTAGAGTCCGCCTCTCCACCTCGTTCTAATTATTTTCAGCGCACCCTTGTACTTCTTCTACGAAACGGATCTTGGGTCCATTACAAATCGGTACGTACAATCGATGTGGTAGGGAATATGGCTCAACAACGGAGCGATGTTAATTTCTTTGTGATCTTAGCTTCAGCCAAGATATGGAGCTCATCGGCCTGGATTTCCCCCTTATCGCCGTGAATTACGTTTCCGGTATGGTTGACTTCGATTCCAATGCTGAGTATTCGAAATACTGACAATCAATGCCAGCCGCATGTAACTGCATCGCGCAGGTTCTCATTCTTGGTATTTTTACGAAATATCTCGCTGTCACCGTCCCATTCGTCCTGGCTCTCGTGGTTATCATACAGCGATTCTACCTACGTACCTCCAGACAGGTGCGTCTGTTGGATATCGAGGCCAAAGCGCCGGTATATCTGCACTTCATCGAGACAGCCAGCGGAACTGCTACCATACGAGCGTTTGGCTGGCAACATTATTTCCGACGAACGCTTGAGGTCGCCCTGGACCGATCCCAGCGCCCGGTGTACCTACTCTTCAGCGTTCAGCGATGGCTCGCACTGGTCCTCGACCTCGTGGTCTCGGTCCTCGTGATTATCTTGGTCTCGATCGTGGTGACATGGAAGAGTTCCTTCGACTCGGGCGCCGTGGGATTGTCACTTGTCATTGTTATGATGTTCAACAAGACTCTAATGTCAGTGGTCCAGTACTGGACGAGTCTCGAGACATCCGTAGGCGCAGTTGCACGTATCAAGCAGTACGTCGAACTGACAAAATCCGAAGACCGGAGCGACCGCATCCCACAAACCATTCCTCAGAACTGGCCGTCGTCTGGGGCTATCAAGTTCTCGAATTTGGTGGCGTCTCATGCGTAAGCTCCTCCTCCGTTCAATCGTAAATGTTTATCTAATTCCCTGTACTAGGCCCGATGGTCTTCCCGTACTCAAGGATATCTCCCTGGATGTAAAGGCGGGGGACCGGGTCGCCATCTGCGGACGATCCGGCGGCGGTAAGACCTCGCTCGTACTGAGCGTGCTCCAGATGACCAGCATACAGCGCGGGTCAGTTGAGATTGACGGCATCGAAATCTCATCCCTAGCGCCAGTCGAGCTTCGCCAATGCATCAATGTAGTCCCACAAGACCCCGTTCTCATGCCTGGCTCCGTTCGGTTCAACCTGGACCCATACGGTAGCGCCTCGGAGGATGAAATCATCAAGGCTTTGGGAGAGCTTCGACTATGGAGCCGCATCGAGGCCTTGGGCGGGCTTGAGTCAGAGCTCGACAATGCTTCCTGGTCTGCAGGCGAAAGGCAACTGCTGTGCTTAGCGAGAGCCATGGTGCGAAAGAGCCGGTTGCTGCTGCTCGATGAAGCGACCAGCAGGTCTGTCCACGTCACTTATGCTCTATTCCTTTATCAAGTCCTTATCTTACTAACTTTATCTATACTACAGCGTTGACCCACAGACTGAGGTCCTCATGCAGGATGTGATCGCCACCGGGTTCCCCAATTGCACGGTCCTCTCGGTAATGCATAGACTGAACACCATCAGGCGGTTTGACAAGGTGATAGTACTTCACGAAGGTGAAATTGTGGAGTATGATGAACCGAACACGCTACTCGCCAAGGAGTCGAGGTTGCTTGAGATGTATAAGGCCGGAGGCTACCAATGACTGGCGTAGTCAGGTAGGCAGGGCGCCAACTTCACTCGGGTTTTACTAGATCTCTTTTCTTTCCTTACATGAAATACCGTACCAGCTCTTAGGTCCCACAGGTAAACTGGTATATCTCACATGTAATTCCATTCTAATCATTCATTTAGAGATAAGGCATCTTAATGCTATTCTTACCGGGTGCTCTCTGACACACTTTTCTCGACTGGTTATCCCACCTGACCCAGCGAAACCGTCCTGGATGGATTAGCATGCCAACATAACCCATAGAGATACCCCAAAAGACTTGGATACAAGGTCTTCCAGTGAAATAGAACCTCCTCTACTAGACGATTGAGTCATTACTATCACATGTGAATGTGCAGCTACCGCATATGTGGCATTCTTCTGGATGACCACAGATGGCACATATAATAATGGATGGTGAGTGGCATCTCTCGGAGTGTTCAAGCCAATCCAGCGTGTCGCGTAGAAGGATGTCTGTGCAGAGTCGACATTAATGGGGCCAGTCAGACACACAACCCTGCACGTGGCGTTTTATATAAGTGACAAGTTTGGATTCGATATTGGATATCGAGGGACAGAGACACAGGCTTGTGCTCCCGCTTCGGATTTCTAATTTGGTGCATTGGCTTTCCCGTGGTTCCTTTAAACATGGGAGCTCTATTCGTGGTGGCAATTTACCGTGGCTTGACACTCAGGACAGGAGAAGGGCTGGCTGAGAGTTGTCTCTTTCGTAAAGACCACTTCGTTTCTCGAAAGTTTTGTTGCGGATCAGGAAGCGGGAGTACCCTTTTTCTGTGCATCATTTAGTTAGGCCAAGATACCCGATATAAACCTCCTTGGATGCGCCTTAAATTCTGTGACATACTGTTGTCACCCGATCGATCAACCTTTTTGAAGACCCCATATCGATCATTAGCCAAATGGAGGCCACACGCATTATCGACAACGTCCAGTATGGCGCCCCGATTGAGACAACTTGGTCTTTCCATATGACCATGTCTCACATCATTTGCACGGTGTATGCCTCACCATTCACCTTCTATGGTGTACTTGCCCGTAATCCTGATCGTATAGACCGAGGTTAGACCAATGATGAACTATTGTAGGTCTACGATAATAGTGAAAGAGTGTCTGTCTAGCAAGAAACCTGTTAGCGTCCCGTTACGGCTAGCGACATAATGGACTACGAGATAGAAGACATAGTCGGCTATCACGAGTATGAAAACGGACGCCTGTTTTATGCGGTAAAAAGGACCGGGCGCGATTATCCCACCTAGGAGCCCGAAGAGGATCTAGTGGCTCATAATGTGTTGCTTCTCCGCTATTAGACTATAATGTTGCGCTAGAATTAGCACCACTTGTCGACGAAGCTTTAGATTACAATAATATCTGCCAAGCAGGAAACGGGTGCTAAGGTTATAGATGTAGGCATGTATTATTACCGCGGACTCGTCGGAATAGGATAATAACTCAGTTTTTACTCTATTTATTAGAGATATTCGTTATTTATATATATATAATAAGTAGTATATAAATATAAATAAAGTAACATTATTTTTAACGCGATTATTTTTTATAATTATAATATATATCTTGTTAACTAAACAACTTTTTACTCTGCTTTATATATTCGCTTTTTAATCTTTATATAAAAGCTCTTTATTATTATTAAGAAGTATAATCTTTATAATTAACGATATCTTTTACTCGAAAACCTAGCTTTTATCGAGAATAAAACCTTATTATTATACGCGCTTTTCCTCCCGTAATTATTAATCGTTATTTAGAATTAAATTATTATTATTTACGACTTACTTAATATAAATAAATAAGTATATTTATCTAAGACTAGAGCCGTATAATACGCGTAAAACGGGTGGTTATTATTAAATACGCCGTAGGACTCTAAGTCCCTCGGTACCTCTCCGGATTAAACCGTACGGTAAACCTTGCCTTAAGGGCTGGACAAAACCCGTACGCTTCGTGTGCTCTACGCTCTAATAGCGTTTACGTTATAGTGTCTATAATGCGACGTTGGTTCTCACCTAACCAACGTAACTACCCCTGAAAAGACTAGCTATCCCCTATATAGGATAGTCTCCCCGTTTGTAATAGCCACCGAACTAGAACCTTCGACACGTTCGGAATTAACGTAGCCGCGGCGAGGTCGCGGCGTGTATCCAGTCTTACCGGAGCTATAGAGCTCCTTAGGCGTGCTTAAGCCTCTTCTAATAGCCCGCAATAGAGGAATACGTATACGACTATTTCAGGGGCTTCGCCGTAACGGTAAAGGGGTGTATACGCTCCGAACGCGTCTATTCTAAATAAGAAGGCTGCGAGTCCAATCCGTTCAGACTAGATTTGGAAGATTATCGTGGCTTCTTTCCTCTTAAACTTCTCGTACTGTTTTAGACCGGTTCTAGGGGCTTTATCGGCTAATGCTCTGCGTTGGCGGTCATCTTGCGAGGCGTTATCGCTTTGTCTACGCTTTTGGCAGTGTCTAGAGAGAGCTTGTCGTAGATCTGGTCCTTCGGCCCATCTTAGTGCTCGTTCGTACTTCTCGATCGGGTATGCTACTAGGCGTAAAGGAAGCGGTAACGGCTTTCTTCGCCTAACTGGCTTCGCTTCTCGTAATATATGCGCCGCCTTTGCGCAAGCGGTGCGTAATAGCTTGTCGGTCTTTTTCTTACGAATCCGTAGTTCGAACTTCGTTGCTTGAGCACTTAGATAAATGTCTAACGGCGGGATCGCTAATTCAGCTTCTAGTATCCGCGTTAGTGTAGCCTTATATACGCCGCAAATAGCGCGTAGGCACTCGTTTTAGGAGCTCGCTAATGCTTTGACCGGGCCTACGGGTCTCTCGCTAATAGTGTGCCACGTAGCCGCTCCGTATACAAGGGCTGTTCGTATCACTACTGTATATAGTAGCCTTGCTCGTAAGAAGTCTATTCCCCACGCCATTCGTACAAGCTTCGTAAGGGCTAGCTTTTGTATAACGAACTTCGATTTTACTCTCTCTATATAAGCGTGCCAATTCAGTTTCCTATCGAACCAGACGCCAAGGAACCGTGCTAACACAACCGGCGTTATAGCTGCGTTTCCGAGGCGAACTCCTATCGTTAACGGGTCTCTGGCTCTTGTAAAGTGTATAAGCTCGCACTTTTCTGGCGCGAAGTCCATGCCGTGCCTGGTTGCCCATGCCTTGCACATACAGGTGGTTAATATAAAGATTAACGACTTTAAAAATCTTGTTTAATTACGTTATCTTTATATTATACGCTTCTTTAAGTTATATTATAATTTAAGGTTAACTAATATAATCTTCGAATATATTAATTTAAACTTTCTCGATATTTATTTATTAAGCTTAAAGGCGGAATTACTAGTACAGTTACTTAAGTTAACACCTTTAATAATAAAGAAATAAGAAATAAGATCTTATTAATATATTTATTAATTATCTTTTAAATGCTTTTAATAATTACGTATTCATTCTCGTTATTAATAAATACTCGTATTTTAATTATACGTTTATCTATATTCGGACTTATTAAATGGAGCGGCTTCGATGGCCAGTACAACAGTTAGGAGAAGCAAGACGATACAAGTGCCGACCTGATCGAAGTGTTCGAGGCGAGCTACCAAGGTAATGATATCGCCATCAAGCGAGTGCTTAAAAAGCGGACGCGGGGCGGCAGGTGTGTGCCTTTACATGCATTTGCCAAGTCACAATAAGTCCATCCCGAGGTGACACATTAGTTCCGTAACGATAATAGACTTACAAGTGCACAACCTCTAGATAGCAACTTCATATATATAGCTGTTTCCTATTAGCCGACATGCAGGATACAGATAGGGATCTGCACGCGCGGGCAGCCGTGCTCAAGTTACGAAGGATCAGGATTCTTGAATTTTAAGCGGCATAACCCGCGCGCCTTCTCTGATAAGGTTTCTATATGAATCTTCCTCCTAATCGCTTGTCCCTTCTAGCCGGGCGACGAATGTTCCATGCTGCTTCGCCAGTTTTGATGCTAAAAACTGCCAAACCACTCCGAAAAGTTGATCGGGCAGCCGGTAACCGCGAAGCGCCCTTGCAACTCATATCCAAAGACATTTAAGCCCTGATAACTGCCTATTCCTAGATCTGGAGTGTCGAATGATTGAACAACAATTGATAGATGCTGCCATATCAGCGGCTAAATGGCGCGATAAGCAAGATCAATACTATAGCAGTAAAGTAAAAGCAGCATCCCAGTTGACCTCGAAAACTGCTTTTTCTGACACCGAAACCGGCATATAGTGCTCTTAGTCCGCTGAGGCGGAAGCAAAACACAAGACAGCATATTTATCACAGGTCGCCCTATCAGCTCTTCGTCTCTCCGGCACTCCCCAATAGATACAGAGCAAGGAATGCCTTGTCTATATACATCAAGGCTACAATTTGCGAGAGTAATTCCTGGTATAGCTTCAAGATACTTCGGTTACGCTGTTATAGTTTTTAGTTTTAAGATACCGAATGTTCGGCCTGTAGAAAATACACGCCATTGCTCTCATTAAATATATACACTTTCACTAAGTGCCCCCATTAACGCTGCCATGCTCTCGTGTCCAATATGTATTGACCTCCTTATCATTGTGTCAAATCGTATATTTGTGCTCATCTTCCTCCAAACGTAATTCTATGGTAAAGCTATCCGCACAGGGCCGCACCTAAACAGAGAGCCATAACAGACCAGCCAATACGCATCGTCTCAGCTTTTCGTTGTTCTAGGGTTTCCTCTTCTCAATGCACCACTTCTTTTGCCGTAATTTCCACGTGACAGTCTCTTGAGAGTTTCCCATGCCGATCTGAAACTTCTCCAAACGAACACTAACATTGTTCCAGGATCGCTTTTATTTCTTGACGCTACGTGGCTACTTGCGTTGTTCGACTCTTGAGTCCGTACCCACATCATCACCAAATGCCTGGCTGGCCCTTCTCTTAGCACGCTAAGGTGCACTTTCCGAACATTTTTTCGTCTCGACAGTGAGATGGCTCCATCGCAAAGCCCGATAACCAAGAGAGTCTTCCTCACATATCCACTCCCGGCGGGTTTTTCCACCTCGGTGGTTTTTCCCCGCCGGCGGACGTAAAAACACATGCTTTCACCTTCGACAATTCGACGGGCATCGAACGGCTACTAGGACGATTGTCCAGACCGGGGGTCTGCGGACTCATGGGTCGGATAGCAATGGACGGGGGTGTCTTCCCGCGGAATCGAGCTTGGATACTAACTAAAATCATCTGGCAGCGACCAGAGTAATACCGCAATAGCGTGGATTGGCACGTGAGCGGCTTTGACATATACATAGTTACACAGACTCCTCCAACCCTACGATATATAGCTCTGGGAGGCGTGGTGTGCCCTAATAAGGGACGTCCCCCACGTTAAATAACAAACAAACAAAGCGCATAATTACAATATGGCTAAATCGCAAGGTACCGAGTAAATCGCAGGCTCATCCAAAACCACGAGCTCTATTACGCAAAGTGGAAATTTTGCACGAGCGGGTCAGGGTGATGCGCGTCGCTCGCGGTCAAATATCCACGAGGGTAAGGAACACGTCTGCACTTCACTCGATCCCGCATGCATCACTCCCGTAAGCGGCCTTACTATACCGCGAAAACATCGCCCTGACCTCACCCATTAGCTAAGTTTATCAGTCTAACGGGAGCCTAAAGCTAATAACCCGTCCTGGACGAGTTTGAAAAAGGCGCCAGGAGCTTGAGCGAGGCGCTAGTGCTTACGACTATAACTTAACCTAGTACCAACTAATTAATTACATTAAATCCCGTTTAACCTCAACTCTTTTTTTAGTGAAATTAAATCAATCTCGTTAAATCATTTTTATAGAAAATTGTGGAATGGCTTCTCTATTCATTTCATTCCGTACAGTTTGGGCGACAAATAGATCTATTCAGCGCTGTCATACGAAAGGAAGAAGGGATTCTTCCCGTCGTACGCGATCTACAGATAGGGGTTTGGCCTAAACGGCTGCAAGCTGCCGACAGCCACGGTGTGGCTGTAGTGGCTTGCCGTTAGTACGCCGGTAACTAGCTAGACTATATAGTCGTGCGAGACCGCGGATGACCATATTCCAACAAAGATAAATGATATTTTATAATTAAGATTAAATAATATTTTAATGGTTTATCACAGTTTAAACGAAGTGTAAAAGGCAAAAGCCTATGTAAAGGGGTATATAGCTGACGTAAAGAAGCACGAAAAGAGAATAAAAAGCTCTCCTACGAGCTCTATCGAAATACAATGAAATCTGGGCCCAAAGCACCCATGCCCCGGGCGACCTGTATAACAATGCCTGAGGTTGCCATGTGCACTCCACTCCCGTTACATTTATGATATGATCTGTACTCTTTCGCAGCAGTGGTAACTTGCAGACCGATGAGGGCAGGCGTGGAGCTAGAGGTGGTTTACTGACAAATAGATAAACTGGCTAAATAGAACTTCTCACAGCCCCGGATAAACCTAATAAACTATGCTTTTTACACAATACTTCTGATCCCTTATCTTTACCTGTTACGCATTAAAGCCCCGACGAGTAAACCAATTCCCTTCCGGGCCCAAATCCCTTAAGTTAAGGCATCTAAGTTAAAATCCTCTTTCACTATCAGTCTCAACATTGACCTTAAGCACTTCATAATGGCATCCAAATACAAATGGTAACATCATATGACTATTTTCTTTCCAACGAAACCAGAGACTAATTAGGCATGTAGGCTTAACGGAAACCACGAAGAGCAGTCTCTCATAACTGACAACAGCGATAACTGTTCAGTCCTCCAGCAGAGTCATCGAAACAACAATACTTACAGTCTCGAAAATGCTTCAAGCCGTCACTTTCCACTTTAAAGACTTCATATTAATTGCATTTGCAATTTTGGGTTTCATTAGCCTTCTCCAACCCTTGACGAACATCCAGGCACAAGTCCAATTAAAGGGAGCCGCGACAGACAAATACCAGATCGAGGCTACATTTGTATCCTGCGATTGTGGAAACTCTACAGCCGAAGCAGTGGCATTGGGCTGCAAGTATGACTCACTGGCCGCTGCTTGGCTTCCTAAGCATTGTCGGATGACGAGTTGACAGATAAGTTCGAGCATTCTGGGCCAGGCGTTAATGGAAAGTGGACGTATTGGGCCGACAGAGCGCATACCAAAGAGATTAGCATCGATAAGGTTGCGCAAATTAGAGACCATCCGGAGCTACGGTTTTTTACGACGGGCCATTAGCATGTTATTCACTGTCTTTTTTACTGGAGAAAGGAACATAGGGCACGGTTTAATGGGAAGGTCGTTGAACCGCGGTGGGACAATGAAAAGCACATCAAGCACTGCGGTAGCATTTTCATGGACCCAGGTACTAACACGATGGCCGGGGTGCCATTGAACACTAATATGGAATAATAAAGGAGGATTCTCTGGATTTGCAACACTTTACGTATACTTGTCATCTAGTACATGATATATTTTGAATTACGGGTGGTTTATCGTAGCTCTTCATGAATACTTATAAATATGAAAAAAAATTTCGGGCAGAACTTGATAATTTTACCACTTGAACGTGGATCTCACGTTGTTCTGGTCTGTACTCAGCATCCTTTGCCTTAGCATTTACAACTTCTACAGTTGACAATTTTACGGCGTGAGCTAAGCTGTGGCAACAGTGTCCCCGAAGCAAAGCAGCGGATGTTTTTTTCACTCTCTTTTTGACCCACTAGCAGAGGAACGGTTCCCCACAGTCTGTCCTCGCTACAGGCTAGACGAGTTCAAAGCAGCGGCTACGGAACACAACTTATCTCAGTGGCAATACTAACGGAGCCAAGCCGGGGCCAAGCCGGATAGGAGTATGCCAATACTTGTTAACCACTGGAACACGTTACTATAGTCTAAAATGGGTTAGGAAGTTAAGGATGATATGCTTTGAACTTTTAAAGTTTCACCGTCACGCGTCGGAAACCACGGCACTGCAAATGCATGTTTGTCTCCAAAATATGATATGATATCTGTCCGTTAGACTGCAGCCTAATTGACATTCCGAGACGTAGTCAGATCAGTGATACCATTGGTTAGAGTGACTCCGGTATCATCAGATCATCAGGTGTGCTGATGATGACGTTTAGTGTGTTCCTCCTGGACTAAGCTCGCTTATGTATTCCTATATGAAAAGGATGACCAACACCGCAGAGTGCAAGTGTATCGCCGACTAAATCGGGGTCTATATTTTCGACTAGGTATAGCCGCCGAGATCATACTCGAATCTCACCTTTAATCTTAGCCGCCTGGCGGTTACCCACTCGTGATATGTTTGGTCATGCGGGGTAGTTAGGAAAAACGTCGGCGTACAACTGCTTGGCATATCACCCGTGCTAGGATATAGTGGGTAATGTAGATCCTCTGATTGTTATCTTGCACACCCCCTGAGGTATACCTCATTTGAAAACACACAGGCTTGTAAAGCATGGTATGAGCACACTTGTGGTAGACCCAAGTCTTAACGATTAGAGGACGTAATTGGCCGTCTGAGCTGGAAGTAATTCTAGGCCGCGACCTTCATATTTCAATCTCAATCCAGGGATTCACCAAGCGCCCATCGCTATCATACTTGGGTTCATAGCAAGTCCATTACATATTCATTCCAACGATATACCTCAGCGATCAAGATGGTTTGTTGCTAAATACTCTTCAATAGAATGAATTATTGACCGTCTGACATAGACGTAGTATACACGGACAAAATCATCTCTGTTTCTCATACCTCTGAGCATATTGTTGTTCAGTCTTCCGAAAGTATGGCAGGTGATTCCGGACAAAGTCGACATTTCCATCATGCTCGATTCACTAGCAACATATGTCACCACCCCGGTAGCTGGTGTCTACGAATGTAAATACGAGCACACTTTTGAGATTCTGTCGATTGATCCTCTGATCCTATATATCAACAACTTTCTGAAAGAGGACGAGGTGCAACACCTACTCGACTTGAAGTATAATGTTATTCGTAACTACAGTTCAGCTTCACATTGAACTAATGTCAATTGCAGGGACGCGTATTTTGAGCCCTCCTAGGTCTACAATGAAAAGACATTCGAATCTGGAATCGACACGCGTTTCCGCACTTCCCAATCCGCCATAGTCGAACGTGACGACGTAGTCAGCATCTGTTTGTCGCAACGACTGAAGTCACTCCTGGGAAATGTACAGCATATCGAAACCGAGCCGATTCAAATACTAAAATATGCACCTAGCGAAAGGTTTAATATTCATATGGACTGGTTCGGCGAGCCCCGCAACTACACATTCGCCCCAAATGTGACCTACAGACCATGGAATCGCCTAGTCAGCATATTCGCCTATCTTGATGACTCTTGTACTGGGGGTGAGACATACTTTCCTGATGTACAAGGTATCTCCGCCGTCGCGGATGGCGACAAGTTCTCCAGGACGGATACAGGCACCGGCTTGTTAGTTAGGCCAAAGCGAAGGAATGCAGTCCTTTGGAACAATCTGTTAAATAATGGGAGTGGTGATTCACGGGTAGCTCATGTCGGTTTGCCAGTCCATAGTGGTAGAAAAGTGGGCATCAATTTGTTCAGCCATTACTCCTTAGATGCACCAATGTTGGGAGGGGATGAGGAAGCAGAAGCTAACGGGAGTGTGTAACGCGTAATTGACTTCTTTACACTGTCAAACTACTTACTAGATGCCTGTAAGTCAGTGCTGCTTTGTGACCTTGAACCGTGTCAAAGGTAAATGAATAAAGGTGTTTTAAAGAGCTTTGATGGCATGAAATATAAGTACGTTGAGCCCTAGTGAATTTGCACTTAGGCATACCTGTATTTCACGATTCTGGAGTAAATGGTATGAAGGTATATTCGATGTTGGTAAATGCACAGCTAAATAAATTCATGATTCTTATTCAAGGGTGCACAATCAGGGAAGACACGAGATATATTTGCGTATGATCAACCTACAAACTCCTTTGTTTATTTGCTTCATTATTTTACACCCTTAAGCATTTGAAGGAAAGCTGGATCCACTGGTCATATGCTTGGCTCAGTCTTCGCGTCGTCCGAGTTCAAGGCCACCGCTGCAGTCGCCTTTCTCTTGAAAGCACGTTTATTCAGGAGGACTGTCATGCAGTGAACAATATGACGCTCACTGTTAAAACGAGGCTCCATCACCACGCCGTTGAACTGCGCACGATACTGCTTCCTCCAATAAAAGAGATAGTGATTGAGATGCCATTCCCTAGTTGAGTACAATAAGAAATCTGGATCATCAGCTATCAGCGACAGGTTCTCTAGAGAAATCTTTTTGGTGTAGTTTGAGTCCTCCCAGTTGGTCCGTGGCCACTCCTCTCAAACTCGGCCGTGAGCTCGATGTCACGGCAGTACTGAGGCAACCATGCCGTGGCAAGCGAGTCGTACACACAGCCCATCGACCGTGCCTCGGCCACCGAGTTACCGTAGTTGCAGCTTCTAGAAGTTGTTATCACCGCGCTCTGCTCTTGTTGAAATGGAGCAGTGGTTCCCGTAGAAAAGGCATAGTGTAGAGTTGCCACAATGCCTGGGATAGCGAAGCCAAGTAACAATGTATCTTTCAAGAGGATCCAAGGATGGCTCTTCCAGACGTCCCTCAAGTCCCTCAACCATGAGAAAGGCAGTTTCTCGAAGTACGCATACTTGGGGGCTGTGACATCGCTCCCCTGGCTTGAATCGGACGAGAGCCTAGTCCTTGATGAATTTCTGAATAGCTTTAGTAGTGATTGAGTTACTCACTTTCTATAAGACCACATATTCCCGAAACCGCTTAGTATAATAAAATTATCCGGTAATGGCGTGTGTAGGGAGAGTGGGTGTAGGCGCGATGGGATGTGTCTAATTTCCAATAACAGTTTACCAAATATAAAATACGGAAAGTCAAAAGGCCGTCTAATATCCACGCTCAATGAGGCAAACTAAAACTATGGCATGAAAGTCGATAGACAGATGGAAATAATGATCGCGGGAGTCGCAAACTCCCTGAAAACACCGTCTGGCATAAGTACCTTGGTTACTTCCTACTGCATCCCATATCTCTATACGGAGTAACTAGGGCTTATGCTCATTAATGCATTACCGATTAACGACTCAACTAGTAATGTAGGGGGCGAAATTGTTGTACTGTTCCAAGGCGTAAAAGATGGTACTTCCTAGTATATGCGACAAGGATCGTAACGTAATCACATTTCCACCCAATGGAGTATACCTATATCTGGTATCCCTCCAGAATTGGTTATTGTAGGATGCTTCGGATGGTTCGGATGCTTCCGAAAGTTTCGTACTTTTACATGTTTCATTCAGCCTTTTCACAAAACTGCGCATCTCAAAATCAGCATTATCATATGATCACTCAAAAGTCGTAATTATGATATGACCAATGCGTATACTGAAGGATTTCTCAATAGCTAAATGATTGGCCACAAAAACTTGGCTTCTCCCGTAGTGGCCAAGGAACCAGGCCGAGCGGACCCTGTAGGCTGATACCGTGATTGCGCATTGGGGTCAACGCGGTTCGCAGTGCATACCCATCTTGCGTGTACGAAGGCTAATTCATAACCATGTACGTGCATAGACTGCTTAAGAAACGTGCCGATTACAAAGTACTGCTCAGATCTTGGCCGTGATTTTTGAATCCTAAGTTACACATGGAGAGATCCTGGTTGCATGTGGACCTAATCACAACATGTGCTGACAAACTACTAGAATCCAAGTCGGTAAAGGAACTGTTGATCCAGGGAGGTACGATATGGCCGAATAGGGCTCGATTCCAGGTCCTCTGTGTTTACATGACCAACCTCTAAAAAGCAAAGTTGCAAGTTATTGACTATCCGGGTAGATTGCTTCAATTCTGCTTCTCAAATTAGATCATAACCCTTCTCTAATTTTCTGAATCATGTTAGGCTTCGGTGCACTTCGGACTTCTTTCATCGTTGCAATGCTCCTCTCTATGCTGGCCCTTGCTGGGCTCTCCATGGGCTCTGTGCAGTATTGCCACAATAAAAGTCCCCAAGCTCCTGTCTACTTCTGCACCGCTGTTAGTAGCTGGGTCAACCCATCAACATCCTCTGTTGAATGGTGGGTTACTTTTGGTGTTCAAAGACTTGGACCAGAGGGTTGGTACGCCATAGGGCTTGGAAGCGGAATGTACGGGGCCTTGATGTTCATCGTATACGTAAAGTAACCGTCAACTGATGGTGCTTATCTCCCCACATGTCAATTATACCCACCAACTGACTTCATACGCAGACATTGTTCTGAGTGTTAGGCGTGAAATGTCAGTAGTCCCATAGTCCCAGACTTACTTCCAAGTTTTTAAACTGATAATTCCAAGGGGTTATTTTGAACCACAAGTATCTCCAGCACTACCCACGGTTGAGACTCTGGACATGTCTCTGAACCAGAGTGGGTGGCTAGAGGTCAACTTTATGTGTTCTAGCTGCAATCAATGGGCCACAAAAGATCTTCAATCATCGATGCAGCCGCGGGTTTGGGCTACCGACCCGAATCAGCGCTTCAAGGATCTTTCCGAGGAATCTACGATCAGGAAACACGGATACTATGGATACTTTAACTTGGTTATGTCAGAAGACCTAATCAATTCCGAGACGCCCACCACACCGTTGATAGATCCGAGCATCCATAACCAGCACGACAGCCAGACGGAGAGCCCAGTCCCTTCTTCAAGCTTGTTTGCTTTCCATGGTGCCTTGCTTGCTGTATCCAGGATGGTCATATACCCAAGTGGAGTGATTGCGATTCGCAGACAATCCCAAACATCATTTTCAACTCACCTCTATTTCCAGGTTCTAGCAACTATCGGCTGTCCTTGTAGGTTACATATTGGCTATCCATGGTATTATCCGGACTAACAGGGTATGGTCTCTGAGTTCATTACACGAGGATTAAAACTAAGTTCTCTTTTGATTAGATTGCTGTCTTGAGTAGCCAACACGGCCTATTCGGTGTCTTCATCCTAATATTGATAACTTCACAACTGCTACTCGGATACACTCACCACAGTGGTTTCAAGGCCGGAATCGAAAGGCGTATAACTACAACCGGCCACATCTGGATTGGACGGTTCTTGATTTTGGCTGGATGTATAAACACTGTCTTGTAAGTTCCCCCTATGGCTCAAATCAATGATATAGATCAGCGCTGACACACAAAGGGGACTCCTAATGGCAAGCGCATCTGCTACTCTCTTGATCTTTGCGTCAACAGTTATTCTTATTGATTTGGCTGTGTTGACTTTCTTCGGATGTCCCAAAGTCAAAATACACAACGTAACTTGGAGCGAGTTGGAGGAGCGTCCATTTCTTGAAATGGGCGATGTAGAACCCACGAGCTAATCGAATGTGGCATTTCAGCCAGTTTTTTGTTATACATCCGTAGATTGTTGAGTCACACGGCGCAATAGTGCCATGGGAATGCACAGGTTTGCTCGTTCGTGAGCACAATTCAGAGTAACTCCAGACACATCAACCCCCCCCCTCTCTCTCCATGGTTGTGATAAAATCAAAAGTTTCAACTTCGCAGTAGCAGTTCCGAAGACATACGTCATAGATTTTGGTATTAATACAAATCGAAAATTAAAGCACACTAACTACGGTGTACACATATAGGTATCATGAGATGATATTTGCTCACATGACAGAATACAACGATGCACAATCAGTAGATAGACATCATCATAACCCGTCTATTGCTATCAAGAACTTATCAAATCTCTGCCTCAAGGAATCCCACAAATGATTCCGCCATGTTCCACGCTGTGAACCTCTGATCTGCTCGGTTATACATGCCATCGTGCGCCCGCAAACTATATTGATCCAGCCTACATTGGAGGGTAGTCCCAAGATTCGTAGGCGTTCATCTCATCCAAAAGCTTCGCGAGCTCTGGGTCGCTTTTCGCAGGAATAGGCTCATCTTCCCAGCCTGTTTCATCCACGAAATCTTGCTTGAACTGCGTTTGAGCATCACGATTTTCGAGAGAAAGTACACAGTATTGACCCGATAGCAAAGCCATCACCGCCAGGTAGAGTCTCATATTGCCCCTCGCTAAGAAAAATGTGTATCTATTGGCTAGAAAGTATTGTCAGTACAAGTCCCCAACGTTAGGGCTGCCGCTGTACCAACTTGTATGGGAGTATAATTAAGGCTTTTAGAAACCGGCTGGCGCTTAATACGGGCTCGGTTCTCTGCAAAAGATTTCAAGCAGTTGATGGTTTACTGAATCGTTGATTCAACCTTCACAGACCACACTTGGCTGGAAAATATTCGTCTTAGGACGGAATGGAAACAAAGAAAGATTCCCATGTGTAGACCGTGGGAGAGCGCTCCATAGTGCTCGCTTATCCAAATAGTAAGAGGGTGTGAACATGGAGTGTCTAGTAGCTCATCGTAGCCTTCGGGGGCGACTCACCAGGCCTTTCTTGGCGGTCTCCACTGGTTACTCCTTCCGGTGATGTAATGCGCAGCCCTTGCCTACTTCGACGGCCTAATTGGATCCAAATTTCTTACCTATTAGGATAGGCTTATGATATGATATAACAGTCCAAAGCCAAGATGTTCCAACTACCTGTGATCATCACATGATATGATAGCCCGAAGCTAACATATCCAAGCTGCAGGGGTTCATGACATGATATGATAATTCAGATCCAACGCATTCCAGCCGCAGGTATTCGAGCTATCATACTTGGCGCATGAATTATTGAGATAGTTAGCCTTGGTTCTCTTGGAACACTGGAAGGAATACGTGGTATCATGAACATCTCTGATTTTACTTCCATTTTCATGTAGAACCCCAAATGCTCCTCCAGGGTTATATTGTGCCGCCGGGCTGCTTCAGAGTCGACCAATAAACTTTTTCACGTATTGCGACTCATTTAATGGAGGGTGTGGAATTAGAATACCTTGCTTAGAAGTGTTGAGAATGCAGTCGTAGCTCTGGGATATGGCAGGCAGTATAGTGCTGATCCAGACGCCATCCATATCTATCATGACTTGTATGGCAAGAAGCATTATATAAAGAGTCCACAACCAAGTCATCATATACTACCAATCCAACAGTTTCTTCAATTAAGAATTCGTTATCACATTTCAGTCACCAGATCTCTCAATTTTCCAACCCCTTTTCCACCATCAAAATGCAAGTCAGCAAATTCTTTGGGCTCGTTCTTTTGGCTGGGGCCGCCCATGCACTAGCCAGCCCCAAGATCGTCAAGATGCGTGATATTCAGCAGAATGGTCTGGATGAACGCGGAACCCCTACTCGTAAATAATCGACTCCCTTTTCTATGTCGCAAGAAAACTAAACATTGATCACAGCCCCCAATACGCCCATTAGACTCCTTGACGAGGAGCTTGAGGTCGATGAATAGAGGCTTTGCCCTACCAACCTAACAAAGACGGTTCTTGATTATAGACAAGAGGCAGATGGGAGAAGATCAAGTTTCTCGAGTAGTGAATAGGCGGGAAGACAGAAAACACTAGAAAATGTGCGTTGCTTTTTTATCAATCTCATGTTGAAAATTTGATGTATGTGTCTGTGGGAGTAAATACTACGTATACAAGTCGTGCCACCATTATTGAGTCTTGGAAGACTGAATTGTGACAATTGATATGCACGCACTTGGGCATCAAGCCTATGGCCCGGAAAATGTTCAATATCGCGTAACAAGATCTAGCTTGATGATTAGTTAGTGGTCGACAATGTCTATCAAGCAATGCAAATTTTCTCTGATCGTGCCTTCATGTCATAGAATTGATGAAGCATAGTCGAGTCTATTCCTCTGAAAGGAAGAATGTCGTTCAAGGTCACTTTGTAGTCCTATCATTCTCCGCAGTTATATCCATCGACAGTATCCTCCCTAATGAGATGTAAATGTCACTATGTAAAGGTTGATGCCGATTATGCTTCTCTCAGCAACCTATGTATAGGGTCGAACTGAAGTTATGGCGTGCGGTCGGGGTAGTAACTTAAATCGACCCGAGGGGCGTCGTTATCAAAGCACTCCAATTGGATCTGTAATAGGACTCGCATAGTCCTTAGAAACAAATGTCCGGGCCTCTCCCTTGGGTGGAGGTCTTGATTTCATAGATCATAAAGGACAATGATTGGCGTGGAGCCGCCATTACATTTAACCGCCACGCTCGAGCGAATCGGAAAGCATCCTCCCGCAAGCAGCTGATACAGTGTATCATATGACCACCTTGAGTCTCTTGCATGCACGTATACCAGTGTGGATACGATGTTCGGTCGTTTTCAGGAGTTTGTATGTACCTCACCCTTGGCAAGTATTTGTTTCTTATGACGGCGCATATTGCTCATACACCACCAAGGTACTAGCTAGGAAGGGTAATTTCCCTCGTGGGATGCACTTGCGCTAGCCTGTGTATTCAGTTAGAGACGGTTCAGGAGGTGAGCTCTTCCCCGGAACAGGCGGGATAGACAAATCTTGGCACGCATTGCGTTATGTGGTAGGAGTTACCGAAGCATTGCGGAGAAGATCCTACAAGGCAGATTCAGGTCATAGTTACGAACAAATGACAGCAGCCTTGATCCTTCCCAGGGGGTGGTCAAGGGTATTGTAAAATGATCAGCAGACGTGTGTGACTGCAGGGTGGGTGACCCAGCATGAATGTTGCCACGGAAATCTGAGTTCGGAACCGATGTGGTTTCAATACCCGACATGAGGTACCTAGAAACTGGTTGCCGAAGGAAACCCAAGTGCATAAGTTTTGCGTACCCAGCGACTTTTATGGTGAAGTTATTCTAGGCGGCCTAGACACTATTACTCACGATAGTAACAGCGAAAGAGGAACACTGAGCAATCAGGCACTTTTACCGCTACTTTTTATGTGGTAAGAAATATCGTCTACAGCCTTTACCACTTCAAATCGTAGCATTGTTACTAAGGCTAACCTAATGTATGATAGGACCACTGTATTAGACAGAAAAGAAGGGAACGTCAAGACGTACACACGGCCTTGCCCACCATGGCACTGCCATACACAACCCTTTCTCACTTAGAAGAGCTTCTCCGGCAGGCATGTACCAACGCAAGTCGTCTTCGATCAGGAGTAGCTCTAGTCTTACCAGATAACATTGCTTGTTACTCAACCTCCTTCACATTGTGGGTCGACTTGGTCCAAGCCAAGTCAGGGATCAACATCCAACAAGCTGCCCAGGCTTGTGCGAAAACTGTGACGGGGGACAGCGACCATACTGTTCACGCCTAGGTTTTTCATCTTGAACAAGATCACGAAGATCAAGAAGCATATAAGGAAAGCTTTGTTCTAGTAGCTGCGAGAAAGTCGGTATTCACGGGCGAGGTTGAGGCCGATGAGAAACTCACCTTCAACCGCGCACCGTGGAACACCTGGTTCAAGGGCTTCAGGTATGAGCGACTGGCCTCAGCAGGCGAAGAGAAAAGTTCCAGGCATGAGAAGCTCTGGGGCCTTCCAAAGGTGTATTGGGCCACTGGTGTCCTCTTGGTCATGATAGCCGCCACTCTCCTCATCACAACTTTCGATAAGTCTGCGACCAAATGGCCCTTTGATGGTTACGTCCGATATCCATCGTCTGGCAGCGAGGGTCCTAGGCGCCAACTGCGCATTCTGTACCACAACGCTACAGAATGGTCACGTAACAATCCCCATGATCATGGCGAGTGGAAGATTCGGATAGATGATCAATCACTGATACCTATCGAGGCGTGGGATGAAGATGAAGACCGGTACCAGCAGTGGTTCCACGACCGGTATGATGTCATGCGTGAAGTCGTTGAGAACAAAAGCTATATACGTCCCAGCTGGCTTGGGTCTATGGAAATTGCAGTGCCTTGGGACGACGAGTTTCAATTGGCACACTGCATCGTTGCTATGAGACGATACTGGAAAGCCAAGGAGACTGTAGGCATGTGTACCCGCGCGATATTGCGCCTCCTCATATCGAACATTGTCTCAACTGGCTAGAAGGGGTCGCCTTCTCACCTAACCCCGGATTGCCGGATATTGGACTGGATATGGCTTGGCAAACCAAGGTCTGTTTCTGAGGAACAATTGTCACTTTAATTTAAGGATGTTATCGATAGGTACCGGAGTAAATAATGTGGAATATTTAAACCGAAATTCTCCCAGTCAGTACCCAAAGTCATAAGACTTAAGTAACGAGAAGCGTCAACTTCCGAGCGCCCCACCTGAGAATAACATATGTACATCATACATCGCCTTCGCCGGCCTGAATGAAATGGTCTGTGACTTCAAGCGCATTATTTACTGCATCGGTAACCCGGCCTTAATTACTGCCCAGAGCTTAGTCATCATGGAGTCTAAAATACCTCCTGGTCCTATCACACTGCGTGGAGCGGTGTTTACGTGAAACTGTCTTCTTCTAGAGTATCAGGATACAGTGTCGCCGGCGATCATGCTTCTGTCTATTCTATGCCAATTGTGGCTTGTATTGTACGGCAATAGCAAATGGATAAACTTGGCTAGCTCCTTCTTGGCAAGAATTGTTCACCAATATAGGTAGGCATGTCCTGCCATGCCCGCAGTGGTGGGCTGATAGCTAGCGTGGAACTTGCCTGCAGATTTGGCTGAGTACCTGTGGGCAATAATGGTACCATGCTTCTCAAACGCATTTGTACCCGTAGCAATGCGACGTTCCATTTTATTGGCGAGGCAAAGTTACCGGCAACTATCTGCCTACGTATGTACTACGGTTACATCTCCGGCGCTACTGCTAGCGCATCGATGGCTATAAAGGTTCGGATATCACCCACCTCAATTCCATCAAAGCCCTCACGTTTTTCTAGGTTTACAGGCCGCGACCAAAGTATCAGCTCTTTCCACCAAGTTTGTCATATCTGAGCCCGTTCGCAACTATGACTCATCCTACGCCATCACAGGCCCTTCTCATGATCATTCCGGGCAATAAAATTGTTCCGACAATGGAGAAAATCGTAGCAGAGATCCGTGAGGTTCGTGAACGTGTGGCACGAACCATTCAGCCGTCAGAAGCTTGCTTCCAGAACGTCATTAATCCGCTTATCAATATCGAGAATAAAACGCAAGGCAAGGTTGGAGTCATCGCAATGTTACGCTACGCATCACCTGATAAGCATTCTCGGGAAGCATCTGACGAGGCTTGCAAGCTCTGGGTGGAGTGTGAAGGAGAGTTCACCTCAAGGAGAGATCTCTATCTTCTCGTAAAAGCGGTTATGGACAAGTCCGAGCCACTTGCTCCAGAATCAGCCAAGTACCTGGATAGACTACTCAGGGTTTTCAAGCAGTATGGTCATGGAGTGCTTAGTGCCGAGCAGATAGTGCACTACTCGGAAACGAAAAACCATATCGATGATTTGCGGCGCGAATATAACGCGAACATCCGAAATGAAGATGGTAAGCAGCGATTCTTACTTGAGGAGTTGGAGGGAGTGCTTCCCCGTGACCTTGATCTTTTTTCCAAAGGTACCGAGGATGGGGACAGCGTGATATATGTTCCATTCGGGAGAGATGATGTCGACGCCTTGTTGGAGCATGCATCCAATCCTACAACTCGGAAGAAGATTTACGTCGCCAACGCACATAAGCTTCCACAGAACGTGGAACTATTAAGAGAAATTATTATAAAGAGGGATGAGAATGCACGCTTGCTCGGTTACGGCAGTCATGCTTCACTCAGGATTGAAAACCGTGCTGCCGAATCTCCTGGCTGGGTGATCAACTTACTGGACGAGCTTGAAAAAGCAATCTTGCCCCAAGGACAGCAAGAAATGAACCAGTTGCTAGAGCTAAGGATAAAGGACTCGGCCCAAAATTACCAACTCCCTGAAAATCAGCCCCGTCAAATGCCACCATGGGACTTTTGGTACTATGCCCGGATGGCAGAAGAAAATCTCCAAGTAAACCACGCCAAGATTTCTGAGTACTTCCCAATGCGAAACACTGTTTCCGCTATGCTAGAAATATTTGCGTCGTGTTTACAACTGCGGTTTACCCCACTTCCACCAGCGTCCTTGGAAGACTGTGTTTGGCATGAAGATGTTGAGGTGTGGAGCGTCTGGGACAACAGGGAGACTTCGAGAGATGAATTCGTTGGATACCTCTATGCAGACTTACTGTCGAGGCCTAACAAGTATCGGGGCTCGCAGAATGTGAATCTTCAATGTGTATGTCCTTTATATTCCCCTAAAGACCCTGTATACGGGCGAAGCTAACTCCAAACACCACGGATATAGGGCTATTTGAAGGACGATGGTAGTAGGGTGTACCCTGCAACAATCCTTATGTGCAGTTTTCCCCGTCCAACGAGTGCTGGCAGCGTTTTGCTTAAGCATCATGAGATTGTCTCCCTTTTCCACGGTAAGAAATGTGAACCTGTCCTTTGATCTAATTATTCACCAGGTACACTACTTACATGAATTGAGCAGAACTCGGACACGGAATCCACGACCTTATCTCCAGGACATCATACATCAAATTTCATGGCCACAGTGTGGTCCGTGAATTTGAAGAGGCATTGGGCGTCATGCTAGAGAACTGGTGCTGGATAAAGCAAGAATTGAGGAGCATGAGCCGCCATTATACCACGATGGATCCCAGCGTTCTAGAAACATGGAAAGCCGAACATCCGGGAGCACCCATTCCACCAAAGCAAATTCCGGATGACATTCTGGACAGCCTTATCGAAAGTCGCAACACATATCGGGCTCTGTGGTTTCTACGTCAGCTGTAAGTTAATCCACTACAACAAACGGAGTGCATCTTACTAAGTGGGTTCTCTATGCAGCGCTTTTTCCCGCTTCGACATGGCCCTCCATCATCTTAGCAGCCACGAGGAGGCTTTAGCCTTGGATCTGGCAGATATTTACCACAATTTGGTAAAGCGACTATCCTTACTGGAGACTCCAGACACCCAAGATCGCGGATATCCATTCGCTAGCATTGGGCATTTGATGGCTGGATATGACGCGGGGTACTATTCTTATATCAGGTAAGTTTTGGCTTTTGCGAGCATCACTATGGTACTAACCATTACATACTAATCCTTACTTAACTTGTGAAGTGCCCATGTATTTGCTGCGGATCTCTTCGAGAGCGCCTTTGCAGAAGACCCACGCAGCGAGGCTGCTTGGGCTAAGTTTCGTGGTGGAATCCTCGAGCCTGGAGCAAGCCGCGACGAGCTACAGATATTGAAAGAATTTCTAGGCCATCCTCCGAGCGCGGAAGCCTTCCTCCGTAATTTCACGAAACCCTGAATAGGCAAAAGAAACCAGGCCGTCGCGGAGTATATAAGGTGATGGACGGACAGAGGATTTAAGATAGATTCCTTTGGTTCCCTACTTTTGCTATTCTTGTTGTCTTTGGTGTCTGATCCTTCTGTATAGACTGCTCGTCAGTATTGGCTCGACTCATTTTCTACTGACAATTATCGACTGGACGAGTCCTATCGCATTATTGCACTATCGCAAACACCAGTCGACAAGTCGGCATGTTCGTGAGGCCTTCAGGAGGCTACAGGCTAGGCCACCCAGGATCTGGGCTCTTTCAATGGGACCAGGCTTCAGCGATGGTCTTCTGTAAACTGTTTTGATAGTACTTAAGATTTATATCAATTTTTGCTAAGCACCCTAATTTCTGTAGACCACCTGGCAACCCTGGTTCTTGGTTTGCCTTTTCTTCGTAAGTATAAACGGTCCTGTGTGTTCTTCATGTTTGTAATGCCCATCATACCATTAGCATTCGCCTAATTATGACCCCGATCTTGCCTTGTTATTCTGAGACTTTATCATGTCAGCACCCTTTGAATCAGATTAGCGAGAGACCTGAGCAATCAATCTTGACTTATCAAGAACACGATAAGGAGGAATGATCAACCTTTTCAGCCAAAGCATACACTATAGACTGCAGATCTGCATTAGCTATGAGTGGAATGATGCTTGAATCAATAACGCGAAGGTTTCGAACCCCGTACAACTTCAGATCAACGTCGACAACCCCACCGTACTCGCGAGGCAGCATGGCTGCTGTGCCGCAAGGATGGAAACTAGTATTGACCATACTTTTGACCAGATTCTCTAGGACTATCTAGTTCTCGAATATGATGCTCGTATCAGGTGCAGGGTGTAAACTCCTCATAGCTAAGGTCCGAACGAGATTTCGGTTCCACCGCAAACCCATCACTAGAGCATCCCGAACGAACTAGTACGCACCATACCGTGGATCGATCTCAACCCCGTCGAGAATCTCAGACGATTTTGGTCGGAAATAACCCCGGGTGAACGGACGCTGCTATGCAACTTGGAGAATGCCAGTTAAATCTGCCATAATCTCGACGACACCCTCCCCTAATGTATTTAACGAGCGCAGAATTAATGCATTTTGGGCCTCATAGCCTCTACGTAGTTCTTTAGTATAGTTAGATGGAAGATACGAACTAGCATTAGCAAAGGACAGATTAGCAAGAACAGACGGCCATGTTTCTATAAGACAGTCCATTAGCAGGTTGCAGATTAATTCTATCAGAGTTGCTATAAGAGGTCCAGTTCTGTTATCATAATATGCCTCTTTCGCAAGCTATAAGGACTGTTCTGCGAGGTTTCTAGTGGTAAATAGCTTGGTGTTCTTGTCTTTGAAGTAAGGACAATTAGATGATTAGCGGTGAGAGGGCTATGGTTCGGCCAGGGACATACATTCGTACAACGACTACGTCATGGCATGATCCTGCAGATTGTTCCTAACATCTGGTAGATCAACCACTGGTGAAATTTCTACATCTTTGATGGTGGAGAAAGGTCGATGCCCGAGACTTGAAAGAGTGCTGGGCTCCAGATCGCACCTGTAGCTACGATTACTTCTTGACGAGCAGTGAAACTACTATTATGATATCTATCCGCCGCATAAGTAAACTAGAATTTGTCTTACTTGTTGGTCATCTCGTAGATTAAGGAGATAGGTGCGTCGTCAAGGATAGCTGGCAGAGGATCAACCTTTACTCCCTTAACAATTATATTTGAGTTGTTAACTTGATCGTTAAAGATCAAGCGTGTCACTATTTCCGTCGCAAGATGTAGGTTGTTTCTATGTATTGCGCTGCTCAAGTAGGCCGTTGTAGCATCGCAGCGCGATTGATTTGTAAGTAAAAGACTAAATGGGGGGACAGTAATTCCAGCATTAGTTCCCGATGACAGGTTATTAATGTACTCGATGCCTAGCTCTTTGTTTCCATTGATAAAGTTATCTATGGGAATGATTAGCGGCAGATCTCAGCATATATACACGTTGGCTCTGACTAAATTGGGAATAGAAATAGTTGGGGTACGAAAGCTGCACAAAACCATGGGAGCCGTATGTAGAGTCATTTTGACCGACAGAAACGTTCAAGCGTCTAGAACTGCCTAGGTTGCTGGTGAAGGATTCAACCTGTCGTGCTTAATGTGAGCTGGTTTGCCCTTTGGTAAAAATCGGGACTCGAACCTTTTCAAAATAAGGGACCATGTCATCCCAACCCCAACCATTGTTCCCCAAATCTTGCCATGCGTCGTAATCTGTGCGGGTACCACGAGTCCAGATCATGCCGTTGAGGATCGTACCGCCTCCTACAGTATGTCCTTGGCTCATAATTCTGGACCGACCGTCGAGGTAACCTTGAGCTACTGTGGTAATATTCCAATCGTACCACGATCCCAGAATTCTTTGGATAAAGATCAAAGCTAGCATGGCTTTAATGGTTGCAGTTACGTGGCTTATTTTCTTCTCAACTTACGGCCTGGCTTTCTGGGAAGGAAGCAGCTTTCTTGTCCAGGATGTGCTCCGGCTTTCCAAATTGCTCATCATCACAATTTCTGCTATGATGGGTGCATCTTTATTTGGTAATGTAATGCCCAATTTACAGGCTCTCATAACAGCCATTGCAGCTTCCGCCAAAATCTCCTACACCATCGACCGTGTTTCGCCTCTCGATCCAACCAGCGAGGAGTGCGATAAGTTAAACCATGTGGATGGCAGCATTCGCATGGAGAATATCAAACATATATATCCGTCACGACCCGAGAATGTTGTATTCAAGGAAATCAACCTTCTTATTCTTGCTGGCAAACCCACTGCTCTCGTCGGCGGGTCGGGCTCTGGAAAGAGCACTATTGTGGACCTAATCGAGCGTTTTTACATTCCCGTGGAAGGTATAATCTATCTCGACGGTCACGATATCAGCAGCTCAACCTAAGGTGGTTGCGCCCGCAAATATGTCTGGTCAGTTAAGAGCCAAGTCTCTTTGGAACCACTATTTACCACAACATCCGCTACGGCTTGATTGGCACTAAATTTGAGGTTGATAGTGAGGAAAGGCAACGAAAGATCATTATTGAGGCGGCCAGAAGCAACGTACTGCCATTGCCCGGGCCATCGTATCTGACCCAAAGAGTCAGCACACCCCCCATTCAAGAATTCCATGATACGACCGATTCTAATGGCCTACAGTTCTTCTCCCTGACGAAGCCACGTCGGCACTAGACACCAAATCCGAGACTATCGTGCAAGCTGCATTAGAAACTGCATCTGCCGGTAGTACCATAATTACCATTGCTCATTACCTGTCCACCATCAAGAATTCCCACAATATCATCATCTTATCCCAGGGTCGTGTGATTGAGCAAGGAACTCATGATGTATTGCTTAAGAAGGAGGGGCTTATTGCAAGTTAGTTTCTACACTGGAAATTGGCACAACCGAAGCTATGGCACCTGGAATAGAGATTGAGCACTGCGAGCAGGGTATATTCCTACCCACAACAACTGAGAAGACCACCACGCAAATGGCTTCTGAGGCTCTAAAGTCCACAGAAGATAAGCACATATAACGTCTGGAACTTGATATCGTTCGTCACCTCATTGAATAAACGTGAGTGGAAGCTGATGCTGGCTGGACTCATATTCTCAGTTGTATGCGGCGGTGGTATTTCTACTATGGCAGGTGAGAATTATCTTCCTCTCTCCTTCTCCATCTGATCAGCTACTTACATAGACATGACTATACGTAGTCTTTTACGCCAAGCAAGTCGTCACTCTGTCTCAACCTATGACCAGTTCCAATCGACAACAAATCAAAAAGGACTCCGATTCTGTAGTGCAATTTTCTTGGTGTTGGCAATTGTCCAGTTCGTCTCCTTTGGTTTGCAGGGTACTGCATTTGCTGTGTGTTCTGAACGCCTGGTTCACCGCGTCCGGGCTAGCGCTTTTAGATTAATGCTCAGACAAGATACTTCCTTTTTTGACAAAGATGAGAATAGTACAGGAGCTTTGACTTCGTTTTTATCAACTGAAACAACCCGCGTGGCTGGCCTAAGCGGCGTCACTCTCGGAACTTTACTCATGAAGATGATGACTCTCCTTTTTTCCATTATGATGTCTATTGCTGTCGGATGGAAGCTGTCCCTGGTATGCATGTCAGCCATTCTAGTTCTTCTAGGCTGTGGTCTCCTCCGTGTCTGGATGCTAGATCATTACATCGGCGTCCCAAGATCACTTACACAGCGTCTGCTACATTCGGTGTTTGGAGTTCTAAGCTCGGTTTTGCACCCGTCTTTCAGATAAACGACTCTGAATTGTTAATAATAGTATATCAAAGCACGAAACATATGAATCAAGGTGTCATACTCGCAACGATTGAATCGTTCGGATGGAAGGCATAGCCACAAGCGCCGCACATCGAGTGGACGTGAACATAGAACGATGACTTCTCTGTCATATTTATGTCGCGATCGAACGTGTGACTTTTGGTTGCCAGGAGCTTAATGGGTAGATCTAATCGGGTGCATACTGTTATGCTGATTGCCAATCTCAAAAATCCTAAGCGACGTAGTAAATGCGAGTTACGTTAACAATTCCAGCGACTTGCAGGCACCAAATAATCTCCCCACTATTTACGAGCAGTGAGTACAGCACGTGGTTTTGCAGGCATATGCCAAGCATCGGTTTGCTTATTTAATGCCCGCAAATCTCTCAGCAACCAGTCCTTATGCTATTGAACTGGGCATCCAGGTTGGCCTCAAACACCACTCTAAGAGCCACAGGTAAAAATCCGATCATTGATTGCATAAGCACGAAAACGTGTATATAGTAACCGAACGCATTGCATTACTTGACGTACGTGAAGAAACGTGGCGTGACGTGTCTAAGAAAGCTACGCGAAAACAAAGAATATCATATAATGGCCATGATCAGGCCACAAAAGAAGAGACGGGTACCTCGGCTGATTTCATTATGCCGTGAAAGAATATGCACAATATGACTATAGAGGTACACTACGTATCCCTAGAATAGATTGATTGGTTGATTGATTGTATTTAACGTAGGGACCGTCCCTATTAGGGCAAACCACGCCTCCCAGAGCCATACATCGCAGGGTTGTAGAGGTGTCAGTGTATGTATACACATATCAGAGCCGCTCACGTGCCAATCCACGCTATTGCGGTATCATGCTGGCGCTGCCAGATGATTTTAGTCAGTATCCAAGCTCGATTCCGTCGGAAAACATCCCCGTCCATTGCTATCCGACCGATTAGTCCGCAGTCCTCCGGTTTGAATATCGTCCCAGTAGTCGTTCGATATCCGTCGAATTGGTAAAGGTGAAAGTAGGTGATGTTGCTTCCGCCGGCGGGGAAAAACCACTGGGGTGGAAAAACCCGCCAGAATTGGATATGTGAGGAAGACTCTTTGGTCATCGGGCTCTGCGATAGAGCCCATCTCACTGTCGTGTGCCTGTTGACGACTGGCACAAGCCGGGTTAAGGGGACCGTAGCGGGATTCGAACGGAGGAATGTCGGTAACCATATTTTCAATCCCTAAGGCTTTTGTCAAGGCGGTTATAATCGGCATCGTGGTTCTAGGTTTATTAGTTCTGAAAATAAAATGAAAGATACGTTGAGAAGACATGATTATTTAAAAGTGCTACGCAGAGGTATGGATGCAAATAAAATATAAAATCTAACATTATAAATATGATTTTATGCCTAGTCGGATCCTTTTTACTTAGTTTGCCATTATGATATGGCGCCGGCACCGATATCAGCCGAGGTTCAATAATTCTTAGCGAATTTATCGCATAAGTCCCGCTAATCGCGGGTGCTTTATACAAAAGATTCTTTTGCTAATATCGATGCTGCGGTGATAAAAAAAGACTTGAAGTGTTACAAACTCGGAATCAAAACATAGCGGCTTCATGGGCGTGTGAAGGAGAGCTAATGTAGTGACTATCACGACTCCTATTGATCCCATTCGGTCATAGCCTATCTATTTCCTGCCTGTATTTGCTCTTGCATTTGCCCTGTTTGATGCGGATCTCCTCGAAAATCACGTAAGCACCATAGAAAATAATAGACTTCGTGCCAGCTCTATGACCCTTAGCAGAGCGGAACCGAGTTAGCTGAAAGGCCTGAATGTTAGCTGGTGTAGTAGCGGAGCGAAACTGGGCGCAAATACCACGGCAAAACTGCGCCTGTGTAACTCTGGGCTTCCTGAGATACGCGTTGGTCTTCCGCGTATCTCGTCACATGTATCGTATACGGGTACTGAACCATTCTCTCCTCCCGGCAGGAACACGTCGCTAATATCGAAATCTGCACCGTTTATATTTACTACCTGCACCTTCAGGCTGTTGCTTAGGTATCGTATTGTTGGTAATATAATTTATGGCTAAGCGAGACATCATTTATCTATTTATTCAAACCCAGCTTTATTGGCTGCCATTGGTCTGGTTAACCCAACAGAAGTACGTGATTTCGATAACGCGCGGTTCTGGTCATGCCTCTTCCCAGACCTCCAAGCGCAGCTCCGCAGAAAATCGAGAAATTTGAGTGAGAGTGGCAGAGTTGATGATCTGGGTCTCCGTTTTATAGTGAAAGAGTGCAGTGCAACAACATACTCAAAACTTCGCTGGACAGTTCCGGCTGTATTTCGATTCCGCAGGATTCCGAGTCACTTACTTTGTACTTCGACGAGCTCAAGGAAAAAAGGCTCGATTATTTTGAAAAGACTAGCACTTTTGTATCTAAACTTCGCCATTTAGCTAAGTGGTCTCATGCACACCTCCGTGCCTGAATAACTCCCACTGATTAAAGAACACCAAACAGCAGAACTGAAGTACGAATTTCTCGCGCGCGATTCCCGGTTTGAGCTGTCTACGGTCGTATAAGCTTGTAATGCTTGGTGGAACCTAATGTTCATTCTAGCTACCCTACGATCCAATCTTATACTTAAAATAGCTTCCATAATGTCATTGGTTAACATTGATTCAGATGTGTTATCCGCTGCCAACCGTGTATTTGAGCGAAATCATGTCCTTCCCACCTCGACCGCGACCGTAGCCCTTACCTGTCAGTCTAAAGTACTGTTATTGTCCGTAGAAAGACTAATTTTCGAGCTGGGTTGCAGCTTCGTCGCCTTATACAAAAGTCCTTCGCCTTGAGACATGTTCTCAATCTGCAACTCGAAATTCAGTTTCAATCTGTTTAAGACTGAACAATACCCATTTCGTCAAAGAAAAATGAACGAAAGAAAAGAGAAAAGGCTCCTACTCTTTCCATAAAGCACTCATAGCTGGTGGTGATGTTCTTAATGATTCGCCACTAGGTTCTGAGGATTTTCAAGGCTTTGGATAAATCTTCAATCTTCTTCGCAAGTTTCAAACGACGCTTCTTGGCCAATTTCGTTTCGCCGATAATTTGCTCAAGTTGCTCTGGTTCTAGGTTGATGACCCATTCCTGATTGAAAACTTTCAAGGGGCTGGAAGGCCCATGCAGAAGGTGGTGATCAACGGCGAGCTGAAAGACATTGTCGATGAATCGGTCCAGCGCCAGGCCGTAATAAGCACGGAGATTGTCATGGATTTCTTCTTGCAACTGTTCCACATTGCGCTTGCCTTCGGCAGCTTTGGCAATGTCGTCCAAGTTCACCATGTATTGAAGCTCTCCGAACTGCTTGGTGTCTTTTCTAGCCTTTGGGCGAAGTAGTTCAGTAATTCGGTAGCCCCGAGCCCTAGAGAGATCTTCGTTAAACTGTCGATTGAGAGTGTAAGGGTGCTTGCGCTGCTCGACTTCAATCAGTAGGCTCGCCTGGGCCATTGCCATCTTATAGCGCTCGAGTAGGCTCTCGAGGATCGCGGACCACAACTGGTCACGGGCTTTCTCCTCCGAGCAGATGGTACATAGTGCGGCTTTTATGAAACGATGAACAGTGACAATAATTCTGCTCATATATGTCTTGGTTATCTCGCCCCATTTGCGCGATTGCTCTGCAAAGGCCACGGAAACCAAGTTTGTGTTGAATGTCCCGAGATCTAGACCTCTAGAACGCAAATAGACGCCATTTATCCATCCAGTAATATCTTCAGCCGGGAAGGGCAAAGCACTTGGAAGGACAATGATGTCATCGAGTTCAACGAGCTCCTCCAGAGTAAAATCGTTTATTCGTGCCTTTTGGAGTAGCGCTCGTAGAATTTCTATCATCGATTCTACTGGCTCTTCTTCGCAATTGGTGTCATAAGAGGCCTCAGAGTCCTCAGATGTTCCAGACAGTCCGATATTCTCAAAGCGCCGTGAATGGGCAACCTGTTTACAATCTGCATTGAAAACATCTGTGATGTTCACCACGTGAGTGATGAGACGGAGCTCGTCTTGATCAAAGACTGGGTCTGCATTATAGTCGGCTGCTAATGCCGCTCTGGCACGATCTTGGAAAGCCCCAGCAATGTGACTAAGGAAGCTGCGTTGCTCGCGTTCGTCCTGACGAGGCGGTCCAAGGCTGTCTAGTTCTCTTTTGCAATCCCTAATTTGATCGCTGACATCCCGGATCAATTTGGGAAATTCGCGTCGAGTGATTTCCACCAGAAGCGACGCCAGCATCTCCCTGAGGCTTTTGATACCTACTCGATCTTGTGGAAGATCATTCCATGGCTGCTGTCGGAAAATATGATCCAGTTCTGCCTGCTCAACTGTGCCGCTATTTGCTCCACGATTTCGGACAAGAAAGTAGCCAAGAGCGAGCGGCCGTTTCTTGCCCCAAACAAGGTCACATACAGCAGTCTGGGCAGTAGTTTCGAGTACCAAGTCGGGCTTTGTGAGCACGCCAAGCGTGCGCACACCATTTTTATCGTAATCTTCAGCAAGCTCCAAGATCTCTTGGGTCGCAATGTCGACATTGCTCGGGAGCACCGCTAGGATAATAGTGCGACTCTCCTTGATGTAACTTTTAACCAGGTCCCTCACCAAGATCATATCTTCCTTGGTGGTTCCTTGCATGGTGGTGCGGAAGATTCCTGGGACATCAATGATGGTCAAGTAGTCCACGGAAGGCCCATACACCTCGATTTTGAGAATGTCTTCACTGAACACGGTACCGTGTCCGGTCGAGACATCGGCCCGCAGACCCATTCTTTCATTCACCTAATCTTTTTTAAGCTACCATTCGATGAGAGTTATTCAAGAAATACTGACCTTCTTCAAAATGTCTACAAACTGCTCCCGAAATTTTAAACCAGAAGCGACCTGCAAGCGAAATCCCTCAACATGCTTTCTATGCTCGTCTGACGCGTGTGGGCCCGGAATAATACGTATCTCAACGCGATCCTCGCTGTCGCGTCGAAATGTAATCTGTGTCGCATAGCGGGTGCAAAGGCTTTGGTCTTTGGGGAACGGAATTCCACTCAAGCTCTCCAGTAAGGAGGATTTACCAGAGCTTTGGTCTCCAACAACAACAAGCTGTTTCACGCGTAAGCCTATGTGTGATAGTTCAGGATATTGCTCCTCTAATCTTACCTGAGGGAGAGGCACATGTTGACCAATATTCAAGTCGCGGAGCTTGTCGATTTTCTCTAGTAAGACCGGGTTTGACAAGAGAATAGTATCCCAACTAACGCTCATCTTGAACCTGTGTGGATGTGTATATTGTTCAGAGGAGGGATCTGTGAAAATGTGTCTTGGTTGTTAAATGAGATGGGGAGAGCTTGCGGGGTCCTTCTATGCCAGCTTCAAGACGCAATTGCTTCTTTTATAGGCGAGGGTCACATCTGTTTTGTCAAAAAGTTTGATCAATAACCGATTATCAATTGCTGTACAGCGGTATTGAAACTGCATCTTTTTACATGGCGCGGCTCGTAATTGGCTCTTTTTGAGGCTCTCACTGTCCCAACAGAGTATAGCCGTGTTGCTATGTGCATACCCATGCAATCAATTCGTTCATAAGAGCAAGATACTTCACCGAAAATAAAACTACCGATAGTTATTGGCTGGGATGTGAGAGATCGACGATGCCAAACGCATTTTGTGGTGCTTCAGTATCAAACATGAATCAAAGTGCTGTATTCTTGCTCGGTTTTCCGATGCGAGGCTTTCTATCGAACCGTGAGGAAAATGATCCTGTTCTGCTGTTGGCTTGCTGTGAGGTATGCATATGCACACTGCGGCCCCCTCTACACCAATATCTCAAGCCCCTCTCTCATTCGTCAGCATTGAGGCAACTTTAGTACGACTTTACTGGCTACACGCACTGCCAGATTTCTCACTCTCTTATTGGCCAATTTTGAGGCCGCTGTCAACCTTCGCCCCCACGGCCTAGCAGTTCGCCGTAGCGAATGTTACATCACGCCTGGCTGAGCCTCGTCAAACTTGCAAAATGCTGGTATGATGGGCAGTGGATGTCTGCCTAGATATTAGTTAAATCAGCCTCACAATCACGGAGTTGTAACAAGGGGGTTGAATATATAGTTGGTGATCATCCCCTTGAGAAGAATGTCTCAAGTTTCTGAGGCAGCCCATCCTCCCTTGCCTCAAGCTCACATCCTAATATTTCTTAGACAGGCCTGGGCATAGCTATTTTTTGAGATAGTTTAGGACTCATATCTCTTCACTCGACTTTTTCGATAACAGGAGCCGGGTCTCCTGTGGCCCAAACAGGAGACCCACACCACCTGACTCCTGTCAAGCTACGAACCACGTGTTTGTAGACCTCTCTGTCAACACTGCTCCTTCTACCTTTCGGACGGCTACGATCCTTCAGCGCCCTCGTCAGAGAATTTTGAGAATTTCTGTTCAAGTGGGTGTGTGAGCGATGACGCGCGCGAGTCTTGTAGTGCGCGCGAAAGTTACTCAACACCCGCTACTTTCTCATTTCTATCAGAAGACGATAGCGCCGACAGTGTCCATTCGGGATTAGGAGTTTTTTCAAGTGCTCAGGAAGGCAGCTTTTCGGGTTACAACCACTTTCACGTCAACAACCCCCCTCATTCTCCCATACGAGATTCTGCCCACCCTTGGGAGGAAATCCGGACGCAGTCCTATGATTCGACCTCTGTCGAAACACCAGCGAGCTCCGAAACCAGTAGCACTTCTCTTCAAAGTTGTGAAATCTGCAAGGAGAGTTTCGCTGGCAGTAACGGCTTGAAGCGTCATGTCAAATCCACACATAAATTTGATAAGGACTACTGGGCGTGTACTGTCAAGGATTGTTCCAAGTACGATAACCCAGTCTTTAGGAAGGATAATTTCAGGCGTCACTGCAAGACGAAACACCCGCTGGTGCCACTCGAAAAATTTGGTCTGTGAAGATGTATGCATCTGCGTCCTTTTGGTTGCATGCCATCGTAGAAGACCTCAGGATCGGAGGTCTTCGCAATGCCTTGTCATTCCTTAAGAAGAGGTAGATTGTCGGTGCAGATCATTACGCGTACCATACCTCTGAAACATCTAGTCCAAGACTGATGGCTCACGTATTCGCGAGGCGCAACGACTGTATTTCATTAGCAAATCAATTATAGAACACGGCAGTTCCTGATATAAATCACAGACTCCACTGGAGTCATTGTAGTTGATCGACCATTTTTAATGTTTTATTGTTATTGACTGAGAGCCATCGCTATCCTAGCCATCATCCCCTCACACGAAAGTATCACTGGACCTCAAAGACGCTCTCCTCAACGCTGGATATGACAAGGCCTTCTCAGGCTATCAATTACTTTGGCCCGGTCCTTTCGAACAGCCACCTGCAGACGTGATCATCGACAGCGATGCCGACATACACCAACAATAGAAACTTTACTAACCTCCACGAGAGGAACCACTCTTCAAAGCTGTAAGGCTGTGTGAATGCCCCAAATTTCACGTTAAGATAGAAGGCAGTCCGGCCTGGCTGTCTTACACGACAATTCGAATGGTTCGTCCATGTTATAGCATAAGCAATGGGAATTTTCCAATACTAAGTTATATTACATAGTATGGGGGGATGCGACGTTTACAGAACCATGAGGCAGGGATACGGGCTGTAACACAAGGACTGATCTGGCGGAATTATAGTAGGACGCAGAGGAATACTGAGATAGGCAGAAATACTGAGTTGGGCGCAATTCCATTTAAAGTTAGAAACCCTTCTCAGGCAAGAGATTCATCTGAATTCAGCAATTTTGGATCATGCTGATTCCATTAATGGAGTTGAAATTGTATCGGTAGGTTTCGCAGGAAACGGAAGAGTGGAGCCAGCCGGCGTCCGTTTCGCGAGCGGTGGGCAGCGCACCGTTTTCCAGTTTAGGCGAGGCCAGCTTTCCTGGAGTGTCCAACCACGAGTAAGCCATCTACTGTTTTGAAAGGCCACCTCCTAAGGCGTCGTGCTTTGATGTGCACCGGACATTACAGTTCTAGAGACGTCTATCAGATAGACGTAACATCGTTTCGCATCGCGATACCATCGAAACATGCTATTAATCGCTGTCTAAAGCTCGATGCTGTCGGACTTGTCGATACAGCAGGTGTCGACCTAGAAATATCGCAGCCCATGCCGTCGCGCTTGTTTAACACAGAACTTGATCTTTCCGTAGTAGATCTTGTGCTGCAAACTACCTAGCGATTTTGCTAGATCGCTGAAGACGACCTCATCTGCTCCCCATGTATGGGAAAGAATTGCGTAAATAGGTATATCGCCGGAAGGGAGGTCAAGGGTGAGGCTATATCTGCCTGTGTCGTCGCGTTGTAGAAGCTACATCGTAGGCTCTCAGAACCGCAGAGTCGTGTGAACCAGCGTTTCGTTAGCAAAGAAGAGAGCAATTATGGCCGTAAGACCTTGGTTAGGGGGATGAAAGCAGGCATCATTCCGCCGTCGCGACCGACACTAATTAGTCAGTCTGGCATAAGGCTACGGATGCGGGGCATGGTTGCAAGGCTCAGCCGCAATCTTAGGTTATACACAGAATAAAGAGAGCCGGCTGGCGTAGCGGAATTGCTGCAGGTCATAGCGCGTGTTGTGGTTCTCGTACCGTAAGGCGCTTCTAGTTTTGGAACGCCTCTAATAATGTGTGGTTATGTTGTTGATTAGCCCTGGATATTGCGTTTGCAAATTGTCTTGATTTAAGCTTGTAAAGAATCCAAACGTTGAAATTCTCCCCACTATTCACCGTTAGTACTTTGTAGAGGTTAGCGCCAAAGCTGGACCGTCCGTGTCCAGAGAGAGAAAAAGAGAGGAAGGCGATTTTCAATCTCTCTGTGAACTAATTAAGACGTCAGGCACTCTGCCGGCTGTACATATGTGGGGCCTCTGGCTGCTTCCTGGCCAGGTTCGTAACATTAACGAGAATGGCTCGTTATTATTAATTAATACTATTATAATCACCGAACTTATCCTTTCCATTTATTACTTAGTAATTAAACTACGAGTGAATTAATAAGTTTATCGCGAGGCTTATAACTAAAGGATAAAACGGTGGTCTTAGTTTAATACTTATTATTATAATATATGTCTTAATAATAGTTAATAGTTTTATAACTAAGTAACGGAGTTTTAGTCCTAAGCATAATATAATATGTTATAATAATATGTGTTCGGCTTATATCTACTTCTTTCTCTTAGGTATTACCACGACGCCTGCCATTCCATTGTACAAGATATTCACTCCTGCCGTGCCGAGGTACTCTCGAAGCTAATAGCTAGGTGCGACTTGTGATGTCTTCGTTTTGGGCCAACATGACAAAAATTGTGTCCGCGTCCATTTCAATGGGTATCACGTCATACTCTTTAAAGAAACTCATCCGCTCGGAGTGTACTGCATTAAGCATGGCCACATCATCCGTGATCCAAGCTGTGCCAATTACCTGCGAACATACCCAGCCTGGATCATCCCGATAACACCGAACAACAATAGCTTGCCTTATGTCGGGCATCCATACGATCAAATCCTCTTCCTCAGCTAGATAAGATACGATACCCATCCTCCAGTTTGTGCGAGCAGGGTTTCCGTTAGTACGTTTGTAAAGTTGATATACCGAAGGCTCGGTATTTGTTGCGTTGGATCGAATGGCCGTAGTAGGATCTTTGAGTCTGTCTTCGTGATTTCGAAAGTACGAACACAAAGCCTCATTTTCTGGAAATTTGTATCGCCTAGATTTGCTTTGATCGTAATGCATAAGCCATCGGACATTTCCTACGTGATTGAAACATTCCCGACCAATAGACGGATCAAGTATTGCCCTCTGTAGCATCCTGCTCTCCATTTGAGCTTGCTCCACGTCCCAGTGGAAGTTTTCCTGTACCTTCTGATTCCAAGAGTCCACTGTGCTCAATTGGCCAATAATTGCAGTAGTAGTTGCACCAACCTGCACAATTTGGCCTAGCACAACACCGCTCAATTTGAACGTTGGGTAGATATCCGCGTTAGCAGAAACAGAGACATCAGTATGTGCAAGGGCAGGTCGAAGAACTTGCATCAGCGGAGTACAGTCGTCACCAATGACAAGACGCTTCACCATAGCACCGAACTGCATTATCTCTGTACTGTCAACGAGCTTCCGTCCATTCATGAAATGCATGACATCTTTCCAGACCTGGATTCGAGGCTTTTTGTAATCCATGGGGAAGCCATGAGCATCAGCGGCAAGGCCAACAAGACCGTATATCTTGTCTCTCTGCTCGGTACAGATTGCCTCTTGGTGGTCGTAGAGTAATCTTCGAAAAGTTAGAGCACCCTTGTCAGCGTTGCGCCTAAGTCGGTCAAGTCTCAAAGGCCCATCATCCCCGATGTTGTGCATCCTCATCAAGTGGATATACTCGTCCCATTGCATGGGTTGAAAGGCGCCGAAGCAAATGACAAGGCTCTCTGCTTGGCCAACCTCTTGGATGATCCACAATCTCTGCCAATAACCATCTTTACTAAGGGCTTCGACGAACTCCATTTCTTCGGCTCTCTTGTTTGCTTCATCGCCATCCTCTGCGACTGTTTCAACGCTGTCTCCAAGCGTCGTAGATATAACCTCTGCTCTTCGTGCCAATAGATCTGGGGTCAAATATTGGAATTGTAAATACCGTGCGCCCAGCCAAATGACCACCGTGCTAGCTCGAAAGTAAATATGGTGCATAATTCTCAGTTGTCGGTTTCGTTCCATGATGTCTTCCTGATTGATGCACAATGCATCAATCCATATTGGTAGCTTACGTGCTTGCGAGCGCAGGTACCGCAGGGCATCCAGTAGATTTTGTCGTACCAAGACATTACAACCATTCACCATGATTGATGATTGATTGTATTCGTTACCCCACATGTACGACAGTGCTTCATACTTAGGTTTCTCGCAAAACTCAATGTTGTCTAAACGACAAATGATAGGTTCATCCTGGCTTTCCGCTGGCTCAATTGTCAATAGGCGGGTACTGTCGACGTCTGCCTTCAATTCCTGGTACTGAAAGATTTCGGTTTGCTCCACAAATTCCGGCTTGCTTGAGCTTTCCAATCCTGTGCGACGCCGTGACTGATTTGCTGCCATGATCTTCTACAATAAAAGGTTGGCGGAGAATGAAGGATGCATGATTGGAAAGGATCTTAACTAACAGGATGAGAAGAATAAATCAGCCATTTTACAGTAGCGGTCCTCGCGGTTGTGCTGAGAATGCTGGAAATCATGCATTCGGCGTGATTTGAAACATTGAGTTGGGCGCGGCCATTTGAGGCGGCCTCCTGCAGGATTTAAACGCCGGAACGCCTGCGCCAACTACCATCAGTAACCCATGATTGGTTTTCAAATATCTGGATGAATCCCCAAACGAGATGTGTAAAAAGCCAACCTAGCAGCCTAAGCACACCAGGTTCTCCCTTTTGTCCTTGTTCACAAGCTTTCGGAGTAACCGGTAAGCATCACGAGGCATCCATGGGTAGTAGAAGTCGAACAAGCGCTTAGGGAAAGGTTTCAAATGGGCGCCTTTCGCTATAACCAACTGGAGGCCATCAGTTAGTAGCCACAATCGCTTTTGGCATGGGAATTGACCAGCCAGATGTCCGTTTCATCACCCATCAATCTTTGCCATGAAAAGACGGGCTTCGATGTTATCTCTGATGCAAAGTCTCCAGCGAAGCTCAAGGCTACGATTGCGAGTACACGGGGACAGAAGGTGGCGTGAGCACCCTCAAGTGCATTGGTCTACCAGATAGCAAATGTGAAAGACCCAAGCGGGATGTGGTTGGCGGTCAGCGTCCACAGCGTAGTCCATGATCAATTGCCGTTACTAGACGAAATGGCGAGGGGAGAATGGCCCACAGGGGCCCTTCAGGCGCGTGATGGTTGTTTGCTAGGGTTAATCTCATTTAGCGATGAGTCTAGCAGCCACAGTGCAGCGGGTGGCAATAATTTGCTAGGTTAGGCCGTATCGGAGATAAAAGGCAGCATTGATAGGCCTTTTAGTGATCAATCCCCACGTTGACTCGAGGCATGCAAAACCCAATTCCAAATTACTCGAAATCCCCATGTTCTAGTGCTGGCATAACGCGACCCTTTTAGAATCTTGTTCACATATACATTAGACGCCGATTCAGAACAAACGACATTGTCCTTCGCCCACATCGAACCAACCATGAAGGATGTTTGGGCCCAGGAAGAGCTGAATCGGAAATGTCCGGCTTACGATGTGCATGTGCTCTTACCTAAAGTCAGTACCTAGATGATCAGAGTCAGCATAGCTAAATCGCGGGGCACTAATTAAATGCTTTATGAAGCTGATGGTAATATCGTGTCTGGGAATCTATCGTCTATTGTATGTCAACGTGCATCCTCGGTCTCTAGCTCAAGAACTTGGTGCGCCCTCAAGTCCGTATATATTTCTTCGCGACGTCATCAGATACTAGTCCAAGTCTTTCCAACGTGGTGGAATGATCTTTCATTTAGGCCGCGTCCAAAACCAAGCCTCCACAAGTCATCTCTCCAAATTGTCGGCTAAGAAGTCAATCAGCCTTAGAGCAGCAGTGTCCGTCTCCATGTCTAACGGGCTACGTCTTACCCTGCGCACCCCAGTCTCGGAAAGAGACGATCTCCGCAACTTCCAGCTCTGCCGCGAGAATTCTCACCATGTCATCCCACGGCTGGTCCTCAGGTTTGTCAATATGATAGACTGGACATGGCGTATCATTGCGCCGGGTGAGAGATCCACCACGGTGGCCGCAACGTTCTCGACGGGCACCCACTGTCGTTGGCGTGGCCGCAGCTGTGGTTGTTGTCCCTGCCGTCGTTGTGTGAGATACCAGGTTTGACAGAACTGTGCCTTGAGCGGCCAGAGAAGATAAAACATCCTACTCCAATGATCGTTATGGTCCCGCCGAGGATCTCTGTCTGTCTGTGTGAGCTGGTTATAAGTATAATTACCCCGAACAATAGGGACGCCAGTGGTCATAATGGCTTCGGATGCACTAATAATGGATATAGTCCTACTTATAACACGAAATCCAACACAGTAATTATAACTAAGCTAAAGTTTAGATCGGTAAATGTTTAAGGGGTAATTATAATAGTGACGGGATCGTGTTATATTAAACTCGTTAAATAAATTAAACTATCCGTAAAGTCTGTTTCGAGAGAAACTATTACAGTACGTGTGCGTCTAGCGTACCGTTAAGCTAATGAGCCAAAAGTGTGTATCGCGGAGGTTATCCATGATAGCGTAATTACACTATATATGACCGAGGGGCGTCACACCTATACTGTAACACAACGTAACTACCCCTGAAAAGACTAGTTATCCCTTATATAGGATAGTCTTTATAACGACCTAGCCTAGGTGCCAGCCTAGCGCTTAAGCAGCGTACGGAGTACGCCCGTACGTAGTCAGTGTAAAACCCTCGCTTCGTAACTAGCGATGGAGACATTCTATTCTCCCCTCCTTAAGAGTAAGTCTTTGAATATAACTACTGCCCAAAGGAGCTTATCACCTGGTGACTTTACCGTAATTGTTACAGTCTCCCCGTTTATAACAACCATCGGACTAAAATCTTCGCCACTTCCGGGATTAACGTAGCCGCGGCAAGGTCGCGGCGTGTATCTAGCCTTACCAGGGCTATAGAGCTCTTTAGTCGTGCTTAAGCCTCTTCTAATAGCCCGCAATAGAGGAATACGTGTCCGATCGTTTCGGGGGCTTCGCCATAACGACAATGGGGTGTATACGCCCCGAACGCGTCTATTCTAAATAAGAAGGCTGCGAGTCCAATTCGTTTAGATCGGATCTGGAAGATTATCGTGGCTGTTCTCCTCTTAAACTTCTCATACTGCTTTAGGCTAATTCCGGGGGCTTTATCGGCTAGTGTTTACGTTAACGGTTATCTTGCGAAGCGCTAGCACTTTGTACACGCTGCTAGTAATGTCTAAAGAGAGCTAGTCGTAGATTTAGTCCATCGGCCTATCTTAGTACTCGTTCGTACTTCTCGATCGGGTGTGTTGCTAGGCGTAGGGGAGGCGGTAACGGCTTTCTTCGCCTAACCAGCTTCGCCTCTCGTAGTATATACGACGCCTTTGCGCAAGCGGTACGTAGTAGCTTATCGGTCTTTTTCTTGCGAATCCGTAGTTCGAACTTAGCCGCTTAAACACTTAAGTAAATGTCTAGCGGCGGGATCGCTACGCTTTATATTATATTAAGTTACTTATAATCCCGGATATTTTTAATTTTATAAGAACAATAAGTTATAAATGTTAGAATATATTATTCGCGGTCTCGTATAACGGTTAATTACGTAGTATAAGTAGTTACCAGCGTGCTAGTAATAAGCCACTATAGCCACGATGTGGCTATCGGCAGCTAATAGCCGTACGGGTAAACCCTAAACCCCTATCTATAGACCACGTACGAGGGGAAGAATCCCTTCTTCTCTTCGGTATAACAGCGCTAAATAAATCTATTTGTCGCTTATATTATACGGAAAGAATTAAATAAAGAAGCCATTCTATACTAATTAGTGTTTACTTAATTATAAATGCAAATTAACAAGAATAAAGAGACGGCGTTATCTAAGTACGTACCGTAATACATAGCGAAACGTCATGTTAAATCCTATTCGTATAAAAAGAGTAAAAAGGCAACGTTATCTAAGTTCGTATAATAGTACGTAACGAGACGTTGTATTAAATCTTATTCCCGAATAAAAGACGTATACGGTTTTTCTTCTTCGTACGAAGGTGCTAAAGTCTAAAAGAGTCCTACCCCTTCCGTACGAATAAAGAGCTATACTCGCATGTTATTACGCATTAATAATAGGTTTATTATCTCCCGTAAAACGCGTAGCTACTAGTGCGCGCGATACGGGCGATAAACTCGGATTACGACAAGAGTAAAAGACGTATACGGATTCTTCTTCGTACGGAGGTGCTTATATTTATAAGATGTCCTCTCCCATCTATACGAACAAAGATTTATACATGCGTATTATTACTTACGATAACTCCGGTACCGTACCACGACAACAAAATATCCTCTCGTACGAGGAGATAGCGAAGGGGAGCGATATCTCCGTCCACGCTTAGCGAACCGGCATAATATTTGAATTTTAAGAGCGTACGGTCGATATCGAACAGCCCCTCGACCGAGTATACATAAATACGTATATCGGTTAACTCGTTACCGAATATCAAGGCATCTTAACGCTCTAATCACTCGTACGAGCATATTAAGAAGACTTCGAGGGATAGACTACGTACTAATTCGAGTATATATCACGACCATTTAAACGTGCGATACTTAAAATACTCGAACGAAAAGAGTATTACTTCCCGAGCGGTTTTACCCAAACCGAAAAGCTCGTCTACTTATTAGATAATAAGGAGGCCGTTAGAACACCTTAACCGTTACCCCGTACGAGTATTATAACTCCCGGTCCCCGTACGAATGCCGCAACTCTGGCACCGACTCGTATACCATTACCCGGCTAGGAAGATAAACAAGAGAACGGCCCAAAGGATAAATAATGACAGCCCGGAGGACAGATAAGAAGACGACCTTACGGGAAACATATTACCAAAGGAATTATTTTTAGTTATTTATAATCGTATAAACCGCGAAAGAAAAGATAGCTAGTATTAGAATATATTATTCGCGGTCTCGTACGACGGTTAATTACGTAGTATAAGTAGTTACCGGCGTGTTAGCAGTAAGCCACTATAGCCACGATGTTGTTATTAATAGCTAACAACCGTACGGGTGAACCCTAAACCCTTATCTATAAACCACGTACGAGGGGAAGAATCATTTCTTCTCCTTCATATAATAGCGCTAAATAAATCTATTTATCGCTTACATTATACGGAAAGAATTAAATGGAGAAGCCATTCCATAATAAACAATATTAATAACAAAAGAAAATGTTAAATTTATAAATAATTTAAACATTATACGTAAAATCTTATTATGTTAAGTATTAAATTATGTTTTAAAACATTTCTTATACTTTATCGCCTAACTAGTATAACTTTCCTAGTTTACTAACAAATTTATCGAATCTAATCAGTTCATTAAAACTTAATGTAAAAAGGGAGGGAAAAAGGTAGAGGACTTATAAATGCTCCGTAAGGTCTAATCTGCGATTCCAGTTAGAGCTATCTGTGCTAATGATTTAAAGTTGCGCTTTACATTACGAAGCTCCTAAGAGCTCATGCTTTCTTTTCTATAACAACCCTCAACTCTTCCAAACCAGCCGTGACCTCGAGCCAGACAGCCCTTGGCACCAGTGGACACGTGTGGCCCTGCACAGCCCAGACAGGCTGCGGGAGACGGACATCGGCACCACTTGCCATGAGCAGCCGGACAATTTCGTCGTGGCCCAACTCCATGGCCAACTGGGCGGCCCTTCCACAGGAGAAGTTCACCTTCCTCGGCACCGCCTCCGCTCTTTGATAATCCCAACCATGCTGCCGTCGCGGGAGAGGTAGCGAGCCACCGCTATCGCAGTGGTAGCCGACGTTAGCATCAGCTCCGTGCGCCAGCAGCAGCCGGACCAGACCCGTGTTGCCCAGCCTGACCGCTCGGACCAGAGGTGCTAGCAAGTCTACCGCCTCTAGGCGCGGTGAGGCGTTGGCGTAAAGTGCGTTGTCGTAGTTAGTCATCTTCAGGGGAGACGCTAGGTCCGCCTCTTCAAACTCGCAGCGGACGCCGCTCGCGAGCAGAGTCTCAACGATTGCGGCGTCCTGCCGATCGACTGCTGCGCAGAGAGCCCTGGTGGACGAGACCCGATTGGTCTTTTCCACGAGGAGTTGCACAAGTTGTGATTTTCGGTGTACTGCCCTAACTAAGGCAGGCCCTTCAATCTCATGACAGGTATAGTTGGGGTCGGCACCGTTTAGTAGGAACAGGTTGACGAGATCTAGTCTATTGTGTTCCGTGGCCCACTCTAGTGGTGTGACCGGGATTTCGTCCTTCAGATCAAACATAATGCCCGTGTCGTCGGGCACATGGTCATAGTGGAGAATGGGGATATTCAAGTTCATGCCATACTTGATGATTTGTAATACTACGTTGCTGCCGTGTCCAGTTTTTAACGCGACTGCGAGGGCATTCTGTAATTGTTTCGTGTTAGGAAGGCTGTGAGCAACCGGGCCAGACTCGATCGGGGCGGCGGCGGCAACAGTATGTCCATCCGTAGTTGGGGGTCCTGTAAGAGGCTGAATCTCGGCTGAACGTTCTTCGCCGGTCAGTTGATGGGTGAAGTAAAGACTTGCAGATATTGGGTTCCATGTCAATTCCCAAGCACTGTCGTTGAGCTGCGGTGAAGCATTATCCAAAGCAACGTGTTCGCTTTCAGCCACCTCATGGCCTATAGGCTGCCAGACGGATGGGAAGCCGAATCCTGCCAAGTCCTCCCTGTGCTCGTATACCGTGCCTCGGGATAGTCGTCGCGCCGGGCGCTTGTGCATGTCGCGTTCGATAGGTTTAAGCTTGAAGACGGTGCTGGTGTTGTCGGGTTGGAACGGTGTTGTGTATTCGCGCTGGAGCAGTCGCTGCCAATCAAGGCCGTGGAAAAACGCGTGATCTTTGACCTCGGAAGCTCCGTTTGCTCCCAAACGTTGTAAGGGATCTTTGATTAAAAGTGCGGCGAGGATGTCGCTGGCGTCCGACGGAAGCCCTAGAGGGAGTTGCAGGGTTTGGCTGATGATTCTGCGCCGTTGCTCCTCAACGTCCTTATGGTAAAAAGAAGGGAGTCCGGTCAACATCTCGTAAAGCATAACCCCTAACATCCACCAATCGACCGCTTGGGTGGCCTCGTGATGAACAAGGAGTTCCGGGGCCGTATACTCGAGCGACGCCGATAGAATGCAGTCTATAGCGCCCGATATTGGTAGGCCCTTACTGTATATGGCAGGGTGGCAAAGACTAATGTGACCGTACGTATCTAGGAGAATATGTGCTGGGTCAAGTAAAGCAAAGATTATATTCTTGTTATGGAGATACTCCAATACGAGGATTAGCTCGGCAGCGTAGAGTTTAGCTTTGTCACCATCGAAACGCCGCTCCCTTTGAAGGTGATAGAAGAGGTGTCCGCCACTGGCAAGTGGTGATAAGAGGCTGAGCCGTCTACCCGATGCGAAAGCGAACTTGAGCGGTGCGATAAACGGGTGACATATAGAAGAGCCGAGGTCGTTCGCCTTCTCAGCTTCTGGAATAGCATTAGCTGTGCGAAGTTGAACTACTGTCATGGCGTAAGTTCGGCCGGTGTCCCTTTTGGTGACATGAACGAAGTTGACATGATCCATCCCAAGAAGCTCCCAGACGTTTCGATCTTCCAAAGCTGGCACTTTTTGCTGGAGATACGAGACAATGAGTTCCACTTGGCCGGTGCCATCCTGGATATCTGCCAACAATCTACCCACGGGGTACCCATCCGGAAGAGAGGTTATTGTGAATCGCCCGCGGGGCTCAATTCGACTCCCCTCTGGAGCATTATGGTTTCTGGTGGACAGATAGACCACCAACTCGGGAGACTTGGTAACGTCAAAGTGGAAGGTCTCTCGCCAAAGAGCACTTCCTCTCTTCCCACCCCACCAGGCGGCCCTGGCAGATAACTGGAAGCTCTCACACTCGAGCAAGGCGTAAATAGGCCATTGATCGATCTCTTCCGGACATGAAAGCGATCCCACGCGAGTTGCGCTGTGAAGCTTGATGGTCAAAATTCCACTTCCAAGCCTAGCCCCAGCAGCACTGGGCGGCTGGGGTGGGAAGATGACACTTGAAGGAACTTAGGATGAGAAATGGGTAAGATTCGTATCTCTCGTGGCTATTGAGGCCGGGTCACACGTACCATCGCCGTGCGGAGGCGGCAGAGAAGCTTTCGGAGGGGTCCACCAGCTTGGACTGCGTGTGGGCATCGTCATCCCAGTGGATAACGCTGCAAGCCTTGCTTATTCTTTATAATAGGTCGTTTTTCGTTAAGCCCCATGTGCTTATTTGGGTGGGCAGTAGAAGCGCCGAATTTGAAATTGTTCAGGCTCGAGGACTCTGAGTTGGCGCTTTTTCAGACAATGCCTTTCGTCTCTGGAGCGGCTATGTAGCAAGTCGGTTGGGATATGCAGCAGGATCTCAATTCCGAAAGCACCAACGATGATATACAACTATACGTGTTAGTGAGTATTCAAGAAGAAAAAAACACTGGTTAAGTTGTTATTTTTGACATTTAGGTGTTGGGATTGGTTCTGGGAGCGAGGAGGACGGTGAGAGTTCGCTTGATTGGGAATATTGATGGTAGGTGTTAATGGTTCGGGTGCAAAAAACACGACCTGCTACGTGACCGCTTCCGGGAAGAAAGATTCGTTCTGTCGCTTATCCACTGACCCAATTAGGCAATAACCCCATTAATCATTTAGCCCATTTCTGGCCTAGTATCATCGGATCAAATACCTAGAATAGACGAAAGGCTTCTCGGCGCCCTACCAGGGGGCCCCTTGTCCAACATTGAAGGGGCAAGTGCAGGGGTCGTTAGCGCAGGGTTTATATCTCTCGTGGACCCTTATAAATGGCGCAGCAGTCCCGGGTAGGCTACTTTTCAAATAAGAGAGGGCTCGGAAACGGGCTCCGGTCTGGACATCGCAGAAATGGACATCTGCGCAGTGTTGGATTTGATAGACTCTTTCCTCTTGCAATCAACAGGATTGTGATATTGGTGGAAATGGTTTTTATAGACACCCTCCCTCTTCTCCTTTATGTCACCACAACTGATGATCACAGAAACACAAACATGCAGTGAGTTTGCAAGGAGGCTTAAGTTGATGCCTAGGTGGGCAAACCGGTGTGCACCAAGAAGACTTCAGGACTACTCTCTAATTATCAAAGGGATAAACTTTATATGCTAAATAGTTACACTGGAAGAAAAAAAATATGCTCAGGCGCCTGAAGATCGAACCATTCCGCGAATGTTTCCCAAAGTGTTGACTGTAGTTTAAACACTTTGGTTCCTTGAAGGAATAGGTTCAATCAAGCTCATAGAGTTCCGATGCAGACATAATAATTCGGCCAAAGGCTAGCACAGTCATCTCCCACGGCCGGGTTCCAGGAATAAAAGTCATCCAGGGAAACACCGGCAGCGGTCGCAATGTCATAACAGCCATCCCCGCTAACAACCAGATAGAAGTCGTCACAGTCATCCACCATGCCTGCTTGGGTTGGTGTCGGGGTAGAAATTCCATTGCCAGTGGAAGTTGCAGTTGGTGTAGTAGTAGTGGTGGTAGAAGTTGTCGCGGCTGAGGCTGAGCCAGAGACGCCCACGCAGACGTAGTAGTTGGGCCAAAGGCCGGAACAGTCATCTCCCACGGCTGGATTCCAGGAATAGAAGTTATCCAGCGATATCCCCTTGTCAGCGGCAATATCATAGCAGCCATCTCCGCTCACAACCAGGTAGAAATCATCGCAGTTGCTAGCGATGCCCGTCTGAGTTGGTGATGGGGCTGAAGTTGTTGCCGTTGCGACAGTGCTCGTGGATAAAGTGGTAGGTGTTGTGGTGCTGCTGCCAGACACACCGACACAAACATAGTAGCCGGCTTGCAACCCACCACAGCTGGTTCCTACCGCAGGATTCCAAGCGTAGAAATCATCAAGAGATGTCTCTTCAACAGCCGCGATATCATAACAAGTATCGCCGGTAACCACGAGGTAAAAGTCGTTGCAGTTGCTGGCAATGCCGGTTTGCGTGGGAGTTGGCGTAGTGATTGCAGAGCTTGTGGGCGTCGAAGTAGACGTGCTCGTCTTGGTCGACGTGCTCGTTTTAGACGTAGTCAACGCGATGTAGTTGATTTGGATGCAGTAGTAGAGGCCTTGAATCATGTTGCAGCCATCACCCAACAGGGCAGTGCTAGGATTCTGCTCTCAACTGGTCAAAAAATATTCGCTGATTCAGGTATGACGCTGAGTATCAGGCTCACTCACCCATTCCTCGAACTGGGCCTCCGTGAAGCCGTAGTACTGCTCAAGGATCTCGCATGTGAGGCCGAACGTATCTTGCGCCCATGCGCTGCAATCCGCAGTTGCCCCCGGAGCAGCCGTGCCTGGAGGAGCCACCAGATAGGCTTCCGACCGCTGGAGAGCCAGTGCAAGGAGGATTAGGTTGAAGCACTTCATGGTACTGGTGCGGTCTTTGCGTATTGGGTAAGTCAAGTAGGAAGACAATTAGGATCTTGAGGCACAAATTCGGGCAGTTGAAATATTGCCAACTGCGTATCGTGCTGGTTGACTGCTTCCTATTGAAGGACCACGAGAGTGAACGAACAAGAGAGTCAACACGAGCTCAGTATCTTCCTCCTCCCCTCAATGTTTACCCTTTTTGCTTCTAGTCTTTTCCTCCTCGCGTCCCGAGGTCATAAATTATTACTACGAAACCATGAGATTATCTTGCTCCGAAGACGAGTCTGGACTCTCATTGATGTGCTGCATAGAATCGGTGTATTTATCACGTTGCCCCACTTACGCTACTCCGGTAGGGTTAATGCTCTACTTCGCTCCAATACAAACATGGGCTGCGAGTGAGCCGCGCGTCCGCAAACGAAACGTCGGCGGCTAATAGGCCCACGGGTACCCGTAGCTGCAAAATTCACGGACCCATGGCGACAACCAATTAAGCAGCGTCATTTGATTTTCTATGCCAACCCACACATAATCAACCTCGAAGTACCTTGTGCCTTTCGACCTTTCCTTTATGTTTCAAACTTGATCGCCTTTAGAATCAACATTCTTTTATTATTATAGCTGTTTGGCTTCCTAGGGTCTTGATTTGGAGCGGCTAACCCTTTTGTCTATTGCTACGTCGTAGCCACTAGATATGAAGCTATCTCTTACACGAAGTGCTTTTTTGAATCACTCAACGTGTCGCGTCGGAACGTAGTAGCATCGAAATCATGTCTTCTGAGTTACCTGGCCAAAGGACCGTGTGAGACATTATAAATGGTGACCTACATTATAATCAATATGGATACCGTCCAAAGCCAACAGGCAGCTTCATTTCCCAACGACTGTCTAAGCGAAGTCCACAATCAAGCATTAACTATTGCCTGCAATGTGACCGCGTTCCTGAATGAACAATTTAGTTCAGTTTAAAGCTTGACCCGCTTGGTCCTGCAGATCAGATCATGGGGCTAAAAATGGGTCTTAGTCTTTTCTGGACCACCTTCAAAGCTTAGTACACATGTGATCGTGGCGCGATTGCCTTAAGCGAAAGTTGCATGGCAGCTCCGAAAACATCATATCATTTGTTTTGCCCCACACCCTTGAGGCTAACTACATAGGTATACTGGTAGGGGTATAAATTGCCAGTGTGAAAAGTCGAAAAAGCAAAACCAGGTTCATACGTATGCTTATTATAACATAGACCTCCAAACTCTGGGGATCGTTTCTGAGTACTGAAAACTAATCGCTTGGTAGGTTCGTATATTTATTACGCTTATAGAATGGCGAAGGATGTAATCGGTTTACTTGAATATTGGCAGAGCTATAGATAGATATTTAGTATTACATAGGTACAAGCTACTCACAGATGATTCATACCCTTACAAGGAGTACTTCTTGATTTATGCATGTCAAAGCCGTGGGGCAGACTATTGACATGATATGATGCAGATGCATGCAATCGGCCCTGCTCATTTGGACTACAACGGTATAAGTGCATGTGCAACAGCGTACATATGTGAATTCAGTGCACTATGCTGCGATGAATCCTTTCGAGCTCGACAGGCCGACGGCGGATGAGATCCGTGTCTAGGATCGGAAAAATGATTCATCTAGCTTCTCGTCCTTGTTGACGGTGCCTGGTTACTTGGCCGAGGTGATGAGCCGTTGAATATTAGTGTATATTGATACCTGCACCAATGTTGATTTTCTTGCCTTGCTATCCTAGTGTACCTCGTCTTCAGACCTCGCGACCTTCTTTGCTCCCTTGTTTAGAGTTCTGAGCCGTCAATATGCGGTGGTCCCTTGCATCACTTTTGGCATTGCCATCGACATTTCTCATCCAATTCACCAACGCCCACCCTCTTGGTGAGCACGCTATCAACGGTGTTGACTTAAGCAATTTGACCCAGGCACTCTTTCGAAGGGTTCGAGTCGGCTCGGGCGATGGAAGTATCGCCGCGCCAACAGTTACAGATCTCTTTCTGCTGAATGACGGTGCGGGAAGTTGTAACTCCGAGGAGGATACTATGAACTCTTGGCTGGAGGAGGCTATTCTCCTCCATGACGCGGTCGAGACCGCGTACGAGTACGGCAGTTTGCCTGTTGCTTTGCTGTGGTACTCATTCTTTGGAATCCAACCTGGCAATGGGCAGATTGCTCAGACGGCCGATAACGTGGCTCTATGGAAAAACATTGGAGGTAAGTAGTTTCTTTTTCTGGAAAAAGAATCCTTCTCAGCCTGCGCTTCAAAATCCTCGGTTGCTAATCGGAACAGATCATATCTCTCGCGTCAGTCAATTTCTGGCTGGAGCTGGCCTAACCAACGCTCAGGTTGCCGGAGAAAACCCCCGAGTGTTCTGCTCAGCTGACGCAGGAGAAGTTGTAGACTGGACTCAGCCAGTCAAGGACAACAATGGAAATCCTGTCGAGGTCTCCACAGATCCCGTCGCGTACTTGACGCTTGAAGACGCTTTTCCCCCACAAGCCAGTGACCCGAAAGGCCACGCCTTCTGGATGTCTGCGTTCAGCGGTTACGAAATGGACTTCTCGGGCGCAGAGACACTGTGTCCTACAACGGATGAGAACGGTAGACAACGCTATGCCAAAACCGCCAGGCCGGCGAATGCATATCCGGCCATTACGGACGGTGCGGTATTCACGTTCGGAACAGCCAACAGACACATCCTGTTCTGCCCAGTATCATTCTCACCCTCTGATGGATTTCACTCCTACCCGTCTATAACACAGGCTGTATCGGATGACAACTATCCCACGCCTGGTTTGAAGACCAAGGAACAAGCCCTCGATAGATTGTTGCCAGTCAGCGCCACGATGTATCACGAGCTTTACCATCTGACTGACGACGATAACACCAAGGACAATTATTGTACGTTTTCTTTTTCTCCTCTCCCTTCTTCTTCTGCTGCCTTTGTCTCCCCACCGATCATGAGGTTCGAAGACATTAGGAAGACATTTGCTCACTATTTCGGTGGTATATAGACAGCTTGAAAGATATTATAACGGCTGCCAGGTCCCAGGATGCAACCAAGTTAACGGCCAACTCCCACAATCCGGAGACGTTCACCTTTTTTGCAATGGCGGCGTACATACTCCTGAATCCTCCTGAGGACGAAGACATTGCCTTGTATATGGCCTCGTTCCCAGTGGATGCTTCTAACCCTTTCGGTAATTAACATTGACTGATGGGAAAATTGAGAGATTCCGGCTCCAATAATCACACCAAGAGCAAGCACATTGGACTTTCATAGAGAATCACTTAGTCAAAGGCCTCGCTCGCGGCGCCATTTAGTAGGAGAGAGCGCAGACATGACAGTTTTTAGAAATGTGGACCTTGTAATGATTGCTACTCCTAAGATATCTTTGGATAGGACAGTCTCCGTGTCTTATTAGTGAACGGTCAAATTTCTTTTTAGTAATTATTTTCTATCAAGGTCATTTGATTATCAATAGTATTTGTGTTACATTGTCAACATTCTTCCTATTGACTATCTGATCGGTATACACCTCATTACGGCAACCCCGGACCTTCCAGCAGGATTCATAATATTCGTTTTAGGACTTCTGTAAGCACCTGAGATTTTGAGTCCCACAACGGTTATGACTATTGCTCACGTGCAGTCCAACCCTGGGAGAGCTAACGCAGGAACCCAGGACGCTCTGGCCGGGAGTTAACCGCTTTCGGTATTTTATTACCTGGTTCTTGCATTTCATGTATGCAACTAAGAAGACAATGTATTTAGGGGATAAAAGTGTTTAGCACTAGTATTCGAGCAGGTTCACGTGTTGCCGACTCTTTGCCCGGGTCAGGATTCCCGAATCGGGATAGCCACGACGCAATTCAATATCACAAACTACTTGGATCGAAGTCGACACAAAAGAACCCAACTGACGGAGCCCAGGCCACCGGTGGAGATAGACTATCGTGTATCTAGACACACTGTGTACCTGGAAGCCGGATCCGCCCTGTGCTGCCTAGACGAGCTGCGCTGGGGGTTATGGATCAGCGTCCCCAGTCGACATGGATAATGTGCGTTTGGCTGTGTGTATTTCACGGAGGCCATGCCAGCGAGTTTGTAGTAACAGTTTTGCTGCCTCACCCTCGACTATCCTCCTTCCTTCGGTCATCAACTTGCGACTTGAGGAAGTTGGCGGCGAAGTCTCCCCCTCTCTCCTCTCTTGTCACTTCGCCTTACTCTCCGTTCGACATACCTTGCGGCCATATCTGCACACATCTTCGACTGAGCCCCTACATACATCGCGCTGTTCGACCATGATGATATCCTCATTGGCCTCTGCCATTGCTTTGACAGCTGTCGGGGCTCCCTCAGGGGCTCTGGCAGCTGATTCCAGGACCAATGGTATTCCAAACGACATCCTCGCCTCCCTATCCATCATTACTACCTCTGGGCCTGTCTCGGGTATGCCAACAGACCTGGCGAGTGCCCGAGCCGCGGTGCTGACTGCTAACCATACCACACTCTTGCAACGTCAGGGGAGAGACCACTGCCCTGCAGGCTGCAGCAGTACCGGCGTTGATACCAGTGCATGGTCTTTGTACGGCAGCATGGATCGCCTGGAGAGAACATGCAACAAGACCATGCTCCTTAAATTCGCCCTGTTCAACCAGATTGATGACCCCAGTACACACGTCTCAATCTCTGCCTGCACAGCAAATCTGGAATCGTCTGGCAGCAGTGCGAGCTCTGAAATTACCGCGACCTGTGTTGAGGGCGATGTGCAGCAGACCGAGGTGACTTCACCGGTACGACTAGCAAGCTCGGGCGCCTCATCATCTGCGCACTTGGCAGATATCAGTAATGCTCTGGGCCAGCTGCAGGGATATTCCGCACTGGCTGCTACTGCTTGCCACGAGACAATCACCTATGCCTATACTGGCGATGTTACTGTAGGCATCTATGCCGGCTCCGGTATTGCCAACCAAGGTGCGCTCACTTCGGTCCTCGAGAAGCTCACCACGCAAGTGGAGAGCGATGGTAGCGTTTCAGAGATCCTGGTTGCCCAGCTGTGCGGTAATTCCTCGGCTCGATACTCGTTAGGTATTATGATCAATACCGCGGGTGACTTGGGCGCTGTTCAGCGAGGCATACAGTCATGGAAGAACGGCAGCTGCGTGGAACTTGGAACGCCTGCGGAGTGGCTGATGGTGACCTACATTGCCCCGTCCCTGCTGGACGTTGGCGGTAACACTTCGTCGGCCACCGCTACAGGTTTGACCAACTCTACGCGCGCAAACTTAGCCGCCAGGTCAAGCCACCTTCTCACAGGCCGCGCCGAGTGTAGCACTGTTCAGGTTGCGGGCGGAGACACTTGTGAGACCCTCGCGGCCGAGTGTGGCATCACTCCAGCAGATTTCACAGACTATAACTCTGAATCGAGTTTATGTGCCAACCTGACGCCAGGCCAACACGTCTGCTGCGGCGTCGGAACACTCCCAAACTTCACGCCAGAACCGAGCGCCGATGGCTACTGCTACACATATCTTGTCGAGACAGGCGACTCATGTGCGTCCATTGGGGCTGCTTACGACCTCACTAATGCTGAGATCGAGAGCTACAATAGCGACACTTGGGGATGGTACGGCTGCGATGACCTACTGGCTGACTATAACATCTGTCTCAGTACTGGTTACCCGCCGCAGCCGGCAACTGTCCCCAACGCTGTCTGTGGTCCTCAGGTGAATGATACGGCGGCAGCACCGCCGGGGACCGACTTCAGCACCATGAATGAATGTCCGTTGAATGCATGCTGCAACACCTGGGGTCAATGTGGAACGACAAGCGAATTCTGCACCATTTCCGAGTCTTCCACAGGTGCTCCGGGTACGGCTGCTCCCGGCGAGAACGGATGTATAAGTAACTGCGGCACTGACATTGTCACCTCTGATGCACCTAGCGAGACGTACAACATTGCCTACTTTGAAGCCTTCGACTGGCATCGCTCCTGCTTGCGCATGGGAGTCAATAGCATCGATACCTCGGCATACACTCATATTCATTTCTCCTTCGTTACGCTGAATGCGGACTACTCCGTCAATGTCAGTGATGCCTCCGAACAACTATCACTCTTTATTGGTATGACAGGCATCAAGAAGATTATCTCTCTTGGTGGCTGGTCCTTCTCCACTGATCTTAGTACATACAACATCATGAGGGAGGGCGTGGCTTCTGAGGCCAATCGCCAAACCATCATCACTAACAACGTCAATTTTCTGAACGAGCATGAACTCGACGGTATAGACTGGGACTGGGAGTACCCTGACGAGCCCGATATTCCCGGTATTCCGGCTGGTAGCGAGGCCGACAGTACTGGATACTTCTTGCTTCTAGATGAGCTCAAGCAGCAGATGCCATCCGGTAAAACAGTGTCTATCACGGCGCCTGCCTCTTATTGGTACCTACAATACTTTCCCATTCAAGCCCTTAGCCTCGTCGTCGACTACATCGTCTACATGACCTACGATCTTCATGGGCAATGGGACTACACAAACAAGTATGGGAGTTCTGGATGTATCTCATACGATCAGGGCCTCGGCAACTGTCTACGGTCCCATGTCAACCTCACCGAAACCATCAATGCCCTATCGATGATCACGAAGGCTGGCGTCCCGTCCAACATGATTGCCGTTGGCGTCAGTAGCTACGGCCGCTCGTTCCAGATGGAGACTGCAGGATGCTGGACTGAGCAATGCACCTACACAGGGCCCGACTCAGGGGCATATCCAGGACAGTGCACCAACACCGCGGGGTACATCTCAAACTATGAGATCGATCAGATTCTCGCAGAGAACCCCTCGGCCCAGAGCCTCTGGGATCAGAACTCGTATTCCAACATCGTGGTCTTCAACGACACGCAGTGGGTCGCCTACATGGACGATGCCAACAAGGAGACTCGCAAGGCTCTTTATCCGGGCCTGAACTTCCTTGGTTCAGCGGATTGGGCTGTAGACCTGCAGTCTGAGAATGGCGATGGCAATGGGACCTCGGGCAAATCGGACTCATCCGCTCAGACCGTATACATTGACCCTGATATCTGGAGCTCGGCAACGCCACTAGTCAGTGGCCCTCCGGGTGCCACACTCATCTGGCCGCCAATGCCGCTGGGAAGTGCAACAACTATCTCCTTCCCATTATGGACCACAACCATCACGTACTCCAGTCTTACTTCACGCACGTCCACTCTGACCGATGGTTCGACATCGACGTATCCGGCGTACGTTGATGTGTCGTGGCTTACGGTGTTGACAATACCTCCTGGTGAGCCCTAACTCCTTGGTCCCTTCTTCTTATATTAGAAAGGAATTTTACTGACCCAAACTGTCCTTCCAGTCACAACAACGGCTATTCCTGTATGGGGTGTCACGCTTGATACCAGCTCAATTGGAGGCCCCATCGTCCTAACAAGTTCCGTGCAACCACCCCCATTTACTGTCATCGTTACACCGTAAGTGCAAAACCTCGAGTTGCTTCTACAATGGTTTCTTGCGCATGTTGCTGACTTTCCTTTGCTATTGTACAGAGTGATGAGCGGGACCACCTCCATCATTGGGGCCACCGAGACGACGACAAGCTCCGGGGCCGCCGTCATTTGGGGCTCCCTGACCTACTCTCCGCCTGTGCAGACGGAGACGTTGGGTGGAATTACAACTGTCATTGGCGGCGTAACGTTGCCCCCAGCAGCTGTAGTTGTTACACCCAATCCACACCCCACGACGACGCCGGAACCCGGTACCACGGACCCTATTATCAACTCCAACAAACCATCCTGGACATCGGCGGATACGCCGAAACCCACTGCCATATCGGGCTGCCCTGGTTGCGGCGAGGTTTGTAGGTTGCTCGTGCCTTTCCCCCTGCTCTTCCCAAGTTGACCGCCCCCTTGCTCAAGCCTAGACTAACTCTCTCATGCAGGTGTTCTATTCTGTGACCCCGACTGTCCCTTCTGTCCCCCCGGTGTGTTCGGCAACGGCGGCGACGGCGAAGATGGCGATGATGATGATGACGACGACGATGACAGCAACGCCGCCTACACAATCATGTTTGACTCCATGACCGATGAGTCCTTCCCCACCGCCTTCCTCGAGCTCGCCGACCTCTCCTCCATCTTCTCCCTAGACATGTCCGCCGCCATGACCGCCTTTGGCAGCACGACCCCCTCTACAACCTCAAAGACCACCACCAGCGCCACCACAACCTCCAAAGACCCGCACTACACCGAGCCGTACGTGATGCAGGCCGTCGTGTGCAACAACGAGGACGACTTTCCGGACCACGGCGATGTGAATGCGGATAACGTGGCCGCCGCGGCCGAGCAGTTTTGCACGAACCACGGGACTGACGAGACCATCTCGGCGCCGACAAATGGGGTGATTAATAGTCTGAGCGATTATATTGTCGGGGGGGATCAAATTGGATATAATATCACCGTGTACTGGCCTGTCAACTGTGTTACATCGGTGGACGTGCAAGGCGTCATTGATCCCCTTGGTAGTGGCAAGGAGGCACAGGAGTGCGAGGGTATTCTTGAGAGTGCGTACACGAGCTGTAATAACGGGGGCGTGGGTGGGTACTATATGGTTGGGTGTCTGGTTTATTGGTTCCAGGGCGGGAGGGCGCCAGGTGATGTGCTGCAGAACCCTTATTGAGCAATTATTCTCAAGTCAGTACATATTTAGATATATAACGTCTCCATAGTTTTCAAGTTAGTACATAGGGTATTTAGATATATCAAATCGGTGAGGATTTGCCCAGCTTAGTACGTACCCTCCTTCAAGCTGCTATGCAGTTGGTTAGCTACTAGTACCGCGTAGGATGTATACGTGGGTTCAACAGCCAAGGAGTCTAGGCCTGAATGAAACAATGTTTAGAGACGGGGGGGTGTATATATTGGGCCATGTCATGACTTTGACCAGCTACCCTTCCCACCTTCAAGCAACACAGCCTCCAGCAAGCTACATGCTACACGCTGGGAAATCTTACTAATAGTTTATACCAATGAATTTTAGCTGTCATTTCTTCCCTGGCCAATATTACTAGTACAAGCTCATTCTCGCATTGACCGACTCTCGTCTACAGCTTGTCGCTTAACATCGCTCCTCAACACATCTTCCGCCTTTCTCTTTAGTCCGTTACTCATCCTAGACTCATCTCTATACGACGTCTCCACTGGAGCCATGAACTCATTATATTGGTAACTCTCAGGCGGAGGTCCCTGAGTCGGGGTATATTTTAGAGTTGATCCGGAAGACAATAGTTGTTAGGAATGTGCCGATAAGTTATAATCATTCTGCTCGGATAAGAAACAGTCGGCCTTTGCCTATTAGGTCTCTAGTGTTTAGATTAGAACGCTCTAACGCTCTAGCATTTGCTCCTGAAATTTTTAAGACGTGTATAATTCCTCGATATACTTTAGTGATCCTTAATTCTCGCGTTAAATTTGGTCATTCTCTCGTTAAATAGTATTTATATATATCGGTAGTTAGTAAAAAATAGTTAATAAACTCCTAAATGGTAATATAAAAGATTATAGTAGGAAGTATATACGTGGGAATGTTATTTTCACAGTAGGACTTAACCTAGGTTAATCAACCTTAACCTAGGTTAATCAACCGTAACCAAGGCTTGGCCACAACACAGCCTGCTTGCAAGCCACAAAGAACGAAGTATGTCTTTCCATTTACATCATGTTATCTAAGTGTTCATATGTGTTGCGTGTAAACCTAGTCTAAGATCTTGTTTGCCTAATGTTTGTTAAGTTGGCTTGATTAGCAATTTTCCTTTGTCCCTGCTTACTGCGCAGTCATGCTGTCGAGTAGTAACTTTGCACGATGGTCATGTTCTTTCCACACCGCAAAATATAGCGGCTTGTGTCCATCTTTGTCCTTTTTATTTGTATTCGCACCCCTTTCCAGTGAAAAATCCACTGTCGCTTCGTTTCCAGTTTCCACAGCCACGAACAGCGGAGTTCGACCATCATCGTTCTCAACGTCAATCTCGACACCTTCGTTAAGAAGCATTTGCAATACATCAATAGCGCCGCACGCTGCTGCCTAATAGACGGTTCCACATCCCTCTTCATCAGCAAGTTGGATATCAGCTCCCCTTTGCAGGAGAATCTTTATGACATCTTTGTGCCTACCTACAGTCGCTAAATTTAGAGATGTTGACCGATTAGCCCCTGCGTCATTAACTTGAGCACCATTATCAAGAAGTTGTACGACATCGTCATGACCATTTTCAGCTGCCAGCACTAATTCTACCTGAGGGTAATCTGGAGGCCCAGCCGTACCAACAATAAGCTTTGCACCTATGTCTAGAAGCATCTTTGCAATTGTTGCATAACCATTGCATGCAGCGTGGCACAAAGCCGAAAATCACATGGTATTTTCAGCGTCAAGCTCGGCATCGTGATCGATAGTATGCGGGCAGCTGTCTCATCATTCTTGATAGATGCTAAAAGCAATGGTGTGTTCATGTCGCCGATAAATATCTGGGACATGATGCCCCACGATCAAGAAGTAGCTGCATGGTCGTGTAATGCTCGCCTTCAACCGCCCACAATCCCAGTGCTAGCAGACCCTCTGGAGTTGGAGCATTAAGATCGATGCCAAGGTTTAGGTTAAATCGCACTTCCGCTTCATTGCCCACCTCAGCAGCTCGACATAGAAGAGTCTGGTTTTGTTCAACATCATGAGATTGGGAATCCATATTACAGATATACGAAGTGTTGTTTTACATTTCTGGAGCGAATCGAAATCAGAGTTCGAGAGAAGATTTATTGAGAAAAAAAATCAGGCAGGCAGAACAGCCAGATGGCTACGGAAGATCAGATTTTTAAATCTAGTCTAGCTCAAATAGAAACGACGCTAGTGGAGCTTAGCGCCATACCTTCTAGCTCTTGCGGTGCCGGCCAAAAAGAGCTCGGGGGCCCAGATGCAACCCCAGTAACCAAAACGTAGAATGCACCGTACTGCAGCACTTCAGAGTTACATTTCGAATCGAACAGAATAAATCCAATTTCGGCCTCTACAGTACAATACTGTCTGTACTGTATTTATTGCATTATAATGTACAACATCCATGGAGCGAGATAGAGCATTTATCATCTAGATTCGATTCCTACAGTATCTGATCTCACGAAGATAGTACGTAGACCATGGCCATTAATGGTATACATTGTACAAAAGCCCCATAGTTCAACTTCCGCTGGTTGAATTTGTGCCTTGCGGGGTGCCTACTTTCCAAGAAACCAAAAGATTGATCTAATCTATTTCCGATAATAAGTACAGAAGAGGAGCACGTCGGCCAGCTTGTTCTTGCTGGTAGAAAGCGGTTATTCGACGTTGACTGACGTGACTGATGGTGATCGACGCTATAACTAATCAGATCGAGCCGAAAAGTGCGCGACAAACTCCATGCGGCACCAAAGCTCGGCGTTACAATAATTCTGATTCCAATTTTGATATGTCTAAGAGCAAATTCCGTATGGTTAGAAAGTGATTCTGTGGCGTATGTAAAATTAGCGTGACTTTTAGCCAAGGCAAAGGACACGCCCCCGTTAGAGTGCCTCTCTGCTGCTGGGGTGGTTGGTTGGGAACTGAACCGTGCCTTGTTCACATGCTGGATGACCAACATATAGATTACAATACAGATTGCGGTTGCTATTTCGTAGTTACCCTGTTGTCCTTCCTGCTAATCGACTTCAATTTTGCACTTAAGCCAATTTTTAGAATTACTGAACTCGATGGACCATCTCTCCAATAAACTAGCTACCTTCGTTGACGCGTGCGAACGATAAATGTGTCAACCACCTCACAACCAAATACGAATTCGATATAAATGAGATAGGAATCCACTGCACCCTGTATATAATCAATCTCTCAGTCAGGGCTATGATGTACTGTGATGGGTCTAAACAGCTTGACTTTCAGGGCCTGCTTGATCAGTTTCAAGAAGACTACGCGTGAAGCCATGGAATTTCTTGAGGAAGACGTCGAATGGGACGAACATGCTAATGAGTTCCAGGCTGCCTAAAATAACAAGCTAGGTTCCTGATCTAGTTAGGATCTTAAAGCTGGTTCTGAAGTTCCTGTAATTGCGGCTGAGGTCCGACTGTAATCATTGCTAACAGTATTGAGAAATCTCGCAAATCAGGGGATGAGCGACGTGCCGAACAATCTCAAGCTCATTCACCTGCCTGTTGGAAATTTCTTGATTTGTAGCGAGATGCTCATTGGTACTCGCAAGAATAAGTTGGGCTTCAGAGGTTAGTGGCATCTGATCGGGGTGCCCAAAGGTCGAGAGTTGCCTCGGCCCTTGCCGGCCTGAACGTCGTTATGCCAAACGGCGACGGCTTCTGGGCAGACAATACGACCCTTGCGATGAACAATAGGAGTATTCCGGAGAGTAGCTTAATGAGATGGCGACAAGAATACTGATATCGTAATTCCAATTGAGCCAAGACGAACGCTTCAAAGCTCCTGGAGTTGGTATGCCTTCAAATATGTCAGCATTGTGCCCCGTCTGGGAAATAGTCATTAAACTTAGTAGCACTTACCGATGGCTGTTCGTAAAGGTTCGAAGTACGAGATCCATGTACGATCTCCATATGAGCCTCCTGCCATTGTCGACTGAGCACTCTGACATGGAGATGGGCAATCCCCATTTTTGGGATTTGTCTGGCGCCGTCGCGCTTCATATTCTCCAACAATTAGTCCCGTTGATCTCAGATGTCGACGGAGTACTTATTTGCCATCTTCTTTATCATTGGTGGGCCCATAACGTGTATAGCGGGGAACATGCAAATCTATACACTGACTCTTACTTTCAAATCATCTTTATCACTACGCGTTGAATCGATATCTAGACAAGTGGTTTAAAATAAACGTAATCGAATCACTCATTTATTAATCTTATAACTCTTCATAATAACGGGAACACTGATTACTTTATAAATTCGTACAGTTTTCCTTAGAAATTCTATATACCCTGAGTTATTAACTAGCGTTAATTTTCCCTTATTAAATTTAAACACGTAAAATATATAAGGCGTAATATACTTATAAGGAACGTTTACATTGGTCTAAATTTAAGCCTCTTAGCTACAACATTAAGTACTGATCTCGGACAACGAATAGGTAATAAGAGCCTCTTAAAACGACAACGATACGTGTACTCCTGGTCGACTCGAAAGCTGATATGCTATTGGTGCCCTACCGCATTGGCAGTATGCAATTGGTGGCGGTATCACACTCTCGATTGTCCCCTGAAGAGATAGCCCAATATTGATATATCAGCTCCATGTAGTCATATGCATGAACATCACAAAGGAGTTGTCCTCAAATGTCCAAACCCTACGTCGAGGTTGCTTTGATGGCTACAGCCTAAATTTTGTTGCTTTTGCTTGTTCGGCTATGTTTAATCTAACCTATGTGCGGATTGCCTTATTTATGTCAGCTTGAATTTGAAATCGGTTTGAAAATTGATGATTTTACTTTAATTCTGGCAATGCCCACTCAATCATCCACTGAGAGCTTATTACCTGGCCTATCGACCAGCGCTCGTTAGGTCGGAATTTGGGCATGCTGCGCATCATGTCAAGGATCGTCTGCGATTCACTGTCGTCAAACGTTCCCGCTGCCCGCCTCGTACTCCTATACTGTTATACAAAGTTTCCAAGGCCTCCTCGAGGCGGGGCCAAGTTCCTCGATCGGTCGTCGGGTGTCACGGTATTTTTTCTTGCATGTCAGATTCCTCTCTAACTGATCTGCCCCAACATTTCTGCTGGCTAAGAGGGAATTCTTTGGAACTTAATACATCAATTTGCTAAGCTGCCATTTCATTTGCAGTTTCTGATTTGCTGAAGATCTTTATATACTATCAAACAGCTTACTTTGTCTCTAGGATTTTTACGTTGGTATTAATCTACTTTTAAAATAAGTTTATAAGTATTATCTTTGATTCAATTAAAATAAATTCTAATATTAATATATTGTTCCAAAAAAATATAATCTCATTATAAAAGCCTAGTTTAAGCTTTGAGGAGATACAAAAAGAATAAGTATAAGATACGTATTATCATTATATGTTGGGATCCTAACGATAATAATCCCAGTCTCGAGGTAAGCATCTTCCAATGTTAGTGTAATATATAGATCCTCCCCGAAATGTAAACGCATTACCTGATTGCCTTTTGCATACCATTCTGATCTGTGCCCACTGAAAATAAGACCATTACATACGTCCAGACTAGAGAACACCGTCTTGGCCCTACTATGTATAAGCTGCCGAACGGACCTGAAAGCTTTTTGAGATGGGTAACTCGGCAAGAAACCAATTCCGGACACGAGGGATTTTAGCCCCGCCTAAACAAACCGCCTACAAACCGCCTTTCCTAACCAGCTATTAGACTAGTCTAATTGGAACTCAAGTCTTGATCAAATCCATATGGTTATAATGCAGAGTTTCAATACTACCTTTACATTTTCATGCTTGAGCTTTTCAGACTTGCGATTCAGATCTTACAGTGAGACCAAAAACGCAGCTCTTCGAACATGTGTTTTGAAAGCGCACGTTGTACGGCTGCTTCACAGTCATGACTGACTAAGGCATGCAGTGTGGATTCTGCACGCTACAATGTGTACCAACGCTCGTCGCTAACCTTGCTGACACAACGTTTGGTGTAAACTATTTTACGATATAAATTTCCAACACATCTGGGCGCAGTGGCAGAGTGGTCTAATGCGTGAGACTAGAATCGGTGACTCTATTCACAGTGCAATCTCATCTCTTCGGAGGCGTCTGTTCAAATCAGGCCTGCGTCGCTTGACCTTTTGCTGAGTGTTTTCGTTCACCCCTGCATTTCAGCTTTTGCTCCAGCGTATTGATTAATGCCTAGAATGTTTCATGTCTAATATTTTTACACTGTCGATACTGTCAAAAGTCCTCACACACAAATGTTCCCAGTTGTAACTATAGTTTGGTACTGATTCTATGTCACCAATTATAATCCAACGCCGCCTTGAGACTCTGTGGAGATTTCTAACCGTAGGCTAGCACCTGTAACGCTTAGAGACGGCTCTGCTATAAAATGGTCCTAATGACCACTAAGCAATCCCTGCTACACAACCTTGCATAGTTCAACGGCTTTTGCCCCATACAACGCAGTGCTGCGCAGGATGCTTGAGGCAATATTTGATATACTCCCGTTGCCTATTTGACTCTTCTTTTGAATTTTCTCTTTAGCGACTTTCAGCAAAACATTTGAACATTCGCTTTGGACAACGTATCGCCCTCTGTAGCAGGCCACCATTGCGAATCAAACAACATGCGCTCGTTTCCTGACAACGCCACGACTCACCGGCCTGTACTCGCAACTAGACAATCATCCAGCGGGGAGGATGAGTTGCCACATGATAGCTGAGGATGTAGTCCGGAAATACGTAGCTAAGAACGTAGCTAGGGATTCGGCGGAGGCACATCTGCAATGTGTCTTTCCAGACCCCGAGAACCTGTCAGGTCGGATCAAGAACATTGCTCGATCATGGCAAGGGAAAGACCCAAGCAACCTGACTTAAGGATATCTGCTTTGTTATTAGGGATGACATAAGGTCAGTCTTTTTGAATCTCTCAGGCAGCGCGGGCCACAATGAGCTCAATCTTGTTCTGGTTGGCAGTCTGCACTGTTTGTGATCTGTACATAAGGACTGCCTAGTTCTAGATTGAGACCGTCAGGGATAAATCTGCTTTGATCACGGTTATGTCTGATACGCGCCAAATGACTCAGCATATTGTTGACATTCAAGCTACAGTGCCTTACGAGTCCGTTTTGTTTGAGCCTTGACAACTTGTCGCAGCATTCGTGGTTCCTAAATATCGTCATTTGCCCTGTACTTTGCGCTGGCTAATGGCCTCGGTTAGAGGTCCTTGTCCTTAGCCCTTGTTGTAATTCTAAAATGAATGCACCTTGCTGTTTTGAGCCAACTCACCCCTGTCGTCAGCTCTGCTCTATCGAAAACAACTGGGTCTTAGGTGGAGCACGATGTTTCGCAATGGCTTCGGCAGAGATCCGAACATTTGCATCCAATCCACCGGGGCGAACTCTGGTGTCTGAAGAACTTTGCAACTCTACAACAACACATTTGCGAACATGGACAGTGTCTGAGTCTTTTCAACAAACTCCGCAGGTTGTGCGAGTATCTAGCAACCAGATCGTCGGGATGGTGGCGCGCTGCAGGGTCCCGCAGTCCCCTGCATTTATTGCGACCAGGGTACGCTGCGGAATTGCAAGACAAGCTGCATTCGCAATCAGCCTGAAGCAGCGACCCCAGGAGCCAATGCGGCTCTCAACGAAACGCTTGTTTACATCTTATATCACTCAACCAATTCCACGAGACTTGCCTCGACAGATCTCTGCTTCCGCAATAACAGACCCGGGCTATAGCAGCAGGTGTATGGCGACAGCAGCATCGTCTGGCATCGGTAAACCCGAGGTCAAGGATATCACCATGAGCAGCATCCGGCCGAAGGAGAAGATCCGTCTTGAGGGAGTTGAGCAAACACTCCTCCCGATGGTTTTGTTCAAGATTCGGGATGCTCAAAATCCTAAGCCAATTCTCGGAGACCCTTTCGCCAAGCAACTCCTTGACTGTTGCGACATTGATCTCGAGGCTTCGCACTTCAGTGCCACCACGGATGACCGCTACGTGACGTGGATCGCCAACCGTGCCAGGCGTTTCGATCTATGGGGTCAAGAGTTTCTAAACTCGACCAAGGAGCCCGTGACGGTGCTGCATCTGGGCTGTGGGTTGGACTGCCGATATTTTCGGCTAGAAAGGCGACCGGAATCAGATGTGAGATGGATCGACCTCGATCAACTCATGGTGGTAGATCTCCGCAATCGACTCATACCGGGTCCAGTGGAAGGTGACTATGCTCTCCGGACACTAGACGTCACCAACGAAGGGTGGTTCAGAGATGTGCCGGCGGACCGACCCACGATCATCATCGCCGAAGGACTGATGCCGTATCTGGTGCCTGAGGAAGGTCAGAAGCTCATAAGAGATATGGTTGAATACTTCGGTGGGGGTGTGGCAGACAACGGACACAAATGCCAGATAGTTTTCGACACGTTGGGAAGTTTGTCGGTAAAGCTTACGAGTTATGTCAAGGCCCTCAGAACCAGCAGAGCACAGTTCAGATGGGGTGTGGACGAACCAGAGCAACTTCTGTTGATTCATCCACAGCTCAAGCTGAGAGATCGGATATTATGGCGTGAGTACATGGACAGCCATCCACCATTCTTCGGCAAGTATGGCACAATAGCGGCGTCGGTGTTGCCCTCATTTGACAAGAACATCCAGTTCTGGAGATTCGATTTTTGATATTAGGAGCGCGAAAAGCCTTTGCGTTGTCCACTTTTTAGTAAAGAGCTCTATTCTCAATGCAACAATGTCATTTTGTAGTACCATCGACGTTGTTTCATGTTGAACCTGCGGTCGCATTCGCATTCGTGCAGTATGAGTAAAAAGGTTCTGAATCAACGCGACTTGGACGTAGAACCGAAAGATATCGAAGCTTTATTCGTACTTGCTATACGAATCTGTAGGGCTAGAAATATAGCCAACCGAGCCAAATCGATCAGCCTATGTACGAAATTGGATTCATGGAGACCGGGGATTCAAGTGATATTTTAATGTAAGTCAATCCGCGTCTGGAAGTTTTAGCGTCCTTGTTTACATGGAAATACTGGCTGGTTGACAGTATGTTAACCGTATGTTCAAACTGTGCCGTCTGTGGTATCACATGGACAGCGTCGGAGAGCAATGGATCTATGATAACTATAACTACAAGGTTGATACCATCTGTTCCGCACAAAGTCATGATAAGCATGATCATATTATTCATGGCGAAGCTGCGGGAAATGGAACTGAGTTTCGACCGTCGCAAGGCTGAAATCCACTTTGCAAGTACTTGAGCAAGGAAATCCCCGATGATGACTTTCCCCGGTTAAATGACGCGAACGCCATTCGGGATCATCAAGGCCATCCTTGTAACAACACGCTTGCTGGGATATGTGAGATTGCTGGGCAGTAGTGTGGACCCCTTGGCGATTTGGTCCCTCCGTATTGGGGTTATAATAGATATTAACATTACAGCTTGAAAGAAGATACCCTGTGGCTACTTGGACACACGCGGAGCACGAAACGGACGCTGTTGTTAGGACGGTCATCGAACCTTTGAGACCTTGCAGATCGTGCGTATTTTCGATCGCGGTACGGCCTGATAATTATGCTGACCTAGATTACATGCTTAAACAACCTCGAGAGGCTTGACGCTTCCCTCTTTGAGCTCCACCCTACATTGGGGGAGCTCGATACCAAACTTTTCGTATACCAGCTCCGTCGTAGAGTTCTCGGCTGGCGTGATCCATCGTCGGTTCTGCAAATCGCCATCCTGCGCTCTATCGAAGAAGTTTTGTGGCGCAAACATGATGCTACTGACAGCTTCGTTGTAAAGCGTCACGGGGACGTCTTCCGACCTTGTGAAGTGGTGCATACCAAGGTTGAACCATACCACCAGATCTTCTCCTTCGATGCTCTCGCCATCGAAGAACTTAGAGAAATCTTGCTGGGGCTTGTACGGCATGTTGAGGTTCTGAATACTGTTGGCCCACACTTCTGTGTCATGTTGCCGCGTAACCGCCAGCTGAGACTTGGAAAATTGAGAGTTGTTTCGGCTGAACGGCGAGTTGAGCGTGGTCAGATGAACATTAGATCGCCCTGGAACGATGCGGTAGCCTCTGTTGGTGCCCCATTTGTTAGTCTTGGTGGCATGATTGACGCAGTACATGTTCTGTCCATTTTCGGCCCAGTTGAATTGTTGCTCCGTCTCCATGTTGTATCGGCTCAGCTCGATCTGCTCAAAGGTACCGAGTTCGGGCCACCAGGGTTGCTCTGTCGGCGCTGCGCGTATCTCGGTGACTTCCAGGTTGTTTTCGGTATCGAGGATGTCGAAATCGGCTTTCCATGTGATGACGTGGTCGTGCAGAGATCCTTGGACGGCCTCCTGCACCCGCGGGCCCCACTTGTCGTTTTGGTTTGGATAATAGAAAGAAGACTGGAGGTACCCAGAAGCGCGGACGGTGACCTCCAAAGAGCCGTCGACGTGGAAGGCGTAGTCAAAGAGGTAGTCATAGTTGCCAACCGTGGCAATGGAGCGCATCGTTAGAAGAGAGGCCTTGGTGACCCCAATGTTCTCGAAACCGAATAGGGTCGTGCCACCTGCCGCACGATGGCGCGAGAGAGGGTAGCCAGCATCAGATTCGAAGATGCAGATGGCATCAGGGAAGACGACTGTCGTGTTTCCGTCGTGGGCGCTGACGTTCCAGAACGAAGACCCGAACGGACAATCAAAACCTTCCACGAGCTGGTACAGACTGCCTCCTAGCTGGTAGTAGGTATCATGGTAGAGTGTGGTGGCAGCTTTGGGTGAGAAGCCTCCGTATTGAGCGGCGGCCTCTTGCATGGACAACTCGTACAAGATGCGCTCACCCTTGAAGCGGATATCATAGAACATGACACCAAGGCTCAACGTGTGGGCGACATAGAACGACCAACCCATATACTCCACATACTTCTGCTCGCTGTCGAGCTTGTAGCGTTTCCCACCGAGTGCGATGCTTTGCGGCGCGAACTTTTCCTCGAGGTCACGCTTGCCCATTGACTCGTCGAGGTTGACTAGTGCCCAATCATAGTCCTCGGGCACGTAGAACTGCTCCGTCAGTTCTCCTGCCTCAAACGCTGTGCGCAAGTCTTCGACGGTCGGAAAGAACCTGGTGTTGGTTACAATGCCTTTCAACTTGTACAGAGAGGTGTCGGTGCCTGTGCATTCCACCATGAGATAGAAGTCGACCGAGCGCAGGTAAGACGCCGGCCCGGGGAACTTGAAGACCACAATACGGTAGGCTGAATTGCCGTCGAATGATGTCGGGGAGGTTGTGATGGACGTCAATGTTGACCTCTCATCGTAGTCTCCATACCAAACACCGCCCAACAGCTTCGCCGTGATGTCGGTGATGTTTGACATGACATCCACCAGGATTGGATCGGATGCTAGGATCCGCATGGCATCAAAGGTCCTGCCATTGAACGGGACGGAACCTCCCGCACCACCGTTGTATAGGTAGTCCAGTTTCTGGATTGTTGTCTCGCTGCTGACTGGTAGGGGACCGACCATGTATTCCTGCGACACTGGCTCTTCTTTACCGCCCTCGAAAATGATGGCCCTGGCATACTGAGCAGGCTTAGGTCCCGGGCCGTCTAGGTAGGGCAAAACCTCCGACTTGTTCATGGGTACTGTGTCGATGTAGAACAGATAGTTGTCATTCACACCTGCGACTGACACGTCCGTCAAATTGAGCCCTGAAGCTGGGTCGTGGAGAAGTTGCCACACTGCCGTATTGTCTTCCGCCGAGACCGAGCTCCAGACGTTGGGTTTAGGTGCCGCGGTGGACGGTGCATCTTCGTACAGTGAGCATGTCGAACATGTAGAGTCGTCAGCGCGCTTGGAGAACTCGCGCAGTAGAGCGCGTCGCTCGAAACCTAGCGGGGTCTTGGTCGACAGAACGCCTCTTGCTGCGAGGAGCGACACCGTCGAAATGAGACCGAATCTCATCGTGACTGCTACTGCGGCGGCTTCGGGCGGTATAAAGAAGCTCGTATAGCGAGCATGACAGAGTTTGCCAAGTGCCGAGCGGGATTTGTCAACGGTATTTATACACGACTACCCGTCCGGTCACCTCACAGATCTCCGGATGATCAGGATCGTCTATACGATGCAGGCTTCTATTTCGTGTACCCAATGATGCAATCCAGCATTGTGCGGCTGCGACTAGACCCAGGTAAGCTCAGTCGTGGGCCCCAAGATAGGATGTGTTGACAGCTCGAATGCCTAGGAATAGCAAGGTCCCCACTCCCCACCGCTGGCTCCACCGCGAGAACCATAAAAGCTTAGCACTACTCTATAAAGCTGAATGTCCCTCGAATTGATGATCGTGATTGGCTGGTTCATCTTTTATGCGAATGTTCTTCTTCTCAATAAACCTTATCAGCAAGGAATCAGAGGGCAGCCAAACACGCGTTTAGGAAACTACACAAACTCGATCCAATCCGAAGTTCATGGGGTGCATCGGCTTGTCCTAAATCATACCAGTGGATGATATATTGCTACCACGACCTGTCGAAGCAAATAGTCTGTGTTCATTGCTTGGCCTGCAGCTGCAGACCCCAACAAGAAAGCCCAATGACGGAGCCCTGGCAGTAGACAGAGAGCACCGTCAGATAAGGCCGCTCAGCAACTCGCTATAGCTGACTGCCAAGCTGAGGCTTACTTGGCAACTTAAACGGCGAGGTCAATCCATGCAGAAACAACCCCGTTCTGCTCAAGAGTAGATATTTCGAACCTCATAATCTATCGTCGTGAGTGGTCCTGAAGTTTCCCCTTCGTGGGCACAAGTCACTAACTGGTCTCGAGTTTATTAATCAGGCGCATCGAGGACTTGATCTGCTGTGTGAAAGTCATGCATGCAGTTCATCTATTATTTACTGTTTACTAACACTGCTTGGCTAAACTTGGGGCTTGGCAAATGTACAAAGATCTCACCTCCGACATTAACCAGGTACAAAATCATCGTGGTTTATGCAGTGCGGGGCAAATCCCAAATCTTTGTCGTCTTATGCGCTCTAATAGCCTTGGCATTAGTTTACAACAGCGTCTACTAAACTTCACGTTTCTGGCACCATCACTAAGTTCTTATTGCCTAAAACCCCCCCACCTTTCTTTCTTATCATTCGTCACTCATCACCACGTCAGCTAGGACACATTTCCCAAACACAAACTTTGGTCGTATCTTGGTTGTTGAACTGCCGGTGGCAGCCTTTCTAAGACCCCGATAAGTGCGGTCGTTGCGGTGACGCTCTTGAAAGATCGTGGTTTCAGCATGCAGGCGTAGACTAATCTTTTTGGCTATATATTTAGCCTTACGTCTTCTGGTATGCTCGGACACAACCGAAGAGGCTGTATGGCAACTAGAAAGACGGGTGTTGCCGGCAAACGACCAGGTACAGACTCTAGGCCTAGCTAGCCAAGACCTCAGCCTCAGCCTCCAGACAACGTACCAGTCACGCTATTTGATCAACTCGGAACACCTGAATACTTCAAAAGTCCATGGAGGCGGGTGATTGATAAATGGTCAGCGTGTGCAATATCGGGTGTCAGTCAAGACAAGCAGTTGTGCAAATAAGGCAGGCTTTGTCAACGCGGCTCGATGTCTCTGGGGCCTTGGCTTATCGCACTGAGTCTTCTCTATATTCTATAGGCTAGATATCACTGTCATGAACAGGCCCTGCAGCTCAAACCTGCCCTACTCAATACGCTCTTCCTCGGCCATGTTAGCTTCCTTCTTCTTGGCGTCCAAGGTCTTCTCCACATCGTGACGACGAGTCTCTGCATCGACAGCTCCAAAAATGATGTCAATCTCCTCGAGGGTGCGTTGCTTGGTCTCAGGAACAAACAAGAGGACGAACAATCCCATAGCGAAACAGAATACAGCAAACATGATAAAAGTCTTCCAGCCAATGCTGGCAATTGCGATCGGCGTGATCTTTGTGATTACAAAGTTAAAGGCCCACTGCGTGGCAGCTACGGAGCAGAATGTTAGCTATTTACGTGTGACATGGGTTGGCGAGGATCCACTTACCAGCGACTCCTACACCATAGGCACGAAGACGAGTCGGGAAAATCTCCGACACGAAGACCCAGGGAGTAGGTCCCCATGATGCCGAGTAGCCAATGACGTAGAGGTAGATCATGACGGCCATGGCGATACTGGCGCTGCTTACACCATCGGCATTGGGGTTCGGGGGAAACTTGACGAGCAGGATACCAATGATCAACATCATGATTGTCATCCAGACCGCACCGCCGACTAAAGACCACTTGCGACCCCATTTGTCAATACCGATAAGTAGAAAAATGGCTGTCGCAACCACCTTCACGGTTCCGTATACGCCCGTGGCGAACAGAGAGGAGTCAGACGATGAGATGCCGATGGTCTGGAAGATTTGTGGCGCATAGTACCCGATCGAGTTGGTACCGGAGAATTGTTGCCAGAACATGACGAAGAACGCCAGGACGAATCGCTTTCTGGAGCGGAGTATCAGCAGGGCCACTTCTTGACGTCATGTTGGATATACAAACCTGTTTGCTGGGGCGAATATCTCCTTCCACGAGAAACCCTCCATTTCCAAGTGTTCCTCTTCGACGGCGGCTCGGATCTCAGCCATCTCTGCAAGGATCAGAGGATCCTCCATTCCTCTGCATCGTACATGTGCTAACGACTCGTGGGCCTTTTCGTTGCGTCCCTTCTTGGCCAGCCATCGAGGACTTTCTTTGAGAAAGCAAAGGCCGACCAACATGAGGCCACCAGGAATCAGCTGAATGGCGACAGGAATACGCCATTGCTTGGTGCCAGTTGGAATATGCTTTGCCACTCCGTAGTCGAGCCAGTAAGCAAAGGTTGAACCGATGACAAGCATTTCTTGAAACAACCCGGCGATGCGTCCACGAATCTTTGGTGGAGCATTCTCGGACACGTACACGGACATGACACCGCTCAGCCCACCAACACCCAGACCAGCAATGATGCGCCCAGCATAGATAAGACTGATCGCATGCGTCGCTCCCGTCTGGATGGCGGCTCCAACCATGAAGATTGTGCAAAAGAGGAAGAGGGTTGCACGTCGACCGATCATATCATTGATGATCGACGCCGCGATGGCGCCGAAGAAGGCTCCGGCCGTGAGGAGAGCCACGACGTTTGACGAGACATTGGCATTCTTCTCGCTAGCGAAGCCTGAGCTTTCCAGCGGAAGGCCAAAGTCGAGCTTGAAGGAATCCATGGCCAGAACAGAACCCATGACACCGGTGTCGAAACCGAAGAGCAGTGCTCCCATATAGGCCACGGCTGTCAAGAGGTAAACCCTCCGGTTCTGGAAAAAGCCATCGGGGGATGCCATCGTTGCTTGCTTTGTTCTCGAAAGGCGGGCAGACTTCGACACACCTTTGCGGGATAGAGAGACGATGGATGTCATCTCGCGGGATGATGGCAAGATGTGGCTCTTATAGATCTTCGAGAGATCCCAGCCCCGAGCTTACCGACCCTTGCGACGCTGTCATCGGAACAACTTATCCAAATGCTAGCTGAGAACCACTTCTTCGGCTTATCAACCTCGCGCTATTCGGGAATAAGGGTCGGTGGTGTGGATATTGTGGAGGTCCTCCAGGCTTTTTGGTTGGGGAATTCTTGGGAGGAGCCATCCGAGAAACGAGCGGATGGGGTGGTGGTCCACTCGTGCCCGGGGTAAGTGTGGGCGAGCCAGGAGGTATTTTCCCGTGTGGGTTCGCCATTGTGAACCTGAGCAACACAGTGGCCGCGATGTCTTGATGTTGCGTGCGAAATCCTCGCAAAACTCATCGTATATCTATTCGGTTGAGGGTACCAAGATATCGCATAGGCACAAAAGCCTAACCGTTGGTGTGCTAAGCTCCCGGCTGGACAGGGCCAAGACGCCTCCCGTGAGCTTGACCATTGAGCTTGTCGAGCAAGTGGCGGTCATGGGCTGCCTTGGCCTGCATTATCGTAAGCGAACCAGGAAATGACCCATGTACACCTACGGATCCGGACATGCATGCCTTTATTAAAAGGCGTCACAGTTGTGCCGAATGCCACTCACCGTTACTGCAAAGCACGAGTGACGACATATCACTACAGCGTCATCCTCGTAAAGAGAGAGACTCGACGGATTTCGAAAGTACAGTAGGGTTGCCTGCTTGCCAGAACGCGAAGCGACTTTTGTGGTCGGTAGTGACGGCTGCGGGATATGCGGCAGACGCTCGCCTATCTGCTTATATTCCTGTCTTATCAACAGGGGTGGCGCCCTGAGAAAAGTTTTGCTGGGTTTAGAAGATAGCGCCGTGTGGGGGTTTCTTTGGGGTTATAGCTATGAGGGGAAGTTGAACTCAGCTTTCCCAAAAAAGAAACTTTTATAAGGAGTACCGCGCGCACTGATGAACAGCGCATCAACACTGGGAATATAGTCATCAAAGTTGTAGAGTCGTGGTGCCAAGACCCGAGTTTCTCACTATCCCGTCGATCTGCGAATCTATCGCGACTTTGCGCAACATACATATTAGCCACATCGCCGTTATTTGCGATGGTCTAACCTAAGTTACTCCACCGAGTTGGAGAATTAACAATTCTGCCCCTGCATCCAAACCCCAGAATAGCTTAGACTACGTAAAAATCTTATGGAGGAAGTCTGTTGGCCCAAGCCTCGTAATCGGGACTGCCAAAGATGTTGTCTCAGTCAAAAGCCACACCCCATGATTGATCAGAGCAACTTGTCACCGGGTTCGCGTCGCCTCTCTCATTAGACGTGTTGCAATGCCATCTTTGCCCGATATCTTACGGGTATCATTGAATCCACTTGTTAAACATAACCGACGAGGCGGACGACCTTGAACATTTTCACCAGCGCGTCTCGCAACCGCCTTAGGCACGACTATGGCAAGGTTGAATTGCAAGTATCGCGACTAAGCACTCTGCAGATGCATGGACGTGCGACTCTCAATGCATCAACAAAACGGCATTGCAGAAATATTGAATCGATTTCCTTCTAGGGCGTATGCCTACCTGATAGTTCAGATCTCCCATAGGAGCCCTTGTGCTTGCCAACGATCTCGAGATTGCATGTTGCCGACTCCCGCCCGCCGTGCGCAAGATCGATTCGAGGCTCCTTCGCCGGTATCCTTGACAACAGTATGTTCATCTAATAAGTCGCGAACAAGCCCGCACAAACCGGCGAATGGGAAGAACTGTATTACACTGAAAGATGACCCCTACAGCGACCGACGGCAACAACATGGCGACCAGCATCATTCGCTACATTGCGCTACAATACCTGTATCAACATGATATAAAATCACACATTGACATGAAGCCAGAGTGGCTGAAAGAGCTTGAGGGATTGATCTGGCAGGAAGGCCTCTAGATATCCTGATGCCGAGAGAGAATTCGCAGCCAATGGCTGCCGCTTCGATGGGATTTATATGGAACAGATGAAAACAAGTGCAGACAATTCACCTGTGGGAGGCCGTTCTCTCGTAGCTATACAGTAGACTGTTCGATTTGCAGCATCGTGAACCACAGGTCTCAAGTTTTGAAGTACGGTGCTTGTATGCCGGTGGGTATGTATTAAGTAAAACCATATTCATTCTAGAGCTTACTGGCCGTGACAGAATATAATTGACACAATTGAAGGCCTTATTGTCTTCGTATCTCAATGTGGACTGGTGGTTGCCACAAGTTTGCTCTGTACACGTGCACTATGGTATGGAGGGCAATGGGGCAGGTACCAGATCGATTGCATGGGCGTTTTCCCGCGATGTTAAGCAGCACGCTTCGCTACGGGGAAGTCAGCCCAAATATCTGTGCAGTGTCCGAATCCGCCAGAGTTCTGACAGTGGAGTCAAGGCCATTGACAGAAGTGAGACATCCCGCTGAAACCAAGAGTTATCGTGAGTCAGAGCTCTCTAACCGGCCACATAGATTTCAAAGCAAATGCAGTAACAATCGCAAATGTCCTAATCGCATGCCTTTCAACAATATATGCATCATAATTGGCGGCTGACCGTTCGGCGGATCAATGCACCCCAGCTGAGCCGCTTTCTTTTTCGGGGCACAAAACGTTCGAACCCCGCGTTTTCTGGTGTGCTAGCCAGTGAAGTCACTCGAGCTGACGATCAAGCTCACTGAGGTTCCCCACAAACGTGAAGCGGAATATCCGGGGAACATCGTGCTCTGAATCACCAACCATGATCACCAGCGCATACCGGAATATCCGCCCACCAAGCAAGTCATTGGTGTGGCTTGGCGAGAGCCGGCAGTAGTTTCGGCATCAACCGTGTGAATATCAACGAACCTTGGTCGTGCCCTATATCTATGAGGGACCATCTTGATCATCTTCCTGTGGTGGCATAGTCCTCAAGTTTGTGCATAACCACCCTGCTTCGTGACGGATTACAAGACGAGCCGCAACTCTTTGTCATCATGGATTTTCAATCGTTATTGCCACAGCTTACTTTGGAGGAGAAAGTTTCTCTCCTGTCGGGCCAGAACTTCACATCTACCGGTGGCATCAAGCGTCTGGGCATCCCACAGATCAAGGTGACATTTCACAATTTGTAACCGATGATTGCTCCAAAGACGTGCTAACAAACTACAGGTTGCCGACGGCATCAATGGTGTGCGCCCATCTCAACATGAGAGCGAGATGTCGACTGCATGTTTCCCGAACACGACGTGTCTTGCGTCAACATGGGATGCTGAGCTTCTCGAGGAGCTAGGGGAGAGGCTCGCGAAGCAAGCCCGAATGAAGAGTGCTCAAGTTGTGCTGGGCCCAACGATCAATATCCATCGCGATCCTCGTGGAGGCCGTAACTTTGAATGCTTCAGCGAAGATCCGCTACTTTCTGGGCAGCTGGCAGGAGCCATCAGCAATGGTTTGCAGAAGAACGGAGTGGGATCCTGCCCCAAACACTTTGTATGCAATGATTCCGAGCTTTGGAGGCACTACTACGACGTTCAGGAATCGGTGAATGGCCGGGTGTTACGCGAGATATATCTCGCAGCATGGCAGCATCTTTTACGGGTGGCTGATCCGGTCGGTATCATGATGGCGTAAGTCAATACACTATCACATAAAGCCAGGAGGCTATTTTGTTGTTCAGGCTAACTCTGCAAAGTTACAATAAAGTCGAGGGCAAGTTCTGTAGTGATAGTCACCCTCTCATGCAGGAGATACTACGCGAACAGTGGGGATACAAGGGCATCACCATGTCAGACTGGTTTGGTACTCATGCTACTGAGGGCCCAATAAAAGCAGGGCTCGATCTTGAAATGCCCTTTCCGGTGAATCGAGCCAGAAAGCTTGTGGCCGCGGTCAAATCAGGAGATATCTCAGAGTCAGAAATCGATGTTCGCGTGGCGAAAATGCTTGAGCTTCGCGATCGAACACGAGATTGTCACCAAGATGAGCCTGAAAGGTCAGACGTGGACGAAGCTACGAGTCAGACAGCCCGTAATCTGGCAGCTGGTGGTATCATCTTGCTCAAGAACGCAAACGAGGCCCTACCGCTCAATGTTTCTCGATCGTCTAAAGTTGCGGTGATCGGAGAATATGCGAAGGATCCAGTTGTGACGGGTGGTGGCAGTGCATCCTGCGTCCCACAGTATAAGGTATCTCATTTGGATGCGCTGCGAGAAGCCGCTCCGGAAAATATCATATTCGAGTACACAACCGGTGTGCGTAGCAGAAGAGTTATTCCTCTCGCTCCCACTGAGATCCTCAAAACTCTCGACGGGCACGATGGGATCGAAGTCAATTACTTCAACGAGCAATCTGGGGAGCCAATTCTCACCGAGCATAGAGGAAAGCCTCAGGTGTGGATGCTGGGGGAGTTCCCTAAAGGCCTTGACGTTCCTGGCTCGCGGATAGAGCTCACTACAAAACTGACTCCTACCACCTCCGGGAAACACACCTTGGCGGTGCGTACGACCGGCGACTTTGCTTTGACCGTCAATGGTACAGAAGTACTCTCGGGCAAGAAGAAAGAAGTATCGACGGAGCAGTTTATCTTCAATCACATCTTGCTAGAATCCCGCCACGACATTACGATGGAGGCCGACCAGGCTTACGATTTGAGGTTGGTGATGAAATCTCCTGAGAAGCTTACCGCCGGCGAACCTACCCCATATGCTGCATCTATCTGCTTCGAGGAATTTCGCTCCGAGGATCGAGATATTGAGAATGCCGTGGAGCTTGCCAGGATATCTGACACCAGCATCATTTTCGCTGGACGGAATGGGCAATATGAGTCTGAGGGCTATGATCTAGAAGAGATCCGGATGCCCATAAACCAAACCAAACTAATCAGAGCGGTAGCGGCAGCATCGAAACGTACTATTCTGGTACTGCACTGCGGCAACCCCATCGACATAAGCGAGCTCGTGGATGACGTGGACGCTGTGCTGAATGCGCACTTCCCTGGCCAGGAAGGCTCACGAGCGTTGGCGGATATTTTGACGGGCAAGGTGAGCCCTAGTGGCCGGTTGGCGACAACGTGGTTCAAGACCTTAGAAGACACACCGTCATTCGGACACTTCCCAGCGAAGAAGTTGAGCGATGGCACTGTTGTCATGAAATATGCAGAAGGATTGCAGATGGGTTATCGCCACCCGGAGCTCGAAAGGGTCAGGTGGCCCTTTGGTCATGGCCTTTCATACACAACTTTCAATTACAGCGACCTGAGCTCAAAAACGGAAGCTGGCAGCTCAAATCAAACCCTAGTATGTTCGGTTACGGTGACCAACGCAGGCGGTGTGGCAGGGCACGAAGTGGTTCAGCTCTACGTTACCCCCTCCGACAGTACCATTGTCTGGCGTCCGGCTAAAGAACTCAAGGCATTCAAGAAAATCTTCCTTCAGCCTGGTGAATCTAAAACAATATCTCTGGGCTCTGATCTCGAAGTAGCGTGTAGTTATTGGGATGAGCAAGAAGTGGCCTGGAGAATGGATGCAGGCACATACGGGGTTCTGGTAGGCCAGCTGAGTGCGAATTTTGCAGTAACGAGAGCATCCTGTTGGAATCACTTGTAAATGTCAGGAAGTCGAAGTTCGGGATGACATCTGATCCATGAGTAATTACTGTCTAGCGAATATTGACATTGATAACCGTCATTTCATGTGTTATGCTATCTGTACCTTCGAGCAACCCCTTTTTTGCCATGTTAATTCAAGCGTTACTTCCTATTGCTGGGATCTCGTTTCTTTTATGTATCCACTTGATCTTGACGCATTCAGCGTTATGATCGATTCATGGTCGCATCGTGTTGTATCGTGCCGTATACCGCACTGCTGAACTGTTGTCGGAATCCTCAACAGTTTTAACATAATAATCACCTAATTTAAGAGAACTCTGCCGAATTGGCCTTATAGGATTCTCTACAACCCCCAAAATCCAATCTTTCCCTACATCTCGACCCTGTAAGCACTAATATGGGGGGGACCCCAGATTTCTCCGCAAGTTGTGTCACATGCACTAAGTCGACCGCTAGACAGCCAGGATCGCCCAGATCGCCGGAAATTCCGGGGAGCCAATCTTGCCCAGGGGTCCCCAAATTGGGTAACAAGAGTCCAGGCCGCAAGGCGAGCGACAAAGTCTTCTCCAAATTACTGGGGGTTGACCTTCCAGGTATGTCATTTTAATAGGCTAGACCAATCGTTTTGCACCTGGCACAGACGAGAGCTGAGTGTTTATCTTAGTACCGGCATTCTCAAACCTCCTATGCTACCCTTTCGCTCTTGTCACACTGAACGTCTCGATTACACTTCTTCCTTCGCACAGACAGCATATCCAAGGCCGAGCTCTGTAGCTGTTTTCCGCAATATTTTCTCCAGTCGCGTCGGCGTGTCGATATTCTGACACACGGGAATCAGCAGACTCTTGATATACGCAGCGATTTGTAAATCTTACCATGACAACGGAAACGTTACCGCGAGCATCGGAGAGAACGCACGGCGTTAGGCTATACCCATACACACTAAAAGTAGATAAGCTGCAAATTATCAGCATGCATCGATATTGGTAAGGACTCGACCTTTGCTCTTACCATGATACATTCTTTAATAAGCCCTTCCCATTGCATCGCCGTCGACCACCGGTACCAAGAATACCACTGCCTATGGCAATCATCTCTAGGTCCACTTCTGAGACATATCAGATCCCATCTCGCACATCCGGGCGATATGATTCCAGGTTGATCTGTATGCATGGCTTTGCGACAGGGCTTAGGGCGTCAAATACTTTCACTTTGGTTCCAACATCCTGCTCGATCTCTTCACGTTCCATAAGTGTTGACTCGCGCCAAACCACAGACGGGATTCGGGAATTGCCAGAGATCCTACGGCCCTCACCTGCAACTTCATTGCTCCGTTGTCCATATCCTGCAAAGACGTTTGGATGATTTCCACAATCCGAACGTCATCCCGCAATGCGCCTTTCGCAATGGTTTCCTCAATGGCTCTTTGCTGCGCCACGACGACAATGGCCCTCTCGTCGTGTCCTTCGGGAAGCTCAATTGAATCGACTTCACCGGAAACCTTGGCGATAGCAGCTCCGACGGCATTAGCAGCTCCTTAGTATACTCGGTGGATAAATTTCTCCACTCGGTCAAGATCTTTAGTAACAAGAAGAGACCCTCCACCCACCAGAAGTACATGTACAGGCGCTGACGATACTTTCATTTGATCGGTAGCATTCTCTAGCATCCGTTTGATCTCCTGGTGTGCACTGTTGACTATGTTAGGCGTGAGATACTTGACCAGTGTAGCATCGCCGATACAGGCCTTGCCCATAGCCACGACGATGTCGGTTGATGTGACAGTTGAGCCTCCGAAGACCATGGCTTCTTCATGAATGCGGTGGCCCACGGAGCCAGGACCAACATTAACGCCCCCACTTGCTCCGCCGCTGGCTTGAACAATGCTACCACCTCCTAGCCCGATGGAGACAACTTCCGGCATAGAGAAAGCAGTCTGTACGCCCCCAACCTCGACGAAGCCTGGTGCCTGTCTAGGGAATCCAGAAGGCAAACGCGCACAGGCGCCTATCGTGGTGCTTCCGATATCTACCACGAGTATTGTGGTGCCGTGACGCAGATATTACTCTTCTGTCTCAACTCAGGCGGCTGTTGCTTGTCAATGGATTCCGGCGAGAAAAGCAGCACCAATCATGCTGTTTGTAGACCCACAAGCAAATATCTTGACAGAAATTCGTGCGGCAGTGTCCGCATCGATAATTGTTCCATCGTTCTGGGAAAGAAAGAGAGGGTAGTGTAACCCTAGTCTGGCCATTGCACGTCTGAAACCCCTCGTCACTTGCGTGCTCGTCTTCAAGATTGTAGCATTGAGAATCATAGCATTCTCCCTCTCAACGAACCTAGTCCGGCTGGTATCATGGGAGCATACTACCTTGAATTTAGGCGCCTTGCTGGTCATCAGCTGCTTGCATGCTTTGCCTTGGAGTCCTCGGTGGTCTAGTGGAGAGAAAATGCCGACAATAGCCACCGATGTAATGCCAAGACCCACGATGGTATGTGTTGTTTCATAAATCTGTTCAACATTCAATCGTAAAATCTCACGTCCGAACACTTCACACCCGCTATCGAGATAGTATGCCCCTCCGTCCAAGATTCTTCGTAGACCGAGAGGGAAATGGGAAACGGAGGTATTTGTCTCGCAAAAGGACCGCAGAGACGAACAACCGCTACTCGATCCAGTCTCCTGGAGTCTGCTTCCACCAGCGCATTGATGAAATGAGTAATTCCAATTGTGGCGCTGAGTACGCGTCCTTGTTCCACCCTAGACTCTGCAAGTATCGCATGAATAGAATCCTCAATGCTGCTGGTTATGTCTGTCGTATTAGCTGTCTTGTAGGGTGCCAGAACGCAACGCCCCGGAGTATCCGAAGCCGTGATATCCAGGATGGCGGCGTCAGTGTTAGTGCCACCGACGTCGAGTCCGATGCGATACATGGACATAGTGATATGTGACACACCGTTGGCGGTTGAATTGCTTCAGGAACACCTCGCGGCGGAGAGTGGATTTTTATAATGCTGTTGTTGATTTCATCATATGGGTATCTGTTGAGCACGTTTTACGACCCCGAAACGATGTCTCCACCACGCTTTCAATGCTAGTGATCCTTGTTATGGCCGCTTGAACAACGATCACCAATGTACCTCCTAAAAGCAACTGTGTGTAGGTGGTTAGCCGGGTAGTCCCGCAATAGAGCTGAATAGCAGAGATCGGCCAACTCTAGGTGGTACTATAGTTGTTATCTAACGTTGCATAACCTGACTTTTTGGGAGAGCATAAAACATCGAGTCGCAAAGACCGTAAATCGGACAGGCCAACTAGAAAACAGACCAGAACAGATAATAAACAAATAAATACATGACCTAGAAGATGCAGGTTATGTCCGGTCGGCACACTTGTCCACAATCTCGGATAGTATGCTTGCTTACCCCTATGGTTTATTGGTTGTCCAATAGCTAGAAGTGAATCGTCAGTTGGCCGATCAGTCTTAGCGCCTCTCACGCCATGCCGGAGTTTAGATAAAGACAATCTTGACAAAAGATATTAACATACGTGCTCCCTCAACTTGCTTGACATAGCAACAAATATATATCCTAAGATTACCGTCAATCTATTAACAATAGGCCCACTGTTTTTGAATGTCACACATAAAATAGTTAAATATATTTCAAGACGCTACAGACGCTACGAAGGTTTGTCAGAGAAACTCTCCCATGAAATTGATACAGTCACCAGCTAATAGATATCACAATCATGTCAACTCTTCCTCAACCGAACCGAGCCAGAGTATGGATCTCTATGGATCGTAAAACATCCACTCAACCAACAATATCGCCCATAAACGAGCGTATAGAATAATAACATTGGACCGCTCGAGGTCGAGAGGCGCACTGGAAACTTTTTGACTTTCCATAACTCCTGTGAGTGAGTAGGAACAGGTCCTGGAGTCGTCAATCTTACCACAGATTTCCAAGGGCTGCTATGCAACTGTAGCATAGCAGCGTACCTCACCGGTAGTGCACTTATTCCATTGGGTCTCACTTGGTGGCAGGCGATCATCTGTAAGTGCAGTGTTCCCAGAGGTGCAGATTCTGGCCACTGATCCTCTTGTATCTTCGCAATCTCATCAGAAACGTTATTACAACCGCTGCACTTCTTGTGAGCTCTCTAGCAGGTGCTTATTACAACAGTATGTCCTCCTGTGCCACAGATTATGGGATATTAGCATCTCATAGATCTTACTCGGATTTTCTGTTTACAGTTGAGCGGTATGGGGGGTTTGGGGGTCCTAGTTCGTGATATGGAATCGTATATTTTTGTCCCTGGGTGAGCATACCCTTTTGTATTGTGTCTGCGCATTATCAGAAGCGCTAACAGGTTCTAGCATGGTGAGAAGACCTGCGATCAAGTCAAGCACGACAATCGAGAAGCCACTGACAGCGATACCCAAGTACGGCTTCTAAGCTCGGGTCGGTGGGCAGTACGTGTACCTCATCCTTCATTCATGGGACCCCGATCTTGAACAAAACGTCATGAACACAATCCCTTCCGATACTGGCATGACTTCTGCACAATTTATTGCTTATGTCATTTTCTGTGTCTCAACCATCCCTTTCCTGTGGATACACTCTCATCGTATACGAAAACTACTTAACGGTTCGAGCATTATTACCCTAGCGTTCTTCTTAGTCCTCCTAATATGGGCTTCTCGCAACGATGGGCCCGGAAGGGTTTGGCGCAACGCTAGGCTCTGACAGTGAACTACCGCTCACAGGCCAATCATGTATAACCTTAGTGTAGTATGGCTCATGATCTCGGGGATCATAAAGACCATTGGCTCTATCGCTGCAGGGATTATAAATCAAAACGACTTCGCCCGCTATGCCAGCAGACCGGCGCATGCTTATTGGGGTCAGGCATTTGCCTTCCCCATCTATAGCATATTCGCATCGGTTCTCGACATCCTAGTCACGGCTGCTACCCAGAATCGTCTCGGGGAGAGGCTGTCTGGAATCCGCCGACTCTTTTCGTTAGTCGGCTCGAACGCGACGGTGGTGGTGCTGGAACGCGCGCTACGGTAGCCTTTGCGGGGCTAGCTTTGACGATTGCTCAAATGGGGACTAACATTCCTGGCAACGCTTTCGCTGGTGGCATAGATTTGTCTACGATCTTTCCTCTGTACATCAATGTAAGACGGGCAGCATATATAACCGCTATTCTATGTCCTATCGTCTACCCTTGGCGGCTAGTAAAAACTGCGACGACTTTTCTTACGGTCCTGTCTGGGTATGGCGTCTTTTTGGCGCCGATGACTGGCATGATGGCTGCGAGCTACTTGATTGTGAACAAACAGAAACTTCAACCAGAGCATCTTTACCGTGGAGATGCAATCAGCATATACTGGTACAATAAGGGCGTCAATTGGCGTGCCCCTGTTGCGGTAGGCATGTTCCCCGCTATAAGTAGCACTCTCATTGTGCTAAATGAAGACACACAGTGGCTTGTTGGCATCGCAATGTGCCTGCCTGGATTTATAGCCGCAGTAGACACGTCCATTACCGTTCCTAACAGTGTCGCCGAATTCTACGACTTGAACTGTGTTTATGGGTTCCTCTCGGGCGCATTGTGCTATATTATCCTTCATGGAGTCTTTCCAGCTTCTGCAGTTGACGCATTCGCCAATCAATCGCCTGAGGCTAAGGAAATGCATCGCCTTCATCATATACGATGGGATACCGCATTTGAGGTAGTGCCAGACGTACAGGGCTGCAATCTCCATGGAGCAAACCCAACAAAACATTCAGACAAGTCTGTTACGGGCGCGTAGTTCGTCTTTGGTTCTGTTTGGCCTGCATCTCGAATGCCAAGATACCGAGAAAGAAACGACAAAATAGTTATTTGCATCAACCCGTCGGCTGTAATTTGGTAATTTGGTGTGCGCATTTGGTTAGGATTCCTACTTGACAGCATCGACCATAGACCCACGCTTGTAAGCAATATAGATAGTTAGGGGCGGCTGACAGATTTGGAGTGGCATGCGGAAATGAAGCTACTGTGTGGACAGATCCTGTAGTTAGTTCTAGAGAGAGGCTCGAAAACAGCTGTAGCGGACAGTACACTAGCGTATGCTTTCTAAACCTGTGGCATCTAAAGATATCTACTTCTCGTCGTGGTGAAATGACACTTTGTTGAAAGACACTATGAAGCTGTGGTGCTCGTAATAATGATCGAGACCATAGCTTTGCGTTAACTCTTTCTCTGGTCTAGACTAGGTAGTGCTAAGAAAATGGGTCCTCGTCGCCAGCCATGTGTATCACCCCTGAGGTGTCCTCAGCAGGCCCTGTTCAGCGGTACTTCGTCCTGTCCTAGCATCGGCGAACCCCCTACCATAGTAAAACGGCCAACTAATTACGTGGCACACGCCGGTACCCCAGTCAAAGTCAACCGACCGTACGAGCGCATCATTTCCAAGTATCCCACAGATGAGGGCATTTTCAGCCAACCTACCAATTTGTTATACATGCCTAACATTTAACATCAGCGGCAGGCAAGCCATACAGCACCTCGGGAGACTGAGTCGCAGGTAGGCAAGTCCAAAATCAAAAGCAGTTTTGGCGAGGCAAGAACGTGGAGAAGCAGAAAGAGCCGGCCTTGCGACAGGTGTCGGAAGAGAAAAACCGCCTGTGTAATCCCCGCCGAACCTCCCTGTGAGCGTGCGCGTCAGCCGTCTTAACAACCCCCAAGCTCACAGATCACAACAGGCAGCTTTTGTAGACAACGCGGTCTGGTTTGCGAGGCGTCATTCAATACGACTGGGAACCGTGAAAGCAAAGAGAACGGTTTTCGTTCGGAGTTAAGCTACGAGAGAACGGCAGAGCGTCCACAGCTTCAACAACCTGTGAATACTCAAGTCGCCACCACAGCCAGCCCAGTTTTGACGAACCAGCCTGTGAACCACATCGACCAGGGCAGGAGTATTCGCTGCGCCGATCTTATAGGTTTCGCCCTCCTCGAGGACTTGGCCCAAGGGCCATACACTTGAGAACAATGTCGGTAGGACAGCGCATTGCGTGGGACCGGCTTCGAAGCAAGACAATCAGCTTCTTAGCACGTTTAGATCTGCTATCATCAATGATCATGACAAAGTGGATGCCAACATTATTCAGGTCTACCACGAAAGCCATCCCATCACTCAATCGCCAATTCATTTCCTCCCTGCTTGAGAATAAATCCCCGCCTCACACGAATAGAGCCCTAGTAGTTAAATCAGATGCAATCGAGGACTTGGTGCGGCCTTTTGGGTCCAGCCTTGTGCGGTTGTATTTCCAACACATTTCTCCCGTGTTTCCTATCCTTGCCAAGACGCGCTCCTTGAGATAATACCATGACACAAAGACAAGTATTCCAGCCTCTTTGAGGGGGGCTGTATACGCATTGGCATCTATGTTCTGGCCAGATATCCGTCTCTCCACGGTACATGCCCTTTCGAGCAGCATGAATTGGTGAGCTATGCCTACGATTTGTTGAGCCGGGAGCTGGAAGCCCCTAGCCTTTCGCAATTGCAAGCGTGCCTCTTACTGCTGCATACTCAGCCCCCAAGCGTCAACAGCGTCGAAACACCAAGCACCTGGACATCCACGGCCCAGGCGACAGCCTATGCGCAGATGATCGGCTTGCACCGCGATCCCAGTGTATGGGATATTGAGCCGTCGGAGAAAGCTTTACGTAAGACGTTGTGGAGGGCAGTGTTTACTACCAATGCGTGGTCGTCTACATGTCATGGAAATCCCCTTCATATCCACTAAAACTCGTTTGACACGACGATACTCAATATATACGATCTTCGATACGATGAGGATATCCACGATGATTTGTTTCACATTGTAGATTCGGGCGATGCCCATTTCCAATCCACCATCGCAGCGAGATATCTTGAGATGATACGTTTGCCCCAATTGTTACACGAGGTTCTTACTTGCAGTTTGTGAGTCCGCATGACGAATGCGATTCGGTCAAGAGCTTATTCTTTCCTTCAAGCCAGATCAAGCCTCTTCATGGTAGCAACGAAGAGTTTCAACCAACGAGCGATAGCCTTTCGATACTCCGTACACGTCTGGCAGATTGGCAAAACCTTCTTCTACATTGTCTTCTTCTCGACATCACACGAATATCGAAAGTGCGTGACAACAGTCTGTCGCCCTTGTCACAAATTTCATCATGCCCGTTAATCATAAAACGGTAGAAGTAGCTAACGCTGCTACAGACTCTTTACAACTGTGTTACGGTGGCACCCAGATCCTCCTGTCATGGGCGTTGATGTATCCCACGACTGCAAGCGCAAGGTCTGGTCTTGATTCAAATCTTCGAAGACATTTCGCATCATCGCTTGTAAACACTCAAGCTTTCATGCCATACGTTGCGGCCATGGGCAAGGGATCATTGAATGGACTTTTGCCTCGGCGTGTGTTCCAACCCGTATGTGGCGGCCGTATCTTCACTAATATGCTTCAACTAAGACGCGCGCACGCAATTGATTATTTGTGGGATTATCTCATCTACCTCTTCCTGCTCGCTAAAGAGCCTGGAGATGTAAAACAAGCTTATCAGCTATTGGAGGCACTCCAAGCGTCGTTGCAGGAGCTCGAATGTGTTGGAAATTGCAAAGTGAAATTGCTGTTGAAGCCAGTTAGCTTTAGGGTCAGCTCCTTCTCACCAAGGCCGAGGCCGTCATGCGCCAGAAGTGTACGTCTCATCCAGCGTAGCAGATATAATGTGTCACTTTAGTACTCGATTGCCGCCTGTTCGACAGATCTTTCATGAGGCGAGATGGAGCCACCAAATTCTATGCGCTATTCTTACGGAAGCTGGGTTAGTAACCTAGGATAATATGAGACAGGATGGGTAATTACAGGGAAGCCAGTAAGAAACCAATGAATCTCTATAGCGATAGCTTAACAAGCCATGTGAAAGCATTGCCTGTTATTGTTAGGTCCGTAAGAGCTTCTTCAGTGGTATTGTGGCCTGTTTTCAGCCGAGGCCCCACTGGCAGCTCGCTCTGGGACCCTGCTGCCGTCCGCCACGCCCCCTTACAGCCATCCCAAGCTGCCAATTCGCCACGCGTCGGCTCTCTGCAACCTCATCGTCAAAATACTACCTCGTCCATCATTTACCATAGTTCCTATTCATCTGCATCTTCAGATGTACCCGTTCTACGTAGCCTGAATATTACTCACCATGTGCTTCCCATGCTCGCACTGCGCAGCACATAATGTCAACATTCGACGGAATTTGTCCGTGAGTTTCCCGACGTCGCCATTGACTTCTTTCGGCCGCATCCTGGTCGCCGTCCACCTCTGGCGTGTTTCTTGAGCCATGTGCACAGCGACCATCTGGCTGGATTGGAGACTCTAAGATCACCCTTCGTGTTCTGCTCGGCAGCCACGCGGAAGATTTTGCTTCAGCTTGAAAAGTGCCCAGTGGACATAAACACATCTCAAATCGCTTCTAAAGACTGTCCCACTTGACACGCCAATGATGCTGGGGCTTGAGCTAGGAAATCATATACAAGTTACCTTGTTCGATGCGAATCATTGCCGGGTAGCCGTCATGTTCTGTAAGTCACCTTACTTTCACTCGACTCCTCACACTGTAACCCAAGGACTCACGCGGGTCCTCAGTGATCGAAGGCGACAAAAGAAGCGATACTGTACACGGGCGACATCAGAAGCGAGCCGTGGTGGATTAATTGTATGGTAAGGAGTCCTAGTCTTGTTGAGTACTCCTTCGGCTTACGACCTCTGGATCGTATCTATCTCGACACTTCCATGTTGGGCGGCTGTGCACTTCACCCCAAGTCGAAAGGCTTGCGTGAGCTTTTGTTGAGGGTCACGAAGTATCCCGACGATACTGTGTTCTGTATACAGGCATGAACCTATGGGTATGAAGAGGTCTGGACCGCGCTATCAAAGGCACTGAAGTCCAAGGTAAGTATCTCCCATGTTGGGACATTTACCATCATTCTCTGATGGCGATCCAGATCCATATAGACGGGTACAAAATCGATGTGTGCATATCTCTTGTTGCGAAGCCATCTTCGGAACGGTTTGCTGCGCAGTTCCATCACGCTAGAGAGGCATCATATCTCGTTGGCTGTAGCCTCGGAAACAACAAGCAGGAAGGTTGTCTGACACTTGACGAAAATGTTCGCATTCACTCTCGTGAGAATAGTATGGCATGTTCAGCCACGTGTAATAAACCTGTCGTCCGGGTTCAGCCCATTGTAGCACGCTCATCCGATAGTCGAGATATTGCAGAAATTAGCTTGGGCGGTGGAGGTGACGACTTGGAACAAGAAACGGATCTTGGTCAACTAACCATCGATAATATCCAGCTGCTCTCCCAACTGTAAGTAGTGTGAAGTTAATCGGCACGACGCGTCTTGCTGGACACTTTCAGGATATCAGAGTCCCAAGACTTGTCAACCGACTTAAAGGTTCAAACGAAAACAGTACTTCTAGCCCTCATCACTACAGGTGCTCACCCACAGTCCAGAGTGTCGACCGAAGACTTCTCGGAAGACGTACAAACCAGACTAGGAAGCGTCATTTTTGGCCAATACTGTTATCAAATGCCTCTCGAAAGGAACAACTTACCCATGGCCTCAAGTCGCCAAGCGGAACAACGGCATACCTAACAAAATCACGTTTCCGTATGCAAGATATTCGTCGCTGCCAGAACTACGGCATCAAGTTGGGACATTTAAGCCTAAAGATGTTTAGCAGTGCACGGTCGATATGTCGCATTGGGAAGAACATGGGATCACGATGCGCAAACTCTTCGGCGCCTACTGTTCTGGCGGCGTGTTTGGGCATGGTATTCTATTAGGACAGATCTTCCAGAAGCGTCAAGTAGTCGAGAGAGTCTCGACAGATGAGACAGGTGAAGATTTTCCAACCTACTACTAGTACCAGCCATAGATTCTCCAGCCTGGTGGTAGCGCCTACAGATCCTGCTGGTGAGGTACCACGGGCAGAAGCAATCAATCCTGCTAAACCAGCCCCGCCTGCCTCGACACCAACAGCAGTCACCAATGTGGATGTGATATACATTGACTCATCGGATTTGACTTCGGAAGACGAGAGACTCAAGCGCAAAGTGCCTTCGAAGCGGGACTACGAGCAGTTCCAGGGTCATGAAGACCCTCAACGTCATATGGGAAAGCTTTTATGGACCAGTAAAGCTGCGTGCTGGAATTGAGGTTTCAAAGCTCTTGTTCTAGCGTGGTTACCTCCACACATTGAAACCATGGCCGTACTGGTTAAACTTGTAGCTAAGTAAACTTCTTCTCAATTTTGACCAGAAGAACACCCTGACTTGCTACGCCCTGGCTGTTCATAAACTTGACGAAGCGATATCCACGTCTCAGCCTGTCTAGTCGAATGCATGCCCACGCAGCTAGGTCATCCTTTCCGATCTCATCGTCCTTGATCAGGAATCGCACAAATGCAAGCTCGGGAGTGACGCCCTCGACATCTTTGAACTCCAGCAACTCCCCCTTGTAGTCTGGATTGACACCCTTCATCGTCTTTGTTTTGGCCTTGTACTCGCCCTCCTTGGCCTTGCCTGACTGGCGTAACTGGATTGTGTGATGAGGCTCGGTGTGAAGCTCAACTTTCAGATATGGTTTGAGCTTGGCAGGGTTGTCGTCTTCTTTTGGCAGTGGCAGATTCTGGGCAGCAAGAACGGTGATCTGCAGATCAAGTGTCTGGCTCTGTATTTGAGTCGGGGCGAGAGGAGCTGTCACAATTTCGCCCGTCGTAATAGCTGCAGGTCTCTTGTCGCTTGTCGCAAGCGGTTTCTTGCCACGGTACCCTTCAGGCTTTAGAACATATCCTCCCGTGCCCGCGAACATGCCCTCGTTGACCATCATACCTTCGTCCCACTTCTGCCAGTTCAGCGCAACGATTTGAATGCCCTTACGCCAAAACTCGGGAGGGTCAAGATTCGATGAGCCGATGCGCATCCCGGAGGGATAGGTTCGCATCATGTAGTCCTGGTTGTGCTTGAATAGATCCGGTGCTTGCTTCTCATGTACCTCCATCACGCTGCTTTCTGAGAGCGAGAAGACGTGAGCCGGCATTACGGCCTCTGGCTGGTTCAGAGATTTGAAAGAGACACCCCGAGTGTAAATGCCGAGTTGACTGAGGGCCTCGATGATCTTAGAAGGCTTCTTTTTCGTCTGAGCGACGGCGTCGGCATTTGCTAATTGTGCCTCGGGAGGGAGACGGTCGCTATCCGGGGTGGTTGTTGCGCCACTGTGACCGGGGGGCGCATATTTGACTTTGACCAGTATCCTCTTGGCCAACTCACCTGGAGATGGCAGGATCTTGGCGTCTGCGGGCGGTGGCGACAAGAGGTATTCTTCCCAGACCTGGCTCATGATGTCTACCATGGCCTCTTGCTGGGCAGAGCAACAGTGGACTTCCAAGCTAACGATAAGGGGCAAATCCGTCACTGCGAAAGCACTTTCTTTGATCGCCTCGCAGACCGATCGGAAGGAGACCTCCTTGGTAAGAGTGTAGCCGTGAAGTACTCGCGGCTCGATACCCACTGCCTTGGGACTGGATGTCTCTGTGCGCAGTGACGTGCCTGTTGTCGATGTCGTGTCCTGGCTCAAGACCGAGTTTTTGGTGGTGCTTTTGTCAAGCTCTGATTCCTTCTCGGCGCCGTTATCGTTGCTGGCGTACTTCTCAAGCTTTCGGCCAAGGGACGTGTTCTCCAAGCGGCGAGTGATGGAGCCAGGCAACTTCTTAGCCAGACGTTCTTTACGGCTTGACTTCTTGAGCGCCTTCTTCTCGGCGTACTCCTCATCGCTGCTGCTAACCGAGGACTCCGAATCGGAGTCGTCCCCGTCCCACACATCAATTTCGATACAGCGACAGCCTCGAAGAAGGACATTCTTGTAAGCATCGGTACTGGAATCGCTGTATAGCTGATTACCTGTGAGGTAAGTGTTGTGGCTGGAGCTTATGAAGTAGCTGCTCAAAGGCCAAGAGAAATCCTCGTTCGGCGGAGGTGCCAGTGCGTTTGCAGCAGGTGAGGTCATATATTGCAAGAAGCCATTCAGATCCAGCTCCTATAACCATGTCAGGATGTTCGGGGCTCATTTTACCAAGGCTGCATGGTAGCTCGAGTTTTCAGACTTACGCCCTTCGTCGCGATGTCGCCGGACGGGTCAGTCACGCTGTCGGCCTGTACATGGTGCAAGAATGCGATGACCTGATCCTTAGTCCATGCGTTTCGATCTTCAGCATGGCGCTTGAAAATCTGCTGCAGATGCGCCAGGAGGGACGGGTTGACTTCCTTGACGCTGCGCTCCTCCCCACCAGGCTGACCACCACCAGCTTGGTGCACCGAAGCTCCGACAGGAGGGGCAGTATTGTCGGCCATTTCCCCCCACGAAGTCGTCGCTTGGAGAAAGGAATGACAGTGTAAATCGGAAAGTTGGCGTGATGAAAGATCAGACGCTCAAACCATGCCAGATCTCTCAAAGATCGCTGGGAATATCGTTGGGAGAATAATCTTTGACCGAGCCTCTTTTTCTCAGGTTCGTGCTTTCATGGCGCGAGCTTGTTTGGCAGTAATCTTGGCAAGCGAGCTGGACCGTGAGCTGCACTCTACGGTGGGTTTTGGTCTGTGACGTCTCTCCACCGGGACCCTGATTTGATTCACGTACAGTCTCAAGTTGGGCAAGGAAGAGCCCATGCTAGCCCGCTGGCACCGAATGGGGTTTCGACCAAACGCATGGTCAGCTGGGAGCCGCTAGACTGGGCCGAGAAGAAATGCATAGCTCAGACTGAACAAACAGGAAATGTATGCACATGGCACACTTGGATCTCTACGCGAGTCGACCGTCTTGATTGATCAGGGTCGGAGGTTTGAAGTAGCCTCAAGCCAATTCAATTACGTCATGGTTTCGCGGACTCTTATCGAGCGATCACCTGCAGAGATCTTATCGGGTGCTCCGTACTAACATCATACGGTGCTAAGGTCAGGGCTGACAAGTAACAAATCACCACCGTGTCAGTATGAGTTACCTAATTTAGATTCATCACACTCGGCTTTGTCACAGGCAAGTGACACTAGAAGTTCAGTTGCCACTGCTGAGATCTGTCAAGTAAAGTCCGTTGTGAGAGAACCTTACACCGCCGACCATGAGTAAAATCCACTTCCCCTATTCACAGATGTGAGCGGTGACCGCCCCGCGTTTCTCGTTCTACACTAAGCGGCTAACTAGATAACTAACCCCACCATTCATGGCGCAACAGGGATGCTGTAACCTAGTTACTAACCTATGTTCTGTACACAGCACTAACCTATGTAACAGCCGCGCACAAATACAGCATTTTGCATGCCAATTCAGTATATGGTGACCACTCAAAGCAGCGCATTAGTGAGCCAGCGCTCGTCTAGCAGTAATCTGGACGAACGAAATAATCAGACATACTCGTAGTCACTGCAAACCCGCAATGTTCAAGAAGGGTAAGTCGTGATGTGATATAGGTTGATATCTCCGACTGGGCATTCGTTTGCACACTCGTGCGGTCGGATTACGGACTATCAAGTTTGATCATCTTGCCATAAGTGCAACATGATATTTCCTTGGGTAGAGATGAATAACCGGTATATACTTGTGTGGCAATATGGATGACTATGGATGGCCACAGTGTATGGGGAGCACTCCATACACTAAGACGACGAGCTCTCGGATCATCCAACTTGGGGAGTGGTGATCACGTGACTTAGTCAGTGGGTGTATGCCCACTTTCTGGACACCGATATTCTCTTTTGTAGACTTAGACTTCTATATACTAGTTGACAGTGTCATTTCACGCTTAGAGCGTTATACTTGCGATCCCACGCTCATGCGAGCACCGTATTCACTATCCTATGCTCGAGTAGATTCAGGCTCTTCCTTTCAGTGCATCATACAAATCCTTCACTACAACAGTATTCTATATCAACTGTAGAAACTGTCATAGCTTGTGTCACAAGTTGTTGTATATGATATCGTAATAAGAAGTCCAAATGTTCTCCAAGGTCGCATACCATGGGTACTCAGCCAGACTCAGCCACAACGCACTACTGTTTAAGGTTAGTCTAGCTTAAGTCGCTTTGCCAAGAGCTTGGTTTCGAAATCAGGGGTGGAGTTATGTGCACAAGTTAGTTACTGATTTAGTTACTTGCGATCCAAAAAGTTCACGACTCGGAATAACTCGAACATCCATCAATCTAACAAGAATAGCCACGCCTAGCCGAGATCATACACCAGTTATTAGATTTCATTTCAACTCACTTCTCAATCCCAATGTTTTCGAGGCTGTCCCATGTACAACATGACTCTATCGCCAGATGGCGCGCTTCCGGCTTGTAGTATGAAATGTAGTGTGAAACTGGCCGTGGGCGGTAAAAAGAATTAAAAAGAAATTGCGCATTTTCAGGTTAGGCAAACTTGCGCATACTCCTGCAGGTCTTCCCCTGATCTCAAGTATCTTCTTCAAAAGGCAGACCTCAATGTTCAAGGGATACGTGCATTGATCAGAAGACAAGTCTCCTTGCTTGCGCCACAGTATCTGCAGTGTTTCCAGTTCTTCACTAATTCCACGAACTCTAATAATCGCATAACATCGCAAGTGTTATTTGAAAAGGATCAAAATAGTAGGCCGCAAGCAAAATGGGCTACGTGAATTCAGAGTTCATCTTTTCCGGGAGCTTACACTTCGACGACACAAAGTCGCACAACGCAAGAGCGAATATCTCGAAGACATGGTCCGAATTCGTCATGGAGGCACGGCATATGAGACCCATTATTATGAGCATATCATGCATCACTCCTAGAACGTCTAGAAACGAATGAGTGGGAACTCGGGAACCTCATGGAAAGAGTAAAGCCATTTGGGGATTGCGGACAAGAGCACAACAACCTTGTCCCGGATAATGCATCACGGGTACACAGACCTAGTGAAGCACATGCCACAATCGCTGCAATCAACAATGATGCAAGCCCGGATGTGGAACAACTTTCAGGGAGTTCAAAGGAGGACGAAGTAATGGACCTCCAAACAGATGAAGCAGGAGCCCCTACAAAACTCTTTCCTGGAGTGGGAACAACTGGATCTCTGTTATCGCGCCACATAAATGACGATGAACATAGCTAGCTTGATCCCCGGTTGAAGCCCTGTAATACCAGCTCAAACGACTCCGAGATACTCCTCTACAAGAAGGCTAAATTGATCCACGAACGTTTTGCGGAAGACAAACCCCAAAATATAGCAGAAGACGAGGGATACAATGCACCATCCTCGACTCAACTGAACCATCAGAGGTCGACGGCATTGACGTTTGCATATGTGACGAGGGGGCTCAACACCTGCACCCAACTTAAACCCGAAACCCGAGGCGAAGTGTTTGAACTTGAATTCCAGATCTTCGAGACAGTCCCCGAGAACATTGTTGACCATGTCTGCTTGAATTGGAGTTAATGAACCATGGCAAAAGAAGTAGTATTTATGTCGGTACTAGCGCTAAAGCGACTGAAGGTTGAAGAAACTGATGGAAAGAGGCGGGACAAAATTGAAATGAACCACCTTCGGTCGAACTCTCGCTACTATGAGGACTATAACATTCGAAAAAAATTATGAGCCTCAAAAAGGAGCTAGGAGAGAAAGTCTGTTGCGGGATGAGGTCCTACCACACGATGTACAAGACTCTCAGGAAATCTTCAGACGCTTTCTTGGGTCAGCAGTTCAAATATGAGGAGACCGCATGGAGTTGTGATATTTCTTGCTTGCGGTCTGTATCCCCTAAGTACATTTCGCAACTTGGTACGATATAAGGAAAATGGGACTACTAATGCATCTAAAACCCCAAGAATAAGCCCAAAACGCTCGAATAGTAGTCCTCGACATTAAGGCTAGAGGAGTTTTAACATTAACATTAAATAAGACCAGCAGCTGTTTGCTATGATGTAAATGTATCTATGTGTGCCCAATGCGTGTTTTGGTTTAGTCGAGGCCGGGATTCTTTCCCTCTGTGGCATATTACCTGCATGCCGACTACATGGTCAATCTACTCGCGCATATATCGCCAAATACGAGCGGCACGCTTCGTTCTATATACCGGGGTCTTCTTGCTCAATGTTGCTGGAGGAGACATAGTTGTCCCATGTACTGCATTGATCCGACAACTTCTGCCTGTCGACGGTAGCCTCGATTTCGGAACTGCGCTCAATGATCTGCAGAGCAAACCCTTCTGACGCGTGCCAACCAATCTGCAAATCGTTAATGATATTTTTAAGCTCTTGATAGGTGCTGGATCGAGAATAAGACTCACGTGACAGTGCATCAGCCAGACATCAGGGTTGTCGAGGCGGAAACCGATGACGAGGTAGCCGGCTGCTGGCAGCATGGCGACATCGCGTCTCGTGAGGTTCGTAGTGGTCAAATTGACTGTAGCGACGTCATATGTAGCTCCGGCTTCCTGTGCCAAAACAAAGAAATCGTGTCCATGAAGATGAACAGGTTGAGTCTGAGGGAAGACCTGAGTAATTTATCGTGTAGAAGTGATCGACCATGACTTACAATAGCGAGAGTAGACTCGATGACAAAGTAGACCCACTCGTCCACAACTTCAAATCGTACGACCTGCTGAGCGTCCTCAAAGACTGCAACATCGTCCATGGCTTGCTCCAGCGCTGTATCCATACATTAACAGAATTCCATGGGTAAAGCAAAATAATGACTCACTCGGCTCCTCCCACCCAGAGCGAAAACTCGTGCCGTTGATAGTCCAGCGCGTCACTCCAGTACTGAAGTCAAGGGCGACATCAAAGGCTTTTATTACGCTAGACGCACCGGCATCGATTTGGAGATGAGGAACCAGATTGTCCATGTCCTCGTCGACGCAGTCGTCGGTCCAGGCGTAAGCAGTGGACTCGGGATCAGCGGTAGACGAGGGATCGTAGCGGACAACACCCAGAATGTTATCCTGCATCTCATTGGTAGCACTGTAGAACGTATCGATAGCTGCTCTCGTCCAATAGTCCCCGACAGCCTGATTAGCCTCTACAATTATATCGTAGCGCTGGCCAATACCCACACTCAGGACGGCAGTGGTGAATGGCTCGATAGCAACTAAATCGTTCGCAATGACGGTCATGTTATGGCCGTCAATCGAGAACTTGAAGTGGCTGTCAATGGCTCCGTTGATGACGCGGAGTCGATGATGAGCAGCGCTGGTAAAGGTAGTCTCGAATCGTGCGCCAGTCATGTCGCCTGAGGTCTTGTTCGTGTAGATATTGGTGCTGTTGATCAGTGCATTGGCGGCTGGCGGAGGAAGACCTGGGGTCTCGGCTATCTGCCAAAGAGCGTCGGTAGTTGTGTGGTGCCAATCGTTTAAAAATAGAATACCTTTGTCTTCGTCGTGAGGAGTAGTGGCGGGTCCGTTGATGACGATACCACCAAACACACCGTTCCATGCTTGTAGAGCATACTGACTGTGGTACTAGGTGTGGCCATACTGTGTCGCACGCCACATGTATGTGATAGAATCACCAGGAGCAGTTGGGCACTGAGTGATGAAAACAACACCGTCCTCTTGCGAAGTCAGAAGTTGACGGATGCCGTGCCAGTGAATGCTCGTGCCGTTATTGGCCAGCTTGTTGGTCACATGAACAACGACCCAGTCTCCCCAGTCCGCATGTATTGTAGGTCCGGGAACTGTTCCATTGATCGAGTGGATGAGATGATCAATACCGTCGGCCGAGCCTGTGTGATTTGTAGCCTCAAGCCAGTATTCTCGGGTGACATTGGTCTCCGGGATGGTCTCGTTGTAATCTGTGTTGATGTTGAAGTCTCCCCAACACTTCGGGCTGTCCGCAGAATCGAACTCGCACTTCCCCATTTTGCAACCACCCCTGCCGAGCTGGTGGAGTTGGAAGAGGCTGTTTCGACAGGAGTACTGTGAACTAAAGTGCTAAGAGCAAGGGCGCTTAAGGCGAACAGTGGGGTTGACCACATGATCAATGTCATGAGAGAAAATATGAAATATTAGGAATTACGAAAGATAGTATTGAATGTGACGAAGACGAGTGTCGTGTACTAATGAAGGCACTAAGCGAGTGTGGTGGACGTGGTAGACGTCTATGAGAGGGTCGACATTAAGTGAAAGGTGCGATGCCATCTTGCTGATCCATGATGGGCAGCTCGATCATGCTAAACGTTCTTGGTAGCTCATCAAAGAGAGGTCTACATTCTTGAACTAATCAACGGTGGAGATGAATGATACACCAGATCAGTTCACGCTGTGACCATCCACCCAGCAGACTGGTAATTCGAGCATGGAGAAATCGCTACACTACACCACGTTCAGTAACGTCCCTCGTGTCTAGGTTCATCTCAGATAATCAGCCCACTACGGCTGAACCATGTCAGGTAGATGTGAATGCACAGTGGAAGGCCAAGGCCATTCACTCCCTGCAAAAAAGCTATCGCCAGCAAAGCGGACGAGCAAGCCCGCAACGTTCTGAGGGCTGCTCAAACTGGTAAAGACATCCTGACAATAAAAGCAAATAGCCATAGCGTCTACAGGAGATTACGTGTTGGAGTCTTGAGTGTATAGAATAAGCTAGCCGCGATGGCAGATGGCTGTACACGTCGTCGCAATCAAAAGTTCGTCGATTCGTGGACCATATGGTCTACGGTGCGGGCAGTGGTAACAAGTCTGCCATGAAAATGCACAAGTCGATATCAAAGCCGAGCTAAACAAGTGTCGTAGGGATGTTGTGGTTGTGCCGCGAGATCTCTAACCTTACATACTTACTCCCGCATCGGATCGTGGAACCGATGCGGCCTCAGGTGGGGGAAGAGGCTCTGGTGGTTCCTGGTTGCCGGTGCTACACAGTATGCTACCTTGTATTTTGCGGGTCATTGTCCGCAGACGCTATCTTCCGTTATTACTAATGACGTTTTGAGACTCTACATACAGATTCAGCCTTCTGAGGTAGATCAGTGGCCATATGTCAGACGGTCTAGGCCACTCATGAATCTCGAGATTTTCTAGCGCCGTCTATAGGACAATACATAGTAGAGGCACAGGCTATCGAAAGTCGGACTAAGAACAATGTTGGTTATCCTAAATGCTGGTCTCAGGTATCGTGTCGCCGCTGCTAAAATGATGAATCGCTTCTTCTTAGCACTCCCTTGGGACTTGCAGCTAATATGAACACTGGGCAGAAGTCGTCGTCACGCATTTTTTTGAGATTCGGTAAGTAAATCCATCTGTGGCTTAGATTTTACTGCACAGCTCGTTGTATTTTTCCGAGCCATCTTGCCCAGCCGCGCTAGGTCATAAGCTCCATACAGTCCTTCAATGTGTTGGCTTATGAGGCAATGAATAATTTCCCAGCTGCCAAGCAATATGAACCTTTCTGGAGGCTCAAGCTATGATGCAGAACCTCGAGGAGGGGGGTTCTTTCTTCTTACAGTGACTGTCTGCGTATATATTCGGCGTTTTAATCCTATCTATGGTGCGTTTCGAGCCGATTAACGTGAATCTGCAATCAATTATCCGTCGCGCTTACGGCGCAGATGGTTGTGCTCGACCCCTCCCCCACCTCCCTGGTGGTCACCCGGCTGCGACGCGCTATTTCCAGAATTGGTGGCCACGGCTTTTCACGCCAGAAGCTGAAGATGATTACAATTTTTTTTCTGGGCCGCGTAAGACAGCCAAGTCGAATGTCTAGTCTATCTTAATAACGTAGACCCAAGGCTAAGCGTTCACTTGAGATTAAGAATACGGGGCCTAAGATCGAGACACGGGGACAGCAGTCAATAGTCAACATTCTTTAAATACCAAGGTCTTCGATTGGTGTTGGTCATAGAGATGTATCGCTCCACTTGAGTAACAGCGAATACCAAAAACACTTAGAAATCAGCTTCCGTGATATGTGATGTGGAATTTCTCAATATTTACCTCATAGTTCACAGCCGGTTAAGAAAACAGCTTACCTGATTGCGCGTTCGGATTGAATGCTCAAGTGCAGAGCCTTCCCAGGGAATCCTTTGGCATTGATACAAAGCTTTGCAAGTCTTGGAAAGGAAAGTCGCCGGTTTAGGCATGACCGCCACGTCAGTTTGTAATCACTCTCACAACAATCCTTCCGTGTGGCCAATTGGAATGGGGGAGGCATATCGATGAAAATTTGGCAGGTTGGTCTGTGAGTACACTGTAGGCCATTTGTCAAGTATCAATGCACTCTACAATATTACAAACTGCTCATTCATGGGGCCGAGCTGCCGTATAGAAACCCCCGTGGAGCAACCTCGGAGTTCCGGGTCCATCTCGTGCCATAGACCGCCGATGTCACCAGGCTGTAGAGCGGTAGTGGAATTAGTAACTTCCTTGTCTTCCTTGTGTAATGATCACGACCAGTAGGAAAGATTCATCTCAATACTAAATATTGATTGCGATATCCTAGGATGATTCTTGACGGACTCGAATGTGATTGAAACCGCTCTTGAGACCTGTGGGTTGCCATAACTATGAAGGGAAGCAAAACCACACAAGAATGACAAGACGGTTGAATATACCCTGTTATGATCTTGTAGTATCAATCATGCAGCCGGTCCTGCGCGGGGCTATCCGCCCTTCCACATTTCGAAGCTCAAGTGTCTAAGGGAAACTGATGTAACTTGCATTGGACGGTGCATTTCTGACCGTAACCTGGCGGAGGATCTCGTTTTCGCGCATTCAAACCTCAACGTATGTTGTCATCAGCTAAACCTGTCTAGCTGCCTTAGTGACTAAAACGTCGCCGCCAACTTTTCACACACCTTTATCGTTTGCTTTGACCTTTTCTGACATGAGCGATGTTATCGAACTGTCTGGTTGAGTCAGGAGTGCGCTAAGCCAGGAGGTTGTAAGAGCAGTAATGTCACAAGCTGGAAGAAACCAGCCCGGCAAGATCACTGCCAAAACTCCTTAGGAAGATGAGCAATCTGGGGACTTGAATTCTTTGCGTGACCCGCAAGCAGGATCGGTTTGTTTCTTAACGTCCACTCTACCAAACCGAACCGTGATGTGGCAGTGGCTTGCATCAGGATTGGGCCAACCGAATGAGGGCCAATCGTACGATGATATGACTGAATTGTTTTATTGATTGAGTTTGTAAAAGAGAAGACAGTGAAGTTGATTCTCATGCTACATAAGCAACGTATCAACAACAGCAAATGGTCGGAACGAGTAAAAGCACCTAATGCTGGTATTGAAATCACGCTGCGCAGATTACAATTGATGCCGATGGTAACAAAAGCGATTCGAAGTTCTCAACGTAAGCTATTTGTCCAGGAATAGCAATACGCCATGGGAAACGCCCACTTCAGGCATAGGCTACGCTGAAGTGTTGATGTACCGAGTACCAACAATTGCAATCATGTCCTCTACCGGACATGACCACACGTCTTACGAGCGATGCAGCGGGAATCGTAAAGATTCTCTTAAACCACTGAGCATTCGACGGCACGCAATCGGGCAAGCCGCCAACGGTGATCAAAGTACAGAGTAAGCTTCTTACCTAATTCCTCTAACCATTTCCAACACAAGTGCCCAAGCTGAACTCTATCCAACGTTGCATCGTCTCGTTCCTGCACGGCACTATGGGGCAGCCAGTCCACTAAGCCGCATTGGGGTTCTACGTTGAGAAGCTGGGCGGCCCCGTGACAACAACCGCACTTCGTGTTGTCCTAGACGAGCGTGCAACACGAAGTATCTGACAGCTCGGCAGCGGGCAGAGTCGCAGAGCTTAGGGCTTTGGTGTTAACTTGCCGTGCTTGGCAGTGAGTAATGTAGCCGACGATGTCTTGTGGCACACAAGCCCATCTATCCATCACAGGCCAATGTGCGGATGTCTTGCAATACGATAGCATGTTCAGATGCAACGCTGCGTGTCATCGTGGGCAGGTGACGGATGTTATTCTGGTCGAGACGTAGTGGCGAGAATGAGTATATAAGATGGCATGATCACTTCATCCAGGGGGCTTATTTCATCACCACCACCATCAGTCATCAGACCCGCAGACACTGGAACAAAGATTTTTAATACATATAACATAATATTTAATCTTAAAAAATTCGATCTCGTCTCACCCGCCAACATGCACTTCAACACCATCTTCCTCGGCGCCCTAGCCTCAGCCACAGCCCTTGCTGCCCCGGCCGCCGAGCTCACCGAGCGCGCGGACCCCAACTGGACCATCTTGGGCCTGAAGCGCGTGTGCGATGCGAGCGACAAAAGTTGCGCCTGGAGCTTCAGCGTCGACACACACCTGGCGGCCGCGACGGCGTGCTCGTTCACTATCGCCAGCCAGGGCGGCCAGCCCGCGAGTCAGAGCCCCGGCAACGGCGCCTCCTGCGGTGCCTACACCGTGACCAGCGGCTGGAGCGGCCAGTTCGGTCCCGGCAACGGCTTCACGACATTGAGCGTTGTCGACTACGGGAAGAAGAAGATCACCTGGCCTGCATACACGGACAAGGAGCTCGCGAATGGCGCTGTCGTCTCGCCTGACAAGAGCTACCCTGTTTCCAACCTGTAGACACGGCTTATGTCGTGATGGGTTACTGGCAACACGGGCAATGGCTTACCACAACGAATGACGAGTAACGCGGTTTGTAGAAAACAGGACACAAGGAAGAAAGTAATGGAAGACTTCCAAAATCAATGTGGATGTTTATGTATTGTGCACTGAGGTTCCAGACAAAAAGGCCTACAAATATATACAAGAAAATTGCCGCATGTGCCGTATTCCCGATTAAAACTGTGACACATGAAATAGAGTCGTGCAGACCAAGGGTGGCAGTGAATGGTCTGATGAAATGACAAGCTCTCAAGACAGACATTGGTAGTAGTAGGGGTTCAGAACTGAACATGAGCTTCCACTTGCACACGCTGTGGCACCTGTCCACCCACTGCCTCCGCACTGGCCATAGAGCGTCTGGGCTGCGCTGTTCGTCCCCAGGCAAAGGTTAGTGATCGTTTCTCCATGTTGAAACCACACATGAGATGTAGTAGAAACAAGGAAAGATCCTTAACAGCTAAACGCCTGCCACTTAGGCATGACGACGCTTGTTGCTCATGCTACGTCTACGCTTGCATCCAGCCTTACTGATTCATCCGGTTAGTGTTCCCGCCCTCGAAAAGAAAACCCGCCGCCCAGAAAGAGCTTAGGAAAAGGGTAAGTACTTACGCTGTGGTCGAAGGAGCAGCAGTGGTCAGAGTTGTGGCAGCCTTGGAGGACGAGACTGAGGTGGCGGCGACAGTCGACGTGGCCAAAGTTGTTGAGGAAGCGACGGAGGTAGTAGCCACAATGGTGGAAGAGGCCTTGGTGGAAGTGACAGCCACGGAAGAGGTGGAAGCCTTGCTGGTGGCGACGGAGGTGGCAACGGAGGTAGCAGCAGACGTAGCAGCGGAAGTAGCAGCTGATGTGGCGGCAGAAGTGGCGGCAGAGGTGCCAACTGAAGAAGAAGAGCCGGAAGAGGCGCCGCCGCCAATCTTGGTCGTGAGGTCGCCGCTCTCGATGTAAACGCCAGAGACGTAGAAGTCCTCGTTGGCATCAGCGTAGCTGTCACGAGGCAACTCCAAAACACCGACGTGGAAGTCAGCACCGTTGCTAGAGGCGCTAACAGAGACAGGGGCGACGACCTGAGTCAAAGCATCGCTACCGGTGGAGTGCCAGAAGGCGACAGTACCACCGGTGAAGTCAATCTCATAGGCAACATTGTGCCACACATCAGCCTCCCAGGTTGTGTTCCACTGGCTCTGACTGTTGGCGAACCATCTCAAGCTGGCATCCGAGGTTCCTGAAGCACCCGAGATCCAGCCGGCCTTCATCTCGGTGAAGTGGGACTCGAAGAACATGATCTGGTGCTCCCGGTTCACAGAGGGCGCATTGGTGTCAGAGCGCTTGATGCTGAAATGGTAGTAGACGGTGCCCGCGTTGATGGCGGCGGTGGTCTGAGGAATGAGCTCAGTTCGACGCATAGTCTGACCGTTCCAATAGGCAGTGTCGGTCAAGGAGATTTTGGCGCCCTGGGTGGAAGCCGAATCGGCAGGGTTCTTGTAATCACTGGACAGGTTGACGTACTCGTCAACATCGCCAGTGCCGTGGATGTAGTACTGGTAAGGACCAACTTGGTTGGACCATGACCAGTTGTCGAGGTCCGAAGACGATGTCAGGTCGTTGAAACGGCCATCCCAGAGTACGGTACCGGCAGAGACCACACCGGCTAGGGACACAACACCAGGAACGAGAGGCGAAAACTTCATGTTGGGCGATTCGATCGGGCAGGGAATAGAGTGATAAAAGAATGTAATCCGTAGGAATGAATGAATGAAAAAACCGACCAGCCGGCAAGTAAAGAATCCACAATTGATAGAGAAAAGTCTCAAGAACACTTGTTCATGAGGGGGAAGCTGGGCACAAGGCGCCTTTAAAGGACTGGCATCTTCGCTTAGGGGCTATTGTGAAGTTCATTCCCACCTGAATCTGCGTTGCATTTTACATTGAAACACGGCCCGCCAAGGCCGTAAACGCTCCGTTTCAAACAAAGTCGTGGAAGCATTGAGTCCGGGTAAAGGTATGAGGAAAATCGTTCTAGGAAATGAGCAAGGTGATGTCTTCCAGGGTGCGTCTTGGTGGTTCGTCTGATCTTGATTAAAACGCCAGGGACTATGTGGGCTGTCTCCACTTCCTAAATCGCTTGCTTCCGAGCGGCTAACGAAATCGCACGAATGATGGGGGTGCCACAGGTTCGGGATCCTAAAGAGCCTCCTTTCATCTTCTTGGAGACCAGACCGTCAGTAGTGTTTATTGCACAAAGAAAGTATCGATAGCCGGATCAGGCGGGCTGTCCAGCTTCTCCGATATTGTCACGGTCATTTGACGCTGTGCCCCCGATGTTGAGGTTGGCGCGAGTCTTGTACCACCACACGACAAGGGTCTGTTGAGCCTCATAAAAGTCGAGCATGGGTATTTGGTCATGGAAGTTGAAGTGGCTCTGCAGAATAGTGAGCCTCCATGCTTATTTCAAACCCCATATTCATAGCTGTGCACGGTATCTACATGACCGATTATGTTATTAAATTTTTTAAATTTCTTTTCTTCAGAATACAATGCCAACCTTTACTGCGAAAACCCATAACGCCGAGACACCGGTTCGCACGCTCATCAGGAACACCAAAAGTTCGACGCCTATATACATATGTTACAGATTCGATGGCATCAATCATTTTGCTGTCAACACGAACCGACGGATCACAACTTTTTGAACACCGATCCAAAGATCTCCCTGCTCTTGAACAAATTCATGACACGAAGGCGCTCGTTTGCCAAATGAGCGGAGTCGCTCGCTTGTCCACAGGGAAGATGAGCTGCTGGAGCGCTGAATTCCTTTTCCAGAAAACGAATGGCAGGGATAGATCCACCCTCACGGATGTACAGTGGCTTTCGAGGCTTTGTAGATTTACCAGCAGATAAGGTGGTGTTTCGACTTCCGCTACTGAAAGATCCACCGAACGTTGAGCGCTTTGAATCTGGAATCGATGGAACCGCAAGTGACGCTGTGCCTTGGTCTTCGCTGCTGTGTGCGTTATCGTCATCTGAAGTTGTCGTTGTATCAGTCGCGAAAAGTGGTGCCCATGCCTTCATGATCGCCTCTTCGAGAGTACGGAAGATGTAATTGTCGGGCTCGCCCAGCCATGGCTCTGCCGTGTTATCCACATCAATACGTAGTATGTTTTCGCTCTCGAGCTCTGTGAATTGCTCCTTCAGATAGGCTGTAAGGGACTCGATGACTTGCTCGACCTCCTGGCCAGGCACCAATCGGAAACTGATGTGTGAACTTGCGTGGCTGCTCACCAGACTGCCTTCTGGGCCCGACACCTTATAGCCGTGGACGGTCAGGTTCGGCTCGCGCCATCGGGCCATCAGGGAAGACTTGAGAGTGTTTGCAGAGTTGTTGTCAGGATTCTGTTTGACGAGTACGGAGACAATATCATCGTACCGTGCCTCCTCTTCTGGTTTGAGTGGCAACACTCCATCGTAGAAGCCGGGGATGAGTACTCGATTCTTTGGGCCTTTGAGTTTAGCCATGAGGGTAGTTAAATCGCCGACTGGCTCGTTCAACATGTGACTGCCGTCGACACCTGAATGTAGATCTGGATTCTTGGATTCGACACACACAGTGGCATGCAAAACACCACGCAAACCGTATGTCAAGCAAGGCGTATCGTCATTGAGCCAGTAGCTGTTGGCCAAGAGAATGTAGTCAATGTTGCCAATACGATCCTTGTTTTGGCGGATAGTTTCTCGAAAACCGCGCGAGCCGGACTCTTCCTCGCCCTCAATCAGAAAGATGATGTCAGAGTCCAAGGATTTGGCTTGCATGAGGTCTGTAACGGCATACAGGGCCGCCATGATGGGGCCTTTGTTATCGCTAACACCTCGACCGTACAAATAGCCGTTGGTGCCCTTGAGTTGAAAGGGGTCGCTGTTCCATTTGTTGTTCTTCGAATCCGCAGACACAACGTCGTAGTGACCGTAGAAAAGGATGCGCTTTCGCTTCCGAACAGGTTCAAGCTTTCCAGTAAACTTGGCAAACACAACGGGATGATAGTTGTTGCTCCCCGTGCTCAGCATTTGTACATCGGCTCCCAGTTTCCGGAACAGGGCTCGAAGGAATGTAGCCCCGCGGCGACAGTCCTCCGCAAACTCAGGCCGTGAGGATACGGTCTTGAAGGAGACAAATTCTCGTAGGCTCGAAATCATCATGTCTTCGTCAGCCTCGAGCGGAGATTGCTCGGTGGCAGGCGGGTTCTCCACGACCCAGACAGCGACGTTGTTATCGTTGGCTCCGGTAATGAATAACTGTTTCCCGTCATGGTTGGTGACAGCCGATGCCAGAATCTTGCCGTCGTGTGCCTTGAACTGAGTAAGGAGCTGGTATTTCTGGCTGACATTCTGTAAAGTGTTCGACTGGTATTCGCCGTAGTGTACAGTGCTGTGTTTCTACGACATGTCAGCGGATCTACCATATGTTCAGATGATGTAGAGGTCAAACGTACACTTGCAGTACCAGTGGCACCAGCGCTCCAGAGGTAGCCCCATCCCATCTGTAGAGCCATGACATCGCCTCTATGTGCTTTGATGACCCTCAGCTTTTGTTTGGTGTCGAGGTCCCACAGCTCGATGATGCCCTTGATCTTGCCGCTGTATAGAAAGGACCCGTCAATGGCCAAGGACATGACAGATTGGCCTTCGTCTTCTCCGAGGCGCATGATCTCTTCCAAGCCATTCTCGATACCGTCAAGTCCAACCTCTTTGCCTCCGAGTTTCCAGAGCTTGATGGTGCCGTCTCCACCTCCCGATATCAACACGTCATCTTCCGGGTCGACTGACCCGGTGACGCCCTTGGCCATTAACATACAAAAAACAAAGCCAAAGTGCGCATACTGCTTGTTGCATCTTATGTCTGTCTCGAGGACGGTGTGTGAGCGCGGAATGAGATCGTATCGCTCGTCTGTGGGTCGTGGAGTTTCGGCACCGCTGAGAGCCCGGGAATCGAAGAATCGGTGGTTTCGTCGGTCGGGATGACTTGCTGAGTCCTGGCTCACACTCCGGCCCTCGTCCTTCAGCCCAATCCACTGGATGGTGGTGTTTTGTGCGCCGTAATAGACCGTCTCGTACTGAGAAGAGTAGGCGAGCGAGTAGATGTCGCCGAAGGAGTCGTAGGTGCTGTATATCTCGTAGAGCCTCGTCATTGACCGTGGGCACCAAACGTTGACGATGGGGTCGCTCGCGCTGGAGAAGAGAAGTGATCCATCATCGGAAAGGAACAAGCACATGACGCTACGCTTGTGGGCTTGTATCCGGTGTCTCTGCTCGAAGGTGCCCAGCGACCATACGACGATCTGGCCATCCTGAGTACCGGCGTAGACGCTATCGTTCCCGACGACTAATGCTAGCACAGAGCTGTCGTGCTTCAGGACGTGGTTCAACGCCGGTGTCGTGTGCGGAGGAGCGCCCACCATTGGAGTCGGTGTGCAGTGGTTGGTAGCTGAAGGCATACTAAAGTATCAGCGACCGGAGCTCATGCGATACGATGGAACCCGAACTCGAACGTGTACAGAATGAATTAAGTATATCATGCCTGGGTGTGTGCAATGTGTTCTGGTTGTAAGAGTCACGGCTTTGGCTTTGGCTTTGGCTTCCCGCTTTCGCTTGGGCTGATTGTTTATCGATTGCCAAATGCGCAGTTGAATTGATGTGACGTGCAATTTGCCAGGGCCCCTGGCAGCCTGGGTTCAAACTTTCTGGGACTTCCAAGAGGCCCAGCAGATAGGAGATAGCACAAGTACCAAAACTCCGAGGTCCTTTTTCAGGGGTGTCACCGGCGGGTCCGGGGTTTTGGGGCCATTGAAGCTAGTGCAGCAAGGACAATTCCATAGGGCGACTTTCCCCTGATTATCATCCATTGCGGATAATGGCTGGGCCCAACGCTCTGCACTTTGAGTTCACAATCTCCAGTGTGGTTAGGGGCAGCAGGGAAGCCAGCCAGCCATCTGTGGTCTGGTCAGGGAGAAAGGAGAATAGATAGAAATCATATTGACAGAAAAATCTTTCGTTTACTTGCCTTGGACCGGCTCTCGCTCGTGTCCCTGCTCCTGCTCCTCTTCCTGGTGCTGCTTGTGGTGCTCCCGTTTCTGCTCCAGCTCCTGAGCGTGTTGCGTTCTTGTCGCTTCATTCACCTTCCTATCTTCATCCTCCTTGATTCTCTTGCATCCTCCACAGCTGGACTTGTATCTTGTTTCCGCCGTGACAGCCATAATCGGCCATGTAAGTTGAGGCACAGACTTGTATCTGGTATTGGTGCGGCGGTGTGTATAGACGCGGGGATTCCTAGAGCATCTCCATGCGATTGCCTAGCCGAATCTTAAGTATTGCTGGAGCAATCAGTCAACACCCTCTCCAGAAGCGACGTGTGTAAGAAGTAATAATCTCACCAATGACGCGAGATCTTAGATAGTTGCATCATGGGGGTGCAAAGTCACTCTTGCGGTCCGTGACCGGGTCTTATAATATGCCAACTTCTGATTTCAGTAGCAGTCGAGTTTCACCGCTTCTACGGGACGGTAAGACTGGCTCTGACGGGTTACTGCTCCGCCTTAAACGAGTGCACTGTAGCATTTGATCTGCTTTCCTTATCAGTACTCCGTAAAGTAAAGTAAGTTGCTACATGTACGGATATTTCGGGATGCCAGGCGATTGCGACATCAAAGTCAGACTGACAGATAAGACGGTGGATATGAGCTCTTGAACCATTTTGGAATTTCACCGTTTGCCTTGCTGCTAGACCCGGACCAATTTGATACATAGATCTGCAGACTCTCTGGCCTTTTAAGGCATAAATCTGTAACACTTCAAGTGAGCAGCCGCCTATAGAATGGCTCGAGTGGCAGAAGAGTTTATTAGTTACATCTACCGCGGGTAGAAACATTTAAGCCTCAAAGAAACCTAAATAATGGTGTACGGATAGGACGCTCGGTGCGACGATGCACAAACAGCAGCAAGCGGGTTCGGTGGAAAGTATGTCTCAAGAGCGGTATCGCTCAGCTAGATGCGTCTAATAAAGCCAAAAAAACAAAAACAAATTTCTGCATCCATTTCCATAGTGAGAGCTCGACACAATACCGCACATGGCCTTTGAGATTAGAGGCTTGACGAGATTGGTTGGTCGTAGCGTCTTGGCAACAGGCAAGAACACTGAAGTCTCCATGGTGGTGTTCGTACAGAGGATAGCATGGTTAGTCAAAATCGCAGATATCTCGCATCGGTGAAAACCCGCTAACCTACTGTAGTCCCACGGGCATCTGTGCGAAGTGCTCCGTACCGTGCTGTAAGTGCTGGGCTGCACTCCGTACACTGTATACACCGGAAGAACTAGCGCCGCTCTCCCCGATGACTGACGCGCATATGGTCCGTGCGCAACAATTTTTTGAGCTCCGGTCTGTCAGCTATCGTCACAGTAGCACTTTGTGTTGCGGCCAAAAGACCAACCTGACTCTGTGGATTCCTGCTTATACCCACGCCACATTGTAATTGTAGTATCAGGTTCGACACATCTCTTCCCTTCTTTGTTTTTCATCTTGCCCTTCGACGACTACAGACCACATTCGCATCCGAACTCGCGCGCCGCCATCCATTGTCGCATTCTCCATCAGTCACCCCTAACCACACCTCCAAGATGGATCACACGCGAGACCCGTGCCCTTACGTTATCCTGAACGATTTCGGTGGTGCTTTCTCCATGGGCGTATGTTTCTGGCCTGCTTCTCCGGACGGATGTTCCACCTGAGCCACTCGAAGCTGACATGGTATCTTCTAGGCCATCGGTGGTACGATATGGCATGGCATCAAGGGATTTCGCAACAGTCCTTACGGCGAGAGAAGGATAGGCGCCATCACAGCCATCAAGGCACGAGCACCAGTACTGGGCGGTAACTTCGGAGTGGTAAGCAAATCCCGAAATTCCTCTCTGCCCTTGTCAGCGTGTTCTATCGAGGACACTTGCCGTTTGAAGGCATCAAGTCCTTTGGTGGCTCTCTATTGATACCCCCCCCCTCCCCTTAAGACCACTCGATCCATCATCAGGGACCGATCACTGATTCGAAGTACTAGTGGGGCGGACTCTTCTCGACATTTGATTGCGCTGTTAAGGGTGTAAGGAGGAAGGAGGACCCATGGAACGCCATTATTGCAGGTTTCTTTACCGGTGGGTCTCTCGCTATACGAGGCGGATACAAGGCTGCAAGAAACGGTGCCATTGGTTGTGCAGTGCTGCTAGCCGTCATCGAAGGTGTCGGTATTGGTTTCCAGAGAATGTTGGCAGGAAGCACAAAGCTGGAGGTGAGTTGTTCTTGACACGCTTTCTCGCTTGGAGACTGCGATGCATTTTCTCTGTCGATTGTCGCCGCTATTCTGCTGGGACAGCACAGCTAACCATATCTACCTGACAGGTACCCCAACCTCCCCCGAGTGGAGAAATGCCGGCCATGGCATAGGTTGCACGACAGCAACGATAACAACAATTCGACAATAGCACTCTCACCACTCCACCACTCCGCTATATTTGATCATGTATTCGCATCGGCATTCAGGGTGGTATAGCCACATGACACAACCTCACGGGAGGCATTTCTCACTTGTAAAATAGACGGGTTCAGGGAGGCTGGCTTACATCCCATTGTACAACTGGAGTTTTCGGGGACTAGCCAGCGAAGCGGACAGGAAAGCAGCACAGCCACCACGAGATCACAAATAAGAAGCATAATGACATTCATCATGGCCTTTCAGACACGCCCTTGGTACAGTTCCCCGTCTACGCTGACATGTCTAGCCCTGATAATACGGTCTCGCCTGATCACAGGCATCGCTTGTCAACAAAATCACCATCCTTGATTCCGTCGAAGATCCTGAACCTGGGCAGTCCATCATCGTCGATCCAAGACCTAAACATACCACCACAATTGAAGTCCTGCAATATCTCGCCCCTTATTTCCACAATCTCTCCGGTCACAGCGTCTTTTACGATGACGCCCTCGATCCCGATCATGCCGCCTTCACCCTCTCCCGTCCTCCCCCAGCGGTCGCCTGCGCTCTTCTGTAGCTCGCCCCCCCGACCTGCAACGCGTCTCAACGCTTCCGTAGCCGATACACCAGTCCATCGAGCGATCCCAGTGACAGTTCTTACCGCCGCAACACGAAGAAACGAGTCGCCATTTCCTGTACCCGATAGCGCCGCAGATCTCGTAGTCACGACCTTGCGATCCTGAATCAGAGGTTGATAAGTGAAAGGACTCGGTAGACACTGCGCGAGTAAGCCTCTGAGGTTGGCGCTCAGCTCCACAAAAGTGCTCTGTTTGGCCAGATAATCTCTCCATGAAGCGATTTGGCCGCCTTGGCTAGACTGCTTTGTGGCAGTTGGATCACCGGCTTCGTCCCATTCCTCAGCCCAGAATCCAGCACCAATCGATGGCGTGTCTCCAATGCGCCCTGTCAACTTGTTTGTCATGCCTCCTGTACTCGTTGCAGCGCACACGACTCCCTCAGAATCCAGGGCTACCGCGCCGCAAGTGCCCTGCGGAAGATACTCGTCAGGACTCCATGTTGCCGTCGTATACACATCAGATTGCGTACGGCGGCTCTTCTTTTCCCGCTCAAGAGCTCGCACATGCTCGTCCCATCGCGTCTGCGTGTAGAAGTAGTTCTGGCCGACCAGTTCTAGCCCATATTTCTTCGCAAGGATCTCGGCGCTTCGCCCATGAATTAGGGTATGTCCTTGAGCGGAAGGAATGTCCAGGTCCTGGCCTTGTTCGCTCTCTGCCGCCCAGCCCAGATCGGTCTTGCCTCTGAGATCTCCCTCGCCGAACACCAGCATCTTACGTGCGAGTAGGATAGGGTTCTTCACTCGCTGCAGACCCGTCACGCCTACACCGCGTTTAGCGAACCCGCGCGAAACCATGACTGATGCCTCCAGCTCGTTGATGCCGTCTCGGGTGAATACCGCTCCATGACCAGAGTTGAATAGCGGATTGTTCTCTAGCAAGACGACCGCGTAAGTTGCAATGTCAAGTGCAGTGGGATGTCCAGATTGGGTGGAACGAGATGCTTTAGCTGACGAAAAGGTGCTCATGTAGGCGTTTGTCTTGGAAACCTGTGCATGAATTAGTCGGCATCCCTTTTGCAATAGAAACCGAGTTCTGACTTACAATCGTCAATAATGCCTCACGATACTGTGTATACCTCTCTCGTGTCATCGTGTCGGGATTGATGTTGCCGGCACCACCATGGATGATCAGGCGGGGCTGAATGCCCCGTGACAGAGGTTTATATTCCATCTCGCTTCAAATGGCACTGTCTTTGTCTGTCTTCTCCAACCAGATGAGCCGTCAATTTGAAGCCAGCAGTCTTGGTGAGTGCACAGCTCCAAGTTGGGACCGGAACGTTGCCGATGCAAGCCATCCTAGATAACGACCTGCCCGTGGAAGCTATCCGATAACGCCGACTGCTGACCCCACACAAATTGTGCCGCAGGACTCATGTCCAGACTAGTCTAGGTCAGAAAAGGGTATATCACAAGTTTATGATTGCGGTCTATTACAGATTTATCAACCCCAAATGTGGGGAAACGGAAGATTTCACAAGGGCTGCATATGGTGTGATGACTACTTCGGGGGGAATAGCCCCCTCTAGGGGTCCCGAGAAAGAGATCTGTGTCCTATGTCTTATACTATATCTAGTCCAAAAGGGAATTCAAAACAGGGGCCTCTACACTCCTGAAAACATGAGTAGAGGTTCCCACTTATCGATTTTCATCTTGGATTATTTTGCTAACGACAAACCCTTGGACGGACATCACTTTGTGAGGTTGTTTAGCCCTTGTAGTATTTGGATCTGTAAATGTGGAAATGTAGTTCAAACTCAAAAGTTATTATCGGGTCAAGCGCCATGGTTCGATGGCGCCATCATGGTGCTATAATCACATGTGGAAACTTCCTTTATACGCCGTTAAGCTACGGATAAAGAATCCGCAAAAGTCGCATAAATTTGGATATTCACCGATCTACCTATGTTACCCGGCTTATCCTGCATTATACTACTCTGGCTTTTTCAGAAAGCAATTAGCGATCTTAGTGATTTAGCGGAAGCCAACTCGAAGTTAGTGGTAGCATCCGTGAACTTTTGTATGCTCCAATTGGCCGTATAGGTTGGAGTATTGACAATAGTGGGACCTAAAAATCACACATGTCCCACATATAACATAGCTCAACCGCGCCCGTAAGCTGCATGTAAGCTAGTTAAGTTGTACGCCGTATAAGGTCGGAGTATTGCGCGACGCCTGAGCTAGTAGGGTACAGCAATGTGATAAAATCCTTCCAGTTCTTCACAGCTTTTGGGCGGATACTCGGGATCAAAGATGACTCAGCCTGCAACCGCTTCCCTGTCACTTTGCAGAATCCCCGCTGAGGAGAGGTGATTAGGGCAGTTCTAGTACCTGAGTACTTCCCCATGGAAGGGACAGAATGGTGTTATTGCTTACTTAAGAACATGTCAGATTGTCACCCGCAGAAGCCCTGTATTTGCCTATAAATAGTGCTGGATCCCGGCTGCTTTTTATACAATTTTTTTAGTCTCGGGCCGTTGTTACCCAGTGACAAGTCATACCGGTATTCTTCTGGTTACAATACGGCACGGCAAGAACTGGAATAACTGAAGAAATGGAAACAGCATCGAGCCCGGACGAGCCACCGAAGCCATTTAGTTTAATTCGTGATGGGCTCCCCCTACAAACTCAGATCGAGCTCATTGCCCAGATGTGCATGGTCCCTTCGGAGAGCATTCAAAATGCATATCCATGCACACCTTTGCAAGAATCTCTAGTCGGCAGCGGTGATGAGAACGCATACGTGAGACAGATAGTGCTGACTCTATCCGACGACACTCCGCTAGATCGCTTTAAGCGGGCTTGGGAGGAAACATTCCGCGCAAACCACGTAATGCGTACGAGGATTGTCCACTTAGGAGGGCAAGTTGGTTATGTTCAGGCCGTTATCGACGAAGCCGCATCGTGGAATCAAGTGACGGATTCTTTGGCCAGATTCCTGGAAGAAGATGCGAGGTTACCTATGACTCTCGGCGATCGCTTCTTTCGTTACAGTATCGTGGTCGAAAGATCCTGTCGTTGCTTTGTTTTAACTGCGCACCACGCTCTGTTTGATGGAGCCTCAATAATGGAGCTCGTTGATGAGTCTTCGAAGCGGTTTAGCGGCGAGGCCGTCGAGCAGCGTCAGCCGTTTGAGTTATTCGTCCAGGCTACTGTGACCATGGCAGACACGAAACGGCAAGAGGATTTCTGGAAGTCTTCTCTAGCCAGTGTCGATGCGACTGCATATCCCACTATTCCTCGGGACCCCGACTTTCGCGCCCATCCTGCAACGGAGCTTGTGCGGCCAGTCGATCTCCCAAGCCGTCTGCTGGTGCGTGGTGGTCCGACGGCAGCTCTTCTGCTTCGGGCTGCCTGGGGCATTCTGCTTTCACACCATACGGGTACTGAAGACGTGGTGTTCGGAGTAGTTGCGAACGGGCGACGTACAGCGTCGATCCCCGGTATCTCCCGAATGACTGGTCCGACCGTTACTATTCACCCCGTCGCCCTGCACGTAGATTCTAAGGAGTCCGTTGCTACGTTTATATCACGGGTCCAGCATCAAGCGTCTGACACGAGGCCATTCGAACAAACAGGAATGTCAAGGATTCGCAGAGTTTTGGCCAGCAGCGAAAGATATACAATGGCAGAATTTCAATCATTGTTTGTCATCAACCCAGCAGACTTTGGCGAGTTTTCAGCCATTCCCCTCCGGGAACTGGGAGTTGAGTATCATGGTCACCTGGGAAAGAAGGAGCGACACCCTTACCCGTTGGTGGTTACCGTAACACTGCTCACACACACGACTGGAACTGCTCAAATGGAATACGACGAGAGAGTTATCTCTCCAAGACATGCACAGAACCTGATGGATCAGTTTCAAGCAGTACTTACTGGTCTGGGAAATGTGAACAGTGACGCCTTGGTGGGATCAATCTCGCCGTTGAACAAGCATGACATCGATCAGATTCGTCTATGGAACGCCATCACACCGCCAGCGGAGCAAATGTGTCTCCACCACCTGTTCATGAGACAAGCGCGTAAGCAGCCACTCGCCGAAGCGGTTTGCTCTGTGGATAAATCTCTGACATATGCCGAGGTGGACATCATGTCTTCCACTATTGCGATGCAGCTCATCGAGCTCGGAGTATACCCGGAGACATTTGTCGCAGTATGCTTTGAGAAGAATATTTATACGGTGGTGGCGATTCTAGCCGTCCTGAAGGCTGGGGGTGTCTACTTGCCCATCGATCCTGCTCATCCGCGGGGACGGATAGTCGAGATACTCGAAACAGTGCCAGTCAAAGCGGCACTTGTATCGGCCGCCAGCTCTCAGGTGCTCGAAGGACTGTGCGATCGCATCATGGTCGTTGATAACCTTCCGCCGTCGAGTGTCTCATCGCTACCCATGGCGCCCCTGGAGAGAGCTCGCCCATTCAATAATGCGTATTTACTTTTCACTTCTGGCAGCACGGGCAAGCCCAAAGGAATGCTCATTTCCCACTCCGCAATATGTACCTCAATTGTCCACCATGGCCCGGCATTTAAGGCGGGTTCTCATTGGAGAACATTGCAGTTCGGTGCCCACACATTTGATATGTCGATTGGCGAGTTCTTCACGACACTTTCCTTCGGAGGATGTGTATGTGTTCCATCAGAGCATGAAAGGCTGAATGATTTGCCTCGGGCGATTGCTACCTTGAACGCGAATACTTTGCTCGTGGTTCCCACGGTTGTCAATCTTTTAAACCCGGAACAGGTCCCTACACTTAAGACTATTGTCCTCGGCGGTGAACCTATCACGAAAGGCACCATCATTAAATGGGCTCCTTATGTTCAACTTACTGCTTCTTACGGACCGTCAGAAACAGCCATATGGTGTTCAGCCAATGTTGATGTCACAGCGGATGCGGACCCCTCAAATATTGGCAAAGCTGTTGGAGGTACCATGTGGATTGTAGATTCCAAAGATCACCATAAGCTCACTCCAATCGGCTGTGTTGGTGAGATTGTGATCTCTGGCGCTCTTCTCGCCAGTGGCTACTTCAATAACAAGTCCGCGACCGATGCCTCTTTCGTCCCAGCCCCAGACTGGATGAGAAGCTTCAATCATGACAGCCCATACCAGGTCATTTACAAGTCCGGCGACCTTGGGCGTTATAGCTCAGATGGCTCGTTCCAGATCATCGGGCGCAAAGATACGCAGGTAAAGTTTCGCGGTTTTCGCATCGAACTTGGCGAGATCGAGAACCGTACTATGGATCACAGCATGGCAACGGCGGCTTTTGCGGCTCTTCCCAAAGAAGGACCTTGTGCCCGTCATATTGTAGCTGTGGTAAGCTTCAAGAAACAAGACATTGGCAATTTCAAACCGTTTGACGTAACTGTTTCAGAAGACACGAAGGATGACGACCGCCAGCTGGAAGCGCTGAAGTCACACCTTCGGCTAACTCTGCCCACGTACATGCTTCCCTCATATTGGATAGTCCTCGACAAATTGCCATTCCTAATTTCTGGCAAGGTTGATCGAAGGACCTTGACGGTGTGGATATCAACAATGAGCCAGCACACCTTCAGAAAGTTATCGCAAGCTTTCGATGCTGATGAGATGCCCGAAATACTCCCCGGGACTATCGCGGACATACTCAGGCAGATCTGGAGCGACGTGCTTGGTGTGCCCCATGAACAAATACAAATGCACACATCTTTCCTGTCCATTGGCGGGGACTCTTTCGCCGCGATACAGGTGGTATCAGCAGCCAAGAAAAGAGGTTTGTCCTTAACAGTCAGCAAGGTCCTCAATACCAGATCACTGGGAGATCTGGCGAGTGTCGTGGAACAAGAATTACCAGTGAAGCCGTTACCGTTGCAGCAAACCACTGATGCCCAGCGTATAAAACTACCTATTGCTTATGAAAAAGCTCTTCAACCACGACTAGCAGGCAGGCCATCCGTCGAACTCGAGGAAGTTTATCCTTTGGCTCCGATACAACTTGAGGTCACGAAACAGCGGGCCATTGATCCGGCCGTCTTCATCTTCTCTTGGGTGATGGAAATTTCTTCGAAGACGACATCACAGGTTTCACTGGATAGCGCTATGCGAGCATGGAAGCGGGTCGTACAAAAGCGTCCAATTTTTCGGACGACTTTTATGCAGGACCCCTCGCAAAAGGCTGCCCCGTTGCAAGTGGTGTTGAGAAATGCAGAACCTGACATGGCCAGGTCATCTTCACCAGCCGAAAACTTCGACAAGATACTACCTGCGGTTGACGAATGTTTCTTGCCCTACCGTGTCCACTTTTTAGGGCACGACAGCAAAGTTATCATACGTATTGAGCTGGACCATAGGTTGATCGATGGATGGTCGTTGAAGCTCATCAAACAAGATCTCTTGGCAGCTTATGATACCGACGAGGCGACGCTGCCTGTGGAGCAAGCCTCGTACAAATCTTTCATCGACACTCTCCACCCGGATCGGATTCATGCGGCACGAAAACATTGGGCCTCGGTATTGCGTGGCCAGAGGCCAAGTCTTCTTTACCTGCCCACAAAAGGACACAAGCAATCCATGCCAGGTACCAGCTCCGGCAACACCACCTTACGCCTACCGGCTGTAGATGGACGCTCGCTATTTGCTTTCAGCGCTCAGCATGGCGTTACCGCTGCGAGCATCTTCGAAGCCGCATGGGCACAGACCTTGAGCGTGTGCACTCGATCGCCAGACGTCAGCTTCGAATATGTTGTCTCTGGGCGTGACCAAGACACCCCGGGCATCCTCGAGATCGTGGGCCCTCTGATCAACATCCTTGCCTACCATTTACATGACGTCTTGACGGACCCAGATCCCTTGGCACTCGCACGCTTGGCACAGCAAATACAAGAGCAGCGACTGCAGGATGGACAGCACACTGCCTGTAATGTGCGTGAAGTACTTGAACACGACCTGCGAGTCGCAAACCCCTTCAACACTGGGGTGAACTTCCAGCGTCGGCCGTCTGCCGTAGAGAGCGAGACCTTGAAGATTGAGGATGATTTGGTTGGGGCCAATGACCCATGGCATGTAAGCTGCACGTCCTTCTTTTGTACCCCTTTCTTTTTCTGCCTATACTCATAAATCATGTACCTGACTTTTGTTTTAAAAACAGTTTGAGGTCCTGGTTCGGATACTTCACCTGGTTGATAACGACACCATGTGGCCGTCTTTGGAATTCGATGGTCGCTTGTTTGATGAAACACAGATGAGGGCTGTGCTGGATATATTTTGGAGCAGGATTCGGATGGCTATCTCGCGGTCGATGTCGAAGCTCTGAGGTTTGGCCTGGCTACTAGGTACCTACACTATATTTCTGACTCAGAAGCATAAGTTGACGACCGGTTACAAGTACCAAAACACTGTCTACTCCGGTCCCCCTTGCCTGACTATATATTTCAACGAAAAGCTGGATACAGCGCTATTGACAGAGGTCAGTGTAGAATGCCACAATGCACAGGCTCAGTCCAGCTTGCACGGATCAGAGCGAGGTCAAATCAACTCAGACTCATCGAGTAAGCTTGTAGGCCTGAGGAGCCTTGAAAGCCCCAATCCACGAGATCAACGACGTGGCAGCCGACATTCTTTGAGGAGCTCGGACATCAACATGCAAAGATCTTACAATTCGAATTTCACATGGATCTGTTGACTTCACTTGTAGGATTGATTGGTGTCTTTACTTTGCTGTAATACGGATCCGTACAGATTGTGCATTACGCCGTTCTTGAGCCATTTTAAAACCGTCTACACCATACTGGAACTACACGCTTGCGTTTTACGGCTTTCCAACGGGTCTCGGTGACGTTGCTAGTAAGGTAATTGCAAGTAGGCCGACGCATCGTGCAATTAAAACAACTCAAGCGAATACTATCACACTTTTGAAAAGTCAACAATTGCCAGAACCGATCAGTTGGATACTCGACCAGACATTAAATTTTGACTCGCTAAACTCGCTAAACAAAGGCAAAGTCAAACCACCTTTCCGAGACGCGCTCGCTCTTTCCCCTGGATAGTATATTACTTCTAATAGTATATCCTAGTCACTCAATATGACGTAGTCATGCTACGAGTGAGCGCTGCGTATCAACGTCTCGCTTATTTGGAGTAGTCACTAAAGAGTCTGCTGCGACATATGCAAGCTGTGGGCATGACTGATCCCTGGTCTAAACGTATGACACTGTAATCAGACGGCGAATAGTCAGACGGGAGAATTAAGGGTGCCGAGCTAGATATCCCCATAGAACTTCCACCTGCTCTCGAAATCTTGACTGAGCTCCTGATCAAGAAGAAGCGCCCGCACCATCTCAATTGGCATCATATTAGCCTTGAGTATCCTGTCGTGAAACTCTTTCTCTGGCATGAGCCCTTGGTCGACCGCCTCGCTTCTGAGGGCCCAGATTTGCAAGGCACCTAGTAGATAGCCCGCCTGGTATAGTGGGCTGTAATCGCCGTTGAAGCTTCGCCTCACCTCACCCTCCGCATTTGCGCGCTCATGGCCAACCCAGTTGACGAGGAGATCAACACACTCAGACGGTGTCATCTGACCAAGGTGGAATTTCAAGCTGAATATGATACGTGCGCAGCGGTGCATTCGCCAAAACAGTGTCCCGACTCTGTCCTCCGGGCTTGTGAAGAAGTCTCCTCTCGACCAAAGAAGCAGTTCCCAGTAGAGCGCCCATCCTTCAACGTAAAAGGGTGTTTGGAACACCTGGCGGTGGGGGTTCGATCTCTCGGCAACGAACAACTGTAAATGATGTCCAGGTATCATTTCGTGGAACGCTGTAGCTTTGGAGAAATGGCGATTGTTCCCGCGCATGCTCATCATCTTGTCCGAGTGGGACATGTCAGATGTCGGGTAGGACACGTACAGAACAGGGCCTCCTAGAAAGAAAGGTGAGACCTTTTGCTGACTTGGCGGGATCATGACCATGCGAATGGCCTCTTCTGCCACTTTTGGAACTGTTACTAGATCGTGCTTCTTCACATACGCCGTTCCCTCGTCAACCAGAGACTTGATGAACAGTGGCTGGGAGCCTGGTGCCTCAGTAAGGCCTTTAACATGCTCCAGCGCTTCGTGCCAGTCTTTTCCGAAACCTAACTCTTTCGACGCCTTGATCATCTCTGATTCACACCATGCATACTCCTTCTCCGCAACACGAATCAGCTCTTCTGGCGTATAAGGGATCATCTCAGCCTTCAGTTCGGCCAAAAGTCCATCTCGGCGAATAGGCTGGCCGATTATGGTATCTTCGTCGCCTGACCCAATTCCGACAACGTTTTCCTCGATCGAGGAGGCAAGAGCACCCAGCGCCGTATCGAGAGCCGCGTATGGCTTGCGGACCCACCAATCCCATAAAGGCTCATAGCCGTCGTAGAAGTCGTACATTTCCTTCAAATGTTCCCGCAGTTGACTGATTCTCTTGACAGCCCGATAGCCCGTCGGTTTGGAGTACTTTTCTGGCCCTGACCTCTCAGCTACCCCTTTGCATCGAGTCACCTCATCCAGTAAGCCATGGAACTCTGTAGCTACGTCCCTGGGATCGACTGGTTCGACTCGCATCCGCGCTCCAATCCATCCTTTGATACTCGCAGCGAACGGTTCGAACAACGGGCCGATTTCTTCATCGCGCGCCCGCTCGAGTTCGAGGGTTTGGCGAGCGCGGGACAATTGGGCTTTCAGAAGCAGGTAATCCACCTTCTCGTCCTGTGTATATATCTTGAACGGCACATCTTTCAGGGACTCGAGCTCTTCGTCATAGAACTCTTGCAATCGGTCGTATTGGATAGGCGAGGTTTCGATCTTGTAGAAAGCGAGGAGCTCTTTGAGGTCGGCTTGGGTTCGCGTGATGCGATCGACAATAGGCTCTACTAGCGCTGGCGCGGACGCTGGCGTAGGCGTTGTCCCGCTAATAATAGGTGCTTCTACTGAAACCCAGTCTTCGAGCTCGGCTTCAGGCTTGCGCTCGCGCAGCGGCAGAGCATTCGTCGTCATGATCTTTGCGATCCAAGATGTTGCGATATAAGCTGTATTGCTGTATTTTCAGCGATTAGAGTACAAAAACTAGGTAGTGAGTGGAAGGATGTTACCGTGACTACACTCAAGATTCTTAAAAAACGAACCGTGCAAGGTGTTAGGTTAGGATATGAATAGCTGTAACGTACTGACAAGCCTAGGTTAGCACGTCTTATCCGCATCAGCTTAATCAAAGTAACGTTAAATTACATTCCATGGCGATAAGAGTGGAACACGGCATTCGGACCCGGAGGTTCATTCACGGGTCTATTCCGATAAAACCTGTATAGGAATTCAAAACTAGTCTGACCTAACTTCGGTACTAAGGCAGGCATCAAAAGTCGTAGACCGCCCCACTTATGTCTTGGCTAACACCTTTACGCTGGTGGAACAGGATTTTCACGATAATGACATTAAAATTAATTTAAAAGGTATTAAAAATGAAATTTTACAGATAATTATTAGATTATAAATAACTTTGGATAGAGGCATGCTCTTTAAGGCTTTCAACGACTAGAAATCGTGTGCTTTTCAATTATTGAATTCTCTCTAAAATCATCTTGACCAGGCACTACCGGGCGACTTCCATTCAACAATCTGGCCACCGATAGAAACTCGCCACTTCTCTTTCTTTGGCCCATCGCCGCTATCAAACATGACAAAAACTCTGTGCTCCGTTGCGTCTAATGCGTTCAGCGTATTTGCGAGTCCCAACCATACGCGATCCGGTTTCAATAATGATGCGATCTTGCTCTCCTGGTTCATAAATCCGCCATAGTATTCCATGAGACAAGATTAAGAATGCTCCGGTCGGTGGTCCCAAAGATGATGAGATGTGAGTTGCTCGTCTCGGGCGCATTCGGGGACAGTGGTGGTGGTGGAGTATTTCGTATTGTTCTGTATGCTGACAGAAAAGAGGGTATATGGCGCAAGCTCGTATATTAAGGCTATTGGGTATTGGTCAGATAGTTACCCACAATTGTGCAAGTCAGAAACTCAATGGAGAGCTTTCAGGTCAGGTTTGATATTAAGTCACTGGTACGGTTGTACTGATGTTGCTTCAGAGTCTTAGTTGGATCACCGATATCTAGTCGAAGGTCCCGTCGACTGCATGCGCCATCCCATGATATAACACGCAGTTGACTATCAAGCGACCGCCCCTGGAGATGCTCAGAATCAATCCACAAAACTATGATTACTTGGAAAACTCGTATGAAATGGTGATTGGCCATGATGGGCTCTATACCTAATCACATCCCCACAATCACACGCTCAAGCTACTCGCGCGGTACCTCGAAGTTGGTCCTCAAAGACTTGATAGGTTCTATCAACACACCGACCTTTTTAAGAAGTCTATCATTGTTCGTGCCATCACTTCCAAGCTTGATCACAGCTTCACAAAAGCGGAGGTAACGCATCAGCCTATGACATCGGTCACCTAGACAATCATCCTTTTCACAAGGCTAAGGACAGTGGCCACTAGCGCAGATACTCTAATACCTTGGTAGATTCGCTATCCGCAGAAGGTACTCTCTATCCGTTCCGAGTATATATTCGGGTGTCATGCTGGATAATCAATGGTGTGCAATGGCGTCTAGAATATTTTATGGGGGTTATCAAACAGCTTATCGGTCTCGTTTACGGCAACCTCCATTACCAATAGTGATCCGCCTAATAAAGAGTGGCTACATTGTAATTCCGATACGACCAACCAGATCGAGCTATCCACCTACATGGTTGCTAACGGAATTGCGCATCCCATAATCAATGACTTGGTTGAGCCTCGCGGTTAACTATTGGCATACTTTCGATGGTAAGAGTTCTTACACTCCCACGTATGCGAAACCTGCTCTGGCAGGCGTGATCAGACTATGGTCGACTCAAGCACCTTTAAGAACACCTTTCGTAAATTTGAACTAAAGTCCCTCACGAGGCGTTCGAGGATAAATTTTTCTTTAACCTCCGATGCTTATAGGCCCTCGGTATTAACAAGGCCAACCAAGCTGCCCAACCTTGGTCCTCCGATTTCAGTTGGAGGACCTTCGCCGAAATCAAGGCGGCTTTCAAATTCTCATGTTAGTTATCTGTAAGGCTCCGAAACCACAAATTCGGCTCGAGATGGTATTTTTAGCAGCCGCTGGTCACAAAAGCCATGCAATTAATTCTACTCCGCATACTTCCCAAAAGTTGTTAGTCAAATCCTAATCATAGCTTTACAAGCCGAGGGAGGTATTTGCCTTTCTAGTTGATATATTATTAATAACAACACATGCGTTCGTCGAAGTCCGGCGTCGACTTAATAAGGATATTGAAGGAGTCATTAGTAGCACGAACGATTGCACAGGAATATTATGGCAATTAAAGATCTTAGGGATCTTAGAACACGACGCGAAAACTACGAACGTCTTCGAAGCTAACAAAGCGGTTGCTATGAGAATTTGGAGTTTTTTGACCAGCCGCATATACGGGATATCCTAGCTTTGCAGATCAATTGTTAGACAAGGCCCTAATAAGGCAATGTGTTTCTCAGGCTTCAATGGGAGCAAGTCGGTTGCCATGCAGTAGAATTTGCGGCTCACTGGTTTGCTTCACATCTGGCATAAGACAAGCCATAGGACCCTTGAGGGACTCTTTTACGTTTATAGCAGGCTTTACGCAATGATCACGGCACACCATGTTGTTTATATCATTGAAGAAAAGGCGCAAGAACTATCTATACCAGAGCTCAGCGAGCTCAGCTGCAGCGATCGTTTGGACGACGGCCACAGTTGGGACAGCGACGATGAACTTAAAGTTGATGATCTTGGCACATCTTACTGGACAGCAGTTAACTCAGGGGAGATAAGGTTTGGTGCGATCAAGCTTTTACAACAGCGTACTAACCTAGATTGGCCTCTAGCACCCTTGTTTAGTGACATGTGGTTGTCAATCTACTTGATCAGTCGCGCATGATCTATAGCAAAGATATCGTATATTCCGATAAAAGCTTCCTAAAACTCAAAACCTGTGAGGATTTTGATATCCGGTCAGTATTCAAGACCCTTTATTTCGTGTTTAGACTATCCAAGAAGCTAAAGTTGGCTATGCTTAATGGGTCATGCTCTCAAGGCACCTGTATTACTCCAGATTACCCCTGACATACTTGATTAGAGAAATATGTGACCCGTATGTGGTGAGCAGGAAATGACCTTAAGCCTATCATTCTTAAAAACGCAGTTAGCGACACTCCTGATTAGGCCCGGCCAGAACTTTTTGTACGTGCATACCCTCAATATTTGGAGAGAGACAAGTAAGTTCTCTCTAAAATTGTTCACCAATCACCTACTACCGTAGCGTCCTCCTAGGACTTCAGCCAGGCCATCCAAGATCGTGGGCCGTAAACAAACATACAGGTGAAGTCTATGGAAATTTAGTGGCTGTGGACTGTTTCGGTGATGACTTTGTCGTTCCGATTCAGGATATTCTTGAGAACATAAACAAAGGGCTCAAGCAAAATCTGTTCGGCTCCCAAGTCGCGACGAGGTCATTAACCTCAAGCTTGCATCAATGAACGATTCTAATCCTCGTCAACCGATTCTAGTGTGGATAGAAAGAGATATTCTAAGACGGAAGATCTATAAAGGGGCATTTATAACATTATTTGTTACAAACCTATTGGTTTAGTCATTTTATGTGAGCAAGTTTCTTTTAAAAACAATTGAAGTAATATAAGAATCTTTTCATAGTGATATCAGAAGATAACTTATTGAAGTCAGTGCGAAACGCCTCTACCTTGCTCTCGATGGGTCTAGTTGTCTCAGGACTCACTTCTACGTCATTTGTTATAATATGTCATTCCTATTAATTGCGCCCATCAATATGCCTTCGACTGCTTCGCCACTGTTGCCGTTGCTGCTTGCGATGTCATGCGACACAGTTCTTATTTCTGCACGCACATTTAGAGATACGTCGAAGAGGGGGGCACTCCAACCTCAAGTAAATGATCTGAGAGTTGTCATCGGCATTTGCGGGGGTTACTATACTGATGCTCCCTTGAAAATATCGGAGTTTCTATCGAAGAAAACCGTGCCGAAGCTCTTCAAACCTGACTAAATTGCTAGGCGCAACGGTTGTGATCGAACATTCGAGCACAAAATACTTGATGATTTGACACCCACTCTAAACGGGCAGTCCCAATCTTTTTTTTAATCACTCCATGCGTCAGCCTGTCTTTGGTTTCCAGAACATCGACCTTGGCGGTAGCCACCCAGGCTCGCTCGGATGTTGTCGGCAACGATCTGAATGTTATTTAAGAAGCCACATCACCCGGCTTGCGCGACGAGGCCGACATCATGGCTCCAAACGAAGCAGCCTTTAAAAAGCTAGCAGACACGATGTGAGATATCATGGACTCGAATGGAACAAGTTGTTGGGTATCAACTGTTATGGTTAACCAGAACTATGACATGGCGAACGATGGTGCAAGGTTTGCAGCCACGAGGAAGAATTGGACAAAAACTAAAATTGACTCAAAGTGTTGGGTGACGACGAAGCACAAATTGAACAATTATATAATGACGAACCATATGTGTTGGGAACAATCCTTCTACGTCATATGTAAATGTGTCTACCCTTCAGAGTAGCAGTGTTATCCTGCCACAGATGTTTGATAATTCTGATTGCGCACGCATCATGCCAGCTATGTTATCTGCTACTTCTCATTTATGTCAACCTAACAACGAGAATCAATATGTGCCCACCCTAACGAGTTTTATACATCGCCTTGTTCTGTGGCAATCAATGTGAGCCTATACCCCGTAACTTCTATGGTAAAAAGGGATGGCTATGCCATAGAGAAAGGTTGCAGCACTACCTCCGTCAACCGAAAGGCGAAGAGATATTTCACAACACGTAAACGTGACGTTGTTATCCGCCTCCTATTCCAGTAAAGAACAGATATTCAGACAATGAAATTAGTGAGTCGAGCGTTTTGAATTGTCCCGTAGTGGGACTCTTCGACTAAATCTGAAATTAGATCATATCGTTGAGGTAGCTGGGCAATATCCATAAAAGACTGTGACGCGACTCGGGTGGAGGAGATGGTCATTTATGATCAGTGCTCTGAGCGACCTTTGGGCAAGATGAACGACGCCAAACGCGCTAATCTTATCCTGCAATGCATGATTACATAGGCAATCGCCCTACCGCTACCGGATTCACGGGGCGCCATTGGAGAGCAGAGCTCAGCACCTCTCTCATTGCGAGAGGGATGAGGGTGTCTGTCACATAGACCAGGCGAAACGTTTGTTGGGCTTGGCTATGCATAATCCTAGTCAAGGACAGCTCTTTTGCTCTGAACGCGCGTGGGGGTGCTTTTCTCAAAAGCGACTTTGACAACTTGGCTGTACTTTATGCAAGGTTGCACGCCGACTGCTTCGGTCCTTGTGCTTATCAACAGATGAGGTTTTTATTTGTGAAATTGACGTCTAGGCCCTCAAATAGCTTGCCAGAACTCAATGAAACAAATTTTTAGAACTCATTGGGACGCCCTCCCAAGTGGGGTCAGGGAGGATGAAGCTACCGCTGCGCGCAAAGTGCTAAGTAAATATGCGATCACAATGCAATGTTTGTTTCATACCACTTAAATTTGATACCCGAATAACCTCTCCAAATTGGTGGCTCGAAACAGATGGGTTGCACCACTGCCGATGAGAGCTCATGCTCTTATCTCCAGATAGTACAATTTGTTTCACATGTGCGGTCGGTTTGGGTGTTCAGCACACCATAGCACAGCACTTTTCGGCCTAATTGTCTATAAACAGCACTTGACCCGATACTTTGGTACCGGCCTCGGCTCATGCGACACCAACAAGTCGGATTGCCGCACGATAACTGGCGGTGACCTCGTCATCCGAGGCATTGACTACCTACCTAATTAGGCAAATCTGTGTTTCTTATCAGGACGTGCAGTGCACCGCTCAACGCAAGCCTCTCGCTTAATAGTAACCTTGACCCTGACATCGCGTGGCATTTGAAAGCATCGGCTTTTCAACATACGCCAACCGCAGAGAGCGGGCAGCTTCGCCAGCCATCAGTATGGGCGACAACTTATGGCGGGCTGAGCAGTATGGGAAGATAGCGGACAAAGTCTTTTGGGGCATCTTCTGCTTGACGGCCGGTAAGCTTGTCCAGTATAGTTGAGTCGAAAAGAAATTAGCTGATCAACCGCGATCGTGCAGTGATAGTCGCGCTTCGTTTCTACTCCCGCGCGCAGACTGGCCGCAAGTTCTCAGGTGCACTTGGATGGGATGATCTAGTAACGCTACTATGTTTGATGATCATCCTTGCAGCTTGTATCCTCAGCACCATCGCCGCTGGATGGGGTCTGGGAAAACACTTTGACTCCCTCGATGCGGAGCACAAGGTGCTAGCCATGAAGTTCAACGCTATAATTGATGCTGTCATTATCTGGGGTTTCTCTATGCCGAAATTCGCCATTGTGTTTTTATTAAAAAGAATCCTGAGTCATGGGATCAAAACGACTATACTATTCTGGACCCTTGCTTTGATAGGTCAGATCGTCATGTTGGCAACTTCCATTTGGGTTTTCAAGCAATGCGACCCCATCGAGTATCAGTGGGAGCAATACAGAAGTCCTACCGTCACTGGTATCTGCGCTCCAATCAGCATACTAACGGACATAGGCTATTTCGGATCAGCCTACTCCGCCTTCCTCGACGTTTTCTTTGCGTTATATCCCGTGCCATTCGTTATGAAGTTGCGCATGCCACTGAAAAATCGGATCTCCATATCTCTTAGTCTTAGTCTGGGCGCAGTCGCGTGTTTCATATCGGTGTATAAGTTGAGCATCATAGGTAGAGCCTTTGCGATCATGGGGAATGATCCCACTTGTAAGTTTCAGCTATCAGAGTTTCCCGAAACATATTAACCTGAACAAATAGTCCCAATTCCATACCTCAATACTTTAGGTATATCTGAAGCCTGTGTGCTGATAGTCTGTGGGTCTTTGCCAGCTCTCGGTCCTATCTATCGCTTGGCCAAGGGCAAGTTCAGCAAGAACGGCACGCAAGGCAGTCAATCATACCAGACTTACATCACGAGCGACAGTCGCCAGAGCGGCAATCGCAACGGATGGTCTCGTATTGATGAGCAAAAGCGGACTGACCCTGAATCTGCTTGCAGAACAGGTCTCGCTAATGAAGAAGGCATTCAGCTGTCCTTAGTGACTCCTGAGAGGAATAGGTTAAACTTTTAGCAGTTATTGAAATTTAAAGATCTCATAATTAACCCAGGAGAATGAAGTTTGCAGTGAATGCATATTGAATAATATTTGAACTTAGCCAAGACGTAGATCTTTCAGTAGTTTTCAAAATTTTAACATTATTCACGTCATGGTCAATGATACACGGAGGAACAACCATGTGCAAGTTGGATTAATTCAGCATCACCTTGATCTGCAGCGAAGATCTACGTTGCAGTAATTGTGGAACAAAAGCAGGCGAAGCGACTACGAGATGCAGAAAATACCAAGCGGCTTCGGACCGATGTTGCTCTCTTCGCATATATTCTGACCGTATCGTCTATCCTGCGGCCATTTGCTATATGCCTGTCAACATTATAAATTTGCCTCAGAGGTTTGTCATTGCAAAATGATATGACAAGCTGAGAGAGAAGGGATGCGTCAAAGTCCAGAACCATAGGATTCCTGAGGAAGCTATCCGCAGGCTATTTCAGTTTGTACGTTGCTTTGCATCTGACCAAAAAGAAGAAAGAAACAACGAAGGCCATGCTAATCATACCAAAGACGCGTAAATTCTTTAACTTATCAGTAGATCAGAAGATGGAAGCGGAACACCCACCCAAGGCCAATCCTACCCGTGGATACAGTTATGTCGGCCAGAAAAATGTAGCGACCATCAGCGGATATGAGAAAGGACGTGGCCCAGGCAAGACAAAAGACGTGAAAGTATGGTCTACTTTGTCCCAAATAGGACACAGATACATTAACGAGCAACACAGAAAACATTTGATATGCGTTCAGCCGCGGATGAGCTAGTAGACAACCTTTGGGTATTCGAATGAAAAATTCCTGGCTTCCGCGTGTTCATGGAGACATTCTACGAAGAGGCTTTCAAGACCGAGTTGGACCTCGTCACCTATCCCCCCTCCATCCAGGCTGGTGATGATAAGGTCATTCCGGAGAGGTATTCGGTGGTGTACTTTGGGAAGCCAAATCGGGCAGCTTCATTACTTCTGCTAAAGGAGTTCGTCACCGACTCCAGACCCTGCCACTATGAAGATGTCATGGCCTGGGAGCGGAATAATCGAAGAATCGAGAAACTATTCTCTTGAGCCGCGTTCTCGGGTACAGTGTCGAATGTATGTATGTCAATACTCAGGAGAATAAATCTCATCGCTAGTACCCACCCGCTCTCTTTTGCTTCCTCGACAATGCGTACAACTATTTATGTTTTATTGGTCACTTACGCCAGCCATTCCCAACCCTTTACATTCATACTGAGCTCTATTGGGCACCTGCAGCTGGACCTTCCCAACTTCCCAAACTGTAAAGGTGTGTTGAATATGATGGAGATAGGTGGTTTTTTGTGGTTTTTTTCACAGGTTTGCGAGAAAACCCATCACGACCTCTTTCTCGACGCAAGAGCAAAAGATTCTGAGACCCGTGACATTCAGCCTTGGGTTCTTGAGACCCATGATATTAAGATGGTGTCGGTCGCGTTTGGCTTCTGCATATGAATATGCTTGGAGTTCCTGGCAGCCTTCTACATCGTCCGTTCCGAGGAATGCGGTATCAACCATCAGCTACTTGAGGACGTCATTTGGCAATGTGTCGACCCCTCTGCGGCCGCAGAATTGTGTGTTGTCGCCTATAATGATCTTGAAGATCTAAAGGCTGTTAATGACGGCACGTCCATTGTTCTCATACCGGACACGACCGAGTCCACGATGACAATGACTATCTTTAATCCTCCCGTTCACAAAGATGAGCTTCGCAAAGCCCGCCGCAAGATGGACGATTCTTCTCGTATTAGAACGTGGAAGTTGTTTTACGGCCACGAATTCGTACCTGGCCTGGCAGACTTCGCAACATTCAAGTCGCGTGATAGAAGCCGTATCCGCAATTTCTTTTCTGAGGTGTCCGCGAAGACGCCACTGGTTTGAACAATGATTTCTGAACTGAGGTGAGACATATGTAGAGAGGCAGTCCAGTTCATGTTTCGATGCTTCCAGGTATGGGTTACATGAAGTGCAGACGGAAACACAGGTAGCTTGTCAATCAAGTCAACACATTTGAAGTGTCTTCTGAATTTTCCTGATCATGAGAAATGCTAATTTTGCATATTTCCAGTCTAAATAACACCAGCACACGCCATTGACTTCCTCGAAGTTTCATAGAGACCATAGATCTAACAAGTCATCGATATAAAACATAGTGAAGCTGCATAAACCTTGGTCTGTGACCTGAGCCACTTCCCGGACCGCCAGCATTGAGCGTGCCTGTTACTCGAACATGACCATGCTCAGACACGACTAGACTAAGATTAGAGCAATTTCCATAACTGTAATGCCTACATCTATTCAGTTGTGGCGATATATTGTTATGCGACCATGAAGTACATTTCTTATTATCTATCAGTCACCAAGTCAAACAGTGTTACCAAAGTCTCCACCAAACAATGGCTCTAACCAAGCCAATTCACAGCGCCGTATTCCTAATATCCTCTCCGTAGTCAGATATTGACTGGTCTCTCCCTCCACCATGAACAGACCATGCCGTTTCATTAACGATAAGAAGATACAGTACTGCCCTCTTCTCCTACCACACTAAGGCCTGAACTGTTTCTTTTTTGTAGTTTCACCCTCTCCCGCTGCTTGGCAGCATCGTTTTGTTCGTTCAGTTGAGATGATGATCGGTTCGCTGCTCTGCTTATAAAGTTGCTGATCCTGCTTCCAGACCTTGGCTTTTCACCTGATCCGACGGGCTTCCGATTGAATGGCGAGCTTTCACGGATGATCTCATCGTCTTGTTGGACGCTCGAGGTCGGATCGAGTGTGTAGTTCTCACCGGACGATCCGCTAAGATTATTATCTTGATGATAGAATCTACCATTCTCGATCTCAAATTTACCGGCCTCAATTGCACGTTGATCCTTCTCCGTTATGACTCTCTTACCGGTGTGTCGGTCAACAGATGCGTTCAGAGTTCCGCGCAGCGTCTCACCAGCACCCTAGCATGTCTCAGTTAGCTCTTACATTGTATCGACTGCACCTACGAAACTTACATGTATACCGGCAGCTGCCATCTTGAGATTGCTAAATGTAGAACCGGACCCAAAAGTCCCACCAGACGCGCGATGTGCACCCCCGGCTGCCGACGGGGCACCGGGTCGCTGCTGTTGTGCCTGCGATTGCCGCTCAACTTCCAAAGACGGCTGATTACGCCCAGGATAGGAAAAGTTCTGTGCTGCAGGAGTCTGAACTCCGGCAGGAGCTTGAACTCTTGCTGGGGACTGTGATGAATCACGGTCCTGGAACAGCGGTGGTGGCATACCATCCATAGGCGGTGGTCTTTCCAATGATTCCCGGCGAGAGCTGCGCCTTGGCACTGTTGGGACTCTCTCAGGTGGCAGCGGCCTCTCGACTGCGTGTTGTGGCCCTTGCGGCGAAATTGGGTCTCGAGGTGGTATGATGCGCTTGCCTGGTGTTTCTGAACTTCTACGAGGCCTTAAGGAGAGGTCTTCCTCTGGTGATACCACATTTTCTACTCGCGCTGCTGCTGGGACAAGTGCTGCCGGCTTCGTCTCTTCTTCTATTGCGGACACTGGCTCATTACTGGCAGTGGGCAATTCCACCGCTTCGTTGGGTTCCTCGACTGTCGTGGTTGTGCCGTTGGAGTTCGTGATTGTAGTTGTCGTGGTGGTCGTGGTAGTGGTGGTCGTTATTGTCTGACCTGTGAACGGGTTCGTTTTTGTTTCTCGCTTGATAGTTGGGCTTGTGTAGGATGTCGGTCCTTCGCCTTGTGTTGTGGTCCTATTATGATTGGGCTGTGGATCTGAAATCAGAGCAGAGCTGTTCCTTTGTGCATTCAAGCTACTTCCTGGGACACTCAGGTTGCCTCTAGAAGCATTGAAGTCACCTCCATTAGCACCAAATGTGCCGGTAGTTCCTTGCGTGGTCAAAGAGTCCGACGGCTCGCTGCTCCCGTATGTCGAATCGTCGTTTCTGGGGGCCGAAAGACCGGCAGGCTTTTTGGATTCTGGATGATGCCGCGAAGGATCTGCAGAGTCTTGAAGGTCTGAACGATTTGGCTGATGCTGCGCAGTGTCACCTACAGCTTGCGTGGGTCTCGATAAAGGTTCTTGAGCGGTCTCCCCGTCTTTAAGTTTGCCCTTGGAGAATGGCTTCCAGATGTGACGTTTCTCTTTGGATTGCATGTTTGGCTAGTGGGTCGCTGGTGGTGCTATAAGTCTCACAGATAATGGATTAGACGCGATATAGGGTTACTGAAACAGTTTGAAAGCTGTGTTATTTGATTATAGATTGGTATTTCTATCCTCTACCAGGTCCATGAGACAAATGGTTCAATTGAGCGTTTGAATCAAGCTCGAGATCCTTGTACTTGATGACGTCCAGGAGTATGATGTCACATTTGCTCCCCCACATGCAGGCCGCATTTGGCGATCACTCGATCCGCTTTTGTTTAGTCCCAGATCCCTGGTCTCGGGGACATGCACAGTGATGTGCACGTTACATACTCATACACTACCATACTCAAATTGTCTTGGACCTTGCAGAACTACCTAATTCTGGAACGGCTCTGCCGGCTAATTGTGGTGATAACCATAAGCCACAGGTTTGCGCCGCCTGTGTCACTACTGCCATTTACAACCATGATCCGGCAGGAGTCAAGACTCGTGCAGCTGAACTCAGCTGCTTGCTATGTTTCGCGACTTCGGGGACTAGCTTGTAACTATCAACTATCATACTGTACTGTAGAGAGCATAATCACTGCCCTTTGTCTGCCTAGTATCCCCGCAGTAGTAAGGCCGTTGCTACAACTCTGCGCCCGTCCGAAACCTGGGCCACTATGTATGCCTGGTTCCACCGAAGACTCCGGTTTCTTCGATTAGGACTATATATTTTGTCCGCTGCTTGCGAGGCTGTAGCCATCTCTGCTTGATCTTGCTCAGCCTTCATACTGAGTTGACCGATCTAGCCATGCAACAGTAGAACAGCAGCACAAACAAGTGAAGATTCTTCTGCTTCTTCAGGTTTTGATGACATCATTGAATGCTTTGAAAGCTTTAGTCTCCTCCAACATAGGTGCAAGGTAAGCGTAGCTTTTAAGCAAAATAGAGCTACTGCCGACACACTAGGAAGAATATCTAGCATCTACTGTCTAACCATTCCGCCAGATCCGCAGTCGGCGACTCTAACACACCACACACGTTTCGTGAATTCTAACCCCAGTATTAACTAGTTCCATGTGTAGTTGCATAGTACAACTGATCAAGTCGTGATCCACATAGGCTCCTTACTAACTCCCGAGACATCGGACGATACGAAAACATAAATATGAATAGAAAACAGCCAAAGCTGCGACAAAGACTCCATAACGCTGCCGAGTGTGGTTACGAGGCAGCAAGCCTTGACACGAAATGCTGCTAATAAACAGCACTTGTTTAGACTTCGAGGTCGAACTTTAGACTTCACGCCATACTAGGTACTAGACTAGGTTAGACTAGTCATCGGCGAGTAAGATGTAGGAACCGGCTACTTGGATTATGGATTTTTGGAAGAAAGTCCTCTATGAAACTCTTCTCCCACAATACGTCAAGAAGCCTTGGAGTTTCAACGCGTTGAACGACCGCACCCGTGATCTGGAACGCGCATGCCCGAACGAGGCAGTGCTTGCGAAGACGCGTTGAACGACACCACATTGCGTCGATCTTCCAAAACATTTTCTCATGACAAGAGGGATCTCCCGGCCCACAAGAAAATATTGTTTCCACCTCATCAACGGGGTAAACATTTTGGTAAGTCGAGTCAAATAGCAGCATTCACAAAGAGCAAGAAGGCAATTCCCTGGGCGGAAGCATTGGCCGGCCGGACCCGACATACTAGTTGCCAACTCTAGTTAGTGTTGCTGCAACACACCTTCAGGCTTTAGCATAATTACTCGATAACTTGTTTCCAATTACACACTTGGTATGGCGCTATTTACGCCATTTTCGGGTTGGGCTGATCATGTGGGTTTGTCTGTTAGAGAGAACGAAGCTTATACCCATCTTCTTTGTTCCCCTGAGACCATGGCGTCTCCCTATCGTCCCATCTTTTTAGCTAGTCTAGATCATTGATAAGACTTGTGTCATCTCAATGGGCAGTGTTGTTTCGATGAAGCCAAGGACTGGACATGGCCCTATGTTCCTCTAGGATATTCGATATCACCTACGCTGCTCTTTGAACTGTAATCCTCTCTTCCAGAAAACAGGTACCGTGGTGTCAATCGAAGACATGGTGCTGCAGATCTGACCTTCTCGAACATAAATGCTCACTTGGGAGATCGTCTCGTTGTTACCCTGAGCGACGTCCTGGATCGTGGTCCACAGCTGCTTGCAGCCACGTGGTCTTTAACTGCCGTCTCTGGTTGTATCCTGGCATTACGAGGGTACTGCAAGTTTCTGAGACATCGTGGACTATGGTACGTTGACTACGTGTTGATATTTTCATGGGTATATACAAAAGAATCGACTTCTACCTTGCTCAGTCGCGGTTAACTCATAATGCCTCTCAGATTTGCCTCTTGTTGGCGAACGCCTTCGCCGTTCCGTCGGTCCAGTTAGGACTGGGGAGACACCAAGCCGATATCGAGCCTAAAAGCAATCTAAAATACCTAGTTTTAGGTATCATTACCTCAATGAATTTATTGCTCATAGGATCATCAATCCTATCATGGCCCTGGTGCCGCCCTGTCAACAAGATTTGGAATCCTGCGGTTGCGGGATTATGCTTAGATTCCGCGACCAACTAACGGTATTTCATGGTGTCTGGAAGTAAGTGTGTTTTCTAATTCATATTCTTCAAGTTGCCTGTATAACATGCATCTCTTGAACCTTTGAACAACATAGCTTACGCAATCAACTAAGCTTGTTACGGTGTTACGAACGTGGTGTTGGCACTTATTCCATGGACAATCATAACCCAGTTGCAAATGAAGACAAAAGAGAAGATGAGTGTCGCCGTCGCCATGAGCATGGGACTGTTGTAAGCGGTTCCCACCAATGCAAGATCAACTACTGCGATATTAACGACCTTCCTAGTGCTGGTATAACCGCTTTTGTCAAAGTCAGCCAACTGCAGCGTCTTGCAAGCGTCGACTTCTTCTACGACGGAGTGGACCTGATTATATGGGGAGCTGCAGAAACAGCCACGACCATCATAGCGACCTCGATTCCGGTCCTCGGCGTCCTCTTGAACGAAATCAAAACGTCTTCAGGCGGCAATTATTTCAAGACATTGTCAAAAGACCGTACAAAGACCCCCAAAACACAGGCCAGCAGAGTCCGTACTATAGTCACCGCGAATCGCCGAGCTACCATGCCAGATAGAGGGGATGATGCGGCGAGCGACAAAAACATACTTCCTAAAAAGGCGCATATTACGAGGACGGCGGAGGTGACGATGACGTATGGAAAACGTGCGAGCGACGAGGAAAGCGAATATGAGATGGACGAATTTGATCAGCAGAGTATCAATCCGCATGCAAGCTCTACGCACCCAACTTGATCACACTAATATCTCGTTGGGCTAGTAAAGACTCACTTCTTGAGAGCAGGAGAATACCATATCTCGTCAAATTCTATCCAGCATTCCATCAGAATGACAACAAATGACCAGAAATTGCCGCTCTTGAATTTCAGCGACACGATTGCTTACATCTCGTCGTGCTTAGTATCTAGACCATTTACCTTGCTACATGACGAGAATAGATTGTTTTTTCTTATCATATTAATGGCATTCAGGCACGTGGTTATAGAGCGCCTGCGATGTGGGAATGGGGTCATATTCAATCTGAAGACTATTTGCATTGCTCTTGGTCACCTTATGTCCCCTCTGTATCAAATACGATACCTCGACCGAATCGCTAATGGCGTCTTTGATTAGGGTGATTAAAATTTATAGTCGAAGTTATTATTTTTGAGTTATCATGAATGGTATGTATTCCATGAGTGTCGTCGAGTCTTCCCCGAATAGCGATCATATTTTAAGCGACGATCAATTGCTTTTCCTTCTTCAATGACTCCGCAACCTCAACGGGAATCTTCAGAACGCTTGATACAATGCCTGGTGGAGTAAGCGCAAGCCATTGGGCAAGACTGATGTCCTTCACGCGATCGGATTTGTAAAGCTCGATCCAAACGAGGTCTTCATCTCCAGTGTTTTCGACATAGTGACCTAGTGTGGTTGGTATCAGTTTATGTTGTAACTTGATAAAGTACAGAGAAGAATAATCATACCGGAGTTGTCAGGGAATACTGCAGCATCGCCGGCTGAGAAGTCAAATGTTCTAGCGTTACCGTTGCCAATGAACGCTGTTCCTCGCCCTTTGCCTTTGTGGAAGTAGAGCCACTCTTCGGCCTATGAATATACAGTTAGCCAGGTCAGGTGGCGTTGGTTCGCATGGAAACTTACATTAGGGTGCCAGTGCAATTCTCTAATTGCTCCAGGTTGCAGAGTGACAACTGCTGCGGCAATCGTCTTGGCGATGGGAAACGTCTTGGTGTCAATGATTCGAATGCTGCCACCACCTCCTGGTATGTTCTCGTCCTCATGATCCTTGGCGAAATACACATAGGAATTGTTGCCAGATAATTCACCGTAGGGCCCGGTAACATTCAGGTCGCCAATGGTGGCGTTCAAGATGTACGGATTCGTGCTTGGAAGCGAGCCAAGAACGGATTCATCGACTCCAAGACTCTTCGCAATGATGGACTTTGGCGTGTGAGCCAACCAGTCATCAATATTGAATGTTGTCCTGATTTGGTCAGCCAGAGTGGTGCACGATGGAGGGCCATCACTCACCCAACAGCATCGAAATTGGTCTCGTCAAATACCAAAAGGAACTCATTTTCGTCCTCTAGGCCCTGAATTGTATGAGCCTCGCCCTTGGGGAAGTACCAAACGTCTCCAATTTCCAACTTAGAGACCTGGTATTGGCCATTCTCATCGACAGCTGAAACAAGCACTGAACCAGCGTATACATATCCCCACTCAGCCTGTGGACAATCAGCTTCGACTACCAGAGCAATGTTGAGTCATTTTATAAACAAGACTTACTACTTTATGCCAGTGAAGCTCGCGGATAGACCCTTTGGTCAGGTGTTGTTGCGCGGCAGACAGATCATGACTCGACGGCAGATCTGTGACGACCTGTTCTCTGACCCAGCCACCGTTCAGGATCCTTGTCTTGGAGTCTGAGAAACTCCACTTGAGGTTGGGGACGATGCCGTTATCTGTACTCTGCTGTCCGAGGTTGTCGGGGTTCTGGAGGTCAATCTGTTTGTTCGTGCCACCTGATGCCGTCAGTATGCCTGCAACACGACAAACAAGCCCGGCCTAATCGACGCCAATCAGAATCTTAAAGCTTACCTAGGATCGGAGCGCCTTTTCCCTTGCCGTCAATTGGCTGGCCGGAACTGAAACCAGCATCGCGTTCAACAACGGCACCGTGAACTGTGGCAATGGCAGAGAGCCAGGATAGTGACACAGAAGCTTTCATATTGGAAACTGTTCGGTAGAGGTACTAGGAAACGTAATTCTGCATGTTACTTCCAAATAACTTGGGGATTCCGACGTTTATATGCACTGATTTCATATTGCAGCATGCAGGCACTCGTGCACTGCAGCGCATCCCGCGCCGGCCTCATCTCCAAATATCAGATCGACTACGACATCTATCTTCGGCCTAACGCCATAACCAATGATCTTCAGGTCCAAATCTTAAATTCTAGCTGCATCAACACCAGATTTACGCCAGGAACCTAGCATTATGCAGCTCCTGCCGCGTACTTGGGATTAGTCCCAAAGGCATAATTGTACTACCGAATGTCGTCATGTCTTGGCAACACCTTAAAGGTGCAAAATTGGGGTGGTGACTGATGCGCGACTGCGATTTCACCATTATTGGATTGCAGATCACCATTGGGAACTTCTGAATTATTGAATGCCGGACAACTTACGCAATAGCCCCAAATTCATCGCTCGGACAAGATCCTGCCCGAATGGTATGCCAAGAACTTCACAGCATCACACCATATGGCAGTCCAACATGCAACCATGCTCATTGCATCCCGTTTGAGGATTCGTTTTGGCATGTCTACTATTCTCAACATTCTACTGATTGGTCAGACACGGGTGTTCATATCAGCAGGACCTAGCAAGTTTTCTTCCAGGATACCCTCAGTCAAGCTCCAAGGTGATCATCCTTGCCTTGGTTGCTGACCTCAGTGACCTTGCGATATGGTAGAATGCATCGTCCATCAGTCTCATCCTTTCCTACTTTAGGATACATGGCCGCGATTAGCATCGAGCGACATCCCGAGTCGACAGAATCCTTATGAAAGGCCAAACGGCCGCCACGCCGACCTTGCCGACAGTGCCGTAGGTTTCGATGACCTGATCCTGTTGATCGGTAACAACGCCTCCCGGATGAATTGCGATGATGTAGGGCGCTTGGCAGGGGTTGAGTTCCAGCTCGCCTCATTGTTTCCGCCTGTGTAAGACACGGCACTAGAGAATCATGGTCAGTTTGGTCCGGCTGTAGAAAGGCGCACCGATATCAGTGGTGATCTCTTCCATGACTTTGAGCTTGACGCTGCTTGTTCCCATGCGATGCATCTCTGAAGACTAGAAGCATAGTCTACTGTGGTGTTGAGATCAGCTTGGGTGGTAACGTCATTGCCAAATGGTTCTGGGCGAAGACGTTAACCTGCGTATGACTGTCGATACAGTCCTTAGCCAAGGCAAAAAGCTTAACAACTAGTCCTGCCTTGAGGATGAGTTTATTAAATAGGTCGAGTTTAGAGGCCAACTGCTTCGCTATCCAGTCATTTTGTCGAAGTTGCTCAAAAGCCGCGCTGAACAAGCTCTACGCGAGACACATCGCTCGACTTTTTCAATCCTTTTTGGGCTTCTTTGAAATACTCTTCTTCTTTGAGAGCAGGTGGACATTTGCAAGGCCGTGTTGTAAAATATGCGCTAAAATTCCACATCCGATGCCAGCACTCCCGCATGTGATTACATAGACTTTGCCAGAGAGCTACGGGATGTCATTCTTGGGATCAACGTGTCACTACTGCCGAACATATTGTGAACAATATGACTATCAATAGTTGAATTCTTGAGCGATGGAGACGTGTTTTTAGCAGCAGGACATTGAGACTCTTGAGTGGATGTGCTGGTACTTTTAAATGCATGACGTCAATGTAACGATATACGTCGAATGAGCGTCAACGTTCCGTCGCTAATCGCTTCATCCGCTGATAAAGCTGAAACATTGTGTAACGCCGAGGTACAGATCGCTCCAGTGCTTAATTTATCATTCCGTTGTCCTAATCTTCTAGAAAGTGAATTATAAATTCACAGTTGCAAAGACGGCAGCCTTCCACTAGTCTAGCGCAGGCGTTATAGTATGGGCACTCACAATCCACGACGGCACCCTTACAAACATCAACGGCCGTCTACGCTCATTTCTCATGGCTTGGCAATAATTCAAGACCCTAGACAGTTCAGCGTTTGAACCGACGCAAAGATTGTTTTCAGGAGGGTGTCAGTGGTCATGAGAAAGGCTGATATTGACGGGGGCTTCCCTGGGAGCTTACCCACCGCAATATCAGCCTTTCTCATGAAAAGCGCAGCTTTCGTAACGTCAAAACTCCTAAATGATATCTAGGGAGCTCCTAAGAATGTCATAAAATATCCTTATTGCGTAACCGGATCGCAAGAGTAATGTAATCGCTCATCACGTTGTATTCAGTCAACATCTCTATGTTCAAGGATAAAAAGACCTCTACATGTAACGCGCCTAAATGTTTATTTATACTAATAGGCGTGGCTCCAGTTATACCTGCTTTCCTGGAGACGTTCTGATTTTGGTAAATCAGATTATAAAAACTCTTGGTTTGAGTGAGCATAACTTGCGGAAATAGTAGCGTGGCTGGTGAAGGTCAAGACGAACGAAATGCAACCAATTGTGATAGGCAGGAATACACACTTAGATCCGATTAATTTTGACAACAAGTCGACCAAGCACCATGAGAACGTCATTCACCATGACTTCCCATCCCGTCGGCTTGCAGACCAGTCTTACATTCTCTAAACCCGTCGAAAAGGCTTCTTTCGCCAAAGATATCAGGTCGGATATACACTGGCAAAGCTTTTAATGTGGAGATATCAGGATATAACCAGCATGAGAGAAAGGAGACGCCTGTGGCGATTAGCTTTACTTCCATGGCTTACGACGTGGTGAGCAAAAACATATTTACCACCCAAGTTCTTGTAACTCTCGCTTTACAAGAGATTTAACGAGCCTGGCCGGAAGTCTGTCATCCTTATAATATGGCTCAAGAACGTCTCCCACGTTAAAACCCAATACATCCACAACAATGGTCGTAAGTTCCATTAGGACCGATCAGAGTGAAATGATCTAGCTCTCGCAACTATATCCTGGATGAGCAAAAATTGTTTGCGATATATTCAGCTCAAGCTTAGGCCCTATTTGTAAAGTACAAATCTTCACAGCAAGATATCGATGTTCCTGCGCGAGATTTAGGAAAGAAGCCCTAGGAAGTACTCTTGATCCTTTGCGTCCCATATGGTGGAATAACGACCCCACACTAGCTTATGAGTTATATTGTAGCGGCCATCCTCAAGTACATGATCAAGTCCGAGAGAATGGTACACCCCTATCTAATACCAATGCAGTGGTTTACAATAATATACCCGATCTGGCATCCGGTAATCAGGATTTAATTTCACCTTAGGAATCATGGAAAAGAGTTAGGACGAATGTTCTGCTTCTGCGTAAAGTCAAAGTGAAACTTGATAAGTTTGGAGTTACCATGCTGATTATAAGTCATAAAGCTTTCTGGGCAGGTATCCACTCTCAGACGTGTACAGCTTTGTAATCTACGTCAATCACATCAAGTCTGTCCACATCGATGCATGTGAGGCGTTCAACAGTCGGGCCCACAAGGAGCAAGGGCGCTGAGCGGTGCAAATTGATTTAATGAGTAACATCTCGACCTTGGCCTTAAGACGAAGTGGACCGACGGCCGTTTATCTGGTCGAGGTTACCTGGGGTAAAGAATACATTACGTGGTCAATGACTTGGTTTGTTACACCTTGACATAATTTCACGTATGCCAGTGCGCCGAACCTTGTGAAGTAGAGTCTGTCGCAAATCCTCTCAGCTTACAACCTCTCTTAAAATGTGACAAGATATTAAAGATGAAAGAGCAATCATTAGCGCACCGACTTCACGATTTAACTCAAAATCGTGTGAATCTCAATGATCACACTCTAGAGGACAACCTATCATCTCTTAAATTCCGGCCCGAGAGTGAGTGCCTCCGCCTACCACCTATAGCGATTGTAAGCGTCCTCGATGCTCTCCCCCCGGGGCTGTTATAGGAGATTCCATCTTAATTTTACTTGCGTAGTCTCACTGGCTTTCCACGGGTAACAGACGCGCCTTAGAGATGGTCAGCACACTTCCCTAATATTAAGCTATTAATACACACATACCTAATATATTACGCGACGTTCTAAGTATTGAAACCGGTAAGTGGATGACTTCTAAAACTTTGTACGAGAAATTATATGCGCCCGGATATAAATAATATGGTAGCTCCGGCGGTCTCCTTTATTTAATAATTTATAACGGGTTCACTTCTTTTAATTTTTTTGATGAAATAAGCTTTATTCATTATTATTACTTAAACGTACAAAATATAGTTTAGACTAATAACCGAATTATTAACACGTGACCTTATATAAAAGCTATATATAATTATCGTTGGCAAGAAGGAACTCACATCACGACACTCGATGGGTGCCCAACATGATTCTCATGAATTATCCGAGTGCATGTAGAGAGCACGAGAGGCTTCAACCTGCAAAGAAAATTTGAATGAAGCAGGGAAGCTATGAAGGTCTGGTCTCATAGGATTAGCCCTAACGATTGAGGGTGGTCCGTCGTGACGGCTAGACATGCGTCTGCCGATCTGTCATTTTGGCTTTAGGGGCCCGATACTAACTATGGACCAGATAGTAGTAATCTGGAGGGTGGGGCATAATTCCAAAAATTCAGAAAATGTTGAGATTCTATTGTTCGTAAGTGCGTGCTATTGCAACCATGTATACAGAAACAGGGGCAAACAAAGTCTCGGGCGCCAACGCAAGACAATCACTAGGGGAAATAAGAAAAGGTCCTGTGCTCGCTTATCTAAGATGGGTAAAGCCCATAGGCAGTCTCACCAAGGAAACAAGCGACATCATCGATGGCAGCCGTGTCGCTGGTCTGGCGAATGTGAGAGCGACTGTGAGAGCGACTGTGAGAGCGACTGTGAGAACGACTTTAACAATCCGTCGACTCGTCTCGATACTGGATCCGGTGCAAATGATCCCTGGCAGCCCGAGCAGGTCATCGCTCTCCACTCACATGGTAGCGCAGGACCGGGGCCTTATCACGGGCAGGAACCCCACGGTGCACTTCTCACGTCCTGTTGTATCGTTCCATCTTCCGGGAATATTTGGGAAGATTGGGATGGCTGCCAAGGTCGTATGTTTTGATACAATCGAGGGCATTGCAACAATAAATGATGGCGAGAAGCGGAAGGCGAATATTGACGCTCGCACAAATCGTATAAACTCTTGAAAGCGACAACATAATATATGGTAGTCTAGGCACAAATAATATCAATACAATGAATGCTAAAGACATGACTTGCATTACGAATACAACCTATCTCACTATTTCATTTTGTGGTAGCAACCGATCCTTCGCAAAGACTGCATGGAAAAAAGAACCAGAATTAAGGCCGAGAACTGACTCGCCAAAAGGGTATCTAAATCGAAGAAGCAATGCACCTTGTCAAATCAAAAAGATAACATGAATACACAGGTCAAGCAAGATGCTGAGATGTGGATGAGGATACTGAGGGGCAATACGCTGGCGAAACATGTGCCTGCAACTGTGATTCTCAAGCCGGGTACTGCAAGACATTGACAGCCGCATGGGCGGCTTCTTTAAGCCTATGACGAGCCAGCTCGATATCCCGGATCGAAGGTGGCAAGCCAGTCAGACTGCGAGGTCCAGGTTGACCGTAGCATTTTGCCAGCCAAAGATCCTTTACTAGTTGTGCAGCAGCAATACAGCTATCAGCCACGCCGATCAATTTCTCCATACTATCCTGCTCGGATGGCGGTAGTGGGACATATGCCATCTCTGCGTTAGTAAACCCGACAGTGGCGTGCAGTGTAGGCGCGTGGGTGTTAGATTCGATAGGAAGCCCATTGCCATCTAACGACTGATTGTTATCTTCGAAGTCATCCTCATCGTCGTCGTCCTGTTCTGATAAGGGCGGATATCCATGGCCTGCATCATCACGCAAGTCGTAGCTATCACATGGATTCACACCTTCCATAGGTTGATATTCTGCATCTTCGCCACTGCAGTCGCTGTCACTGTCGACCAAATCTTGTTTGAGCTCGGTGTCGACAGGGGTATGATCAGATTGCAGGGTTCTTGCTGCGGGAGTCGGATTTACTGTCAGGTCTTCATCGTCGCTACTCTCATCTTCATAGCCTGTTGCATCCTGCATCGCATCCGTTGCTGATACTTGGGCGTCGAGAGCGAAGCTACTTGCTGCCCTCCTTGTCTGCGGGCGGCTTGGGGTTGCCTTGGCTTTGGGCTCCCTAGGCTCCGGTGCAGCATCACCCATCATCTCAAAGGCGGCGTCGCGGCGCATGTTCTTGACAGCTGGTTCCTCCATCTTCCTCCTGACCCATTCTTCGGGATCATCCAGGCCAAGCTCCCGGGCATAATTGTTGAACTCGTCCAGTTGTTGCTGTCGAGCTTTGCGCCTTGACAGATATCGCTTGTTCTTGATGCGGGACTCTTCGGTGCCACGAAGCTTCCACACAGTCTGTAGACGAGTGATGGTGCTCGATCCTTTCTTGAGCTGCATTCCGCGGATAGTCATGATCCGGGCGATCTCTTCTGCCTCGAGGCCTTGTTGGGTCATGCGGGTGATGTCTGCCTTGTATTTTGACTGCCATATCTGCTTCTTATTCATGCGCTCCTCCTTCGCTTTTGGTGGCTTCGACTGCTTTCGGACGGCCTGGGGGTATTGTTCAGTCAGTAAGGTGCTTGGTTGAAGACACATGATTAGGGTCGGGATCACACATACCCTCTTTCGAAATCCCCATAGAATTCGCCATCGGCTGACGCTCTTGGATGTGACTTGAGCTCCCTGGGCTATAAGGGCGTCGGCTATTTGTTCACAACTCTCGCCATTTCGCGTGCGCTCTTCTACCTCAGCCCGGAAGTCCTCGGCATTGACGCGTCTCTTCACACCCATGTCGTCGATGCGATATACTGCTGAGGTCCGGCCAAAGCCCTTGGGTGCAGGACCGCCCTTGGACTTCTTGTTGGAGGCATTGTTGTTATTCTCGTCGTCGGCATGACTCTCTCCAGGTATGTCCTGGGCAGCTTGTACGGGGGCGCCAATGTGTACGGGGGCTTGAGCTTGGCTGACGACCTGAGGCGAAAGCTGGGGGTGGGCTAAATGACTTTGATCGTATTGATGGTGTTGAAGATGGCTGGGAGTCTGGATGGCGTGATGTCTTGGATATGGAGAAGGGGCAGAAAAGTTAGGCGCCGGATACGTGGGTAATGGGACTGGTGTATACTGCTGAGGCGTATAGTAGCCCGGCAAGTTGGACCTGAGCGCATCCATGGCTGGAACCCCGACTACGACTACGACTACGGCCGATTATAGTGGATGTGTGAGATGATTATCTCACTTTGTCCAGACGTGAAGTTGAGCTGAGGTTGGCGTTGGACGGAGTAGTGGCTGAGTGGGCAATGCGACAGGTGGGGACTGGCCGAGACAATTCTCCACGGGCTGTTAATCAATGTGGATGCTCGCCTGTGTCTGTCCACGGAGTTGTGTATTTCCCCCGGGTTCTGGGATCAATCACACCTCAGGTACACAAATCACTTTGACTTGCACCTCATGCGTTTATCTTGCCGGGATGATATGAATTTTCAGCCTGCATGCGACAATAACAACAATCATAACAACCGCTGAACGACTATTGTCATCAAGCGTACCGGTAGCTCTTTCTATGGCCTTTTTAGACGTAAATCCATCCTCCACATCCCGCCACGCCACTACTGTACTTGGATGACTTTGGCTTGGCCCAATTGGGAGATGAAGTGGTTAAGTATTTATCCTTGACACTGAGGAGCCCCGCCAACCACTGCGGAGAAAACGTGGAGGATAGACACTAAATTAGTCCCATGAATTCGTTGGCGTTGTCTAAGAACTCCAAGTCATCTCATTCTCAACTAAGTACGGAGTATGGAGGCCACATCCAAGTCTTTCGATTTCGTGGGGTGTGCAGTAAACCGATACTAACCCGCCTGACCGATCACATATATGCCATCCATGAGGAGTAAGGTTCCATAACAACTCTCAACGTGATCTTCCCGCAATACTCTCTCAACTTGATCATGGAGCCGTCCACCAAAGTACGAATCGCCATCATTGGCGCTGGCCTCATTGGACCACGGCATGCACAAGCGGTTATCAAATGCGAGAAGGCCGAGCTTGTTGCCTTTGTCGACCCTGCCGAGACCGGAACACAGACTGCTGCTTCGTTTGGCGTTGCCCATTTTCAATCCGTCGCCGATTTACTACAGTCGTCACATGCTCCTGAGGCTGCAATCATATGCACGCCGAATCATACTCATGTTGCTCTGACCAGGGAACTATCGGCTGCCGGAGTACATGTCCTGGTTGAAAAGCCCATAAGCGCTGATATAGCGACTGGCAAAGAGCTTCTTCGATACCTCGATGCGGCCAAAGTCAAGGTCTTGGTAGGACACCATCGTCGTTTCAACCCGTACGTGATTGCTGCAAAACAGATCGTGGCCGCTGGTACACTTGGGAGGGTCATAGGTGTAAACGGTCTATGGGCACTATACAAACCTCCTCAGTACTTTGACCCACCCACTGAATGGAGGAGAGGCCAGACTGGGGGCGTTGTGCTGATCAACATGGTCCATGAGGTTGATATCCTGCATTACCTCTTCGGTCCTATCGTCTCAGTCCATGCCGAGAAAGTTGCCTCACAAAGAGATTTCGAAGCTGAGGAAGGTGCCGCAATCATCTTGCGCTTTCGGTCAGCTGTTATCGGAAGTTTCTTCGTATGCGATAATGTACCTTCGCCGTGGAACTTTGAGGCTGGCACGGGAGAAAATCCCACGATACCCCAAAGTGGACAAGACTTCTATCGCATATTTGGTAGTGAAGCATCACTGAGCGTGCCGGATATGTCGGTTTGGTCCTATAAAGAGGCGGAAAAATCATGGAACTCAGAGTTAGTGACAGAGCGTGCCAAAGTATCACAAGGCGTGCCCTTCGAGTTGCAAATAAATCATTTCTGTAAAGTTGTCCGCGGCGAAGAAGACCCCAGCTGCACTGCGCAAGCTGGTCTTGCTGCTCTGATCGCCTGTCAGGCTATCAAGGAAGCTATGGAAAACAGTACCACCGTGGAATTAGAGACTTATTTACTGTGAAGTAGATGAGATGCTGTCCTTGACAGCAATTTGGCTGCAGCGCATCGCAAATGTAATGTTTCTTGAGCATGAAACTGGACGATGGCTTCAGTCCCTGCCGGTCGGGTGTTGGGAAAAGCGCAGGGAAGTGCTGACATTAGCGCCGGGTGGCTTTACAAGCCATTGGTCTCGCTTCTGCTTCTTCTAAATAATGCCTTGGTCAAAAGTCTTGGCAGAAATGACGACACAACGACGCCGAATTTGGAAATTGGTCGCGTGGCCACTTTCCAAGGAAGGACGGAACGAGGATATGGAATAATAATTATAAGAAGTTGAAGAATGGTTTCGAGGCTCTTCTTATGTAAGACGAACTCTGAGGTTCTCCCTTGTCCTCTTTCAGATGTGGTCTATCAAGCAATATCGCCAGATCGGCAAGGATGTAAACAAGGAGTTCTCTCGGGGATCTGAACAGGCAAAGACGCCCTCTGCCACGCAACACAGCGCCAAATCTCAAGATTCGGTCCAGAATGACCAGGCTAGGTCAACTGATGCAGAATCTAGCGATCCAAAGCCATGCGGTGGTAAAAACGACAAAGCCTGGGTCGATACAGTTGGTGATGAGGATCCCCTCGATCCACGCAATTGGCCCTTATCAGCGCGGATCAAGAATGTTGCCATACTGTGCCTTCTGATCTTCGTCCAAGGTTGGGCAGGAGCCGCAGAGTCCATCGCGAATACGGCCATAACGCAACAGTTTGGGGTCAGCAAGGTCGCCGCGAACTTGACAACGGCCATGTACACTTTCGGTATCGGTTCTGGGTCCATGTTTGCTGGCCCTTTATCTGAAACTGTTGGGCGAAATCCGGTGTATCTTATTTCGACATTTTGCTATCTCTTCTTTGTTTTAGGATGCGCATTAACGCCGACATTTGGCGGCTTGGTCGTCTGTCGATACTTTGTGGGCTTGTTTTCAAGTGCAACACTGAGCATCAATGGCTCCAGTGTGCGAGACCAGTTTCGGCCAGTCAAACGGGCTTTCGTGTTTCCAGTCATTGCTTGGGCAAATATTGCGTGTCAGTAATTTTGTTATTAAACACATAACATTCGCTCATCCTCTTTTTTAGCACCTGTGATTGCACCCATAGCGGGTGGCTGGATAGTCCAGAATCCTAGTCTTGGCTGGAGGTGGACTGAATGGGTGACCCTGATCATATCCGCCTTTGGTTTCTTGGTGGCGCTCTTCTTCTTGCCAGAGACCTATCTCCCTGTCTTGCTTGACTGGAAAGCCAGGCATCTTCGCCGTGTTACGGGAGACGACCGTTACGCATCTAAGCATGCTGAGAACTCCGCTTTCTTCAGGAAGATGAAGGAGGTCTTGCCCATGCCCGCCAAATTCTTGTTCCTTGAACCAGTTATCAGTGTGTTGGGGGGCTATCTGATCCTTCTCTACGTTCTACTATTCAGCTTCCTCTCTGGCTTTGACTATGTCTTCAAGCAGCCATACAACGAGACTAGTGGCATCGAAGGGTCACATTTTGCTGCTGTGGCAGCTGGGGCTACTGTCTTTACGCTTGGCGCCCCTGGTTTATACAGCTCGGCACGTAGCAAGACCGAGCATGTTCATCGCGCAAAGATCGCGCCAGAGTTCAGGCTTTGGCCCGCAATAATAGCAGGCCCCCTATTGCCTGTGGCCCTGTTCTGGCTTGGCTGGACCAACTACAGCACCATTTCAGAATGGAGTGGTATTGGTGCCTGCTTCTTGTTCGGCATGGTGCTGACCGCGATATATGTCTCAAGCTACGAGTACATCGTGGACAGTTATGGTGACCATTCAGCCATAGCACTGGCTAGCATCACGATGGCGCGATACTTCATCGCTGGTGGGATGATTTTGGCCACCCGGCCAATGTATGAAGGCATTGGTGTTCATTGGACTATGACGTGGCTCGGATGTGTCGCGGTTATCCTCGCGCCGGCGCCGCTCCTGTTTTGGAAACTGGGTCCCAAGATAAGAAAAAAGAGTCCATATGCCACAGATCAGTCTGTATGAATGAAGTTGATAGATTATCATATTAGGTAACTCATCCTGGACTAGCAGATTGCATTTGCTGTAAATGCATGGAAGAAAAACAATTATGCGCGCTAAGTTCGAATCAATGCAAGAGGGTCGTGTGTTTTTTCCCCGAGAGATCTGTTCCCAACTGCCAATTGCCAGATCTCAGATGACTTTTGGTGACAGATGCTATGTGCGACAGTATCATCATTCCGATGCTTGGAGTAGTGCAAGCATAGCATGATCTTTTCCTGGGAAAACATTATTCGCCCCGGGGATTACCAGCGAGTGTTCCTTCCCACCTTACCAAGTTTCCTTCCCTGCCCTCGCGCCTATCATAGTCCACAAAAAAGCCCGCAGCCTCCAAGCTGGCTTGGCCGAGCAACTTCCCAAAGAATCTTCTTGCGGCGGTGTTGGTATCTTCCCATACGAATCCGATGGCATCTGCCACTTCGTCACCCGGCTCTTTTTCCGCTGATACGAATGCGGGGCAGAGTTGGTATCGCCTTTTCTCTCTTGGCAATTCCCAATATGTTTCCGTGACGGCTTTCCACAGCTCTGTGCCATAACCTTGTCTCTGATATCCAGGCTTGATCAAAATCTCCCCTTCTGGTCTTCCCGACCGCCAACCGTCCAGGTCTGGTAGCCCACCCTCGCCAATGAGTTCTCCGGTCGATTGGAGGAAGGCTCCAAAGTACCAATGATGTTGGTCTTCCGACTGGAACTTCTCGATGTTGTCTCGCGATTCTTGAATGTCGTGATCAGTACGACCCCTCGTCGTCGAGTGGGTTTGTATGGCCGCGACCGATCGCAGCGAGTGGAACGCCTCCGCATCGGATGGTAGGAACGGCCGAACGAGGAGTCTCTCAGTCTTGATTTGTGGCCTGTCCGTGTTGCTCGGCAAGGGCCTCTCGGGCAGATTTATGAGGTAGTTGAACCAGGGCATAATGCCCAACTTTTCGTAATCCTCATGCTCGTATTTAACCTCGAGCGGTTGTAAAGGTTTTTCTGAGATGGCCATGACGCACGCTGAAGCCATTAGAGTTGAAAGTTGTTGTTGTTGTAGTTGAATAAAAACAAATACGAAGTTCAGTATGATGAAATGAGAGATAGAAGGAACTCATTAACACCACGTTGACTGGCGGAAATGCGATATTTGTTCGATAACTTTTGACCAGTAACAACGGCCGGCAAGGTGGTTCTCGGATGTCGTCAAAGTCTGGTGTTTTACAAAGTTCCATCGGACGTAACATTCGACGACCCAGAGGCATCAGTGGTGTCCGCCGTTGCGTTGTTCGCCCATGCCGGCGGCCGGGAAAGCTTCCAATTGGTGCACTGATCGTCGCGTCCAAGGGTCCTGTTACTAGCATAGCTCAAAGAGCAGGGACTGTACCCCATAGCAATTCCAAACCTCGGGTTGAGAAGAACGGATGTCGCCCGCGCTTAATGAAGCTCTCTTGGAGTGGATAGGGGCAGGGCACATTTGAAAGCCCTGGTTCGGGTGTCATGTTTCATATACGCCGGTCATTGGGAAGAGAAATATCCGCCCAATCTGCAGCACGACTTCGCTTCGCTTGGCACTTAAACTACCGTTCCAATGGATCGCCTAGGATGTAACAAGTGTAACGGTTGCGCATAGATCTCCACTGCGAGTCGTCAACTAGCTGGGATGACTGTTCCGCCGCGGGCAGTGGCAGGGATTGACGCGTCGTTCGTGCAGAGAAACCACTCCGCTTCCCTTTCGTCTCGCATCTGATTTTCACACAGGCCTTCTCGGTCAACCTCGTTGCGTCTGGCGTCTCCAGACTGTACATATTGTACTATAGTAGTACAGGTCCGCAAAAGCTTCGGGCGCAAAGTCTTCTTGTTAATCTGGGGCATCCCAAATGACATTTGTCTTTTGACACCCCGCTTTCGCGTCTCGCTCGTGCGAAGACATGTTTTGTGCCGAGGACGATGACACTTGTCGCGCAAGAACTTACACGGCATGTGAAAAGGCCCGGTTCCATAGGGTACAGCAGCTCAGGCCACGATGATGTTGTTGGGTATACATATTACATATGCACATTTGACAGTCCCGAAATGCGCCGGACCGATGTGGTCATACGGGGGCTTGCAGAGTCTCGTCTTTGACCTGGAGGTGGTGGTGGCTGACAGCGTCCTTCGGACCGTCCCGTTTAGCGGCGGCTCGAGTTTTACAGCCTAAGCGAAGACACTATCGAAACTGAGTTTAGGATTGGCAATAGCTCAATTTCATACATAACAATGGTGCATGCGCAACTGGTCTGGGGACTAGAGGGCATGATCTGATGGTGCTTTTCACCACAGGTTGCCATTCAGGGGATGGGAATGAGCAAGGGCACTTCTTCACCGCGAATTTCGAGTGCAGAGAAGTTTCTCATTGACCCACCAGAACATGGAACCAATGCTGCAACATTGCGGAACTTGAGCGATTAGTTAATTCTACAAAGTATTCATCCTTCCAGGGCCTAGGTAGCTAACCCGCGGCCGAGTCCGAAGAAGGACAACACACTGACGATCTTATTACACTGCAAATGCACACCAATTTCAATGCCTCATATGCCAAGTTATCTTTACAATTTCCAACTTCCAAGGTCCTGTGAAACTCTTTTAGACTGACACAAGGTACCGTACCGAGTTGCATTGTGTTAAATAGAATCTCATAAAACCGGTTGGATGTTGAACTGATCGTCGTCTTGATCATATCATCTAACCTAGCAGGCATCTCGCCATGAACGAAGATACTTCCCAGCTTCCTAGCGCACATACTAGTTACGGCAAATGCTATTCGCAGCACGACCTCAAAGGAGCGCAGATTCAAGCTCTCCATTGGTCCGAAAGTATACCCCATTTGCCGAAACTCCGTCGAGGAGGTGCATTCCCACTGTGCATGCGTGCTTACAATCGGGGATGATACGACGGGACTGGTTATCAAGCTAGTTGAGACTGTCAAGATTTTCTGCGCCACTCACGAAAAATCGTGAAAACACAGGCTCATCGAACACTTGCCAGCACAGCGTCTGCAGAAGTAAGTATTCTGGACACTGCCGTTGTGCTGTTGTTGCATGATCTAGTCTTCTTGGAAAGCGGAAATCGTATTGTTGCTGCTTGCCGCAGGTTATCTGTCGGATCCACCCCTGAGACAGCTTTCATGCGGCCCTCGCAGTAACAACCGCATTGGACTCATTCATTAAATAGAACCCGGCGTTCTTGCTCTTTGCAGGGCGTACCGGGTTGACCACAGCAACCCGAAGCGGCTCAGGAGCTGCGGCAGTTTTAGAACTCCAACCGAGTAGGTTTGGCAGCGCAACTTAATTCCAGAAGGGATTTGTTCAGTTCTATGAAGATAAGCTCCCTTTCTCAGTACTGGTATCTGCCGTAGCCGAACTGACAGTCATACATTCAATCATAAAGCGCTCCCCAGACGTCCACTCCAACTTAAGTGCCAGCCAGAAGGTTCCAACTTGCAACTTTGTAGCCTCCAGCAGGCACTTGCTTAAGCGATAACGGCGTACCACCAGGATAAATACGCATGCTTTCCCGGACAACGGCTTGTAGGTATGGCAACTGTTTAGCTTCTGAGCTCTGGACTGGTGAATTTATCGAACCTTTACCCATGGCATCGTCTAGTTCGGTCGTTAAGATCCTGTAAGCACTGAGATCTAACATCAAGCAAATAATTATCCTCTGAACAGTGGTTGCGACCGAATCTGTACCTGCAATTCTATTTGCGGCAGTGGTCAGCATGTTCGCGTTACCGTCCATCAAGTACAACAATCTACCTCCACCGATACCAGTGATTAGTTCACGGCTGCGTCTTTCGTGACACCCGACTTCATAAACATACCAACCAAGTCCTTTCGATCGTCAGCAGCTTGCTTGTATCGATCTCCGATAACTTTTTTACTGTGTCAAAGGCACGGAGAAATCAGCCTTCGTTGCAATCCGCGGATATTATGATGACTATAACTTGCCCTACGAAACTTTCCGAGGCCCAGCGGGATCCGTAGCCTTTGGTAACATATCACTGAATGGTCAACCTTGAGCCACTCGTGCTATGGTGGGAAGGACTGCAGAAGCGGTTGCAATTGAGAAGAACTCCTCATTCCAGGGGAGAAAACCATAAAAGCGGTAACCTGCCGCAATTATATTCTTGACCGCGTTTGGCACAGCGGCTCTGGAACTTGGCTCAAGCGATAACACGATCCCATTATATATGCCAGAAAGAGGACCAAGAGAGTCGAAACGAGCTTCCACGTAGAGGAAGACTCGCTAGGCCCAGTTGTGTTGCTGCCAAGAAAGGCCATGGTGAATTCCGCACCTCTTGCAAAAGCTAACTGGCAGTGTGGCCTTCGAAGCAAAAGTAGACATGGTCAGTCAATGGTGAATATGTAATGCACGTATACAATCATTCAAGCAGTCTGGGGAATCAGAGACACACAAGTTGCCTGGCGCCGTTGCCCCCAGCCGCTGCTGCATGTCTTGGCGTCTGAGGTGTGTGCAAGTTGGTGGTATTGTTAGGTGTGGTGACAGCAGACTGGCCAAACCTCAAGACGAGAACTTACTGTACAACAGATTCCTATAGTCTCGGGCGAAGGCTTATTGGCCTATTGCAACCACGCAACGTAACGCTGGTTGTTCTGCGAAGCCTGTGTGCCATTTAGCGTTCTACCTTCCAACTCTTTGGCTCTAAAAAAAAACACCAAACTTTCATGATCCGTGAGCAATTGAACCAACATGCACTATCGGGACACAAGTCACGTGGGCGCACAATCTGCATTTCCCTTGTACAGTACGCAAGTAGAACGAGGTGGGTCAAACCACATATTTCAGTCAATGGATGTTCTTTTTCATTGGCAACACGACTGCCATTACATGATACTAACATTATAGTGGGTGGCTCGCTAGATAGCCCGACCAAGTTGCTGGAAACCATGCTGTTAATGGACCGTGCTCTTGGTTCTTGTCAAGAGTTCGCTTGCGTTGTGGAGACAACCTATACCATTTCAGACGAGTGACGGGTCGAATGGTCCGGTATCACAACGCTGTTCAGAGCGATGTTCAACCACACTCATCCAGGCGTCGTTAGATTTCAGTATAGAAACAAGTCGTTAGGAATGACATTATATTGGTATTTGTCCCGATACCACCGCTGCCTATTTCCCATATCACACAAGGCGATTATGAAGAGTTGATAATTGTACCCAGTATGGAAACATTTACAGCATGCGTACAGTATGCCAGGCCTTTGAGGTGGTGGAGTAATACTGGGGCCCATACCATGTTAGGATTTGTCTGCTAACTTCACACTAGACTAGACTAACCTTAGTATCCAGCATACCGGCTGCCCCCCACAAGATGACTTCAATATAATTTCCATGCGGTCAAAGTTGGTGTTGTTTGTTTTCGGGCATGCTACCCGCGGATCTCGGGCCGAGCTTTTGTAGCCGTTGGTTCAGCTTAGTCGGAAGGACTGCCACAGTCCCCGTCCATCATCACTATTTCTATTACCACGCATTCGATGCCATCAACCTGCAGGTAGACCCTGCCAAGGATAGAGGTCAATCAAATAGACTTTCAGACGAATCACCTTTGATGATCAAATAAAAACCTGCTTTAGTCACACGACTCAACACGATGATTTGATCTTCTTGCCGCTGCCGCTCATTGAAGCTCATCATGGTCGCTCCGAACGATTCTGGTCTTAGAGCCATTGGTGGTCTTGCGGAGTCACACAGCAGTCGTAATTGTCTTTCTCCGGCTTCGAGTTTATACTTCAGGATCATTTTGTTTCAGCTCACGGGCTGCATAATCATTTATTCGTTCTCTCCTTTGTAAGCGATATGCCAGGTCCCGAATTAGCGCCTGATGGTGTTTTCCACACTTGGTCGTCATCATAGCCTATCGTTCTCTCATACAAGTGGATATCCAGTATGTGTATGCACGAGACATTGACACCCCTCGACCCGGAGAACAGAGTCGAGGCAAATCAAGACTGCACCCCAGTACAAACACATGATATGGTTGTAACGGCTGTTGCCAATGCCTCATTTGGGGTCTCCTTTCTTCGGTTAATCTCTGTCCTTGGGCACAGAATCGCCATCTGTTGTGCAGTGATTGGGTTTGCCTTCACTCTTATTTGTACGTGTTACGGTCCTATCCACTGTTTACATCCTTCCTGAATTAATAGTGACGGCCGTAATAACTTGGTTAGGACAAACTCTCTTCGCATACGGCTAGGATGTCCGGGTGGACAGTTCTTGTGTCAATTAGCAGCCTATACCTATTATATTTGGGTGCGACTAATATCCCCCTGCAAACTCTAGAATTGACTAACTCGACTTAATTCTTCGATGGGTACGATTCTACTCAACACAGGATTTGCCTCATTGGCTTGAATTTTCGTCTCGAACTTGTAGGTGTGGTACGAAGATGAAATTTACAACATGCGTAAACTCATTAAACTCAGGCTTCCTGCGATGGCAAAGGCCTCTCTGGACGTGGTACTACAGAATACAGTCCATTGAATATACCTTAGTGCGTCAGAAGCAGGAATCATGCGCACCCGAAGGTCTTAACTTTACCTAATTCTCTTGGGGTATGATTCAACATTAGCGAGTTCCAGGTTTGGTATCGCAGTCTCTGTGAAGATTTGCTTCCTACAAGAGGCCCGCCATTAAGCACTTGTCAGCTCTGATGATGACGCACAGGTCGAGAGGGGGACGAAGGCCGGACGGCGAGAATAAGGGCTTGACGATCAGCGCTTTATGAAAACGTAAGGAGAACAACAAGAATGGAAGTGGGAAAGAGTTGTAGAACAATGCGATATTTACTTGGCCAGAGACTTGGTCTATTCGGATACCAAGGGTCAGACCAACTGATATTCCACATGATAAAAACCTTGGACAATCAAGAGTCATGAGACTTTGGCAACGCACATATTACCCCCGTCACAAATTTTTACTCTTGGGCCAGTCACGGTCGTCACTTCAATACCATAGATGGCGCACTGGAAAGCGGCACAAGGTGATATCCAGCATTGGCCGAGTCATCCTAGAAAAGAATGTCGCCCTTATAGTTCCCGATCTCTTCATTGATGGAACGATCATGCGATACTGTATTTTTTCTTTTCCCACAATACTTGTGAGACCTGGAGTATGGCTTGAAATGGTCAATGTAAGTCCCGCTGCCCATCCCACAGAACACTCGCTCCGCCGAAGGGCCGGGATGCCCGAAGATCAGTCACGAGGGCAGACTTCAGCCGGGTTGGGCCCCGTGCCACTTATTTTCGTCGTTTGGTTCTTGATGTTTGAAGTCCTGGTTCCTCGCTAGCTCATCTTCTCAGGAAGACTTCGAAAAAGCCGAAAAAGCGAGGCAGAAGAAAAGAAAAAGACTACCAGTAATGCACAGCCATACCGTGTGATTAACCACAAAAAGCCACACATCTATTCATCGTCGAGAGCTCTTTTTCTAGTCAGCCGCCTCATCTTTCGTGAAAACGCCGCTCAGCTGATCTTGACGAATACTCGACACATGAGTCGTCGTGACCCGGTCAGCTAGATGGTGACAAGATGTCCTAGATGATTCATTCTCGAATCTCAAACGACCCCGAGAGGGCTATGCTGCGCCATTGTGCGCCATGTCAGTTTCTTTCATAGTCCATGTCCGAGAGTCCAGTGAAGATCTCGGTTCCTGCATGACAGGAGAAAAGGGTGACGGACCAGGAGGTGTCATCTCTCAGCCCATGACCAGCAACCTAAGCCTTCGTCGATGCCCATCAATATTATGCGAGCAAGAACATTGCCTTGAAAGCAACAAACGTCGAGGCGTAAAAGCCGCATAGTCAATATACAGGTACATCTGCCTCGCGATATCATATAAGAAAGCCCACTCCGCACTTGGCGCGAAGTAGAGCCATCAATCGGAACTGTTTCTTACCACTCCAAGCAAGTAGCGCCGCGGCTTCTCGACTTTGCTGTATAGAGTTGTATAATGCGAACGGGGGTAAGCAGCCATAGGACTTTAGAGCCTTTCCACCCCACCCCCGGAACTTGCAAATAAGCGCTTGGTCTGGGGTAGGTGGACCATAACAGAAACACCGAGAGGATCGAACACATTTGACTAATCTGATGTCAGACGATTCGGGGCCCGGCCTGGAAGTTTATTGTAGATGCTTGCGCTAATTGACTCGGCGCGAGGAGTAAAGTGTGGACAAGTCGAGCCGGGTTGATGTCCCGTGTCTCACCCACGGTATGCTCGGGGGTTACAGAAAACGTTGTTCACACAAATTTTTTTTTTGCGATCGAGCTTGGAGAGAACTCAGATGAACACGAGGTATACGGTATTGCAGGGTCTCATGATTCACTAGGACCGATCGGAAATCTAGTGATAGGGTATAAAATGGTTGTGATGCGCCAAAAGGCTGAGTCTTGATGTTGAAGGTGCATCACAGTCGCAACAAGCGGGTATAAAAGTCATTACAACGCACCAGAGCCCTTCGCAATCGATTTCGCTTCCAAACAAATTAGAATTTGAAGTTACTCAACATGTTCAGCATGAAGTCCATCGCTATCGCAGCCGTGCTCCTTGGCCTTTCCCGCGCCGCACCAGCCGTAACTCCACGCCAGGACATCCAGTTGCTGCTCGTCTGCAACGATCCGAACCAGGGCGATTGCCTCGACTTCCAGGTCGTACCCAACGTGTGCTGTAAGATCTCCTTTCCCCGTCAACAACCAGGCCCATGTGGGGATGTAAGATCTGGGGACGACATGGATTAACTTTTCAAACTAGCCAACCTCCCCGGTGAGTGGAACGACAACGCCAGCTCCCTCGTCATCGGGTCGAACATCTGCACTTTCTATAAGTGAGTAGCACGGTCCAAGTTTGACCTCTGCATTTCAAATCTGACGCGGCGGGTAAATAGTAATCCGGACTGTGACGCGAGTGCTGGGGGTATTGCCCTTAACGGTACACATGACACCCTCCCCGCTGGGTTTGACAACAGTTTGAGCTCTGTCATATGCAATGTGTGTTTTCTTCCTGAGGGCTGCCCCTAAAGAATACAAGGCATGATATCGGTTTTTCTGACAGGAAGGAATCTGAATGGCGAGATGAGAGAAACGAGCAAAAGGCTGTCAGGAAGGCAGCCAACGAGGCAGCATGAGAAATTCAGACTTGAAGAATTTGTTGTTAATATGATTATGATTCGGAATGTCTTGTAACAGCGACTATTGTTCGTGAGAATGTAGTGCCGAGATCCACGGCCGGTTGCGCTTGAAAATTATGTCTGAAGGTAACTTAAGGAACCAGCCAGTCTGTAGAAAGTTGATTTGCTGAGCATGTCAACCAAGGGCATATGATGATTATCTTGCCTCGTCGGTATGCTGACTTCCATCAGTCTGATGCGGCGTCGTTGTAAAACGCGAAAGACTTACTATGGCTTTTAGCTCAGCTCTTTTAAACCGCGGTGGGAGGCCTTTTGACTGCCAGGACGCGGCGTTGTTTAATTCTTGGATCCAGCCTGATCGTCCCAGATATGTTGGCTGGTTCGCTCGTCTATGCGATGTTCGCTTCACTCCCCGTGGGCTGCAATCCTTTAGTTCCTGCGTCCTGCAATTGCTCGGCTTTTTGTCCTCGTCCGACTGATATTTTACCATCCGCCCCTGAAACCCCTTCCACCACGTCCGCCGCCGCCGCCGCCACCACCACCACCGCCACCATAACCACCGCCTCTTCTGGGACCTCTTGGGCCTCTGAAATCGTCATCCCCTCCTCCACGAGGACCATCGTCCATACCGCTTGGGCCGCGCGGCGGTCTGGTACCTCGCATTTCCTTGGGGAAAGCGTCGAAGGTGCGTCGCATCTGAGCGTACCCCAGGTGCATTTTTCCGTAAAAGTGATCGGCCAGACGCCTGTCGTTGTCCAGTCGCGACAAGTAAGCACCACACACATCGCATACTTGCAACTTCTGGTGGCCTGAGGGACCAGAAGTGTCGCTCAGTGCCTTGAGCTCGCGTTCGCGCTCAGCCTTCTGGGACAGGGCCAGCCGAACCTTGTAGAACTCCTCGTAGGCGCGTGACACCTCGCCCAAGTCGCCCAAGACGTGAATCTCGGACAGGCCGATGTTGACGGTCTCGGACAGGTCGGCGATGGACTTGAGCAGGACATTGGTCTGTCGGATCTCGTCGGGTGTCTTCTCGAGACGTCTCTGTGCCGAGTCGATGCGGCGGTTGCACTCGTCGATGTATTTTTGCAAGTCGCGCATGTAGTCCCATTCGAAGTTGTGTCGCTGTTTTTGGGCGGGGGGCAGGTTCTCGTACTCGGTCTTGAGGCCCTCGTTGTGCACCTTGGGGCAGGGGCCAAGATCTTGCTTGGTGTTTGTGAAGAGATCGTGAGGACATGTGCCTACAATGTAGGAGCGGCAGACTTTGGGATCCGTGAGAGAGAGTTGGGAGGCACGGGATGAGATGGGATTGCCCATCAATTGCTCGAGGAGCTTCCGCTGTTCTGCGGCCATGTTGTACTGAGTGGAGGCCCACCGAGGACACTTGTGGTATCTGGATACTAAACTTTCATAGGCCGGCTTGCTCGTATGAGGAGATTGCGGAATTGCGAGTCGAGGCCAAGTCCCGTGTTGCGATTGTTTCGAAAGGACGAATTGTGTTGTGTCGCTGGGTGCCGGGTCACAAGCTGTGGGCGGAATTGGTGATGTGGTTGTGGCGGTGGGAAGTGTTGGAGTGATGCGATGGGAAGAGTGAAATTCTTTTGGAAGTTGAACATGGGGAACAATTGTGAAGGGGAAGAGGCAAGGCTGGAAATGCAACGCAGTGCAACCCTGATCCAATCCAAATCCACAGCGAGAGGAGCTAACTTATGTACCACTAAAGTTGACTTGAGAGAGGCCTGCAGCCTGCGGCTAGTGCCTTGGAAGCTTCTTTTGCGGGGAGGGGGGCCAATTAGCGTAGCGCATGTGGTGCTACCGGGGGGAGGGTCGCGTTCACATTTGAGTTCACATTGTCCTAACCTAGCTTTTAGTGCGTCACTGCGCTGGAACTATGCTGGCTTGGCTGAACTCCCAATTTCAGTGGCATGTAGATAAGTCACCCATCTGTCAACTCCCCGATATTTATCTGACAGCCCTCTTCTTTTCTGCCCCGGCTCCCAAGTCAAGGTCAACGTCAAGTCCAGATGGACCGTCGTATAACCCGATAAGATGCAACTCATTAGCTCTTTCTCGGCTCTTCTTTTCTCTGCTGTACTCGCCCTCGCCTCATCCGATTACCACGAGCAGCTGGTCTTGAAGCCCCTGCCCCAGAACTCCCTGCTCGCCAGCTTCAATTTCAAGTCCAACACCACCGTCGCCCAATTCGAGGCCCACAACTTTCGCTATTTCCCACGCTCGCTAGGGCAGATTCTACAGCATGCCGGCACGAGAGAGCTACACCTGAGATTCAGCTTGGGACGGTGGGATGCAGAGACGTGGGGAGCACGGCCCTGGGACGGCACCAAGGAGGGAGGCACCGGCGTCGAGCTCTGGGCCTGGTTGGAGGCCGAGACTCACGACGAGGCCGATCACAAGTGGTTGACGTTGACCAACGCGCTCTCCGGTCTGTTCTGCGCCTCCCTCAACTTCATCGACTCCACGAGGACCACACGACCCCTCATGTCCTTCCGCCCCGACGGAGACCATCCAAATGCCACCCTGGCCAACACCCACCTGCTCCACGGTGTCTTGCCCAGAGAAGTTGTCTGCACCGAGAACCTGACCCCTTTCCTCAAGCTCCTGCCTTGTAAGGGCAAGGCCGGCATCTCTACTCTGCTCGATGGTCACAAACTCTTTGATGCCTCCTGGCAGAGCATGGCCATCGATGTCCGACCTGTTTGTCCTGCTGGTGGAGAGTGTGTATTGGAGATTGAGCAGACCATTGACATGGTTTTCGACATTCAGAGAGCTAAACGACCCAAGGGCATGTCATACTCTTCAAACCCCCGGTCCCTTGCTGCTACAGTGATACTAACCTTTCTTCCCAGGCAATCCTATCCCCCGGCCCCCACCCGGCCATGAACTCAAGTGCAACACCACCAAGGAGTACCACAGCGGTGATACTTGTTTTCCCATAGAGACGCTTTCGCCCCAGGATTGGACCCTCTCCGAGCTTTTTGGCAGATCCATGAAAGGCTCCTGTCCCTTGGCAGATTCCACAATCCCCCCCATCTGCATCCAAGCCCCTCACAGTCGAGATGTCTTCACTTCCGCTGGAGTCACCGAGTTGAAGCTCAAAGACACTGAAAGATGTTTCCTGGTTCACCCCGAGGATGACTTCGACATGGTACTCCCACAAATGTCCCACGAGGGCGACAACGCCAAGACCGATGCGGACGAATATCTCAAACCCGATCGCCCATTATTATATGCCGAGAGAAGCTTCATGGGTCATGGCCAGCAGCGGGGCGGTGTTCAGACCATTCTCACAAACCCTAGCCCTGACACCGAGGTTGAGTTCGTGTACATGGAGAGTCTACCATGGTTCATGCGCATCTATCTACACACTTTACAAGCTCGCATCTCTCACAAGACCGGTTCAGACAAGGGGAAAGCATTGGTACAGGAGAACGACGTCATCCAGGAGATCTACTATCGGCCTTTCTTGGACCGTGAGAGAGGTACTCAGCTTGAGCTCCGGATGCGCATCCCACCAGCCAGTACCGTGTTTATGACCTACGACTTTGAGCAGGCCATTCTACGATACACCGAGTACCCGCCAGATGCCAATAGAGGATTCGATGTCGCTGCCGCCATCATTACCATCATCCCGCCTTTTGGCAAGACGAGTAACTTGAGGACCACAAGCTTGTTGCTCAACTTACCCACACCCGATTTCTCCATGCCATACAACGTCATCATCTTCACCAGCACGTGTATCGCTCTGGCTTTTGGAGGCCTGTACAATATTCTCGTGAGGAGATTCATAGGTGGAGATGAGGGCCCCGAAGTTACTCTCGTCAAGCTAAGGAGGAAAATTCAGGAGGCCGTTGGAAGATTCAAGTCAAAGCTGAAGAAGACAGAAACCAAGGGTGCCCTGGCGCCTCTAGCGCAGGAAAAGGCCGAAGGCAAGGTAGACTAAATAACCTTATACCAACTTGAAAAGAAATTAATATCAAATATTACAATCTTTGCAAGCCAAATTCTTTTCTCTCGTCCATCATTGTGGGACCCTTTTCAGCGACATGAGAATGCGAGGCTTGCTGGAACATTTGCAGCGCAGTCGTCCTGGAAGGCATAAAGTGCAAAGTCCAAACTACAGCTATGGCGAGCCCACCATAATGACAGCCGTGATGCTCACCTACCCGCACCTGAAATGCCATATGTTAGGACCAAAGAAGCCGAATATTAAGGTTTAAAGGTACTACGTAGATTCATGTGTGCTCAACCGGGCTGGGCCGATCGCGAGCCAAGAAGGCCGGCGTCTCTTTGAAGTTGGGCTGCCCCATGTATACACCTGTTCACTGGCAGTGGGGCCAAGGAACTCTTGTTCGTGTGCGCAGAATGTCAACTGGAAATTCGTGGATAGTGCAGGGGGTTTTTGCTTCTATCGTTCTCTGGATTTCCAGGATAGGGTGTACAAGGCAGGCTTCACGGTCAAACAGAAGGAAAAAAGAGCTGGGCTTAGATTTGTTGTAGGTAGAAATAAGCGCAGCGACCGATTTTGAGGATTCCACAACCTAACGCAAGGGAATCCAAGTTGGTGAATTACATGGCCTCGGGTTTTCGTGCAATGGTGGAACATCAGTACAATTAAATTTGACTGGTATCTCTGTTTTTTGATATATCAGATGCTATAGATGCTGAATCACTACGGTATCATGATTGCTGTTGATCATAAGACATCAAGCGATACAACCGTCTTCGCTATGATTTCTGTTCAGGGGCGTCGTCCATGGCGGCCATCTCGTCGTCCCATTTGCCCACCAGCGGCGATAGAATGGGGAGATCGCTCTGTTTGATGGCAGGACCTTTGTCCTCGGGCATCTTGATAGACTGGGGAGGCAGCGCCGGGAAGTCTTCAGGCTTGGGTGGGGCAGTATTCGTGGGTTTCGAAGCCGTGTTGCCATTGCGCTCCGTCTCGCCGTTAAAACCTCCGCGACCACCTCCCCGACCGCCTCTCGCATGTGCACCGCCAGCACCGCCACGTCCGCGACCGCCCCTTCCGCGACCGCGGAACTCGCCAGCGCCAAACTCCCTCACGCCGGCGTCAGAAGTCTCATCGCGGTCGCCGGCCTCCTGCTCCGCAAACCGGCTCCCACCAAGCCCTCCCCTGCGCTCACCCCTCACACCTCCATGCGCACTCCTGAAAGCCCTCTTCTCAGCCTGCTCCTCCTGCTGCAGGGCACTCTTCTCTTGGTCCCAGCTGCCCATGGCCTTGAGCTTGCGCTCGCGGTTGCGCTGGCGCTCCTCGTCGAGCTTCTTGCGGTCCTCATCGTTGCGCCGCCTGCGCTCCGCCTCCTCAGCCTTGCGCTTCCGGGCCTCCTCGGCACCCTTCTGGAGCGCCAGCTCGTGGGACTTCTCGTCCTGCGCCGCTTGCTCGAACTTGCGTGTCCGCTCCGCGTTGGCGAGCTTCATGGCTGCCATCTTCTGTTCCAGCTGTGCGTCCGAGAGCTTGGTCCGTGGATTCGCGCCGCTTAGATACCGGTTCGGTCCGCCTGCACCTGCTGCTGCGTTGGCGGTATGAGATGAGCCTGCTGAGGGGCCGGTGGGCGCGTCGGGGGGCGGCGCTGTATCGGCTGCCGCTGACTCGGACTGCTCATCGTTGGAGGCGGGCGGCGCTGGTGTTGATTCGGCTGCCTTTGTCGTACCTGTCGCAGGAGCTGTGGGCTTGTGCTCTTGGGCGGGTTTTGGCTCTTGAGCGGGTCTGGATTGGTGCGTGTGCTTGGACTGTTGAGGGGCCTTGTGGGTATTGTGTCGCGACTGAGACAGGGCGCCGCTTGGCTTGTTGCGCGGTGCGGGTGTGTGCTGCTTTGGCTTTGGCGCAGGTTCTGCTTGTGTTTGTGCTTGAGCTTGTGCTTGTGCTTGTGGCGTCGGCACGGGAGCGGCTTCGGATTCAGGAGCTACAGCTGGAATAGAAGCAGGAGCCGGTGCAGGAGCAGGAGCAGGAGCAGGAGCCGGGACAGGCGTTGAGTCTACGTATGTCTGCTCGACGGGCTCGAAGTCGTCAGCGAAGAGATCGTCATCTGTACGGCTCTGGAATTGGTCATCCATTGTGTGTGATGTCTGTGAATGATGTCGAGTAATGGTTGATGATCTAGTAAGAGTTATTGATAGCTCCAGCTAAGCAGGTAAATAGCAAGAATCGAAGCAATTGAAGTCATGTATAGAATGCTGTGGTTTGGCCGAATGATGTCAAGTTGAATTCAAATTCATGTTTGAAGGAAGGGGTCCTAGCCCCGCGATGCGGCAGGCAAGACCAAAGGGATCCATGATTCTAGTCTAGGTTAAGTAACTTAGCAAGTGGCGGGGAAATTGCAGGGAGGCCGCTGCGTAACTTCAAATTCAACATTCCCATCATGATGCCCAATTCCATGAACGTGCTAACTTACAGTACTTTTTGCTGCCCTATGTGACAATAAGGGATCATCGAGTTAGCTTACATTGTGTGTAAACAGTGAAATTCTCCTGCTCTATTCCTTGTCTGCCGCCGACAATATAGTTCATCAATGAGACACATTGGGATGTTACACCATCACCAGCAACGCTTACATCATGTCACCGTAAATATAAAAGGACATCACACTTAAAAACCTTACGAAAGGTTACTAGATATATTTAATCAATCAATGCAATCTTGCGCGTTATGCACCATTCTGATGGTCACTTTTATCTTGTACCAAGTTCCTCAGGAATGAAACTATCGTGTATCTGGTTACGATCACGCATATAAGCCCCAAGTCAAAAGCATAAGCTAAAACAATTCTCGGAGCATGTATCTCTTCTATCTAAATATCGCCTCGTCATGTCAGTCTCTTGAATTGGCACAGCACAGCGGATATGTCACCTAGTAGGAAGATATAGGACGAAGAAAAAAAACAAGCCAGCCATAGCCACCACACGTAGGAATTCAACCTTCGAAACCACTGTTTCCACACCGTTATACTGGTGAGTGAGTAGAGAATTGCCCATCCTGATGCTCTAAAGTATATAAAAACACTTTAGTAAGACAACTTATATCCTGAAATTTGATCAGAACGTTGGCATCCATCATTGCTAGCGTACGCCAATCTTCGCAGCCAACGCGGTCGGCAAACCACTCCGCTCACTTGTTGTACCTTAGGGATCTCGTATCTCCCAAAGAATAGCCAAGGACGGAACCACGCTGGTCGGGGCTCGCTATCCCGAACTAGCTGCTTTCGCTCCTCATCCAAACGATACCCTTGGCCTAGATCTTAACAGCTTGATGATACCATCCCGAAAGCCGGTCATATTGCCAACCAGCTCAACGCCATACCTCTCACAGACCAGCTGCACGTTTCCCTTCTTACTATACCCCTCCTCCACAAACACGACGGCCCTCTTCTCCTTAGCGCACAACCCCAGCTCCAGCAGGCTAATGGGCGCATCGGTCCCCGTCCCAAAGTACACGGCCACGACGCTGGCCTCCTCCTGCTTCTCCAGCTCCCACCTGACCTGCTCCACGTAGGGGGCACATGTGAGGTCCTCCCTCCACGAGGAGTCCCAGTCCGGGCGGTGCGGGTTGAAGATGTTGATGGCCTCGTCCCGCAGCTGCTCGATGACGGCGCCCCGCCAGTCGTAGGAGCCGCTGGTCGGGCCGGCCAGGAACACCGACTTTAGGTTCTTGTGGGAATGCGAGACGGCTGCCGGCGCCTTGACGACCAGCGCTTTGCTCGCGGTTTGAAGGACACGCGCCATCTTTTGGAGAGGGTTCGATGTTGTTTGAAAAGTGAGACTAAATGTCTGGTTTTCAAAATACAGAGGGGAAGTCGTCGTCGTCTCAGGTGGAGGGAGGGGGCCACGGTGAGTGCCCCATATACTTTATACACCGAGTGGCTCGACTGGGATTCATCAATCGCCTTGTCCCCCCACATCCTGATAACACAAGTAATCCCAGTCTCACATTTCTTACTTGGTTGCATCAGCTACACTCTCGGTGTGCACTACAGTGTTGACAATATCTCGGCTAGCTGATCCTCAATCTTGTTTTTAAAATGTTGACAAGTTCATGTAGGTTATGCAATCTATCCAAAGTCACATGCCCTTTCTTGCCCTCCGCTACTGGTCTCTGTGAGATCTGCTCATACCTCAAAAACGTCCTCTATATCCCGTTCGGCGACGCGACGGTAACGCGTATGTCATTGGCTGCGGCGGCGGCGGAAGAGGCGGAACTACATATGCGTCATGCACCGGTGCAAAGGGATTTTGTGCCTGAGCAGCCGGGGCGATCGCATAGTTTGCGTTGTTCCTTCGTCTCGACCCTCCCGTTTTCGGTCGTCGGAAGAGCCATTCAATTATATCCTGCAGCTCACCCATCCACCACAAGCCTCCCACGATCACCAGAAGAGTGACCGGCAGTGCGGTGGCCCAGTAGATCCATTGCGACATTTCCAGGTTGGCTATATCCGAAGTATTCATGCCGAAGATACTGCTGATCGTCCCCAACGGCAGGAAGATGATGGTCACCATGGTGAATGCGTAGACGGCCTTCTCCTGCTTGTCCTTGGTAATGTCGATGTTGGTTACATTCTATTGAAGCATCACTTAGCAAAAGGTTCTCAAAGCGGGGAGAAGGCGAGGGACCTTACATATGCCTCCAGTCGGCTTGCTTCTACCAAAAAGTCTTGGAAGTCGTTTTCTCTGCGCTCCAACAGACTCATGCATTCTCTGACGAAGAACTCAGCGAATCCGCCAGGGTCTATCGGGGACAACCTGGAGAACTCGTCTGGATCACGGTTACTGCTCAGGAGTTCAGCATCGCGAAACGGGGGATACGAAGCCTCCCTCTCGTAATAGTATCCAGGACTCTTCATATAGGTCATTTTGTTTTGAATCCGAGATTTCTCGCGATCATATTCATCCATTCTCTTCTCCAAAATCCGTGCTTCTGCCCGGCTTTGGCCTGCGCTATCGAGTGTTGGCTTGGGCGGCATCATGCCGGCGGTTATTGTCTGTTGCGTTTTGATCAGTCGTTGAATGATGTCCAGTTCCTTCTTAAGTTGGTTAATGCGATATTGGTGGGAGCGGTCTGGATTGTCATTGATCTCATTCTCCTGTAGATAAGCAACGGTCAGTGTCTTCGCCACGACGTTTTTTCTCTCGACAGAAATCACTGCCTACCAATCTCTTCATGTACTGATAATATGTATCGCTAAGAGTTTGATCAATTCCAATAGAGTCCTGGAACAAACTCTTACTCATAAGGCTGATCAACTCAAGGGGGTGGATAGCAGCAGTCTGGAGCAGATTCGGAGCGGATAGATTTTCCATGATTTCGCCCATTCCCTTTGTAATGAGAGCGTCAGCGATTCCGAAGTTTTCTTGCCAATCTAATCCGTCGTGTGCACCCTGAACGAGAGCCAGGAGGAGATGAAGCCATGCACAAATTAGACTATTCGGCACTTCGATTTTAGCTCTCTCGTCTGCTGGTAGATGTGAGAAGGTGCTCTGGAATGACTGAATCACTCCAATGGTAGCACGTAGAGATGCTCCTATGGAAATGATATTTCCACGGTTGAGATACAGCTGCCTCGGTGCCTTTCTTCCTCGACTTGTGCGGATGTCTTGGCTTGTCGCTTCTAGCGGTGCCTGGGATAAGACTGTTAGCATTTTTCGAATCAACCTTCTGGCGATACTTGGCTCACCTCGACGAGAACTTCAATTGCCCCCCAGAATTTTCCAACCGTTGGGGCGCTACTGTCAAAGCGCCTTGGCAAGAAGAAACGAAATATAATCTCAGCGGCATTGTATAAATCGACACAGCTGGTCCAGTCGTCCCGTTTTGAAGTGTCTTCCTCAGTTGAACTGTCGAGGACTTTGCCTTCAGCTTCAAGGTATGCGTGCAGTTTCTCTTGAGTTGACAGCCTGCCAGCCTCATAGATTTTGCGGTCGCGGCCAGATGTTGACCCTCCGAGATACTTATGTGCTTCTGCGAGCTGCTTCAAAATATTGTCAACATTTAATTCTGCCGACATCACCGACTTGGGCTTGGCAATATCCATCCACGTGAAAACGTGAAAGGCATTATTGACTGATTGCGATAAGGTCTTGGGTACTTGAGTGGCATCTTTTTGAGGACTTTGCGCCTGATGGCCCGGGTTATGTTGGATTGGTTGGAGCACACCTGTAGGAGGAGGCTGCGGATGGGGGCTGCTTTCGTTAATTACTTAATGGCGGTGCCAAAGATTGGGATGCATACCTCATTCGTAGCTCAACTGTGGTTTGAGTGCTACTCGCCCGGTATACCATTTGTGGCCAGTCATTCTCCGTGATAATCTTATCGCGATGGTAGAAACGGATGGCCTGGGGCCAGAAATCATGAAAATGTTTTACGAAGGACTCCGAGGATGTTAACGGCAAGCACGGTAAAGAAAAGAAAAGAGCAAGAAAAGAGAAAAAGGCGGACTCACAAACCACGTACGGCACGTATCCAGTGGCAATGCCCAGAGAACCGTGTGGCAATACGACACATATATTGACTTCGTCTTGGAAGCTGTCTCCAGTGGTGGCTCTGTAACGATTTTTACCACGTTATCTCGAAGACTCACACTCGGCATGTGTCCGCAAGTAATCAAGAAAGCTTCTTCAATTAGCACCAACGGATCAAGTGAAGGGCGGCATGTTGCTCTGATGCTTACAATGGCCCAGTACGATACTCCACAGCTGATTAACATGGATACACTCTCCTTCAGGCGCTGCTTTGGCGAGGGCTACGACTTGCTCCATGTCTCGTTCTTGGGCGCTCGCAGCATAGTCATACTGCAGTAAAGTTTCAGGCGGAAAGCCTGCAGTTGTACTCGCCGACATCAGGCCGGAGTATTTCTCTAAAGAGAGATAAGGAATACACAGCCAGGTGAGGGGCTTTTTGCTGTTCTTGCCATCCGATCGCTGATTGCCTGGCGCGTTGCCTCCCGTGATTGTAATACGAGTGGTGCCAGGAACCATATGTTTGACACTTTGGCCGTTAGCGGTCCGATGATGTTTGATATTGTTTCTGACTTGACCGAGGAGTTTTGTGATTCCATGGAGTTCTTCGCTTGATAGATTCGGTATGCGAGAAATTTCGGCCGAGAGCTCATCCAAATTGAGTTGCCTCTGCTGCAAGTGCAGCCATCGGAACAGTGGCTGCCCAGAATGTTTCGGGTCATGCGCAACAGTCAGCTTGACAGAGTGGTCGCCGTCATAATAAGCATCTTCTCCCGCATATTGCGATTTGACAATGTGAAGTAGTTTGTTTGCAAAAGAAGACGAAAAGCCATCATTTTCATCTGACCCCTTCTCCTTGAACTTGGCGATTCTTGCCTCGGCTGGCTGATCTTGGTTTTGCAAGACCTGAAACTCTGCAAAAACCGCGGTGGAATTTTCTTCCTCCGAAGATTGAGGTTCTCCACGCATGGGAGTGAATGAAAACACTCTTCCTTCGGGGAGGTCATCATAATTTCCTTCCTCGTCAGAATAGTAGCGCTCATGGAGACGGGCACCAAAATGAGGTCGTCTTCTTGACCTTCGTTCTGGACGTATGATAACCTCATCTTCAGTCGATGAGACTGAGGACCTTGACGCTGCCCGTGGATACCGCCTTTGGCGCTGACCCACGCCCGAACTATGGGAACGAGAGCGGGAATACTCGCGCGTCTCGCGCCTCGTGCGGGGATTTAGGTATTCATACTGCAATCGAGGATCGCCATGATAGTATGGCTCTCTATATGAAGAGGCTGTGTCATATCCATATATGTGCTGCTGAGCAGGTGGCGGCCGTGGGTCATTGTTCACGGTGCCGTATGGATTGTAAGTTGCATAGACCGGTACTTGGTACCCCGTGAAAGGTGCTGGTGGAGGAGGTTGTTGCACGAAAGGTGCTGCGTACTACTTGGCCATTAGCTACTACGCTCTGAAAGAACTCTACCATGGATGGACAGACGTCGCTGATGTTCTCTGGTTCCTGATAGTATGGATCTGTGCCGCCCGGCACTACCTCTCTGGGCGGTACGTGTCGCATGTTGACCCTAGGCTGTCGCATGGGATTCGTCCCGCCGCGCTGGGGTGGGCGCCCCATTGTCCCGGTGTTGCGCCTAAGCGGGCGGGTTTCAAATGACTCAACTCTATCGTTTTCCATGGTGGGAAGAATAATCTAGTTCTGGTACATCCAAACGAGTTTCGTAAGAAGACAGTCCTCGGCCAGCAAATTTGTCGATACGGCGTGCGGCTGAATTACCCGTGAGCGAGTGGCTGGTCAGCTGGCCGCCTAAGACATAAGCGGCGATGCACGGTTTAGTCCACCATATGTAGTTATAGTTATTTTTGGTAGCTTCCGTTTAAGGTCAGAAAATTCGACGCTCCAGGTCCCGAACAATCGCTGAGGCTGGACAGGTGACAATACACCAATGTACAGCTTCAATCCGGCCTTATGATCCAATGTTCAATCCAAGGCTGTCTTACGCAATTTGCACAACTTCATGCCGAATTTGATCAACAAATTCTCGATGAGTTCCTACGGCTTTGCCACTATCTGTACACATCACTTACCACGTTAGAAAATAATTAAAGAGTTGCAACTTATAACGACTATCAAGTTAAATATCAGTCACCTCGATGGCCGCGAGATCCCGCCGCAGACTTTTAATAGCATGTGCCTGTAACCTCTTTAGCGGCATGTAACTTAATGACACTGGCAGTTGATGAAGGCGCCCTGGAGACCGCCCCACCTGCGCCTGGACTCCTGAATTATATCCTGTAATGCTATGATTAAATATCGGCCAATGGGCGTTAGTCGTTGGGACGAATGGTTTCCGGGTTATCAGCATTGGCGAGTTGGTCAGCGATAATACATTGATCAAAAGGGCTGAGTTTTATTATTGCTCGCTCGACTCTTGAGAACTTTGCCATTATTACCAGCTTTCGTATTCCTGGAAGTAGCGAACCTGTATTCTCTGCGCATAATCAAGAATTGCCGGGAAACCCCTCACCACCTTTTTTGAATCTGGCCCAGCAGTGCTTATTAGTACCGAAACAATGAACCCGAACAAAGTCGCGTCTGCCTCGGTAGGCTGCCTTCGTCCAAGAACCCAGAACGGTTCTTGAGAGGATGAATCATTGACAGATTTTGATTTGGAATCGACAAGTAGACTATTAACAGCGTCCCAGATTTCAAGCCTGAATCCCGCAATCTCTTCTGCGCTGTATCGTCCTGTGCCCTGTCCGTGAAGCGTGGCGACTGTGCCGCGGTACACCATCATGCCCACGAAGATCCGTACGGGATATGGCAGGGCTTGAAAGACGTGGTCGCGCATGGTGTAATAGTTCAAAATCCAGCGTTCCCATGTCTAGTGATAAGAGAAGTCAGTTATATTGCGAAGCGCGAATATAGAAACAATGGGTGCCGGTGGCTCTACTAACATGATAGAAGTACAACTTATCCTCTAGTAGCGCACGCAGCGCCAGATCATTGGCGCGATCGACCGGGGACAGCTCCGCATTGATGTCGGGGATCACGTCCACTTCTGTTAATGTCTTGATGATGAGCGTCGAATCGCTCAACTGCAATGTGTCTCCTTGCGCGTCCTCTGCCGTACCTGGAAGATTGCTGCATTCCACATATGGAATCTTACCCTTGGGGGCTGTCTTAGGAGAACCTACGTCTACGCTGTATCGCACGTCCGCGAACCGCAGACGAGCTTCCAGTTTGACCACATAGGGCGACCATACATGCTTGCCGAATTCTTTCCAGCCACGAAAGATGGTGATATCGGGTTGTTTAATATTCGTCGACATGTTTACAGTAGCTATCGGGCACATTGACCATTGCGACAAATCATGAAAGTATGACACGGTTATGCCACGCAAAAGCTGCTATAATAGAGATTCACTAGATACCCATCACAAAACTACCTTCCTTTATACACGGTTTTAATAACAAGATTAGTTGCGATCCTTCGCCTCGCGTTTACGCCGCACTTTTTGAAATGTGCGAGCCACGCCGGCGAGTTGTCAACGACGAGTTGCCGGTAACTTTAGCGGCGTAAGCTGAACATAGTCACCTGTGCCGCCGTCCTGCTTCGACCCCTAAACTCAGGCTCTCGGAATGTCAACACCTTCTGAGGGGCCCAAATCCTCCATACTTTTTCAAATGCTGCTAAGTCGCGGTGAATTCCTTTGGGTCACAAGTTCTCAATTACAAGGTGAATCTCCCAGTTGTAGACAAAAGACCGTTAAACTCCCTCACACCTGTTCCCCACTGCTCTCAATCTTCATTAGCTACATTACTAGCTCATTCTTCAACAACCAAGGGCGCAGTGGCAGAGTGGTCTAATGCGTGAGACTAGAATCGGTGATTCTAATCACAGTGCAATCTCATCTCTTCGGAGGCGTCTGTTCAAATCAGGCCTGCGTCGTTCCCTTGCTCGGCTAGCTCAGTTGGTTAGAGCGTCGTACTAATATTGTCCTCCCTGGATTATATCAAGTCATGCGAAGGTCCTCAGTTCAATCCTGTGGCTGAGCAGGTTTTCTTTTGGCCTACTTGATGACCGCCCCGGCGTGAAATCATGTGGTGCGATGATCGTGATGAGTTTCTGCTTTTGTTTTTAATTATATAGTAGGCGCGGGGGGGTTTTTTTTTTTTTTTTGTTGCAGTTATCCTTGAAAACTGGTTCGCCTGCTATATGTGTTTCTCAACATGGGCTTCCCCAGTGTTAACAAGCGATACAGGATCGATCCCATTTGGGAACGCATAACGAACGCAATCTAGTGATCTAAAGAATTAATTAAAATAAAAAAGCATGAAGGCAATTCCAGTGTCAACCTTATACCATCTCTCTTGTCTGAGCTTCTTGGTACGGCCTCGAGGGCATTATATTAAGAGGAAAGAGCTCGAACTACATGAAGAATTCTTTGCAAATTAATTGCTAATGCGAACTGCCAATATGGAAAGATATCGATCAGCGTAAAGGTAAACAAGGCGAGGCAAGAGATTTTGGCGGTTCTAGCTTTCTGGGTTGGTCAGTAGCTGACCAGGTTCTCATGGAACTACCCGGAGGAAGGGACGTTCAATAAAGTGGCTGCCCTCTTAAACAGACAGTTACGCAAGGAAGCAATGTGGCCGTCAGCCAGCCCTGATATGCCTGAAATTACAAATAGTCAATGGCCTTGACCTAACTATTGGGACGACGCAGAATGTCAAGGAAGGACTGACAGGCCGAGTACCTGGCATGGACTCGGTCACTCATATGTCGATCCTAACTTCTTGCTTTCAAGGTCGCGCTTACGCCTACCATCCAGCAACCAAGTCTAGGGAGGTTCCATCCCTGCAGCTCCATCATCTGACCGTACGATATTCAACGGTGGCGGACAGGATATTTTCGCAGTCAAATATTCACCTGTGCCTAGACAGTTACCGTTCTACAACACCCAAAACAAAGACGTGGCTTGTAGCAGCCAACCCTACCACATCGGAGACTCCTCTAGGGCTGGGAGCATGGCTGATCCATGGCCCACCATATGCTCACTGTTTGGACTGACAGGAGTTGACTTAATTGAGAAACAAGATCCAGCATCCATGCTCCACGTCACTCTTGTCAACCAGCATTCAGATGGAGTCCAACGACTGAAGGGGGAGAAAGGCGTTGAACTCTTCGAAATTAGCCTTGACACCGTCTTGGAAGGGTGGATGGAACGCTTTCACCTCCAACCACCATCTATCTGTGGACAAGGCAAGAAAAGCTGGTTTCAGCGAGGTGATATTTCTTGAAGTATCATGGCGTTCTGTCCCGGACCGATATCTTGATGCGAAACGGTTATACTACGGACAGGATGTCCAGTGCCACTTAGGTCGCTCGAAGGTCCAGTATCTGGGCGGGAGCTCTTGTAACCATTCGGATAGTACACATTGCGATGCTGAGAGCGATGATGAACAACAACGTTAGGATGTTCCTCTTGTCCAGCATTTGGTATAGAAACCAACATATAACGGTGATGGCGGTACACAATATGCGATGTCGTCACTTCTGATTGTACTTCTCATACCATTGACACTGAGTTTCAGGGACACGAGTGATTTAACAGTCGGTCTGCCGAGAAACTGACCAACCCACGCTCAGATAAGTTCAACCCGTCGTGTTAGGCATCTGCAAACGTTCACTACTGCCAGATTGATGCTCACTCACCGCCTTCGGGTAGCGCATCGATACGACTCACAGTCTTGAATTCCCAAGAACTTGGGACAAGCATAGACCGCTTCGAATATATCGTTGTGCTTTCCGCTAGCCCACGTGCATCGACCCGTCTCGGGAACAGGTATTACGGGAACCCACAGCTCATAGCGTCCACCTGAATAGCTTGAATCTTGCCTTAAACCTGGCGTAAAGAGGCCCTCCCCCATCCTAGGCAGCTAGGATATTGCGGGCTCCCCGAATGACTTGCTTGGTGCTTAAATTCTCGATCGTGAGACTTGCATGCGGTAACAGCGGGAACTATTCCAGACCGCAAGGTTTCAGGATCCACATGAGCTGCATGGGCTTTGGGCGCATCATAGTATATCGCCTTATCAGCTCCTCACTTTGGGCTAGAATGCCTGGAGTAGCTACAAACCAAAACACGCTTCTTCCGTGTCGTGCCGCGATTAGATGGCTTCACTAACCTAGTTCACTAATAACGTGCCTCGTGCTCGATGCGCCACCCGAGCTCAAGTCGCGTGCTCTAGACACATTGGCAAATCGGTCCACTTTTGGCGGGCGGTTGCTCAACTTGGCAGAGTGATCCTACACAATAGAATGAGAGTCTTTGGACGAAATGATCGTCAATAGCCGCTGCAGGCACGAATCCCTGAGTGATCTGGCCAACGACCCCGCCCTTGGCCTCGAACTCTCGAATATAGATACGTGAGACGTGATCTGGCATGTCCCAATACCAATAGAGTCACGAAGTGCTCATCTAGTCGTATGCGGATGCAAGATTGAGGAGAAAGACACCGCCAACCTAAAGTGGATGCGGTGTGGAGTTCTCGGCAGCACTTATAGTGGACGCTTACAGGGCAGAGGCCAAGCTGGGTGGGGCATTGACCTGCAGCAGGACGGTATGGTGCTGCAGGACAGCTGGCTTGGTTGCTGGCGGTGAGGACAACTCGCTATGCAAGTGACCTACCCAAAGATGGATGCCCAACAGGGGAGTTGTACAACTTGGATAAAGTGATCCGGTGTCGGTAAGGGGTCCTTAAAAGAGACCCCTCGTTGCCCATGTAACACTGCCTATACTCCCTCTGAACTCATATCAATCACACTATCAAACGAATCTCAAAACACTCTCTGCTCTTTGCAACAAGCTTTCCCAGTAATAGAACTTGTGTTGTTTTATTAACTCTATTCAATATGGCTGCCGCTTCTGTTATGATCCCCATCTCCAGCATCAGCCAGAATGGAGGTACCCTTCCTCCTAGTGCCCTGGTCCAACACTCCCCCCGTCACGGACGTAGTAGAGCTGCCAGCATGAAGAAGGGTAACCGATACAACGTCATGGAGAACAGAGACAATGCCATCACCAAGGCAGTCCAGTTTGTCCTGAAGCGAACAGTTAGCCAGAGCGAGCTGGACGAGGAGAGTGAGAACGACGAGGAGGACGAACGTCTCGTCTCCGCCGAGGATGGTTGGGTCATGCTGCCTGACCTGGTAAGAAGCTTCTCAACCCTAGCTGTCATAAAACATATACTGACTGAGCCGTTGCAACAGCTCCAACACTCCCGCATCACCGACCTCCGCGTCACCCTTGCAGACCTTCAGCGCATCACATCCAACACATCCAAGGCTCGCTGCGAGCTTCGCCAACAACCCGGCAGTGAGGCCGAGACACCAGAGTCATACCAGATCCGAGGCACACACAAGAGAGACAGCCTGCAAGCACCCGTCATCGAGGGTGAGCCCCTCAAGCTCGACGCCGAGGATCTCCCCGAGTACATTGTCTATGAAACTTCTTACGAAGCTTACCCTCATATCCTCGCATCTGGCAGCATCGAGAAAGCTGCCGGTGCTACTCACATCTCTTTCTCCCCCGTCGCCACCGACGGCAGCGAGACTCGCCGGGCCGGCAATGCCGACATCGGCATCTGGGTTCATCTCCGCACAGCTTTGGAGACGGAGCCGAGCATCGTCTGGCAGAAGACTGCCAACGGTGCCATCGCTACCACCAACGAGATTCCCAAGAGCCTGTGGAAGAAGGCCGTCGCCCGCCGCTCGGACATCGGGCTCCTTTTCGAGGACGGCGAGGTCCGAGGCGAGGTCCCCGAGGCCCTGAGGGGCAAGGGGTCCAAGGGCAAGGCCAAGAAGGGCAAAGGCTCCTTCAAGAGCCGAGGCGGCGAGGAGGCCTCGGATAGCGCCAGCGACGAGTAAAATGTCTTGCGTCGTTGTGTTCGCTTTGAGAGGGATTTAAACCCAAAGACAAAGTTGATGATACCCCCAATCCATGTACACAGAAAACATTATAAATTCTTCCATGTAGTTTGAGCAAATGTACATGCGCCCCGCCTTGGAGAAGGCGGGGATTATTGCCCCTCTCATACATCGGACTCGATCTTTTGGGTCTTATGCAAGACATAACCCCGTGCATGGATATATGGAGTCTGCCCCATGGAGTCCGCTCCATGCTGTCGACATTGGCCTCCACAAGTTGGTCGGCTTCAGATAAGATTGATTATGCAAGCCACAAGTAGACGACACGCGAAAGGTATTAATGACCAAGAATCGTCATAACAGTCTGTCCAAATGAACTAGGCGCAAAGTGATGCTCGTGTTCATTGCGTATTTCCTAATGGTATGTTCATGCTAACTCGGCTGAGCTCTCATCTGAGCTCCCGTCTGGCGAGTGGCGCCGTAGCTTGGGCACAACATCGGCGAGTTGTTGTCTCATTTCCGCGTTCTCGTTCCACACCTTCAGCTCTTCCGTCATTCGCTGAATTTCTTCATCCTCTGCCTTCTGCTTCGCAAACATTGTCTGCTTCTGCTCATCTGCCCATATGCCATACGCCTCGTCTTGGTGTTCCAGATCTCCATCCTGTAGAATGCCATGCATGGGCTCTGCGGGTCGCAAGAATCCTCGCGCGTCGGCCTCAATGATGGAGCGGATCATAATTTGGCCCATCCTGATATAAGCGGCCGAGGTCGGATGCATCCCGTCCCAGGCAAGATCCGAGTCTTGAATACCATCGGGTCCAACCATATCGGCGAGCACAACAGGCTTGTTCTCGCTCTGGAGAATCTTGTAGAGCCGGTGCAGCTGCTGGTTCACAATATTGACATCGGCAGAACCGTTGAAACGTTCGGTCTCGGTGGTAGGAAGCAAGGTACCGATAACCACCGTTGATCTTGGCGACGCGTCGAGCAGATAGTGCACGAAGGAATAGAACCGCTTGTAGAAATTGGGAATGTCCTTGTGCTGGAAGCAGTCGTTTGCGCCTACGTTCACCAGGAATAGGTTGGGTTTGGTTCGAGGGACCACTTCTCGAGCGTGGTGGTGCATTTGGCCAAGTCGTGCTCCCGGATAGGCCTCGATGTCGTTGTCCAACATTTTCCCAACTCTTTGTGTTCCCACAAAGTTGACGGGGTTTCCGATCGAAGTTAGATGCTCTCGGATCGGTCGCCGGAAGCCATTATTATCAAAACTCTCGTCACCTCGGGTCGTCGATGCGCCGATGGCCATGATTCGTAGCGGCATCCCGTTTGCCAGTGGTGATTCATATCCTGGTCTCTTGTAGCCCTGTCCTATTGGAATGTAGGCGGCGGGTGGTTGTGATAATGTTGCGTTCGCCATGGTGTCATTGCTGCTACTTATATGGCTGAAGTTGCTTCCCGCACGCCAGTTGACATCCTCCTTGTCAGTCAAAGAAACCGCTGCACAATTTTGGATCAGCGCTCTAGTTCCTGCTTAAACCACACCGTTTTGACACTCGACTAACCTGTAAGTATTAAAAATATTATTAATGTAGCAAAAACGAACTTCTTTCTGGCGACGAGAACAGAGACATATGGAGTGGAAGCCAGGCGCTCCGTAATCTTCTCCATGTCTACTAATCGGGTATATTGCGCCATGATAGCAAGTGAACGAAAGATAACAAGCAGTGAAGCGTGACAGTTAAGAAAGGAGACAAATGGATAAGAAATAGACTCGCCGCAGCCGCATGCGAAACGTGGAAGAATACAAGTACCTTCTTGAGTGTTTAGTTTTAGGAAGGAGAGCTACATACTCCCTCCTTTTTCGATGCCGACATCATTGTGCATCCGACTCCCGAGACCGCCGCGTGGCAGAATTTAAACAATCGCTTGCAGTACCAGGTTGATTGGCAAAGCCAAGAACCTTAACCCATGAGCCATCAGGGGGCCTCTTTGGCGCAAATGGATACCTTCCAGCCTCCTAGCCCATCACGAGTGCGATACCTGAGTTTGCGGGATGAGAAAAACAAGCTGGGAGGCTCAGTGTGGAGCAAACTTAGGAGACGCCTTCGGTGCCAAGGCGGCACAAACGGCACCGGCAGAGTGGATGGGAATTGCCAAGTCAGAGGCTCAATTGATCGCCATGTTAAGGCTCAATTGGTGCAGCTAATGTGCCGTAAGTCCATCGCTTTACGAGTCGAGACATCTTCACAATTGTCAGGTCACTCGTACAGCATCGCAGGACCCGACCCAGAATAATGGCAATGCTGTTCAGATCCATCCGTTCTTTGAAACCCTGACAAGTGCGAATGGCAAGATCTACTCTATCTGTGACTGAGGATCATCTCAAAAGACAACGGCTCCCTTCGCTGATCAGGAAGCCCCGTCCACTTACCCCTGTAAGAACACCCGCCAGCAGTTTCATTGAAAGTTGTGGGGGGACGAACCCTTCTGAATATAGTTCTAAATGCATTAAATGCAGCTAGGCAATTGACCAAAGTGGCTATTAAGCCCCGTTAATTCTTAGCATTTGCAATTATTCTAGAACAGCTTGCCGACCTTCTAATCTCAGAGTTGATGTCGCATGGACGCGAATCCCTACCATCCTGACTGGTTGACAATCAGACGAAGGCGCACACCGTTCTATCTTACGAACGTGAGCATCTGAAAATGCAGTCTATGCGTCGTGAGTTCCATGGCCCGACGTGCAAATCCACACGAATCGAGGGCCGCTTCATGGCTCGCCAGCAAAAATACGTCACCGAATACGTGACTCGACAAGTGTCATGGGAGGAAGCGCTTATGGGGTTTTAATGTGGAGATCCAGTGCTTCTAGGCCATCAAAATGCCTGTGTACTGCCAGACTAATTATTCCTCTCTGCATCTTCGGCGTGGCCAGCTGGTCCACTAGAGGAGTAGTCTACCGATACAAAAGCACGATCAACCTCATGAAGGCCTTCGGCGCAATATTGAAGAGTCTCGGCGACATCGTGGCTGGATCGTAGGCTTGTCTTCTCGTCCATTAGTAGGTCATATTCCACCCAAACTCCGTCGCCACAGTGGTATGCCGTCACGTTCTTGAAGCCGGCCACAACAGGCGAGAAGCGGTATGCGAGGAACATCAGCTTCTGATAAGTACAGGTATCGACCGCCTCTCCGGACAACCGAGTAACGTTCTCGAAGCAGGTGTGGCCCCAATCATAGATGATGAACAGGGACAGAAGACCAGCACCAGCAGGCTGTATTTGATCAGCTATCAATCACGCAACTTCGACGGTCGCACTTACATCAAGCCACCATACGTTTGCTTTCTCGCCGATGAACGGGAACAGCAAAGAAAGGGTATTGAAGAAAACATCCGTCTTGCAATCCTGAAACAGTGCCTGAACCTGAGTAGTCTTGATGGGGTAACAGCCTATGCCAATAATTCCCTTGATGACAATTGTGGCCACCATGGCTCCGATGGCTGTGGCGGGCAGTTTCTCGGGTTCTCCCTGTAACGGCATGATCTTCTCGACAGACTCTTTCAAGATCTGCATGAAGGAGATGACCATGATGATTGAGAAGACAAGAATACCAATTGGCTCGAGACGGCGCCGACCAACCGGAAACCGCTTCTTCAGCGCACCGATGCGCCAGCCAACGAGTTTATTTGTCGTCCAGATAATCAGTGTGCAGAGTAGGTCAAGAGCCGAGTCGACGAGCGAAGCTACCAAGGAAAGTGAACCGGTCGAGAAAACAGCCACGATCTTTCCAATAAGCAGGAGGATATTGGCAATGACGTTGATGTTGATAGCCCACTTTGCCTTCTTTGCGGCTTTCGCGCGATCCTGCTTCTCTTCCTCTGGTAGAAACTCTGCGATGTTGCCGTGCATATGCTGCAGCGCACCCCTCCGCTCCAAGTCTCCGTCATGATCGGGATCGGGATCCATCGATTCGAGAACATCATCAGCGACGGCCATAACCACGGCGTCGACCTCTAGCCAGTCGTTCAACTTTTCGTTCTGTCGCTCATAGAACGCCCTGACTTTCCTTTTCTTAATGGCCTGGAGCTCTGCATCGCTCTTTCGAAATTTCTCCAGACCATGGCGATCGATGTTTCGTAAAAGCGTCTCCTTCAGTTGTTCTCTCCGGCTGTCTTCGAGTGCTGTGTGCGCCAAGTCCTGAAATTGGAATATCCTCGGACGTGGCCGCCCGGTTTTATCTGGGCTATAGTGGCTCACACCTCTCTCCAGGTCGCGTGGGCGCCGATTGTTTGGCTGCCGTTGACCATCCCCTTGTTCGTGACCGGTATTATACGCTTGGCCATTCCGCCCATTGGCAGCAAATACGGTATGCTTCCCAACCATGATTGCCAAGATTACACTTTGAGATCTTCCGAGACTGGCTACCAAAGACACCTAATCATAAAGCCGTAGGTTGTAACGGCTATTGGTGACGTAACGACCTAATGTAGCCAAGCGACTTAGTGGCTGGGGAGATCTGCGGCTTCCCGTCAGTTACTGATGCTATCTTAGCAGCACTTTGTAATGTAGATGTTTCAAAGGTTGTTATGGTGGTGATAGTATAAAGGTGCTCAAAGTTGTCAACTACTGATAGCAGTACTGGAAAGTCGTTTCTGAAACGGAAATTCTCGAGCCATCAAAACAAAAGAAAAAAGCAGAAAACTTGGCTGAATGAGACCCGAGCCCGCGACACGTGGGGACCTGACATAATAGGGTAATCCGCGTCATTGAAGATCGTATCTCGCTTTTCGGATCGAACGGCACAACACTCAATGCAAGCTTTCCCGTGCATCGGCACTGTTTCCAATGCTCAAAGCTCTATGTGAACCCGATTTTGCAATTCGCATCATTGGGAATCAACGAAGCGATATTAGTGACACGTTCAAAGGGCGGTTTGCGAATTCTTATGCATATTCGTCCTTGTCTGGGAGTATTTACAACGCAACTGTTAGAGGCTTACCTAGTAACTAAACCAAGGTTAGGCGCCTAACAGCCATCACTCCAGTCAACAGTCATCCACTGTTTTGTGAGAGTTGAGAGAGAGAAACGTCGGCTTGAGTTTTCTCGCAGCGAGGGTTACTTACCCTAGTATTGTCAATGCGATGGTTCCTGTATTTCCAAAACAGGCTATGTCCACCGGATTCCACGTCTCGATAGTATACTGTAATATTTGTCACAGAGTCGCAGGGTCGCAGGTATGCGGGCATTCCGCTTTAGGCTTTGAACTGTCCTGCCATTGGCCGAATCAGAAGTAAAAAGAAACATCCCTTCGCAAGTGATGGGACTTGGCGCCGCGCGATCTTATTTTTAGCCCTCAGTATTCCCTGGCTTGAAGGTTTCGTTTCTTGCATAATCTCACAAACAAATGCTTAGTGTTTTTAAGTTTTGAGGAGCTCGTGTCAGCGCAAACATCTATTCATGCGACAAGATTTGTGTGCTGATTCTTAGGGAATCAATGATGTCAGCCATAAGTCCAGCAGTACACTAATGAAAATCGACATTGTGGCCGTCGACACTGCTAGTCCACTGTGCTGCAGTCATGAGAATGGTCATCCTCGCCAGAGCCATACGCAATGACTATGTCGGTAAGAGAATGTCTAGAGCTGGATTCACGGTGAACCTTGTAGCTGGCTGAATTTTTTTCCCCGGGAATTCAATCCTTAACCAGAGAGCGCTGATCAAGAAGTGTGCTTGTGGTAAACCATTCCATATGATCAAGGATGCCAGAATTTTCTGCCGCTCAAGGGCAATAGACAAGTTGCACTAATCATATCTGGAAGGTTTAAATGGTTGCGAGGTGCTCAATTCTTAGTTCGAGGTACAGCTCAAGCCCAGTCCTAGCTCCTATCACACCAACTCCATTGTACCGCCTGGCTTTTTCCCGGACAAGTTGCACCCTTTGATCACACGTACCACATACTCGGAAGGAAACATTCAACATTGCACGTAAGTCCCTTCAGTGCATGTTGACTGGTTAGTTTTGACACCTTGCAGATAGCATTTCTATACGGACACGGGAGCGTAGCTCGCGGCTTCCGCAAATGAGTTTGGTCGCCACGTGGTCAAAAGACATAACCATTTGATGGCAAGCGACCACTCCTAAGCTTCGGGTTGCTACCTGAGCGCAAGGTAACGTCAATAACGACTGGACATCCGCGCTTGAACTTGTGTCATTCTGAGGTGACGCTGCAGCTGTACCTGTCATGCATAGCCACCAGGTTCCTATGCACTTCACGCTTGTTCCTACCTACCAGGGCTTGGATGTCGGGTACCTAGCTGCCAAAACCAAACGCAGACATTCTTGACCTAGCCCCTCAATGTCTTGGTCTCGAATAGGACATGTAAAGAGCCAGGTGGTAACATTGACCACAGCGGGCTGTGACTTAGGGTTAAGAGAAGCCTCCAAATGCTGGAAGACAGAGCCGCATCTCCGCGTACTAGTCCCATTCTACAAGATCAAACGTGCTATATACACACCTAGACACATCGCATTGAGGAATTCCTTGAAACTCACCGCCTATGACAGGCATCACATTGTCGCACTGACTGGTTCGACGGGGAATTTATGTCGGCACGCGGAACTATAATGCTACCAAATAGGGAAAGATGAGATATTGACAGGCTGTCAAAGGTACGATTTGCTAGGGTCAAAGTACTCACAGGCTTTCAATGCTGACAAGGTCTCACCAGCCCAGGTCCTGGTCGGCTTGAACAAGTACTACCATTGACTCGATAACAGGTCACAACATCCGTGACCTGGTGCAGAAGCCCCGAATGATATAGGTTCCCTCCTCGGCGGCTTGCCGGACTGGGCAGGGTACAATGACCCTGTCGCATCCTGTTCGTGGACATCCTTGTGAACGTCCGAAACAGCATTGACAATGTGAGGAAGTATGTAAGCGTGGGGCGATCTATGAAACGCAGTGTCCAGGTGTTCATACGAGCAAAGCCTTCGAGAAGCCAGTGAGAGTCCCCAATCCCAGTCGTGGAGGGTTGGAAAAACAGCAGCGGATACCCCGAAATGCCATTTAGCCGTTTTTTTGAGACCCGCCAAGTGCTGTCTTTTACTGAACACCACCATATCGACGAGTCAACGGAGATTAATAGCAACGTCAATCCATCTGTGATGTGACATGGGAAAATTGGCTAAGAAATAAAACTGACGCGAGAATGATGGGGCCGGATGAGACGTTTACCTTTCCCAACCGCGATCATCAAGATTGCTCGACCGTGAGATTGAACTTGGCTGTGGAATGACCGGGGGGCAGCTTTAGGCGAGGGTCGGTAATATTCCGAAGACCCAGGGGCTGCATCGCCAGACCAGTAATGCTACGGTACATTGGATGGACTTGATAGCTACCATGTAGCCAAGATGCTACGGTGGTAGCCATGCTCCCCAAAAACAGTGCAGCTAAACCAAAAAGCTTGCGTGGAGCCCATCTGCCTACAGGCGAATTCCAAAAGCGGCAGCGTCGCCCCCCCTGAAGTCGAGTGGGATGACAGAAACGATTCAAGATCTCCAACATATTATTGGTTTTGTGCCCAAGGACGATGGAAGCGAACTTGGAGCGATGTGACGACGGCTCGCAGACGCCCCACACTTGGGATCTTCTCATGTTGCCCCTAGTCTAGTCACAATGACCCCCTCCCTATAACTTCACCTGTTATACAAAGTAGTGATTACAGCCAAGCACCAAGCCAAAATGGCTAAATAGAACTCTCCAAATAAGTCAAGCGCCGTAAACAATTACGCAAAGGCTGGCACAGTGCATTGAATAATTGAAAGAAAGAAGAATACTCTCACAAAAAAGCAAAGCACTACGCGCGTATTGTGACCGCGCCGAGTGCCTTGCTGTAAACGTGACCGCTTGTGCGTGTGCAGCCCGCGTGATATCACATTATTGCTGGCCTGCGTCTGCTTGTATGTTACAGCTGGTTTACCTTTTTGGAAATTTGTCCTTTAAGGATCCTGTATTCATTCGCAAGGATTAGACAAATATGCATCATTGCTATCTCCATATTCTGAACTGTCAGGGCTATCGATACAACCTGGGCCATAGAAAGCTTGGCTTAAAATACGGTGGGTTTCTTAGCCAACCATGACACATGATTAAAATATGTTGCAATGTAATCAGCATCCTTAAATATCTTATTCTCTATCAGGCAATGGACGATAAACATGACCATAGGGAAACGGGAGTGTGCAAGAGACATGCGGGCATCTATGAGGCATAGGTTATTTACATCTCTTTTTGGGAACTCGGCTGTCCAGTTTTGGAATGGCAGTCCCAAAAAAGGAATTTCTATGCCCCTTTTCGGCTCTCCTTTCTTTGGTCCTGTTCCTAGCGTTCATTAAGAGGAACTTCCAAGCAAGCCCGAGCGACGATTAGTCGAGCCTTACCTGGTTGTAAAGATGCGCCAAGAGACACTCAAGATTGGCGTACCGTGTTGTCAAGCAAGACGGAACTTGTGGGGTGTTCTATGATATTGACAGACGTCCACCCCACCAGTTCCAGCAGGCCAGGCACAGGTCCAGGCTGTTCCTCATATCAAGGTATGTAGCGGCGGACCTTGACGATTTCGTAAAAGGATTGTCACCTGACAATGAGCCGATGGAGGTGGTTGGTGTATCTCATTTGACTTGTCTAAGGTTAGGTCTCTGGGTTTAAACTTTTTTTCTGTCATAACTAGCATAAGTAATTTCCCATGTTAGGATACGATTTCGATACACAATGGTGGCTGACGTGTTTGTCCTACGTACCGCAAATGACCTAGACTTCAAGTAATTTCTATCTGTGAAAGTAACCTTAAATAGAGCTTGTGGAGCTTTCATCACTTCGTATCAGAGCGGTGTGGTAATGTGAGAATTATCCGCGAGGCATTTACCGAGTGCCAGTTCGTCTACGTTCAGGGGTTAGCGGCAGATTTTGTACGTCAGAAGTTTATCACTGCTCGGGCAGATCAGGTCTACAATCGTCACAGGTGGCGTAGAACTCCGCATACAAAGCGGTTGGTTTCTTGCCTAGTGAAGCAAAATTATGTTGCAGTACTGATCATGAAGCACTATTCTCTATATAACCACAGAAAGTCTTTCGCACGTGCATAGTCGATCTAATAATATCTCGAGCTCCAACGCTATTTATACACAAGGCCGTTGGAGCTACTGATAGTGTACCATAGCATGCCCAAGTGAGGACAGACAGTTCGGCAAAGCATGACGTGCATTGTGCGTGCCATCACGGGTGATTCCGACTGCCATTTTTTGTCGTTTCCTGGATCATTGACAGCATCTTTAGGCATCGAACCAGGCTTTGATCTGCCCACTGGCCAAGTGAGGAGCATAATCAATACCTATATTACTTGGAGCTACAAAAGTCTTGAATATTGCGATGCATGCAGATTGAAAATATAATGATATGGCAACCTAGTCCTCAAATTCAAAGCGCCACCTTGATGTTTGGATAGCACAATAGCAAAGAACAAGCAGCTACAGCCATCCTACAGCAATGAAATGAACGTGACATGAGGGTGAGATGACTGTGGAATTTGGACTAAGTATTTTCTATACACAATGGACTAATACACATCGTTCTACATAGATGAAAGAGGAATCCTCCAGTCATAAGTGTCACACAAACATTAGTCTCATTTAGCCAGCTGCTGCGCAAGATATAGACTGGTAGAGCAGGCATGAGTGGTTACCGATCCAAGCCACAGGCCATTCAAATGACATGCAAGAAAGAGGTCTGCATTACTGATCTTGCGGGCTCGGAACTTGAAACAGCATAGCTCGGGTGAGATGGGTTGAGAATTAAAGGACGATAATTGATAGCAGGATATGATAGAAAAATTCAATTACTTTCTGAAGTGCAGTGTTGCTGCGAATTCTATTATATCTATGATAAGTTCCCACATGATCCTCCTCGTGTACAACCAATACATTCAAAGTATTCAGTCTTGGCGAAATGAAGTTTTGGGTTACACTGGGGCGGCGGGACTGAGCACTCTCACAAGTGCGCTTTCAACCGTTTTGTCTGGGGGTATCGTGGTCGCAACCGAAAAGCAAGACAAATGAGATCCTAAACCACAATCCATGCCACCCTATCAGCACGTTGAGTGCTTATTTTCCCACACCTTTCTATGCCCCAACGCCGACGTTTCTCTAGACCAGTCCGACGCCTTCAATGCAAGGTTTCCCCATTCCAAAGAATGCTTGTATATCGCCTAAACTTGCGAAGTGTTTCTTTTTTTTTCTCTTTCTTTTCTGACTTCCGCAAATCCAGAACGTGTCCAATCCGTGCCGTCTTACTGCAACCAATAACGAAACGGCTGTTATAACCTGGAAAACGAGATGATCTTCGCTCGCTGGTGAATGTGAATACACGCAAGGATGGAAGTGTAGAGTGTACAAATTAAACCGAATCATGGTGTTATAAAGAAGTGAATGGTGATATGCCTCATCGCGCATTTGTCGACGCTAGCACCGACTCGGCATTATAACAAGTGTATGGTGAAACTGTTGCAACAAAAAGAAAATGTCTAGAAGGAAAAATGAAAAAGAAAAGAGGTGTTTGTAGCCTTCAGGCTCCGTGTGCTGTTGGCTTGAAGTCATCCGGATAACTCGGAAGATCGTTCGGTAGGACGTCATTGGGTATAGTTGAAGTAACAGGCGTCGAAATGCCATAGTTTCTTGTAAGACCCTGGTCGTATGGTCCAGCTGGTTGTTGTATGTAGGCTGTTTGATGGTGGGGTGCTGTGTGGGTATAGCTCATGTCGCGAGGTGACCCATTGCTACTACTGACTGGAGTCTGGCCTGCTTGAGACTCGACATGAGGTGACATGTTAAGCTGAGCGCTACCGGGGTTCCAGTTGCGGTTGATGCCAGGAAGCTGCGGCTCATGGGAAACTCCATACACATTATGTGGTTGGTGCTGCACGTGGGCAGAAGCCCCGCTTGGTGGGAAGGAATAGGGATTGGCCGATGGCTGGCTGCCTGGATAATTAAACATCTCTCCAGAGTATGTCGATATCTGAGGGTCAATTCTTCCAGGGCCACTCGAGCCAAATGAATCCCGAGGTTGGTAGGCCGAAGCGTATAGCGAATTGTCAGACACGCCCGTCGTGAAGAATGGACTTGGGTGCGTTGGAAGCGGTCCCATGTTAGGGTAGCCGTAAGACATCGTACTGGGCACAGTCTGACGTACGGGAAAGGGATGCTGTCCAGCAGAAGCATGACGTTGTCTTTTGGCGTCCGAACCTCCGGGAAAGGGTTGCTGCTGTTCGGAGTTAGTTCGACTCGAGCTTGCGACCGGCCTCCTAAGCGCTGCAATCGGGAACTCGCTATCTTTCTGTGCTACCTCTTCCCCGTCGCGGGATAGAGGTCGCTTATCCCCCAGGCGACTCGCCGCATTGGAATTGTGTTTCTTCGTTGTCAACTGCCGCGAGTCCTTGCGAAGTCGCAATCGTATGCCCTGGTCTGCGAACATTCTCGTCAAAGGTGTCGATTCTGCCATTCCAGGGAAAGATCGAGCGGTGTGTACTGTAAAGACATCCGAATAGCAGTCCGTAATCGTAAGCCACTCTCCCGACCATTCTCCGGTCGAGGAAAGAGAAGGCTCCTCCATAACCATGAGGACAAACCGAAGCCTGAATTTTCCTTCCACTTTGACAGCCAAATCAGGGAAGACAAAGGCCGCAATATCATTATTCTTCATGTCCTTTACTCGGTGTAACGAGGATGCGGTCGTTCCCATCAAGTTCGACCCTACTGTTCTGGTGCTTCCACGATTGGAACTGTTTTCGCCAGCTGCTTCGAGGTACGCCAGTACCATCGTATAAGGACCTGCTTACGACGTCAGCGATCCCATCTCGGTACCCTTGCATCTCCGAACCTGTGCGTACTCACTTTGCAGATATGTTGAGGCATCTGGTCCGCCGCCAACACTTAATTGAACCAGGGGGGTGGGTCGAGCGGTTTGCGATCTACTTGCGCATTAGTAACCATATGAGACTGTCATGACATGTGGCATGAGGGACTGACCTTTTTCTTTGCCAATTGCCACTTTCCCGTCTTTTGGATGTTGAATTATATGCAAGTTATAATGCTCATATCGAGACCTAACGTAGAGGTGAGCGCCATGTTCAGGGTCGAGTGTCTGAAGAGTACGTACGTAGGGACATTCTGAGGCGTCCGGTTGTATGGAGGCGGGGTCCAGCCAACGCCTTGTTGTATTGGATAATTCATGTCGAGATAGGCGAAAGAGCCGTCCGGCTGCTCTGCAATGGCGGTAAATGCAAGGTCTTGCAGAGGGTCAGCGTCTGTGTATGCCAACTCGTCCATTGTTAGTATGCAATTAGGAACAGTTCCCAGCCACGATGAATTCATGATTGGATTCGCGAGGGAGTTGGAAGTTATATAATTGGGCTTGGACCAGGTAGATTTGAGAGATCAAGGAGAAGGAACGGTTGCCTTTGAACTCACCTTTAAAAGTTCTCAGTGTCGGCAGCTTTAAGAAGTCGACAGAGCAGGTAACGCCTAGGTCGGCCAGTGTACCCAGCTGTCGCAGTGAGGATGAGGGTCTTTCCACAAATTGACAAAGTTTACTTGATACGGTCCGGCAACGCTGAGGTGTGGTCGCTGCTAGGGAAGGCCTAGGGAGCTGTCAAGAAGGCTTAGTTTGTGGAGCCACACTGCTGCCAAACTCTAACTGGAGGAAGGTGCTCCTGTAGTTGAGATGGCCAAGTGGGTTATGATGCGAGATATCTTCTGTGAAGCGGGAAGGTGCTTGTTGAAAAGTAGATTCCACCTTAACCTCACCAAGCCTGACCACAGTGTTGACATGTAGTTCGCCGGGAATGTCCTTGATGGTCTTCTCCTCGACTGAATCGTCGCGACGATGGCCCAACGGTGCTTTCTGATGTTGCGAGGGTTCACACCATGGGTCGAGTTTGACCATTCACTCCCTGCGCAAATTTACTTTCTTTGTAGTCCCACGCGTCTGTCAGTCAGAGACCTTGCGCTCGAGCACCCTGAAGGATTGTGACCGTCTCTTGGCCGAAGTTGTTTGTGACTCGTGTCGTTCTGGTGAACTCGTCAACGAGTATTGTGCTTTGTCGTCGAGTCTATGCACACTATCGAAGTTGGTGTGTGCTCCCACAAAGCCTCTTCAAGCTGTCAAACGAAACCCGCCAGACTCGCGACAGCAGAGACTAGTCCACAAACTAACGTCGGCTCGATGCCTGTAACTTCAAGTACCAGTTGATCTGACTTTCAATAGAGCCCGGTCGTTATGTCAAGAGACAATCTAGTAACCGGCCATCCTCTTGAAGCACAGCAGTTTAACTTGAAGCTTACGGGTCCTTATCTTCATTCGACAGAGACGGTGCCGAGTGACCATCGACTAGCCACCACCTCTCTCGAAAGGGCTGTAGCAAATGCTAGTTAGAGGATGCTCACCGGTGCGCCAAAATCTTGTAGACGCTTGAGACGATGTTGAATGCTGAAGCTTGACGCAGAGTCGCAAGAGCAGAAGTCAAGAAGATAGTTTCGCGGGTTCCGCAATGGAGAAGAAAATAGTGATAATTGGTTGCAAGAGGGGTGCTTGACGTTGAAGGGGTATGATTAGTTACAAGCATGTAGCTGTGGAGGCTTCCGGGGGTGGCAATGCTGGAAGAGGTCCGACTATTCCAAGTCGGTGTGCCGTAGCTGGTAGAGCTCGAGTACCGCGTAGAGTTCTTATGCTCAGGTACGCATATGGCTGACTGTTGCTGTTCTCGGGCGAGTGGGGTCCAGAGGTTGACTGACGTGACCAGGGGTAAAGCCCCCCCTGCGACTGATTGTGACACTACTGGTACTTGTGAGGTTCCAGCAATGCCTGTCTGAGGTCTCTAATAATGCTGCAAATACACCAGGCTCTGTTCTGCTGACTTGTCTGAAGCGCGTTGTCTGGTTCCCCCGCAAATGGTAACGTGAAAATCGAACCACCAAGTCGTAGTTGAGAGGCACCTTGTCACAATCTCGTGACACGACGGTTTCGGTAACGAACAGTAGCGTAGGCTCAGTCTGGTATAAGCTCGGAATTGACCTTCCTTTGCACTACTGCGTTTCTGGCGTGATTTCACCTGGTGTTGGCGCGTGTACAATCGGATATGGTCGTGTCTTATGTAGTATAGTTCGCCGCAGTTCTGAAGTATCGGGTTTGAGTCTAATATACGGCTAAACCATTCTTGTTTTTGAGGTTCAGATGACTATTATGGTTTGCAGAAGCTGATGACTGCTCTGTGGATTCGGCTGACACTGTGACGTAGCGCGTCTTTAACTCTGACTACCCATTGAGCATTAAATCGAAGAACGCTTGAGAGTTCTACCGGGTGTCTAGACGGAAGATCGCTGTATCATCGTTCGGGTTGTGGTTGATGTGATAATGCCGTGCTGCACTTCTGATCAAATATGGTCCGATGCATGAAGCTGTTAGAATTGCCCAGAAAAATCTCTGGTCAATGGGGGACAGAAGTCCGAGGTCAGGCAACGCAAAGTCTCGAGCTTCAGTATCCGAGACCTCGCTTGTGCTGCAACATTGAACGGACTGCGAATGGAGGTATATGGAGTTTGAAATATGAGATATGAGTAGATTTGGCAGGAGCACTAGAGACTACCAAGCATATCTAGTTACCTTGATATGTAAATAGCAGGACAGAAGGCAAATACCCTGGGCAAGATGAGCATGACGGTGCACTCAGGCTAGTTAAGATCTACCGGCCGAATGTGTACCTGATATGATGGGTAACGATCTCCAACCTATGTACATTGGGTTGCAAGCATGGGGCTACGAAATGATGTCCACTGTTGTGAATGGGTCGTGTGTAAGCGCCGCAGCTTTCCAACGGCCGTTGACAGGGGAGTATCTTTCGAGTCTTCGGGGAGCGTTTCGATTCATCATAGTACTTCCAAGAGCTGCGAAAGTGTCGTATTGCGGTACTTGGTATTGAGGTATCTGAGTAGCTCGGCCGGGAGGGATATTTCCCAGCACAAGAGCGTCAGGGGCCCCCTGCTCGAGTAGTCGTTGTGCATGTCAAGTCTCTACGTTGTAAACCGACGAGGCAGGCCCTGTCGATTGTCCGTGCGTAGGTAGGGGCGGGCGGGATGGACGAAGGGATTCATGCTAGCATTGCCGCAAGACTAATGGTTTGCCTAGATGTTCTCTTGGCCTCTAGAATCATGTCATCTGTTTAACCCCGGACACGAACGTTGAGCAAATGTCTAAATCCCTGGGCAACCTGCGGCTCGACGGGACGGGAACGGAGATGGCTCATGAGCTCACTGTTGATTCTGGCTCTAGTGATGCCAAAAGGGAAAGCAGCGTTCATTCAATTCTTTCCATCTAATTAGAACCTGGCCAACACGACGCTGACGTTAGACCGTGTGCCGATGATTCGGTGCTGGATTATTTCCCACTGTACCAGAGCCCACTAAACAGCATCTCTGCTTGCAACCAGATATGTGTAATTGTGCTGCATGCTCCACAATTGGGGCTCATCACTCTTCGATGCGCCAGGCGCAATTGCTCCCGCGGCAGACAAGCTCTTTGTAGATATGTTCGCAGGGCCGATGATACCTAGCAATTTTTTAATACGCAAGTACGTGGTACGGAAAATCTCCACTGAAATGGATAGCACTGAGAAGTCCCGAAGACAGAAGTGTAAGCGCGGGCAGCCCCCCGTGGGCCAATATAACGGTGAGTGGTAGAAATTGCACAGTTCTCTCACAATCTTAAGGACCCTAGGTCACTTTCACCACTGGCAAGGGGGCCAAGTTTTTTCTGAATGGCCCTTAGGCATCTGTCACTGAAAGTATGTACCATGTTTAAGCAGATAAGTATGTCCAACTGGCATGTTGATTTGGGAGAAGGGAGGCGGAAGCGCTCTCAGAGATTCTCAGAGGCGTTCGTTTGCCACTTGTGATTGAAGTCAGGCCAACACAGCAAGAATACGCTGCTTCCTCCCCGACCATTGTCGCACAGGAAAACCCAAATTCGACTTCGCCGTCGGCAAAGCCATCCGAGCCTGGTCCGGGTTTCAGAATCTTCAAAGTGGTCCCCTCTGCCGAAGATTTGCGCCAGGAAAACCCAAACAGTCAGTCATGGCTTAGCTAGACTGACTAACTGACAGCTTCATTGGACTCTTTAAGGTACGTTTTGCACTTGAGCCGGCACTCGTCGCCCGGCAAGCGGCGAGAGCCTTTTCAGGCGGTAGAACTTGGGGGACATTGACAGATAGGTTCGACGCCGTGATGTCTCAGTCGTAAACATGGCCGGACAGGGAATGTTGATAGCTTTGACAGATTGGATCTTACAACGTACATACTGTGGTAGAGTCCAGATGATTCCAGGTTTTATTTTTACTTGTACATAGTACAAGCTTGGGCAGTCATGCCTCTAGTCTGGCGGAGCACAATGATTATTTTGACGTAGCCCCCGCCTCCAAGTCCCTGACATGCACAGGGCATGCATGCTCGCTTAGCATACTATGGAGTACTTTGGGGCATTTCATTTATTATTGCCCACATACCGCTGAACCTTGAATGCGTACTGTAGCATGCATGTGACAAAAGACTCTACGGTTAGCTTGTATCAAATCTTCGGTGGAATAGGCACTTCGGAAATGTATGGAGCGAACTGAGATACTAGGCTACTTTTTTCTTGTTTTTGTGTTTGTTTTTATTTCTATTTGTTTTTGTCTTTTCCACGTCTATGCATCGGCGCGATATGCTCAATCAAAGCCCCAATTAGCGGCAGTGGGCAGATTGCCTGAGAAAGTGGTATTGCTGTAATGAGATCATTTACAGTAGGGCAGCCGGGCACTAAGCGAACTCATTAACAGGTTATATCGGTCTGCTAGGGTAAAACTCTATCTGTAACACCTTGTCTCCGAAAATAATTGCCATATCTACAAAGGATTCGCAATCAGAATGATGAGACACTCAGAGCCCATCGTTAGAATTACTATAATGCCCCTCCGGTAGCAGATGGCATTGGCTAAAACTCCCCGATATTTATCGAAGCACTATCAGGTACTATCCAGAAACGGCGCCATGATATGCATGTGATACCGGAGACACAATCTGGCATCTTGGTTCAGAGGGCTTCCACGAATCGAGCGTTTCTATTCTGGAATTGATCTGTCACTAATTGGTCAAGATCGATGTGTGGGACGCGGCTCTGTGAGGAGTTTTCACGATGTCTTCCGGGTTGCACTTGATCT